ATATTAAATTATTACTTAGTAAGCGAAGAATACTACTATAACTTAATCTATTATTTCTATTATATTAATATAATATATTACTATAATAACGTTATAAGAGAAGAATCTACTATTATAGTTAATTAAATCTCTTTAAAAGAAATATTAAATAATATATATTAATTGAAATCGTTCGATATCTATAGCTATTTTATTATTCGAAAGATTTTACTATAATAAAAGATATTATGAAATTTACATTACTAATTAATATATTATCTTTATTTCTTTTTAATATTTCGATACTTCTTATTATAAAGATATAATCTTTCTCTATTTTTTATAAATAATTATTACGAATTAATTCTCTATACTCGATATATCTTTCTAATTAAATCTTAGCGCGTCTCTCTTCATATATATATATCTATATATTATATAGATTAAATTAATTTTATAGTAGTAAAAGTAGATTAAAAACGTATAGTAAGCGATTAGAGTTCGATTTAACTGAGAACTAGAACTAAAATTCGATTTAACTTAGAAAAATCTAACTTTATAAATTTAATTCATAGGCCTTTACTTATAAATAATAATATTTTAATAAATTTCGAAGAATAAAAAGCTATTAATTAATCTATTAAATAATTATTAAATAACTCTTATTATTTAATTAATTAATACTATTTATAATAATCTTAATTAGTATATTAAATAGCTAATTTCTATATTTTTAAAGCTATTCTTTATACTCTTAATAAGAATATTATTTAATTTAATAATTAAGTTTTTAATAAGTTTTTTAAATTAAAACTATTTATAATAATAGAAATTAAGTTATTAATAAAAAAGTAGCTTTCTTTTATTTATTAAAATAATAAATATTTTTAAATTAATCTCGCTTTTACTCTATTATTTAAAGTTAAAATAAAATTCTATAATAATATTACTAAGAAATTTAAAGTAGAATATAAATTTATATAATAAAATATATTTATAAATTAAATATATTAAGTTTAAGATATTTAATTATTATATTTTTAAAAATAAATATAATAATAAATAATATTATATATTATATATCTCTCTAACTTCGTCTAATTTAAACGATTTATATACTTTTTTTTAATATATTTAATTTCTAATTTAATTAGTTTTTAATATAATAATTAATTAATCTTAAAATTAATTTTTATAATAAATTAATCTATATTTATATTTTAAAATTTTTATTTATAATTAATTATATATAGTTTTAAGTTAAGTTATTAATAAAGTCGATTTATTAATTATAACTTTAAATAATTTATTAAGAAGATAATCTACTTAATTAATAAGATATATTAAAAATAAAATTATTAAATAAATACTTCTTTTTTAAATAAAGATATAATTATTTAATAATTTATAATAGATAGATTTAGTAATATAATTTAAAAGAATAATTTAAAATAAAAAGAATAATAATTTAATAGACTAATTATATAGAGTAGTTATTAATCTGTCTCGTCGATTATCTATAAATTAAATTACTATTTTATATTATAAAATAATAATTTAATTATAAAGTTATTCTATACGACGTTAGCGTAACTACTTATTTAGATATATAAAATTAAAAGAATATTATAAAGATAGTTAATAGTAATAGTAATATAATAAATCTACTCTTTATAATCTTATACTAGTTCGATATTTAATAAGAGAAGAAATTACTATAGTAGATAAATACGAAGAATATTACGAAGATAGAGTAGTAGTAGTAATATAATAGATCTACTCTCTACGATCTTATATTAGCTCGATACTTAGTAAGAGAAGAAACTATTATAGTAGATAAATATAAAGAATATTACGAAGATAGAGTAGTAGTAATAATATAATAGATTTACTCTCTACGACTTTATATTAATCTAATACTTAGTAAGAGAAGAAATTACTATAGTAGATAAATATAAAGAATATTACGAAGATAGAGTAGTAGTAGTAATATAATAGATCTACTCTCTACGATTCTATATTAGCTCGAAATATTTAATAAGAGAAGAAATTACTATAGTAGATAAATATAAAGAATATTACGAAGATAGTTAGTAGTAATAATAATATAATAAACTTACTTTCTACGATCTTATAATAATCTATTTAATTAGTTACTTAGTTAATTACTTAATTAATTATTTAACTAAAGTATTTAATTAAATAAGAGAAAAAAATATTATAATAGATAAATAAGAAGAATATTATAAAGAAATTAAGTAATAATAAAGCTATTATTATTAAGAATATCGCTTAACTCTTTAAGATTTCATATTATATACTCTTCTATAATTCTATATTAAATTATTATATAATAAGCGAAGAACGATATTATAATTTAGCTTACTATCTTTATATATCTAGATAATATTATATTATAGTATATTACGATAATAAGTATATAAGAGAAGAATTTACTACGTCGATTATAGTTAATTAAATCTCTATAAATAAGAATTATCTATCGAATAATATATATTTAAATGAATTAAAATCGTTCGATATCTTATCTCGATAGCTATTTCAGCTATTTAAACTATCGTAGATATAAGAATATTCTAGTTATTTTAGCTATTTAGACTATCGTAGTTATAAGAATATCTTAGTAAGTTTAACTAATAAAGCTATTCTAGTTATAAGAATATCTTAGCTATCGTAATTATAGAGAAGTCTTAACTATTTCATCTATTTAAACTATTATAGCTATAAAGATATCTTAGCTATTTTAACTAGTTAAACTATTATTAAGCTATAGAAATATTTTAATTATTTTAATTATTTGAAATATTAATAGTTATATTTAACTAATATTAAACTCGATTTTACTCCTATACGTCTATTAAAAGAATTTATATTTATAATATAATATAATAGCGATTATAGCTATAATTAGTTTATAATATAATATATATAATAAAAGTAAGAAGAATAAGTAAAATTTAAAGAGATTTATAACTCTTCGATAAAGATTTTATTAAAGTTCGTAATATTACTTAATCGGAGATATAGCAAAAAAAAAATAAGACTATTTTTACTTTAAATTATTCTTTTAAAATTCGTTACTAAATCTATCTAGTAATAAAAATAAATTATTTATTATATAAAAAGTAAATAAAATTTAACTTAACTTAAAATTAAAGCTTTTATCTTCTTTATTAATTTTATAATAATAAAAGTAAATTAAAAATATATAATAAGCGATTAGAGTTTAATTTAACTTAGAGCTAAGATAAAAATTTTATTTAACTTAAAAAAATTTAACTTTATAAATTTAATTTATAAACTTTTAATTAAAGTAATAAATATAATAAATTATAATTAAATCTATTAGAAAGAAAATTAAATATCTAGAAATTTTTAAAGATATAATAAACTTTTAAAAAAAAATTATATATAGAAGTGTTTTATATAATTTATAAAAAAAAATTAAAAAAAAATCGCTAAAATAATTTTTATTAATATAATTTTTTTTTTATATTAATTTTAATTTTAATATTATAATTTATATTTTAATAAATTTATTATTTATATATTAATTTTACTTATATTAAATTTATTTATAAATTATTTTAAATTATAAAATCTAAAAAAGTTTATTATCTTTCTCTTTTATATATATTTTTTATTAAAATAAAATATATAATTTTTAGAAAATATTAATATATATAATAGAATAAGATAGAGCTAAATTAGAAAATCTTAAATTTATATATATAGTTAATTATTAATTTATTAGATTTACGCTTTTTAATTAAATATCGTAAGTAAATAAATTAATATTTATAATTATTAAAAAAATAGATATATATTATTAATATATAGAAAAACTTCTTTATTTTCTATTAACTTTTTAAAATTTAAAATTTTAAATTTTAAAGCGTAGTCTACGCTTTTCGAATTTTTAAGAATTCTAAAATTTAATCTTATAATTATTAAAGCGTAAGAAATTTAAATATCGCTTATTAAGAGTTCGCTCGATAGTCGAATAGCTCTAATTAAAAAAAAATAGATATATATTATTTAATTTTAAAATAACTTTTTTATTTTCTATTAAAATTTTAGAATTTTTTATTTAAACTATAGAGTATAATATAAGTTTTTAAATAAAAAAAAATTACTAAATTTAGTCTTATAGATATTTAAAGATAAGAAATTTAAATATCGCTTATTAAAGATCGCTTATTAAAATTTACTCGATAGTCTCGATTTAAAAAAAAGATTATAAATTTAATTTATAGATCTTTACTCGTATAATATAAGTTTTTAAAAATAAAAAAAAAAATTATTATTAAAATTAATTAGATAATAATTTAAAAATTATAATATAATAAAATATAGATTTATATTTAATAAGATAAGTAGAAAAATATAAAAAACTTTTAAATTTATTAATATTAAATTAATATATAAAAATCTTATTAATATATTTAAATAATTTAAATATTTTTATAAGAATATAAATTATTTAAATTTTAAATTTTAATAAATTAATTATATAATTCTAATTCTAAATTAAAAATAAAAATAAAAATATTTTTTATTATTATAATTATCTTTAAATAATAAAAATTAAAAAAATAATTAGAATTCTCTATCGCTATAAAAATATATATTATAATTTATAATTTTTTATATAATAATTTTTTTTCTTAATTAAATTATATTTAAAAATCTTAAATAATAAAATATTATTTAATACGCGATTAGATATTTATATAAAAATAATATATAAATTTTAATTTAATTGATAGACTTGGCGGGATAACGAGGTACCCTCATTACCCCGAAAGGAAAACATTACCCCGACCCCACCCCACCCCGTCAAAACCCCGACCCGAAGCGGGGTGGTATTGGGTACCCAAAACCCCGCCCCACTCCGCCCCGTTGCGCAGCGTATAATCAGGGCTGATATTGATAACTCTTCCAAGAGTATTCGGCTCTCAGCTCCTCGTCATGCATTTCTTCGGAGCTATCCTACACCCTTAATCTGTCGCCGTTGCCACATGAGGTTCAGCATGGGTTCGGGTGCCCGGTTCTCTGGTCTTCGTGACCCCAAAGCTCTCATTCAAAAAGACGGCGTCCATGTCTTCAAGGCTTCGTCTTGCCGTCTCCGGATAGAACAACCACGTAATAGGCACGAAAGTTGCGTTAAGTGCAGCCCAGATTAGATAAAGTCGATACCCAAGCCCCTGAATAGCTTGTGGGGTGATGTAGACAACGACGAAGTTAGAGAGCCAGTGGGAGGCTGCACCGAGAGCGACGCCCTTGTTGCGCGTGCGAAGGGGCATGATTTCAGAAGCATACATCCACGAGACTGGAAGAATCCCGAGGGAAAATGCGTCGAAGAATAGGAAGGTGAAGGCTACGAAGGCCCATTGAGACTGTCGCGAAGACGATTGTCAGCCTTGGATGTCCCCCTAAGACGGGAAGACTGAGGGACCCACTGTAGTAGTATCCAAAGCCAGCATAGAAGAGATCATTATCATGCAGAAGCAACAAGCGGCTGCGCTTGACATCAACATTTTGCGACGGCCAAAGTGCTCAATGAAAAAGTATGGACTATAACTCCGTCAGGGGTAATTCAGGAAGGCTCGTGGAGAGGGTAGACTAACAGCCAAGAAATAAGGAAATACTGGAATCCTAGCACGCCGGAGATAATGAGTGAAAGCTGCGTGGACAGCCCAATATTGCGCTCGAAAGTAATGGGCAAAAAGTAAGCCAGTGAGTTAATGCCACACCACTGGTTCATCCTGACCCCAGTACGTTAACATCGGTCTTGCGAATGGATAGGATGGAGGCACGTACATATACGGGCCAGCTCCTAGGAGCACACGACTAATGTTCCTATTTCTACCCTCTGTGAATACCTCACCCCACGATGCCGAGCCTAGCAGAAGCTCCTGTTGCACAGACGCCTTGACTTCATCTCGCTGACGAACGACACTAGGGTGCTCGATGCTTACGTCCCTGCCTTCTAGCCTAGCGAAGATCTCCACAGCTTCTTCTAGCCTGTCATGTTGAGCGAGCCAGCGAGGTGATTCTGGGAGGATCGGCAAAGCGATGAGAATGATAACCAGAAACACTCCTTGGAAGGCGATTGGCCACCTCCATGCGAAAGAGGAGGGTTCGGCTTGGCTGCTGGCGAGGCCCATAAATGTGCTGAGTGGATGACCAAAGGCGATCAACGCACTCTGAATGATGAGAAGTGCCTGTTCGCATCATCAGCGAGAGCTTCTATGATCGGCTAATTGTATATACTTACCCCTCGATTATGGCTCTTGAAGCTCTCAGCTTGCCAGACAGGCACGTTGACTGTGTTGATCCCATTGCCAACTCCGGTCAAGGTTCTGGCAATTATCAACTGCACGCTCTCCGTTGCAGATGTCTGCAAAACGGTTCCGACTACCATGATCCAGCATCCCCACTTGATACTACCTTTCCGCCCATAACGATCAGCAGTCAGGAATGCCACGATTGCGCCTATGAAACAACCAATGTCATAGATAGCGGCGATGATGCCTTCGAGCTTGGCGCTTGGATTGTCGAAATCGGCGCGAAAAGAGCGCAAGCCAATTACAGCGCCGAGGACACCCTGGTCGTAGCCGAAAAGCTTGTAGCATGTGAGTCAGTCTTCAGGTGGACCGTCAAACTTCCAAGACATACACGTCACGTACGCATTAAGCTTTCAAAGATCAAGATAACTCAAGTAGGCGCTACGGTAACACACTTGGTATAGTAAAGATGAGAGTGGATGGGAAGATAGACCTACAAGGAAAGCTGTTCCACAGACCGCAGCTATGGCTCCTCGAAGGGTAGACCCCGTCAACAGTCCTTGCACCAGTTTTAGCAACGAACCTTACAATGCTACGGTAACGAGGAAGCAGAAGCGAACTTAGGATAAGTGTATCAGAAGGAGAGCAAAGCCATCCCCTTATGCGGAAAAGAAATACTGAAGTATTGAAAGTGGGCTGGCTCTTTTGTGATTAGGGATTGTGGTAGGTAGAGTCAACGTTGGTTGTCTTGGCCAGAGCACATTTAGACCAAGATGATCAAGGCAGGGGGCCAACGCTTGGGAAACTGGAGTAAAATACCGTAAGAAGGAGACACTGACGAGTGCTCGAGGTCGGATAGCTGAGTGTACTTGGATGAAGATGCGGAGCTAGGCCAAAGGTTGTTGAGCATGGCTAATGGGTTCTGCTTGTTCTTGTCGGGCAGTGTCTTTTCGTACTTTGTGGAGAAGATGATGCCAAATGTCTCGGGCTAACTTAGGCAGCATTCAGTGACACACTCTTCTTCAACAGGCATGGAGCGCTTATCGCTGGGCGCTCTCTGTTCACTTCTTGCATGCACTTACCTAGACTGCGCATTTGCCAAATGGACCAAGAAGTCTCGAGTCAGCTGTGAGCTCTCCCTCCTTGTCCCGTTCCAAACCATTCTTGAGGTCTCGATTTCCGACTGATGGGGGTTCTCTAGCGATTGTTGTAGAGTAAAGATCATAAACAGTAACAGAGATAGCGCGCCGATACTTGTAAGCGCCGAGCAAAAAACGCCTCAATCTGCAGGGGCAGTTTTTCTTGGCACACATGACATCACCGTGTTCGCTACGAAACTCGGTGGATCTACAACAGTACAAGGTCAACATACTCGCAAATAGGGGCTCCTCGACACGCAACATTTTGCAGCATCAGACAGCCTCATACACCACCAGTCTACATCCTGTCTTCAGACGAACATTAACCATGAGCTTGTTCTTCCACGAGACTATCATGCTCTACCTCGCAACGCTCTCCCTCACCCTTCCCTGTCCAAGCTGGAGGAGCAATAGAAGACCTGCCAGCATCTAACAAAACAACCAGTCCCCCATCCCACGTGCAACAAGCTTCTTCGGTCAGACTCATCACCGCCTCTCGTAGGTTCCAGTGTCTGTCCCTTCCTGCTTCTCACCCCCATGAACCCATCTCCAACTCATGCCTACTCAACACTTTCTCGATCTCCCCCGTTGTCCAACTCTGCCTCTGCTCTGCGGCTGTTATCTCATGGTTTTTCTCCAGTGAAGTCAGGTTAACGCTTTTTAGTAGCCTTCCTTCGTCGTATCCGTGGCGTCCCGGTCCCCTTCGTGGTTGGTGACGAGCGAACCCACTCAAAGAGGCTTCGCCACCAAGTCCAAATCGACTCTCCATGGCAGCTATCTGCTGCAGGTCCCCTAATGTCGCCGGCCTCATCTCCAATATCGGCCGATTCTGCATACTCCATGGATGTTCCACTTCTTGCGACTCCAGCGCTCTGTTTTTCGCGAACTTATTGATAGCTTCTTGGTAGTCCCCTGTTTGAACAAGGATTCTTTTGAGTTTCTCCTTCTCGACAGGGTCTGTTTGGTAGGCCATGAGCAAATTGTAGGATTCCGAAGGTGGCGTCTGCTGTCTTGTGGGCCTTGGCACGGGACAACCCTTCTCTTGGGGGTGCAGGTACGACTTGTATCGATCATTTGTGTGTGGACTATGGGTTGGCTGCAAAGGTTTCCGCCAAGAGAAGTCCTCTCTTGCTATGACCCAAGGGTGTTTCCTCTTGTACTGTACATTCAACTTTCGTCCGAACACTTGATGGTAATTGAGCTCCAGGACCACTTGCCGCGCCTCCTCCGACGTGGCAAAGGTGGCAAATGCCATGCCACGAAAGTCATCAAATTCGTCGTAGAGATAGTTCAAAGCCCTTGGTGGTGGGAGCTTCATTTGGCTCATGAGGTGTAGCAGATGACCAGTGTTCCAGTGGATGGGAAGGTTCTTGATCATGGTTGTCGTTGGTATGATCTCCTCATCGGCATCAGTCGCATACTGCTTGGAATGTGCAAAGGCCATCTCGTTACATTATGAAGGTTCTTTCATTGTTCATTAGCTATGTGATACAAAGATTGCTTGAAATCGGCGGTGCCAAGGCACTAGAGCAAACTAGTGGGGTGTTTAACACATTATAAAAACCTGGGCCCAGAGGAGGTGTCTTTAACACATTAACTGTACCAATCTAGCTAGATCTTACACACTGCTCGATGAAGGTGTTAAAAAGCGTTGTGTTACATGCGCGATGGGCCGGGAGTTGTTCGGCTCATTGACCAGCGATAGTGAGCCTTCAAAACAATCAAGATTACGCGGAGGTCCCAGATCGCAAATGAGGACAAGAGGCAATCTGGGAGTCAAACTCTCCACGTACCTTTCGTGTGTAGTTTATCGCTTCAATCCTGCTCCTTTCAAATTTTGCCCGTCAATCATTGTGATGTTTTGAAAGTAGGTCGGGTATCAGGCCTACGGTGCATCTTAAATCCCTACAGATCCTAGTCTCTCTCTACTCATACGGCATATGAGAAGATAAGCAGGTTGTCCAGGATCCTTGTAGTGGATTCCCGGAAAATGCTCCGTACGCCTTCGCAATGACCAAAGATGACTCTCGCAATTTTGCCACGCGTGGCCTCCGGATCTACTCGTACAACTTCAGACGGCCAACAGTATCTCCTCCTTGCACATCAAGCGGTAGCAGAGCAGAGTTGAGAGAGTGAACCCATTTCGATCGTTGTTGAGGCGCCAGAGAACCCGAAAGAAACCCGAATGGCAAGACAGGGTGGCAAGCGCCCCCGGAAGAGTGGTATGATTGAGACTCCAGTTGGAGTGGTCGTCCATATCCTTCAATTGCCATACTCTGAAGCCATCCGGGTCGGCCAGTGAGAAGAGTCGTTTTGCGATAGGATCGAAATCACTACAGATATCAAGAATGATGTCGTAAGAGACCTTCTGACCATATGCTGCACGGCAAAAGGGTCAACCTTGGAAAGTCATTAAATAGATCAAGAGTGATCGTACAAATAGCAGCGGCAGAATTGTTACTGAAAGTCTGCTGGTTGAAAACATTGCTCGGGTAAGTGCACGTGACATTGAACTGGTTGTCATAGTCTACTGGAACGAGAACGCGTTTGTCATTGCCTTTCCATGAGAGCATGAGTACATCATCGCTAACAGCAGTGGACAAGATGATGTCCCTCTGCGCAACGGCTTCGGGGAGCATGAATCTAATCGCGCTCTGGCCAGTTGAAGGCTGTGGGAAGAATTTTTTGCCATCAAGGATGTGAGACCTGACCACCGACTATGGAGTAATTGATCCATCAGTAACGAGGTCGTCGGCTCTCGGAACCAGCATCACCTACGTGGAGACCGTCTGCAGCATTGATCACGTCTGTGAAAATTGCCTCTCTGTCCGCCAGCATTATTGCTGTTTTGGTAACATCCATCGACTCCACTTTCAGACCGGACTTCCCTATGATACCACTTCCGAGCGTCACCTGCATCAATTGCTGATGTAACTGCGGCTGTTGTGGCTTGCGGTTTTTCCCTCCAGCCCCACTGCCACTGGTGGGCAAGGATCGACTGCTAGGCGGTATACCAGGAGCGAGGGAAAGTTCGACGTATTTTCATTCACATCAAAACCAGCGTCGCCGGAAGCGTGGGTCCGAATACAAAATCTTATTTACGCCACGTACTGATCCAAAAGATCCGGCGCCCTCAGTTGAGTTCATAATGAGCAATGCACCAAAAACCCTTTCAGTGGAGCTTCGTGCTTCATGGGACTCCATGGATCTGTCTTTTTCTCTCTTTCTTCCCGTTGCCTCATCGTAATTTGCACCTCTTTCTGCATCTACTCGCTTGATGTTCCCAAATCATTTCTTGTACAGATGATATTCCTCGTTATGTCGGTCAATCCAGCTTCTTTCCCTGTGGGGCAACTCGAAAAGTACAAGACTACGCCCGCATTACCCTTTCCACCGGGTATTGTGTCAAACTTCGCGGCCCGCAATCAGCGCGCCAATATTTACAAAATTCCTTGCGCTACCCTCTTGGGAATAGTCTATATTTTTGTCTGTATTCGCATGTATGTCAAAGTTTGGATCAAGCGTAGGCCGGGCTTCGACGATCGTAAGCTACCAAACGTTTTCTCGCTGATTGTGCATTGTTGCGACGGTAGGTTCGCTCAACCCAACACCGCAACACTTTTGACTCATATGGTATTATAGATGGGGGTTACTGCATGCTTCGGAATGGCGATCATGAGTAAGTACAACTTTCAAAGTATGGCAATCCTTTTGTTGACTACGTATCAGTGTCACAGCATGGGGTTGGCAAGCACCAATGGGACGTACCGCTGTCCGAAATCCCTTTCATAGTCCGAGTAAGTGAACAGGAAGGATTTCTCATTGCGCAATGACCTTACACGATGTAGTTCAGGAGATACAATAACATAGTCTTACCGCCTACCATGCTCTTTCTCAGGCTGTCACTCCTGCTGCTATATGTACGCATCTTCGCTACCGATAAAGTCACCAGATATGTTAAGGAATAGTTCTTAATATCATAATATTGGTGTGGTGTAAAGCTGTTCTATTAATCTATGTGGTCTGCAGGCACATAGTGCGGAGGAGGCGCGCTAAGGCCTAATGAGGAAGGTGTACCGAGTGTGAAGGATTAATCCGTAACAAGATATCTAACATACTTTGAGACGACGTTTTGTATTCTCGCACATACCATTTTGATGTTCCTTAACATCTTCTTATACGTTGACCCTGTTGTCGACACCAACAAAGCTCTCGGGGCTGTGAATCTTTTCAGTGACATTTGTATACTATGCGCTCCTATTGCAGCATTTTCGACATCTCAGCTTTCTGTCAAAAAGAAAATCGGCATCATGTTAGTATTCATGATCGGAACTATGTATATTGTGTCTTTTTGCCAAGGAAGAAGTGACTCTGCTAACGTCAACTCAGAGCTTGCGCGATGAGTCTTGTAGGCCTTATATTTCGACTACAAGTTCATCAAACGGAGGTGGATGCCACGTACCTTTTAGCAGGCACTTGTCTAGTCACGTCCGTGCCCCATACAGGGATTCAACCGCCTCAGCTTGCTTTCTGAAACCGCTAACTTCACACAGCACCATCGAACAACAGATAGGTCTGATGTGCGCTTGCATGCCTTCTTTCCCAGCCATAGTCAAGAACTCGCCAACCCTCCAAAGATGCATCCACTCAGTTCAGAATCTGGGCTCGTGGACTCTCAACCCGAGTCCGCCCTAGCTCGACAGCAGATACGAGGAGAAGTAACCAAAAGCGCTTTAGTCTTGACGGGTCTGTAGAAGACAGCTTAGAGCTCCACGGCAGGGAGACTTCCACAGAAGCCGTGTTGCCTGAGAGCCCAAAGTCGTAAAGGATTTCGTTGCTAGAGATTGCCATTGTAATTTGACCATTCTCGAGAAGAGGAATTTACAGGGCTCGCCATCTGTATCAAGGGTTGCTGTTGAGTAAGGCAGCAGAGAGTGACAGGCAAAAATCAGCAAGCTCTGGTCTTGAAGACCAACATCCCTCAGCCTCGTCGACCAGGCTGCTGCACTCCACGGTCGCCGATTGTCAAAGAGCAGACGCCAATCGGGATCCTTGGGATCAGTAGTTGCAGAACCTTGCAACCAATTCATCCAAAGACGCACTCAGCTACAGGATGCAAGGCGTTGTTTTCATTGCAACGCCCACTACGGTATCTAAGATTGGCGGACCAGCATCTGCTTAGTAGAAATACAATTCCGCGACGTTCTGACGGTGGCACAAGGCAGTAAGGTATATTGACAATCTGGGAGAAACTTACACGGTCCGCAATAGTCTTCTGGACGACGAGACATTTCCGAGGTTCAGATGTTGTTTTTATGTTGAGACCAAAAGACATGAAAGTTGTTGACGCGCCGCTATCGCCAACGCAGTCTAGACTATTTCAGACTAGCGCAGCGTCTCTTGGTAACAGCGGGCAGCGATCATGCGACTGTTGACCTCGAGACATTCCCATCTATAAAATCAGGTAGGTACTATGAATCACATGGGTCTGCTCCTCGATCATCTGCCTTGCCAACGATACAATTCTTTAGCGACTAATGCCACAAAATCTACAGACTCGATGGCCGATTCAATTGCTGACGTGGCGGCTGTGGCTCTTCGACGCAACGGCAAGAAATTCTCTCGCGAACCATGCAGGAGGTCGAAGCTTCCATGCGACCATATAAGGCCAATGTGTGATGGATGTCAACGTCGGCGAGCCCCTGAAAGATGTGTCTACCACCCTGCGCCCATGACCAATTGACAGCAGCCAAGCCCGTCAACAGTCAACTAGCACTGGATGGTGAGGCTCAGGCCCGTGCTTTGAGTGATCCGGACCAGGAAGGCTGGAATCTAAACTCCGTTGTGGGTCGCGCATTTTGGCTCCGAGTGTCCGTCATCCGCATCAAATTCCGAGAGGAGATACTAGAACTCTCTCTCGGCGCAAACACAGCTAATCTGGATGGACGAGCCCGGTATCACACCAAACAGAGCATCAGAACCAGCGAATAATCTGCAGTTCAAAACTCTCAAAGGACGCCTCCGACGCGCGGGACACTTTCTACCTTCGAAGCTCAGAGATCGCTCAGAGATCGACCAGATCGCTGGGTATTGGAGCGCCCAATATCTGAAAACTTTTTCCAGCTCTCCGAACAATTCGATTTTGTCTACGACGGTTTTTGTACAAAGAAAACTAATTAAACGATCGTGGGTCCCACCGGCTGAGCTTGTCACTATTCCAAGATCTCTACTGTCGAGCATACTCACATTGACTGGCAATCGCCACCGCCAAGGATGGTACTCCAGTGATTTGCCTTGGCTGGTAACTACTCGTGAGGTAATATCGGTGTCAGGAGATGGCTTATGCTGTATCGATCGCATTATATGCACTTCCACCGGCAGGAGTCCTTGCGCTCGAGCTTTTGCATCACTCGCGCCGCAAGCTGCCGGCAAGTCCTGACTTTCCACGCTCGAAAATCATCCAGAGCCTGAGCAATTTAGTCTCGTCCATTGATTTTCATCGTTTGCCCGACCAATGGAAACTTTGTCATTTGCGGCCCAGCCATGAAGATGCTCCAAGCGATACTGGGTACAGTACTATCGCCCGAACACAGCTATAGTGAAATTGAAGATGCCGAGCCCGCCTCTGCTTTGGACACGCTCACGGAAGAGACATTGGATGATCAAATGTGGCTAAGTAACAACCTTGACATGGAGTTTTGGACCAGTTTGGAGGGCCATCCGCTGCTTGCCTGCGCGGAGTTGGCGTAGTATGCTTAGCGTTTGGAGCGCAATCCAATACTGCAGTCAGTCGCAAACGATGCAACCTCGCGAGCTAACCTTTATTAAGCATTTTCTCGACATTCAGCATATGAGCAATTCCACTTGCACTTGCGAAACTTCGTCTTCGACTCCCACTAGACGCTTTTCGGCTTCCCCTCAAGCCTTGGCCCGCCCTCGTCCCGAGAAAAATTGGGAGGTGGGCAGTGATCTCGTCGGCGAGAGCTTGACTAAGTGCAGACTCGCACGTGGTTAGGAGTAAGTCTATGACATATATCCCAGACCCTTTCTACGGCTGTGCACTCTAAGATGGAGCTTGTGAGGCCTAGGAACAGGCTGATTGTCAAGGGAGCCGTGTAGTAAAGCATCGGGAGGCAAGTCATAGCGCACATGGAATGGAAGCGGATCGGATGCTGATGAATTACATCTGCCGAGAATCAGGACCAAGGTACCTTAGTATATCTTTAGTGTCATTGGCAAGACGCATTCAGGCTAAACGGCTGATCCCGTAAGGCTAGGCAATTGGTGTTTCCCTTTCCCCGCATCTATAATAAAGCATAAAAGCATAAAAGCATAAAAAAAGCATAAAAGAAAAAGTATAAGATGATGCATTAAGTTTCCTTTCGTCATATATCCAGGAACGAATATATTGTGTTTTTGCGGGGTTATTTGCGGGGATACCAAGGAATTCCCATGTTTACCCGGAGCTTGCCTTGGCACCATTCACAACCTTTCTTCATCTCATAGCCGTGGCTTTGAGCAATGGTACAGTCGCCGGACATGGAAGCGGGGTTACAAGGGAATCGACCAGGGCAGCAACGGCTTTCCTCCTTTTTTTCATAGCCTCACCGAGGGAGTATAAAGACCAGCATAATGCCGACTGATGTGTCGGTTTCGTCGTCACGTCCATCCGTAAATTCATCCGAGCTCTCAAGATGCTTGCAACTTCAATCATCCTCATCACCTCTTTCTTGGCGTCGGCGAGTTTCGCGCAGGACCTTCCGTATGGCGAAAGCAACTACAGCTCCCAGGCACAGCCTGACTTGACACCTCAGACCGTCGAGACTCTCAATCTATCCTTCCCTGATTGCACAAGCGGACCTCTCAGCACCTACACCATATGCAACCTATCTGCAAGCTATATGGACCGCGCTTCTTCCCTCATCTCCCTGTTTACCCTGGAGGAGCTGATTAACCAGACCGGCAATACAGCCCCAGGTGTTCCTAGGCTTGGCCTTCCCAATTACCAGGTCTGGAACGAAGCTCTTCATGGATTGGACCGTGCAAACTTCGCCAAAACCGGCGACCAATACGAATGGGCGACCTCCTTCCCCATGCCAATCCTATCTATGGCATCCATGAACCGCACACTGATCAATCAAATTGGGACCTTGATCTCTACGCAAGCTCGTGCCTTCAGCAATGCGGGAAGATACGGTCTTGACAGTTATGCCCCCAACATCAACGCGTTCCGTAGCCCATTGTGGGGCCGTGGGCAAGAGACACCTGGTGAAGATCTCTTCGTAGTCTCTCAGTATGCCTACGAGTACATCACGGGGATGCAAGGCGGTGTTGAACCAGAGCACCTCAAGATCGTTGCTACAGCAAAACACTTTGCCGGTTATGACTTGGAGAACTATGATAACCGATCCCGCCTTGGATATGATGCAATCATTACTCAGCAAGACCTTGCCGAATTCTACGTAAGTGATTCTCTTAGACATGTCCCCCAAAGAGGGAAATTGGCAAGACATGTTACATTTCTATCGATTGGCCCAGGGCTTTGCTTTGAGAGTGCGTTGCTGACTCAGAATTTTCAGACGCCACAATTTCTGACCGCCTCAAGGGATGCAAAGGTCAACAGTGTCATGTGCTCCTACAATGCAGTCAACGGCGTCCCAAGTTGCGCCAATTCTTTCTTCTTGCAGACTCTTCTCCGCGATTCCTGGACGTTCGATACTACCGACGGCTATGTCTCTACAGACTGCGATGCTGCGTACAACATTTATGATCCCCACATGTATGCTTTGAACACATCCAGTGCTGCGGCTGACTCCGTCCGAGCTGGCGCCGACATCGACTGTGGCACAACCTACCAGTATCATCTGAATGAATCCATCATTGCTGGAGAGATCACTCGTGAGGAAATTGAGTTGGGTGTGAGACGCCTGTACTCCAATCTTGTTCGTCTCGGGTACTTCGACGGCAATGGCAGCGAGTACCGTCAACTCACCTGGAACGACGTTGTGTCCACCGATGCGCAAAACATCTCCTACGAAGCTGCAGTCGAAGGCATCACCCTACTCAAGAACGATGGCACCCTACCATTATCCAAATCTACGAGCAGTATCGCTCTCATTGGTCCCTGGGCTAACGCAACCGTGCAAATGCAAGGCAACTACTTTGGCACACCGCCTTACCTCCTCAGCCCTCTCGCCGCTGCTGAGGCGTCCAGTCTCAAAGTCAACTACGCCTTTGGCACCAACATCTCGTCGAACTCAACCGAATACTTCGCCGGCGCCATGGCTGCAGCCAAGATGTCCGACGTCATCATCTTCGCTGGCGGTATCGACAACACAGTCGAAGCCGAAGGCTCAGATCGCATGAACATCTCTTGGCCCGGCAACCAACTAGATCTCATCTCCCAGCTCAGCTCAATGGGCAAACCTGTCGTAGTCCTCCAAATGGGTGGTGGTCAAATCGACTCCTCATCCCTGAAGAGCAATCCCAACGTCAACGCCCTAGTCTGGGGCGGCTACCCAGGCCAATCAGGCGGTCAAGCCATTCTCGACATTCTTACCGGCGCTCGGGCACCGGCCGGCCGCCTTATCACCACGCAATACCCAGCTGAATATGCCCTTCAGTTCTCCCAAGATGACATGAACCTGCGCCCGAACGGTAGCAATCCAGGCCAGACCTACAAATGGTACACAGGCGAACCAGTCTACGAATTCGGCACCGGGCTCTTCTACACCAACTTCAGCATCTCCGCCTCCTCCAACAACGCCTCCACAACATTCAGCACATCCGATCTGACCTCAGCCGCGCATCCCGGCTACGCCTACACGGACCTCATGCCCTTCATCAACTACACCGTGACCGTCACAAACACCGGCTCGGTCGCCTCTGACTACTCCGCCATCCTCTTCGCCAACACCACCAATGCAGGACCGGCACCCTATCCCAACAAGTGGGTCGTTGGCTTCGAGCGCCTAGCCAGCATCGCGCCGGGTGCGAGCAGCCCGCTGACTATTCCGGTCAGCATCGGCAGCATGGCGCGATACGCCGATAATGGGGATGCGGTGCTGTATCCTGGTAGTTATCAACTAGCGCTGAACAATGAGGGGGATGCGGCCACTCAGGTGACGTTGACGGGGTCGGAGGCAGTGCTGATGCATTGGCCGGAGTGGGAGCAACAGGTTGGTCCAGCATGAGGGGATGTAGTAGCATGAGCTGAGGTCAACACCGAGTGAATGTAATGAAATGCCCCCTCAGTCATAAAGGTGGCTTCAAATTTCTTTGACAATGACGACGGAAAGCCTTTGAAAGCAGAAAAGGTGATGATAATAATGTAAAAGCCTTTGATACGTAGCCATGTATTCTCATACCATAATAGTCAAGAGCCATCAGTTCAATATCAATCGTCGAGACTCGAAACTCGAGAACCCCGATATCTTCTGGGTAGTAGTAGTCTTCTTGGGATGCACCAAGCAGAAACTGAGCTCCTGCTTCTCGAGGCCAGCAGTAATCAACCTGTGGTGCGGCTTGTCCATGTTGTAGTTTCCCGTCACCGCCATCATCTTCCTTCCAGCCCCTTCCGATTTCTTGACCTGGTGTACTTATCTCGTTCCCTCGTTATTCACCATGTAATATCGAGACTCACGCAACTACCAAAACAACACATAGAAAGCCAGACTCCCACCCTAGCAGAAATTCTATAGAAAACAACCAACAAGGTGACGAGAGACGAAGTCTTGCCCTCCGAAGCCGCGAGTGAGCCAAATTGAAAGGTGTCGGTATGTCTACGTAGACCGAGGTCTTCGGCTTGGCTCACATCAGCATCGAGAGGCATGGCGACCGGATAACTGAAGTCGCAAATTTTAGTAGCCAAATCGTCATCTTGCAGGGTGTTTTCGGAAGCAATGTCAGATATGATCACTGTTTTGGAGTGTATGTATTCGATCGTTCTCGCTAGCTTTAGGAATCCATCGGGCAGTAAGACGGGACGGGGGCTGCTTTGTTTCGGAGCAGCTACGAAGCGATCCCTGTCTCATCAAGGCGATTTCAATGCCTTCGTTCGAGATTTCAATTCACCTAACAATGCCAGAATGGTGGCCTCGGCGTTGATAGATATGTTCCTCATTGTCCAGAAACGCACAACCATTTCCGATCAAGTGATCTTCTATACGTGATTCTTGAGGCAAAGCTTCCGTGTCTCTCCATCACGCTGCGATTTTGAAGACAGTCTCATTGGGAAGGATTACAATCCCTATGCGACCTGTGCGTACGACGTCTGCCACCAACGGGCAAATCACCGAATCATACCCTGAAAATATAGTTCCTTGCCGAATCATACCCCTACACCAAATCCTACCAAAAAATGAGGTATGATTCGGTAATTAGGAGTATGAACTGGTAGGGATTCATACTTTCGGGCTATGAATTAGTAATTTGCTCCCAACCGCGATCCATTGTGTTATAACAGGCTTGAAGGCATGCTAGAGAAGAGAAGGTGTTGATACGATATAGCAGGTACCGAAAAAGGACTCGACTTGTAATGTATAGATCCTTCACGGTCTTCACATCGATGCTCGATCGAGGCGATTGTTTTCTAATTTGCGACTGTTGAATCACTCTCCACCATCTTCAAAGTCTCATCTGTAGTTGATTGTTTGAAGACGTTATATCCAGTTGAGTTTGTGAACCTTTACACACCTAAAATCCTTGACTTGGGATGACGCTAAGACAGAGTCTAACCCAGTGTATGCTAGCCTCGTAAAGATCGTTAGATTACCTTAGCGAGTAGCAGCGACCTTCTTTTACTATATATATACGATAAATATACGATTATTTTATTAAAACGTATTAGTAAACTATCTCCGCCTTTAGACTATAAAGAATAAAAAACGAACTAAATAATTAACGATTATATATCTTAGTACGTATTAATAAAAAATCGTATCGAGTTAAAAATAACTGTAATATTTTTAATACGTTTTATAGATTAAAATCGTTACGATATCGTTACGAATTATTAATATCGTTATAATATTATTATAATATCGTTATAAAACTAAGAAATCGTTATAAAATTAAAACCTATTTCGAAAAGAATAAAAAATTAAGAATCTCGCAATAATAGCTTAGTTAAGGTCTATTAAGAATAAGATATTTATAAAATTAATTATTTTCAAATAATAGATATATTCGTTAATTCGAACTACGGATCTATCTTACTCTATAAATTTTTATTACTCGATTAAATTTACTTAAGCTAAAGAAGAGTCTATTTAACTATATAAGATAATTTATATAAATCTATTATTACTAAGATATCTATATAAATATCATTATTCTATTAATTTATAATTACTATTATAACAGACTAGATCCTTCGATTTAACGTATTAAAATTTGATACGCTTATTAAGAGAAATCAATTTGCTATTATTTCGAAAAAAAGCTAGTCTTAGAATTTAGACTCTATATTTTTAGAGAGGGAATCGGAATATTATAATTCCGAGTCGATTCTATTATATCCTCTCTATAGAGTCTAAGTAGAAAACTATAGAATCGCTATATTAATCGTTATTTTATATAAAATATTCGTAATAGTTAATCGAAATGCGAAATTCGCGACTTTTAACGATTTTTCTACGATTATTATATAAGCTAATTCGAGATCGCGATCTTCGCTAACGCTTATAATATCTATCTTTAATTAATTAATTTTTATTAGAAAAATCTTAGATAATAGCGTATTATATTTAATACTATTAAAAGATTATATAATAAATTAAATTAAGAAATTACTTAAATAAATTTATTATATTACTCTTAATTAGAAAGTCGAATACTTAAAATATATTCTCTATAGAAATATATATTAATTTAAATACACTTTATTTAGAAGTTAAAGAAATTATAATATATATATTTTAAATAATATTAATATAATTAATATATCTAGAATAAGCTTATATAGATATAAAATATATTAAAAATATTTAGATATCTAACTTTCTCTATAGCGATAATAGCGAGATATCTTTAAACTTTAAATATTAATCACTGCAAATCTGAAAAGTTCCTATAAAATTTGAAATTGCGATCGCGCGTTTATCGCGGAAATTATAAAATCCGTCGAATTAGTAAATCTAATTAGAATTCGCTTAAATTCCGCCGGTTTAATAACTATTCTAATCTTTTCGCTAATTCTATCAGTTTAATAGTAATATATATAAAAAAGAAAAGTTCTAATAATCGACGTTACGACGATAAGGTTTTATAATAACAAGTATTAACGTCAACTAAATTTAACTACGGAATTAAACGATTTAATAAAATTAGTCGCGTAAGTAATACTCTAATATAGCGTATAATAATATATATATTAATAATAATATATATTGATATCATATGTATATAGAATAATACTTAGAGTATATTAGAGTGTATTATATAAAATTTTAAAGTTACTAAAAAATTTTTAAAGTTACTAAATTAATAGAACTAGCGAAAAGAATTAGATATAGATAAAGTCTACTTAATAGACTAAATCATGCTAAATCGTACTTATAATGCGAACTCGACGGAAATCGTACGAAAATTCACTTTTCAGATTTATAGATAATCTCTTTATACTTTATAATAATATTCTTTCTCTATATAATAACGAAGTTTAAAAACTTTTAATAATTTAAATTAAAAGAAATTTAAAAATTTATATATTTAATTCCCCGCGTACGAAAGTAAGATAAATATCACTTTAGCGATTTTATAAAATTTTAAAAAACGAGTATCTATAGCGGATTAAACTCTTTCTTACTCTTATTAAGATAAAAGTTTAGATATCGCGAAAGTGCGGAGGAGTAGAGTAGTTACCATGATTTTAATAGTACCTTATATACTGTTAGCAATACCTGCGGCTGATACTTAGTGTCTATATGTACGCAGGGGTGAATATCTCATATCAGCCAAACCACCAAAAAAATGAGGCTTGGCAGGGTTTCCTGCTCAGACCCACTGCGTGGGGCCACTGAGACTAAAAAAGCACTACTAAAAACATATGACGTATTTAATCCTTTTCGAAATCATGGTTGTATTACAAAGCTACCGCCAAAAGGCGGTAAATCTTACTAATTTGGTTAAGGTACGGTTAGCGCAACTCATAGCCCTCCGCTAAGGTAAGGCTGTAGGGTTGAGTGGCTGAAGTAGCCGCTCCCTTCTAATCTCAGCATCACCCTTTATGTTTTTGTAAGAATCCCATAGTTTGGGGTATGAATTTGTAATTCGCCCTTTATGTTACGGAACCGGAAGTATTACCTTGCCACCATACAACAGTATGCAATAGTCATCGCCCTCGTCTGTATGCTGCTGCCCGTTTCCCCTGCTGACAGCTCATTACTTTCCTAGCCTGTTTGCTGACCTTGAGCGAGAGCTGAGCGAGAGCTGGTACCTTTGAATTGCCTCAGATGTCCAAGACGGAAGGTATAACAGACATGTTGGAGGTTCTGTGTCTGATGGCGGAGATCTACCTGCATTCCACACTGGAGAGTGTTGGAATGTTAATCTCGCTAGTGCTGAGCGCATTGGAGCACAGCAGCTAAATGACATCTTCGCCATCTCCATGCTCTCTTTTCACGTTCGTTCTTCAAATCTGGTTGAACTGCCTACTCGCGGAAAAATGTTTTCACCACCGCCAATTGTAACACTCGTTGCACTGTCCTTCCTCGCATTCTTTCAATTTTGTATTCTCCGACCTCAAGTTCTCTATTTAGCACACAAAAGTCAATCTTTCGCAAGTGTCTCTTCAGAAACGCCTCCAAGCGCCTTGAACAAAAACACATCTGCGATCGACCCTCTCTTACCAGATGTCTTACGACCCAAGATTCGACAGGTCAGCATGCGCGTCTACAACGCGACAAATGAAACAAACGATGCCCTTGACGAACGGTGCATGGCTACTCATATCGAATACGGGAAAAGATGGGGATACCCAACCCATGTACTGCGTGAAGACGTGAGGGGAAAAGGAGAGTGGATGGAGTTGGTCTTTAGCAAGCCGCTATACATGCTATCCCTTGCAGTTGCTGAGATGGCCAAGCCGACGGATGAGCGCGCAGAATGGCTCGTGTAAGAATCAATTCGAGACTCATTCGATTTAATCCTGAAGCTGACTCGCCAGCTAGATTCTTCGATTCAGACACGATCCTTTTGAACCCAAACATCCCCTGGACCCTCTTCCTGCCCCCGTCCGACTTCTCCGACATCCATTTTCTCGGCGGCCGAGACTGGGGATTCGGAAGCGGCTTCAACGCCGGCGTCTTCTTCGTCCGCATAAATGAATGGAGCGTAAAGATGCTGACCGAGGTCGCTGCGCTCCCAGACCTACGAACGGACGTGGAAATTGATCACAACGCAGAACAGACAGCATTCAAGTGGGTGTTGAAACGAGTCGGCTACCGCGAGCACGTCTTATACCAGCCGGTTGAGTGGTTCAACGGCATTGAATACTCCCATAACCATTTGCCTCGGGTGCAGGATGGGGACATGTTGATTCACTTCTGCGGCCTGAAGAAGCACAAATTTGGGGCGGTGCAGAGATGGTTGGATAGATTAGAGCGGGCCCCGCATGAACTTCAGATCCCGCTGGAGAAAACGAGTTACCAAGCCAACATCGATGCTTACTGGACACGGTTGATGGAAGCAAGAGATCTGACACAAAAGCTCGACCGTCTCCACGATGGCAATGATACTACCCAATATTTACTCCGGGCCCAGGCAAGGCTACAGCAAATCATTTACGACGAAGCTGACAAGTCCAGCTTTTTTCGAGCTGTCATCAATCAGGTCAAATCTGCTCTCGCTGCGGCTGAAAATCCAGCGAATAGTACAAAATGAAGATCGCCGAGGTTAATAGGATCATAAATACACGTGAAAGCGGCGTCGCAGCGGAAACGTCTGCAAGTTCAAGCGCTGCGTTATTAATACCACTTTGAAAACCTGATTTCAGCTCAACAAACGACCCTCGGGCCCGGTGAACCGCCTTGAATCTGGCATCAAGGCCATCAGATATCAAAAGCACATTTCGAATCACAGATGACATGAACGCTAGCCTGCGTGCATCTCCCTGCTCTCCCAACATGCAACCTGCAATTCATGGGACACTGGCCTCTCATATGCGGCAGCAACTTTGCCACCTCGCTGTCATAGCCCGCTCGCTCTTTCTCGATTTCTCTACGCCTACCTAGCGGAAACTCAAGATGCCATTCACCCATGTGCTTCCCACACGTGCTTGCACCCGGACGGGGGGGTGAAGCAATAGCTCTAGCCCAATGAAAGCCATGCATGGACTCAAAGGCACCGTTCTGCCACATGGAAATGAGACGGTTTGCGCGGATATCTATCTCCAGCGAGAGCTTTTCACATCGTGACAACATATAGAAAAACATTCTTGGCTCAACCCCAAAAGACTCCGTGTCGACCGCTGCATTTAACAGCTTGTTCCTGCCCTCCGAGCCTATCTTATCAAGCCAGCTGTAGTCCGTTGTGGAACCAGTCAGGAAGACGAAGTCGAAGGAATGGTACTGATGGATGGTTTCCTGGTAGATCTGTCGACATGTGAAGAATAGCCCACTGCCGTTGGTGGCGCTTGACCAGTCTCGACCAGACACGTAGCGCCTTCCTCTGATATAGATGTGCTGGTAGACCGTGTTGCGCAGCTCCGGTGGTAGTCGGAGGAAGCCTGTTGAAGGCATTTTGGGAAGAGCGCTTTTAGGAGGAATTGTCCAGTGCGAGCGAGCAAGTTATAAAATCTATAAGTAGTTATGAGGTACGCAAACTCTGCTGCACGTTTGCTGTTTATTCCATTGTCATCAGTTTTCCCCCAACTGTTGCAGCGGGACAAACAAATCGTACTGCCCTTCTGGACAAAGCTGCTTTACATTGGGTGGCTCGCTGCGTAGAATAACTATACGCCGAGATCGGAGAGGAAAAGACCGAGTCTCCTCTCGCGAAGGTACGCTTATGTCTTCCCATTTTCCCATTCCTCTTAAAAGCTGTCCGAGAAGAAATCAAAGTCTCAGAGAATCCACAGATCCTTATCTGGCCGCACGATTTCGATATGGCAGAACCCGATCTTTTGTAAGGCCGGGTGACGCTGGATGGGAGCCCGGAGTGTTTGCCCTGTTCATGGCGCCTGGTCCCGAAAGCGGCATCAAATAGAACGATGGAAAGGACTTGACGTGATGGTGCGATTGGAGGTCGATAGGGCATGTGGTCAGAACATCGTACCAATCAGGTATTACTTTGATGATATGGACGAGGGGTTTGCTTGAAGGATCTCTATACCATACGTCCCTGAGATTGTTGGAGTGAACAACGATCTACTCTTCTTCAAGGGTTCTCTCTCCAATGCGTGATCCACATGATCCAACATTACTAAAGGTTGGATCTACGCCGCCGCCTAGCTCAAACCCACGTTCATCTGGAGCCTCTCAATTCAATGGTGCGGGCTCTAAAGTGGGAAGAAAAGGTTTAGATAAGGGAAAAGCCGTAAGAGGGGACCCGAGCAGCTTAGCAGGACTTGGGCTCCTTGACCATGTACAGTGACTATCAAATTGGTGGATTACGCCTTCGATTGCCACAAAACCTCTGCCTTTGGATTGGGGGAAAAGGGGCCCCCTTTTGGCTTGAGACCTAAGCATGAAGTCAAGAACGATTTGAGTGGAGATAAGTGGAGGTGCGCTTGACAAGTCGAGAAGGTTCTTGATCCGGACGTTTGACATGAAAGGCCGTAGATACCCGGTTCTAACATTGTTCTTGAGGTTTACGCTAATTTCATGTTGAAAGAAATAGCCACTGATCGTACTACAATTGTACTCTCCTGTCAGGGCATGAACCCCATGGAAGATGGTGTCTTGAATCGGCATTCCACCCCGACGCTAAGAAGACTGATCGCTACCGTAATTAGATCCCTTTTAGGCCCCTACCACTCGCATCAGCTCATCCCCGACGCAGATAATCCCACTCCTCAATCGCCAGAACAGCCAGAGAAACAGTCAATCCCTGATGCCACGCCACGCCAGATACCCGGGTGAATTGGTATACAACCCCAGCCTCCCAGCTCCCATCTTCTCTCTGCAGCGCAAGCAACCTCTCCATATTGCGATCATTCCTCACTCCGCATCTCGCCGCGGCAATCAGCCTAGAAGCAAGCGCCAGCGCATCGCCATCGGCCTCCATCCTCTCTAGCACGCAATCTCGCAGCACAGGTCCAAAGCGCTGGCGGAGATTAGGAGCCTTTCGTAGCAGACGCGAGACGTAGTAGAGGAAGACGTCCGGGGAAGGGTAGTAGTGCGTTCCATCTCTGAAAGCGCGGGTGTCCAACACCTTGAAGATCCACTCTTCAGTTGCTGCAAGCTGGTGACCGCGACCGTATTCATTGAAGAGTGCGAGACCGTTGACGCACATTAGAATATCGACGCGGACTTTGTCGTCGGAGAGGTAGCCTTGCAAGATTCCTTCTGAGTCCACGTATTGAAGCATTTGATCCATCACACCTTGTCTTGCCCCATCATCAAGGTGGTCGAAGACCGAGTAGGCCAAAGAGTTGCAGTCGACATCTGGCGGAAATTCCTTGAGACCACTGGGTATAGGGCCATAGTACCAGCTAAAAAGACGTTGGTCCGGATCGTAGTAGATGAGGGACTTATCATCTGTGGCGTCCAAGATGCAATATTGCATATAGGCGTCCTTGACGGTGATCCCGAGACTTGTTTCTAGATCGAGCTTGCCGGCCTCGCTCTTCAGCCAGGCTTTGGCTTTAGCGATGGGCTCACGGCAAAGTTGGAGAGCGTGCGCGATGCACTCGAGGGGGTCGCCACATGTGATACCGTAGAAACCGAAAGAACGCGCAGTGATCACGTTGTCGATGTGGCTGCCGATGTAGAGAGTCCTTTCGGGGTCTAAATCAGCAGCATTCAGGGCTTTCTTCAGTATCGCGGGATGTGGTAAACGTTCGTTCAGATTGCTGGAAATGAAGATATCGTTGAAAAGATCTAAAGGTTCATGGAGTGTTTTGAGTCTGTCAAAAACGGGCTGCGGTAGATTCCCGACGGCGTAGATGCTGTGCGTGCTTCGAAGCTCCATTGCTAGGGCCAGCATCTCTGGTGATATACGCCATAACATTGCTGAGTCGACTGCATCTGCAACCTCGGCTTCCGAGAAATCTAACTTCGCAGAGATCTGCGCTTGGCAATCTTCGACGGTGATGAGGCCTTTTTCAAATTTGGACCAAGCCAAAGACGTGATGACATCGTATCGTATTCCCTTGGTGCGCTTGTCAACCTCCGAACCGTCGGGAGACGACAGGAAGACACTGTTCAGCTCGAAGAGAACATTGTCAAACCACTTGAATGTATCCAGGTGAGGCGGTGAGTATGAGAGCGGATTTCCCTGGACAGTGGAGACGGATGTTGCTGCAGCTTTAGTGGATGGAGAGTGTGACCGAGATTCCGGAGGAGAGTCTGGAAAGATGGTAGGGATGTCTGAGGATACTGGCACTGCATCAGGGTCAGGAACAGAAGTTCGGGTGCTTTATGGATAATGTGGGTTTACTGAACCGTGTTGAGATTAGCGAAGGTCTTCTGAGAGCGAATGTGAACTTGATAGTCACCTTTGAGCGAGGGATGACTTGGACTTATCCATGCTGTACCATCCGAACCCGAGGCTGCTCTGTATGTTTTGCAACAGCGTTGGCCTGAAGCCAGTTGAGCCATGAAGATGCCGTCCGCTCATGATGTCCGAGCAGCTGTAAGAAAATTTTGAAAGAGGTTGCTGTTGCAATTTGTCGTGTAGTCTTGGGGCCGGACTTGTAGGATGTGAGGAGTAGGTGACCTGTTATAAGAGGGGGCTAGCAGGAGCGCGCCAAACCGAATCTCTGCTGGGACAAAAGGAGGAAATCTCAAGGGCAGCTAAGGATGATTTCAAGTTGCGCAAATGTCAAGGCTCATGAGAACCGAAAGAAGTCCTGAGTCGCGAATCCTGTTCATAAGAAAGGGTTACGGCCGAAAACCAGAGGGATGGCAGAAACCGGAAATGACAGGGCGCCCCAAGCTGGGCACTGCAAGTAGCCGAACGACAAGCGTTGTCCTGCATGTCATTGGATCGAGGCACTTGAGCTACCAAGCAGCTACTATGCTGATAAGGCCGAGAGTCAATGCTGGTGGTCTAGCAGTCCCTGTTACTCCGCTCATGATTTCGGCATGCCGTTGCATAAATGCAGTTTGGAGGAGCAGCTGCATCAGGGTGTTACATTTAGCGCCCTTCATGCCGCTTGTATCTCGCACTATACAGGGTGTGACATTCTCTTTGTTCTTGAAAGTTGTTGACTTATCATACGCTGAGCGCTTTAGGTTGAGCAGTGGAGGTAGGTGGCTACCAATACTAACCTCGTCGTAGACCATCGTAGTACAAGTTGCGAGGCCAGTGATCCTTCGAGGGCCGTCACAGACGAAAAGATCCCGGTGGTACACATTGATAGGGTTGTCCTATGTCTCTGAGATGAAGCATATGTCAAGACTACCAAGAGTCAGCACTAAGCTTAAGTCTTGGAGACGAAGGATTTCTAACATCTGTGATTGGGAAGACCAAGCTTAGAAATCGCCTTAGCTGAAGTGAGAGTGTTTCTAACCGATGATAGGGCGTAGATCAGAGCTAGATTGAGTGTTCTTGATGGTCAGAAGAAGGATTCGAAGGATTGAACACGACAGTCAGGATCCAAAGGATGTTCCAAAGCAAGATTGATAGGGCGGGATGGCCGAAGAATAGCCGACGCGCTACTGAAATAGGCAACGCTCAAGGCTTGGCATTATCCCGTTCCCTCAGGCTTGAATCCTACAAGGCCGCATGAAAAGATCATTCAGTAACGACAACAAGCGTTTTACTGGTGCCAGGCTCCAGAATTGCTACGATAAGGCATGCATTAGATCAATTCTACCCTGCGGTGTCTGGCGGCCTGCGCAGTAGCGTCGGATGTCTGTGGGTAACTACGCCACATCACTTGCAGCCAGCGAGCCGTTCGTCACCATCTGTAACAATCTGCCTTAGCAGGGAGTTCTTCGAGTTCGCACTCTACCAGGTACCGACGGTGTGGAGTCTGACAACTGCCTCGACTCTGGAGAGGGCCTTAACGTCAAAGCTTCTAGTCCATTGGTTTTGTGATCAAGGAGCAAGTAAGTCGCTCCAAATTGCCTTGCTGCTGCTCATGTTTTTGAAATCCTGTGGGTATCTTGTGGGTTAATGCCATTTGATTCTCAGTCTATTAGACATTACGTCTAGCGAGCGTGCATTGCGCAGAATTGGAGATGTGAAATTGAGCAAACCCTGGCTAGATCGAATGCGAAGAAGAAAATACAACACGTGGAGGCAATGCCGAGTTGCTCGAAGGTGCCGTCCGCGCCAAACTACCGAAGAAAGATGAAGAATAAAGCTAAAGGATAGCTGCATCGATGACTCCGCGTTTTTCAAGCATTGATCCTTGACTGATTGCGTCGCCTCTTCCTCCAGATCTCTATTGTGGAATAGCACCTCACAAAAGTCGAACAATGAATTTCTCCAAAAATCCTTTCACCCATATCGAAGGCGTCTTCAATTTCCGTGATGCTGGCGGCTACGCAATCGCTGTCGACCCGCTCTACTCGGTCCGGCGCCGCTTCATCTTCCGATGCGCCAACCCAGGCAGGGCAACATCAAATGGAGTGCAACAAATCCGAGACTTGGACATCACCACCATCTTCGATCTGCGCTCCGCCACCGAGATCGAAAGAACCAAAGATTTCGCGCCGACAGCCGAGATCCCGGGCATCAGGAGAGTACACGTGCCGGTGTACGTCCATGGCGAATATCCCGCCCATCAAAGCGTAGAGAACCTTCAGAATTATACATCGGCGAACCGTCAAGTAAGCTTACGAAGATGTCGTTATGGGATTGACTTACATTAAAGCTGACCCCAAGAACAACAGGATTCAAGAGGGGCATATGTGGAATATCTCGACAACGGAAAAGATGCCTTCGGAACCATCTTCACGCACATACGAGACCATCCCGACCAAAATTGCCTCATCCACTGCTCCGCGGGTAAAGACCGGACAGGCGTCGCTATCGCTCTAATCCTGGCCACCGCAGGAGTGGAGACCTCGACGATACAACAAGAGTACCGATTTTCCAGAAGAGGGGTTGAAGCCCATGAAAGAATCCGTCGTTCGCTATCTGACCGAGAAGTCGGGCTCGGAGTGGACGGATCAGCAAGTAACAAGTCTTCTAGGACTGAGGTGAGTGGAAAGACTGCAAGCAAGTCGTGCTGTATGAGAGGAGCAGCTCATCCGTTGTATTTTAGGCTCGATGCACTGAGTGAAATGCTCGATGTTTTACGAGACGCTCATGACGGTGCGGAAGGGTATCTAAAGACGCAATGCGGCTTCAGCAACGAGGACGTAGCGATCATAAGGGAGAATCTGCGTATCAAAGAAGCTTGAGATCGGAGATCAGAAACGTCAGCTCCGTCGGAGATACAGCCAGCGCATGAAACTAGTAGCCATGGGCAGTGTCCCGAACTAGGATGTCAGACCATCATCACGATGAAAGAGCTGAGAGGTGATTCAAGAAGTTGAATTCCTAATTCAAGGTCACGCTACGATACTCTAGCATGCAATGTTTTGATGTGGATGGACCTCACAACTGTATGCAACACTAACCACACGCACGAAGCCCCAGCATGCAGTACGTTTGATCCAAATTCCGATAACAAAGCCAATCAACAGCGCTCACATTCCCCCTTGCTCTCCATTTGGGTGCATAAAACTTTCCTTCTTCTCTGACTCCTGCTGATCCCCTTGCTCTCCGTTCGTTGGTATCATTGTTTCCTTCTTCTCGGCTACCAACACAGTGCTCGACCTCGTGAGCTCCAATCCCGACGCCAGGTTCTGGGAGCAGCCCCGGGACGAGGCCGCCAGAGTCTTCCAAACAATCGATGATTGAAATGATCCCGCCACCCTCCCTAAGCTCTCGCCTGCTGACAGCACCATCCGCGAGAGCCTCCGTCGGAATCTCATGCTCCCACACTTCATCCACCCCGAAGTCATGCCGGAGGATGGAGTCCCATTGCCAAGCGGACATCATATCCCCATGGGCGCGTGGATTAGCGTCAATGCTGTCGACTTACACCACAATGATCGCTTCTACCGCACACCCGACGGATATCATCCCTTCCGCTTTGCTAAAAGGCACTAGGATACGCTCGGTGGGGCCAACAAGGAGACCCTGACCGACTAGGCTTCAATCCCCGCAAAAAACAAGGTCTGGCGACTGCGAGCGATTTCTACCTGGCTTCTGGCTATGGGAGGCATGCGTGGTATGTTATACCCATGGCCAACGGGCTTCCTTCTTTGTGTGAAATATGTATTAAAGTTCGGCAGTCCTGGTCACTGGTTTGTAGCTCATCAGCTGAAGTTAATGCTCGCCTAGATCACCTTGAGGCACGATATCCAGTACATTGCCCAGCGTCCTGTGAGGCAAAACTTCGGAGACAGCATCATCCCTTCTCTTACCGCCATAATCATGATTCGCAGGGGGAAGCTCATTTGAGGAGTATTAGGTAGCAACATACCGGTGACAAACGTAGTGAGCTCAACCTACAATATATTTTTGGGGCCAGGGCTGGGCTAAGACTGTGGATTATGACACACAAGAAGATCTATGAACAACATGAAATCGAAAGGTAAGCAGTCGAGAATATACTTCAACTTAGATAGTTGAACTTACTTAGGTAGGAAGCCTTTATCTTTAGTCGACTTCACTAGCAAGTGCTTAAAACGTGGCTAATCACAAGGTTACCCTTCTTGATGCTTTATTTACGACGAAATTCCCAACGAGGCAGTCACCATCCACCACTCCAGCCAACACCGAATACAGGATATTGGAGTATAGTACCCAGATAGTCGCTGGCGTCGCTTCGAGAAAACTTTCTCTTCGGTAATCTAAACCGTCCTGTATCCCGTGATGATCTCGCAAGGGCTCCGTCGTTTTCAGCATGCTCAGATTCAACGCAGATAGATAGACCATGCATGCTATGGAGGACTTTTGTACGTGTTTCGGTCAATTCAAACAGCCGTGAATGATGCTGGGTCCGCAGCTGATGGGTTCGTAGCGAATGGCAATAAGCTTGGGAGTGATATTCACCCTGTTGCATTGACTATTCGAAGCCTTCGGAGAGAAAAAGCAAACTCCCGTCCACTCAGCGCTTTGCCCCAAGGTGTCGCTATTCCTGCCCTTCTTCACAAAGCTTGCTCAGGTGTGCTGATACCGCCACATAGGTTCCATATTCCTCATCGGGACAAGGGTTCCACTTCCACGGCACTGGATTCCAAGAATACATACAAATACAAAAAATGAGTAAAGGCTAAATAATTTCTAAATACAGGAAGCAAAGAGCCCGCTCCTTCAACCACCAAGCTCCACTTTCTGCATACTTCCCTCACGTATGCATCGGCTGATCCCACATCAATTTCAACATCAAATCCGTAAACGACCCATCCGGATTCATCAACTGCGCCGCGGGGCTGACAAAATTATCCGCAAGATGCTCCATGCAGCCAAAAAAGCCATACTCGAAAACATAGTCAGTGCTGTCCATGAAATTCGCAACCTGGACCGTGAACCCAACCACGGATGGTAGATCTTGCGCGGTGGAAGCGATCTCGGACACGATGATGGGTTGGTTGGGGTACAAAGCGTGCATGTTCTGGATCTCTTGAATCGCAGCGTTGCCATCAGCGCCGTAGTAGTGGATGCCGAGGAAGTCGGGCGGGTTAGCGGCGACCTTTGACATGAAATCCGCGATCCAAGTATGGCCCGCGTCGTCGCCGGCGCAGGAAGGGCTGACGAGTTTATTGCCCTGGTTCCTGAGCGGCAGAAGCTGGCTGTTCCAGGCGTCCGCGGCTTGCTGCGTTGAGATGCCGTTGCGCTCGGGCTCGTTGAAGAAGTGGATAATGCTGTTTCGGGTCGCTTGGATGATGGCCCAGTCGGTGCCGGAGAGCTTGCCGGCGTCGTGAATCATGGGGCGGAATGGCGCGCGGCCTTTGAGCTCGGGCGGCGTCCAGGCATTCCAGTTGCTGACGGAGTGCATGGGGCCGTTGAAGTTGACTTGGTCCATTTGGCCGGGGCAGTTGTTGGTGTTGGTGTAGTCCCAGAGGAGGCACCTTTTTTGAGCCATCTTGCGCGAGGATCCGGATGCGATGTTTGAGCTGAAAGATGCTCACCGCTGCGATAGGCTGGGGTACTGATGTGCAATTGATTGGATGTCTTGAGATCTGGGGTATGTCGAAGAGATCTAACAAAAAGAGGAGGCTGGGAAAGTGGCTGGCAATGTCTATGAGAAGCTTTCAGCAATTGCGACGGACTACTTATATTCTCGAGCTTCAGGCAAGCTATGGATCAGCTGATTACAGCCCGATTCCTTCGTTTTCTTCAGGCTACGTTGCGCTTACCATCTTTGTGGAATGGATCCGTGATATCAGGCGTGATATCTACGCTGACATCTACAGTCGTGCTTGAGGAAATAGATTCGTTCCTTCTCTGTGGCCTGAGGTCAGGACGAGACTTCAGAATGTCCCTCGAATCAGGATTGCGGTCAGAAGAGACAACGCATCCCTCTGCCAGGATACTGGACGGAGGACGATTAAGAAACACTTGCGACATTAATAAATACACCGCCCTCTTTTCAAAACCCCGTTCTCAGGTCTTACATGATCGCATTGCAATGGAAGATTATCACGATACTTCTTCATCCTTTTCGATGAGTGGCAACCGATCTCAAGGCTTCGAAGGCCCCACGAGAGTTCGTCATGAGAATGGGAAACCAGCTCACTCCGCTGACATTCAGGACCTCCTCCTGCATGTTCATTCAAGTATTCCTACTCTGCGCGCGGTCTGTACTAATAAAAGCATTGCTGGCGGTGCTAGGCGCATCGGATGGAGAAGATGGATGGGGCTCTGCTCGAAACCTGTGCCACTTGCTCGCTAGGATGACCATGTCAGCCTCATTCTGCCTCAATTCAGCCCATGCTCGGATGAAACAAGGAGCAAGATCTGTCATTTCCACGTGGGCTAAGAGCTGTGCAGGAGAGGATGGAAGGATTTAAGGCCACTCCTTCAGCTGCGCCTACCCCGCTGGTTCGTTTCAGAATCCTTCCGACTCAAAAATATCTTCCACATCTTCACAGGAAGACTCGAATGTCTCTTGTGTATTGATTTGAAGATGTCGCAAACCGAGTCTTACTATTAAGATCAAGTTGGAAAACCTGATATTCTGGTTTTCATGTCAAAGGTCACATTCTGCTGCTCCTGCGCGTTCGCACTTGTCTCCATAAACCATGTTCCCATCAGCGCAAGAGTTTCTCCATGCTCACAGGCTTTTTACGCTGCTGAAATTTGCTTGGGCACTTGCTTATGTATGTTGCAGCTACCGCTGAGCGGAAGACGAAGCCCCGTAAGCTGAGTCTTCAGCCCTAGAAATTCAGCTTTAGGGCTCCGCCTCTTCCTTCAATCCTTTCACTCCGTTTTTCTAAAGTGCGATCATCATGTTACTTTGACCACCTACCAGGAAGACGAGATGGCGAAATCCACTCAAAGCCACGTTGTCCATCGAGATCATGATATAAGGCTCCCTGTTCCTTGCATTCGCCGGCAGAACATACACGTTAGCGCCCAAGAACAACTCCCCCTATTCCACCGATCTTCAGGTACCCGAAATCCCAAAACATGCATTATATCAACGTTCACAATCAGTCCGACCATGACCAAATGTTCGAGGTACACGGCTTCAACAACAACCACACCATCAACGTCAAGCCAGGAGCAACGACAGTCTTCCCAGCTCCGGATAGAACCTCAGGCGCAATCATCGCCGTGCACGATGGTTTCGAAAGTGAGCAAGCCGAGATTACCAAGGATGGTTTCATGGGCAACGATTTTATCGACGTAAGCAACATCGTCGGCGCCGGCGGCAACATCACCGTCCAACAAGTTGGGGAACCCTCCACTCGCAAAGGAGACCCGGTCTTCATGCAACAGCTCAACGCGTCGTGGCACCGAGCGAGCGCCGGTACAAAAGCGTCGCTGAAAGAGTGTGTGCATCTGAACGAAAAGGGCGACGTCGCGAGGATATCCGCCATCAAAGATTACCCCCAGCTGGAGAGGTTCGTGCGCGGATTTGCGGATGGCAAGACATACATCGGCGTTGGTGCTTGGGGGGGCAGTCCCGGCGTTGGCAGTGACAATGCACAGGTAATCTAGCTCTCCAGCGATGTCTTCGCGCTTCCGCACTGACGCGACGAAAGAGCTCCGCTGCGCACGGCGACAAAGACATCCTAATCACCTACGCCGACGGCGACGCGACCCCAAGCCCCCCTGCCCACATGGCGCACCGCCCAACGCAGAAGCGCCTCGTCGAGCACACGACCGGCGAGCACAACCACGGCGGGCCCGGTATAATCCTCACCAACAAGTCCAACAAACCCTGCACGTACTACTTCTACGACAACTTCTGGTAAGCAACCGAATCCCCCTCAAACCACCACCGTGTCCCTCCCAAGATCCCAGTCTGACATGTATCCCCCACCCAGGAACGGCAACGGCACCGCCGGCTGCAACTTCACCCACCCGTCCAAAGCCACCACCGTCCGCCCCGCCACCACCACCTTCGTCCCGCTGCCCTCGACCTTCAAAGGCCGCGTGCAGCGCGGCACCGCCCTGCCGGCGACGTGGGTGGAGTTCCAACTGTGCGCCGCGAACGACGGGGCGGCGCACGGGGACGTGTCGCTGGAGCAAGGGTGCGACGGCGCGGCGACGGTCGCCTCGACGGACGGCAGCGACCGCAGCAACGGGTTCCACGAGGACATCCTGCGCGACGCGCCGCACGCCGCCGTGACGCGGAAGCCGGGCGGGGAGGTGGCGCTGGCGAGCACGGTGGGGAACTGGATGGCGGGGCCGAACGGGGCGGCGGTTGAGTGGGCGAGGAAGATGGTGGGGCAGGAGAGGGCGTATATCACTGGTGGGACGGGGGTGCCGGATGTGGCGAGTCATAATCAGGTGCTTGCGGTGGACTTTTATTGAGGGGAGAGGGTTGTTGGAGGGTGGAGTTGGGGAATGGCGTTGTTTTGGTGGATCCGGTTGGGAATTGGGTTGTGGGTCTTGGGATGTGTCTGTGGCAGCTCTTGGGAGCAGAAGGTAGGAAGGGAGCATTGCCCTATATCACGGGTGAATTGGGAGAATGTCAGGCGTCAATTTCGAAACGCAATGGCTAGCATTTAGAATCAAACTTGGTACCCTAGGAAGTTTTGAGACGGCTATTAAGGACAACTAGACTGTCACATCAAACCAGTATTCCAAACCAGTACTCCAAATGAAAGGACAGTTCAACCCCGAGTGAAGAAACAGCCGTTTCGCAAAGAAGTCGACTTTCCTATCAATCGAGAAGAACAAGGAGCAGTGGATGTAATCTGCTGAGCCGGTATTAAATACATCTTGCCACTGATTGTGTCCCTCCCTCGAACCCGAACATCTCTCCGACGCCAGTCGTATCAAAAAGCACTTTTCTCTCAACAACGCCAAAAGCAAGCAGTGCCATAAGAATTGCGTCTATGTGGTTGCGGCATCCGTAGCAGTGGTGGTGCTTGTGACTACGGTCACGCTCGTGCTGGAAGAGCTGGAAGAGCTGGACGATGAGCTTGAGTCGCTTGAGGAGGACGAGGAGTCGCTTGAGGAAGACGAGGAGTCGGTTGACGAGCTAGTCGAACTAGAAGATGTGAGGGTTATGGATGGGGAGGTGATTGAGAGGCTCGAGCTAGAAGATGTGAGGGTTGAGGATGGGATGGTGATTGAGGTAATCAAAGAGGAGCTGGACAATGGAGTCGTGGTTACAGCGGTGGATGTGCTCACTGGGGTGGTGCTTGGCGACGTGGTAGTGGTATTCGATGTGCTGAATGTACTGAAGGAGGTGTCGGAAGTGGTGGTGAAAGATGTAGTGGTAGTAGGTGTGGTAGAGGGTGTGGTGAATGTATCGGAGATGGTATCGGAAGTCGTAGTGCTGTCCGGGGTAGTGGTAGTCGAAGCGGTGTCATCACCGCACACGCCATCGCAAGCAACAATCTCGCCATTGACACACTCGGTACCAGCGGCGGTAGGACCGAAGCTGATCAGACCTCCCTGGTCACAGATGAAGAAGGTGAGGCCATTCGCCCCGCAGAAGAGTTGGCCATCGGGGGAGCAGTTGCCAAAGTTGTCGGCGCGGATGCGGTTCTCGGTTGTGTCGCAGAAGGTGCCTTGGGCGACAGAGCCGAAGAAGAAGTACTCGGTTCCGGTGGAGGTTGGGACGCAGAGGGAGAAGGTGTCGGGGGTGTTGCAGAAGATGCCGTAGACGCCGCAGCCGGTGTCGCCGGCAACGGAGCGGGCGGGGGCTGGGCGAGGAGTGGCGGACACGAGGCCGAAGACGGCGGCGAGGCCGAAGAAGAGAGGAGTGTACTGCATTGTGACGAAGAAGATTGTTTTTGGTGGTTTTGTATGAGGTAGAAGGGCTTTGAGTAGGAACGACCGTGTTTCTTGAACAAAAAGCTGTTTGGCTTGAGAGAGCGAGCGTTGTTGAGGAACGAGGTTGGCTGTTAAAACCGACCTGGAGGGCACTCTTATAGCTTGCGGTGATTTGAGTTACAGATTGATCGCGACATTGCGGGGACGAGAATCTAGACGATGGAGCTACGAGAGTGGGGTACTAAAGCCACTCCTCCACGACGACTGGATATTGTTAGAGAGTGAGAAGCAAAGGCTTCCACCGATTTCATTAACTTGAGAAGAATACTGACTTGTGTCTTGGTTAGGGAGTTTGACCGCAAGCACCTGAATGTATAGACTTTAGCTTATAACCCGCTTGTTGTTGCCACAACCTCCCAGTGACAAGCCACACTGTCTGTAGCGACGAGCCAATGATCCGACGATACCCATTGGACTGGCGCGAGGCGGGAAAGACTGGGTATCCGCTGCAACGGCTTGCTTGAGAAGATTAGAGAAGCAAATTCCCTCTAGGAGGATTAGGCTTCACCACACGCCTAACTTACAGCCTCACCCAATCTTTGAGCGTTGAGAATCTCTCTGCAAACCCACCGTGGCTGGCGCAACCCTTTTCATTAGAAGATGCAAATCTCTCGAAACAGCTCGCTGGCGTGCATCAACCGCCTCCCAATGCCTTGTTGAGACCTCCACGGTGGGTACCACAACACCAACGCCGTTTCAAGAACAACAGCAAGGGGCATTGACCAATGCCTCATCTCGTGAATGTTAAAAGATGGTCAGATGACCGTAAAGGAAAGGTTCTCAGCTTATCAGCTTTGGCGACTTTGGCAACTCTGGAGTGCGGGAATGATGTGAGAGGCTGTTACCGTGTCCGCTGAGTCACTCAACTGACCTAACTGTTCCCCACATCTATGAGTCAGGTCTTGGCTATCATGAAAATTGCGACGTCGAGTCTTTAGAGTCTCCCAACTGCGACTCTAAGTCGGTAAAGGTTTAGTCGAGTTTCGTGTCTTCATTTTGTCCTCATCCTTCTCGATACTTGTCAGCCAACATGTTATGCAAAGCCAAGCAACGCAAAGATGAATCGTGACCAGAAAGAAAATTTGGACCACAGACATAGCGAGGCATCTCTGGAAGTCTGCACGAGGCGGGCTTGATGATGCACTGAGACGAACGATTTTCGACTTTGCGGTTTGACAGGGAGGGGAGGAGGGTTCTCGGACAGACCGCCACTAGCATATTATCGGTGCTGTCATCTCTTTCACATCACGTAGCGAGATTGGCTGAGCCAACACCACATCTGTGAAGATGACGGCAATCCATGAGCCAATGGTCTGGAGACTGTGAGTTCTCATTTGGAAAGCTTGGATCGTTCTACTTCATTGAGCAGCATCTGCAAAAACCCTACCCCCTCTATCACAACTTTAATCCCAGTAGTATCTTCCCTCATAGCAGGCGTGAAAATGTCACGACAGATGTCCACATCCCTCTCCTTTACCGTATCTACAACTCTCATGCTATGTCCGAGAGTTCGGAACACTCCAGCTAAGCCCAAGTACAGCTCAGCGGATCCCAAGTTCATGCCTAAACATTGTCGCGACCCCCTGCTGAAAGCGATGAGATATCTTTGCAGCCGACGTCCTTCCGTCTCTAGTGGAAGCCAACGTTCGGGCTTGAAGAGATGAGGTTCGGGAAAGATATCCACGTTGTTGTGTATATGGACCGATGTCATGCTAACGGGGGTTCCCGCGGGTATGATCCAATCGTGATAGCGCAGCGACTGGTCAGGCGACACTCGCTGCAGCCGATGACTGACGCCGTGACTGATGCGCAGCGTCTCGAATGTGGTGGCAGTCAGATATTCCAGCTTCTCCAACTCCACCAAGGGCAGTGGATGGGCTGGATCGGGTATGGCCGTGGCCAGCTCATCTGTGAGGGTCCTCAAGACATGGTCATCTGACAAAATATAGTATGTGGCAAGCGCAAGTGCCATACTGGTCGTCACAGAGCCACCCCCTAGCAGTGTCTGCGCATCTTCCATGAGACGAGATGCCGACTTGTCATATGGAGGGAGATCTGCATCGAGGAGTGTCCGGAAAATGCTCGGCGTCCCTGCTCTGTCCTTTTCATCGTCGGCTCCAGATTTGATTGCATTGATCTGCCTCACCCATTCTCGCTGCCATCGGAAAGTGGTTGCAAAATCTGGCACGAGAAATTGAACAAGCCATTCTGGAAGTGCTAGTAAGAGGGGTAATAGCAATGGAAAATGCTTGAGGATGTGTACGTTTGCTAATGTAGATGCGAAGAGCTCATAGATTTCGGCACCATAGTCTGGCTTGTCGAGGAGGCCGTACGATTCAGGAAAGCAATATCCGGTCACGATGTCACCTGTCATGGCGGAGTATGTATGTAACAAGTTCACTGGCTTGCCGAACTTCGAACTCTCGCGCAGTCTCAGGCATAATTTGTCGACTGCTGCCTGTATGACGCTACTATAATTCCTGATCGATTGCTTAGAGAAGAAAGTAGCGTACGCGTTTCTGCGGCGACGATGAAGATCGTGGTCGACTGTGGCTAGGATGCTGTTTGGTGTTCCAAGCATAGGTACCTGCCAAGACGATGAGCCCATCTATCGACTGGAAAGTCTGCGACACTGCAAATCACGCCTGAAGCTCCAAGAAACTTACAGTCCAGGACCACAAATCCGTTTTCCGTTTGCTCGCACCAACATACAGTTCATCGATGAAGTCTGGGTCGATGATGTGGATCTCACGTGGATTGATGCGCACAATCGGTCCGTACTTCTTGTGCAGCTCCGCGATCTTCCATGTGTATCTTCCACGCCTGACCACGTCGTAATAGAATTCATACCAGAAGGTCAGCGCAGCAAGCTTTGGACCGGGAAACGATGCAATGGGGCTGAAGTACAGCCGGTAGACGGCGCCGTAGACGATGTAAAACACGAGGGCGACGGCGACAAATTGAAGGGACGATGCAAGATCCATGCCTGGCCCCTACAAAGCTGACAGTGGGCGAAGATGAGAGTGACAAAAGGTACAAGGGTGGCCTCGAGGGTGGACCGTGTCCAGGACTTGTGCCCCGCCGGTGCCGCTAGGAACACCTGCATGTCGTAGTTGCATTAGCGTGACAAGCTGCAAAATCTATTCGGGCCGTTGAGGTTTGGATGTGGCCAATCGCAACGCTTCTTTATTAGTCAAGACTGCACGGCATTTCACTCACGATTGTCTTTTTACTTACTTTAGCTATCGAAACTTTGGATGACGGTGGCAGAACTGAGTAGGTACATACTTGTGGACCCTATCATTCCGCCAGCTCCTGAAATGACGCGAACAATCCATACAGACACCATCGTGTTGCCTATCTCTTTGTCAGTTTCGTGGATATCTAGTTAGGGTTGTACACTCTTTCAAGGCCATGGGTCGCTGTCAAACAAGCGCCAAAAATTGCTTCATCAGGCCTGCCGCAACCCTCACCCCCCTTGGCTTGGCACTCACAAAAGTAGGCAAAAACGGAAAGATGGGAGCTCTTAGAATGCCACCTTTTCGACCGGCCCACCCATTGGGAATCAAAGAATCAGAAATTTCCCCCGTGCCCTCTTCTTGCTAACTTTTTTGCCAACCAGCGAGGTGGGAACCGTGCTGCCTCTCTGGCTGAGTCTATGTTCGCAGTGGAATCAAGCGCTGGTAAGACTCAAGTGTACAGTACTCTGAGTATAAGCTGCTGGCCTGCCCAAGTGCATCCCGCAATTATTTGGGCAAGCCGATGTGAGTTGATCCAGGAGTCCCTTCCAAAGCCGGTCTCTCTGTGCTACCAAGTGCGCCGGCAGCCTTCTCAGCAGGTGTCTGTGGCGCCGGCAATTCCTTGGTTCATTAGACGGGTCATTCATAATGGTCTTGGCGAACCCGTGGATCTATTTCATCGTACCGTTTCTGTAGAGAAACGTAAGGATAGAAGTCATCGCTCTGGTAGTGAGTATTAACTCTGTGCAGGTAGGTAATGTGTTAAAGATTTCAAATTGGAAACCCCAAGCGTGGATTCCGTAATCAGCCTCGAGGATGATCTTGCGCAATGTATTCTGACCTTGCAGACCTAATCCGAACAGCCACATATGACCCTCTCTAGCGAGGTTGGCTACCCATGTGTTGGCGGAGAGCAAGACTGGGTATGCTTCGTCGTTAAATCTGGCGGGATGCTCGAAGGATCGTTCTCCCAGACTCTTCACTTGATTGCACATTCGGCCAGTCATTTTCGGATTAACCAGCTGTTCAGAGCGCATCAAGACGTAGTTGTAGATTTGTAGATGGAGTTCAGGTGGCAGACGTGTGAGCAAGAGGCAAGCCGTCATCTCGTGGACCGAAAATTGACAGACCTATGATCGTGACGGCGTGATCCGACCCCGAGTTTTTGGTGGTCGAGTCTTTCAAGAATAAGAAGGTTGAGTCCGGCAGGTGAGCTGTTGTGGTACACAGATCAAACGTGTTGCGTGAAGTGCCAGAGCAGGGAATAGCACGTTGTTGAGTGTTGTAGACACGGAGAGCGGCTTTTCAAGGACGATGGTATCAATGGTATCAAAATTCTACGTGCAGTATCGATATTTACCAGGCAGACAGCAGGCTGTCGAGGAGGCAGCAGGCTTGAGTGTGAGCCTCCTGTATGATTACTTACCGACAATATTAGCCGCTGAGATACAAAGCCAGCTTTATCCAGCATTGGGCCACGGAGAATGTACTCTTTGGGGCTCGAAGCTTGTGCCGTTGTACAATAACGATTTTAGCTGGCATTTCGAAGGGTTCCTTATGCATTGTTTTGGGTCAGGACGTGGTGGAATTTAGCTATGCTGTCCAGAGGCTTGTTATGTTGTATGGCAGAAAGAAATTTCAGCAGGATCTTCGGATGGTTACCTTACCTTACAAGTAAGTAAGTCGGCAGTTTGATTGATTGATTGATTACATCATACTACCCTGAAGTCTTACCTTGATAACCGACTATGCGAGACGCGTAACTAATCTATCTAATCGTTTTTGAACTAGTCGAAAGCTGAAAGGGGGTCTCTTATAATCGCAGAGTCTCTAATTTAAGTGCCGTATTCTTCTTTTTAATCTATAATTCTTATATATATATATATACTTATAGATTAAATAAAGAACTCTATTGAGTTTAGAAGTTTTATAGAAAATAATATCTAAATCTTAACTCTTTTATTAATTATTCTACTCGATGAAATTACTTTAACGATTATTAAGAGTTATTACTTCTTAGTAATCTATTACTTAATAGATAAGATCGAGATTTAAGATTCGATATTATTACGTCAAATACGTTTCGATAAAGCGAGATTAAATAATTTATGCTATATATCTTAAGGCACCTTTAAAAGATATAAAAAAAGATAGAGATTTTCTCGCGTTATAGACTAATTACTAATCGATAAGAGAAAAAAAGATATATCTCTTAGAGGAGATATAATATAATAATATAATATAAATTAATAAATTAGTATAAAGTGAAGTATAAATATAATATAGTTATTATAATATATTAAGATATTAAGATCTAATATATATAAAGACGTTAAAGCTAAAATAATTAAAATGATATATAATATCTAATATCCGTATTGAGAGAGTAGAATTAATATTATTATTATTAATAATAATAATAATATTATTTATAGAAGGGGAAGATTAATATATAATAGTAATAATTAACTATTAAGTCTAGTTGAAAGAAAGACTTCGTAACTTAGCTATCGGAAAAGGCGTGTAGTATTACGATATTTAGAGGGTTATTAGTCCCGAGGCCTATAGTCGTATAATCGCTTTATTATTTTTATTAAGGGTTTTTTTATAAAAAATTTTTTTTTTATTTTTATTAAAAATTTTGGTTTTTTGGTTGGGTGGTTTGGGGTTGTTTTTAAAAAAAAGGGGTGGGGGTTGTGCGAAAGTTTAGTAAGTCGGCAGTGTTATGATACAGATCGCTTATCGCGTAACGCTAGGCTCCAGATAGACTAGCTGGATCGACAGCCCTAACAGAACTTGGTAATCACCTGACCTGCTACCTTAGGTTAGTGTATCATCCGTGCCAAGGAACCTTTCTATTTTGGTCCTGGTCTTCCCGGTCCCCTGAGCATCTGGCAGACTGGCATCAACCTGCGTCTCGAAACCCCTGCCCAGTCTCTTATATCTCGCTATTACCTTATCACTCTTTGAGTAAACAAGTAAACAATCATATATCTCTCGTCGACCTCCTGACTCTCCTGCCATGAGAGAAAGCCGCGCGTCAAGACAAATCTCTTTATCGCGACCTCCGTAAAGTCCATCGATTATGTCCTACCAACCCATCGACCATGACGATGAAACGCGCCGCTTAAACTCCTTCGATGTTTCTGATTCCACCAAAGGTTCACGGTCGAGGACTCGACCAAAGTATGGCTTCACCGCCCCTCGACTGCACTCTCTCATCTCCGTCGCCGCGGGCACTGTCATGTGTCTTTTTGGCTACGAGCAAGGAGTCTTTGGTGGTATCATCGTTGGCCAAGAGTTTCAGGAGTATTTCCATCATCCATCGCCATCCTTGACGGGCTTTGTCACCAGTGTCTACGATCTGGGATGTTTTGCCGGCGCCTTACTGACACTTGTTGTGGGAGAATGGCTGGGGAGGAAACGCATGCTGATCATTTTCACCATCATCATGACGAGTGGAATTATGCTGCAGACAGGCGCGCATTCCATGAATCATCTGCTTTGGGGGAGGTTTATCGCCGGGATAGGGAATGGTGGTAATACTGCGACAGCACCTGTCTGGCACGTTGAGACGTCCCATCAGGATGCCAAGGGCAAAGCTGTCGTCAAAGAAATGGTGGTCAACGTGATGGGCTTCGTCATATCCAACATAATCACCCTCGCCTTTAGCAGGATCACAACAGAATCTCAATGGCGCTTTCCGTTGGGTATTCAACTTATCTTCATCGTCATCATTCTCGTACTCGTACCTATTCTACCGGAGTCTCCCCGCTGGCTGCTGGCGAGGGGGAGAGATGCTGAGGCAAAGACTGTCCTTGCCAGTCTCAGCGAGCATGATGTGGAGGGGGATTTCAAGGGAATTCGAGACTCCGTCCGCCAAGAAATGGCCGTTCAAGCATCCTGGTCGCAGATCTTCAGAGGTGGTCCAGCAACCCGAAGACTCTTGTTAGGGATGCTACTTCAAGTTTGGTAAGGAACTTCATCGCGCAAGTCCCTCTTCACGAGATTGCGCTAAAACCCCACAGCCAACAGCTCACCGGCATCAACGTCCTTTGCTACTACCTCCCTCTTGTCCTTCACAAAAGTGTCGGCCTCCCCGAACTCGCCTCCCATATCCTATCTACCGGCATTGCAGTACTTTACATGTTCGCCACTGCAGCCTCGCTCTTCTTCATCGAACGACTAGGTCGGCGCCCTCTGCTAATGTCGATGGCTGCGGCCATGGCTATCTCCTTCCTCGGCATCGCCATCAGCACGGAAATCAGCCACGACAATGGCCATCATATCCCTGGTATCGTGGCTACAGTGTTCATCACCTTCTACTTCTTAGCTTTCGGCTTCGGATGGGTCGCCGTGCCGTGGCTGTACCCCGCCGAGATCAACTCGCTCAGCATGCGGACCAAAGGTGCTGCGCTTGCTACCGCCTGCGATTGGCTGTTCAACTACGTGGTTGTGCAGACCACACCGATTGGCATACACTATCTGCACTGGGGTCTGTATCTGCTATACGCAGTCTTGAACGCCTCCTTTGTCCCCATCATCTACTACCTCGTCGTGGAGACAGCCGGTAAAAGTCTGGAGCAGATCGATCAATGGTTCGCTGCAAACACTGGATGGCTGGTACATAAAGCCGGCAACACAGCCTTTGCAGTCGCAAACGGAGCAGCGACGTTGGCGAATGGAGCATTGGGACATGATGAGATGCGAGAGGGTAACGAGCACGAGAGTATGGTCAAAGCGTACGAGCAGCAACAGCGGCGGAGCTACGACACTGACATGCGGCCTATTGACGAAAATGACTTTGCGCTGGATGAGGAGGAGGAGGATGATAGTTTTCAGTACCATGAGTCATTGGATGTGGAGTAGGCGCAAGCGGTGTTAACGGAGCTTGTTTCTTTGTGTGCTACTTAGACAGTACAGCAATTGTAGAATACCCGATAGATGATAAAGTAATAGATGATAGAGTAGTCAATGTCAGCTTTTAGATTTCTCAATCATCGCCGACAACCTGCACCATGGGCCCACCAGCCTACCGTAAAACCAGTGGCAATGCCAAGGGGGGGCTGAAAAAAGCTGCATGGTTCGAGCGGGACAAAAATCCGCGCAAAGCAAAAACATCAAAAGTCACAAACATCTGCACAAACAAAAAATTGCTACGTGACTTGAGGAAACAAAAAAGAAAAAAATTGGTAGCTTCTCTTTGATTGCTTTGCGGAATTAGTATTCATACCTACGAGTACAGATGTTACTGGGGTCGAACATACAGCGTGTCATCCTTAGTGCAGGGGCCATGCTAATCTTCTCTAGTTTGGAATCAGTAGCCGAACTTTTTTTTGCAGCGAACGGGTAAACCAACCTGTATCGTTTCAAATTGACCAAATGCCCCCGTGAGGGGGCAAACTTAATTGCTCTTAAACATATATATATAGCAAAATATTTAACTGCAGAATTTCCAAATCCTCAACTGTTCCCTACCCTGCTCTACAAACACGCCTCACCCTTCCTATCATCCATACATTCGAAGAAGAAATCGACACCAGTATTCGACGACGCGAATGCACCATCCTACATATGCCGTAGCGATGTAAATAGGCGCAAAAGGCTTTCCTTTCGAGCACCGTCTTTCGCCAGACCGTGTTCCGCTCGTCGCGCCTCCTGCAAAAGGCTTCCACTGTATCTCATCCGAGGCTACGGACGACCATCCGACCACGCTGAGCTCGAAATCTCGAGCGAGCTACGGGACTGGTTTTGGCCAGGCTAGGCACGAGGATCCCACGGGTTGGCAGGGTGCACGAGTCGGAGGGTTCGACCAAACATCGAAAAGTCCCTTCGATCGATCCAATGACAGGGAGCTTTCGAGTTCGCAATCATGCTTTCTAAGAGATTTGATTGTTTTGCAGCTGAAAGTTTCATTGTAAAGGCTGGCATTCCGAAGCTAACGTGTTGCGAAAATGAGCCTATGCCTGCATACCAAGCGGCCAATCCGACGGTTGAGGTGGCTGTTTGCAAGAAAGCTCAACCCTCTCTGTATACCTCAACTGATGACGCCCACTGCATACACGACGCAACAACTCCCACCGAGGAGACCGCCCTGTCTAGGCTCTTACTGATCAATCGTGTAGAATGCAAATTATTTGTAAAGAAGCAAAAAGTGAAATACATGATTGGATCGAAGGCCTCCCTTGCTTTTGAGAATCCTCTACCATTTCTTCTGTTCATCATATTTTCCGATTAAGTGATCTACCTAGGAAGTTCTGACGTCAGAAGCGCCCATCCTCTCAATGTGATGGCTTTCCACCCGGATGGAGTGTTTGCATGGATCAGTGGTATATGGTGGCTCGGTGGGCCAGACCTGCGAGGTGTTTTGCTGACTTGATACTTCAGCTATTGATGTTCCAAATGTGAAGGCGCCTGAAACATGGAAGTTTCAGCTCATGACATCCTGGCGCAAGTCTGATGATGACGAAAAGATTGAGACTGCAGATGTTGGGTTGGCTGATGTCAAGATGAGAACCAAAGACTTCGCAGATCCATTCCGTAGCGCTAATGCTTGGATACCCAAGGGTACCCCTGTATACACCAACAGAGTGACATACTGGCAGCCCGTCCCTTGGGACAATCTTGGTGGAATGATGTCTTTAGCAGGCGATGCTGCTCATCTAATGACCTTTCGTAAGCTCCACGCTGGTCTTAGATCAAACATGCACTATGAAGCTCACGGACTCTTCCAAACCGGGGTCAAGGTCTCACCCATGCGATTGCAGACGTGGCAAAATATGTCGCTGCCCTTCGAACCATGAAACTCGATCAAGAAAAGCTGAAAGATGCCATTTGTGATTATGAGAACGAGATAATCGCGAGGGGAGGAGAAGAGGTCGGATTGTCAACGATGAACACTGAGATGGTTCATCAATGGGACAAGCTCATGCAGTCTCCACTTTTCCAGAAGGGAGCCAAGAGAATCGCATAAGCAGGCCCACTACCAGAAATACTCACAGCCTTCGTGCGTATCGGCCTTAGATCTCTGTAATATTCTGGCATTCAAATCCAAGAAATCGATCAACGATATGGGAAACCCACTCCAACGGAGTTTTGCAATAGAAGAAGATCATTCTTCGCGTCAAGGTTAGCAAGACTTGAGGATGTGTACCTCCACGGGTGCTATAGTTTGCGCTTGATGAGCTAAGATGAGTGTGGGGGAGAAAACGAACGGAGAGGCCGAAGACAGATGGTATCCCTCTTCGTCGCAGTCATAGTCACTCTGAACGAAAGGGGGCAAACGACTACGGTCGTATCATGCCATACTAGCTTCAGGGTATCTACCGCAATGGACCATCTGCTCCCAGGCCACTAACCCACACGGCACTCCCCGGACACTGACGGGTGCTAGCTCTTCCCTGTGAAGTATGGCTCGATCACGACTTTGCGGCACCAGCTTTGACTGTGAACGTGTTAGCTATCGTGACAAATGTTTCATTCTAGAAATATGCGTACTCAATATGATATCGCCGTCGGCCACCACTAGCACTGGAAGTCAGCATACATTCCTGAGTCATATCAAGCAGGATCAGGATTTCATCGAGTTATGCTCACCATAATCTTTGCCCTTGGTCATGACCTTTCCAGCACCTTTCAGTGAAGTCTCATCTTTGTATTCTTTGAGCATCTCGTAGTTGTAGACGATACATTGGATGAACGTCTTCTCAAAGTCTGCAAATACATGGTCAGTAAGCCCATCTCCAGTCTAGGTCCCTCTCAACTTACCTCCATGAATCACCCCAGCAGCTTGCGGCGCCTTTGTCCCATTTCTGATAGTCCACTGCCTCACCTCATCCGTTCCTGTCGTGAAGAAGCTGCCAAGGTCAAGCATCTTCCTCATGGTCGTGATAATCTTGGGCAGCGCGGATTTTGTACCGAGCTTTTTACATTCCTCCTCTGCCTCTGCTTCAGTCTCGAAACGTGTGAGGCGCTCTTCAAAGGCGACAGAGAGAGGCAGTATAGGATCGCCTGGCGCGTGTTCTTTGACCCATTCGGCAATCTTAGGAAGATGCTTGTTCTTTTGTCGGATGTAATCTTTCTCACTAAGGTTGACGAGGTAGACGACGGGTTTAGCGCTGAGGAGGAAGAGGGGATTGATGACTTCGACCTAGTCGACCATTTGAATTAGCGGTAGCCCTTAGAGAAATGGGCAATCAGATCGTGTAGGAGTATGTTCTTGGTGTCAGAGTTGGATTTCATTTCAGTACGGTCTCTGCGTTATTTAATTGAGCCGTTCAACGAGCTGGGATTATATCGAGCTTTGTAACTCTTGTTCATCATGCAAGAACATGTTGGTGGCACCGCGCATGGGGTTGCACTCACTTCCTTGGGTGTCCAGTTCTCTTTCCGTACATCCTTACCATCCTTCAGCCATGCGAGGATCTTCTCCACCGTAGCTTCCTCCTCTTTCAGCTTCTTCATCTCTAAGCTCTGGCCGCCTCGTCTCGTCTGCTTCTTCAAGTTCTCCAAAGCCTTTTCGACGAACTCGATATCCTTAATGCGCAGCTCTTCACTGATAATTGTAAGATCTCGTACTGGATCAACGTCGCCTTCCACGTGTATGATCTCGGCATCATCGAAGCATCGGACGACTTGGAAGATTGCATCGACCGCTCTGATGTGTGACAAGAAAGCGTTTCCAAGACCAGCGCCAGTGGAGGCTCCTCGAGTCAGGCCAGCGATATCGTAGACGGTCAAATTGGCAGGTACTTTTGACTTCGGCTTGTATTGCTCGCAAAGCCAATCGTATCTATCATCAGGTACGATGACACGAGCTTCTTCGGGCTCGATTGTAGCGTACGGAAAGTTCTGCATCCAGGCGCATAAGTCATTTGTCTCGTACAATGCTTCACGGTTGACTCACAGCTGGGTTGCCCAGTGAGCATTTCGTGATGGCTTGAAAGAGGGTCGATTTGCCGACGTTGGCCAAGCCAACCTGTAGAACGACACGAGATTAGCAGCACGCCTGATGGACATTTGTGAGACTGTATCATACGTACGATACCACTTTTCAAGCTGTTGCCCGGCCGGCCCAGGAGCACCTTCTTCTCTTCCTCCTTCTTCTTGGGTGGCATCTTGCTTCGATGTCTCGCTGAAGAAGTTGTGAAGGCTCGCACTGTAGGGTTGGTTAAAAAGACTCTGCGCGAAAGCACGGATGCTGGCTGGAGGTGGATTTCAAATGCAGATCCTGCTGCTTTCGGGAAAAGTGTGCGAAGGCTCGAAGTGAAGAGAGACAGTAGGTGAAGACAGGTAGTCGTATTGAAAGTTGGTGGAGAGAGCAATGGCCCCTCTCTTTAATCGATCAAGTCATGCGTTTATAGCAAGAATTGTGCGTTGCAGAATCTGAGCTTTAGACTCACAGCCGGTATCGCTGCCGCCTAGAGGCGCGCGCTCTAGGGATCAACAGCCGCCCCAACCTCCAGGGCCCAGGCATGACACTCTAAAGTAAAGTAAGAGGTCAGCTCAGTGTCTCAAAGATAACCTCGCTGAACACTCACGTTCCACGTCTCATCTGACCTAGTCGTTCTTATCTTTGTACCTAAGACCTCTCTCCTTACCGCTTGCTGCTTTCCGCAACCCTCATCACCGCTGCAGCAGTGTCTGCTATCCAGTGCCGCTTCCATCTACTCCGCAGCTCTACCTACACGCCCCCAATACGAAATGTCACCAAAGAGCCAGCAAAAGGCCCCTCGGTCGCGGTCACATACGCCCTCCAGAAGCCAACGTGCTCATAGCAGCAACCGTTCTTCAGCCTCCATCCAGAAAACAGAAATCCTCATTAACGTCTACGACCTTCTACCCGTACGCCTGTCCTCTAGTCCTACACTCCTCCTCATGCTGATCCGACGGAGCAAAGCCAGGCACAATCGCATCCGCTCTCTGGTTCATCGGCAGCTCCCTCCTCCACACTGGTGTCGTCATAAAGTGCTTGGATAGAGAATACGCATTCGGTGGCCATGACCGGCCAGGGATGTCGGGAGTATACTGGACAAAGCCACACACGGAGCCACCTGGAGGTACATTCCGTTGCGAACTGCTACAAGGCTTCACCTTCCGCTCCGAGCATGAAATCGAGAACTTGATCAAAAAAGTCTCCCAAGAGTTCCAAGGAACGTCCTACAACCTCCTATCCAATAACTGCAATCACTTCACCAGTCATCTCTGCGAAAAACTGATTAACAAACCCGCCCCAGCGTGGTTGAACAGAGCGGCCAGCATAGGCGTTGCGCTTCCCTGCGTCGTGCCGCGAGAATGGATAGCTCCGCCGGATCATGATACCGCTGATGGGGAGCTATTGGAAGAGGATGATGAAGATGAGCGGACCTCGATGTTACGGCGACAGTATCATCGGGGATCTAGTTTTAATGGCAGTACTGCTGGCAGTGCGATTGCCAGTACGATGGGCAGTGAGGAGGAGGAGTGGGATAGCGATAGAGATCGAAGGAAAGGCGGAAGTGGGAAGGGGAAGAGCGCTGTAAGAGATACGGATGATAGAATAATGCCTGCGAGCGAGAGAGCGCCGCCGCTAAAGGGGCGTTGATCATGGTATTCGTAGCTTTAGCTCAAATCTCAGCTGGATTCGACAAAAAGCTCAGGATCTCTTCCTGCGGTTGCTCCCGAGCAAACCCCAAAGAAGGGACTTTATACCACATCCGCTTAGGTGCATCACTTCCAAGCGGCGAAGAATTGGCTCCTATTTGGGTGTTTTTTCCCTGCTCCTACTACAAGTCAAATCGGGAACGTAAAGTACGAAGATGCCCCCACAGTAAAAAGGTGGGTTCTCATCTCGTAGCTCCATACGTCCAGGATAATTTAAGTATGCAATGTGGTGTCACTTTGGAATTTCATACTACAAACCGTCATGTCAGCAGATGGCGTTGTATTGGATGCAGAAAGCATTTCGACGCCGCCAGTCGCTTGATCTAAGATGGGCGTTAAGAGGCACCCAAGTGCGAGAGTTGGAGGTCTTGTAGCCAGAACACGCTGGTCTTAGATCATCGTCCTTCAAAGTCAAGGCCCGTGGCTCCATTCTGCTGAATTCAACATAGTATACACACCACCGCCCTGGCCTAGCCCAATCTTCTAGGCTTTTTACCCCTCGTACCCCCAAATTTCAACCTTGTCCCATCCATAACCCTCACAATCCTGGCCCTCAGTGCCCTCCCCTCACTCCCCAGCAGAATCTTCGAAACCGCCTCCCTTCCAGGCCCAAAATTCCTCAAAACAACCTCTAACTGCCTGATCTGTCCTCCTTTCCCCTGATAGTTTTCGTCCAGCATAGCTTGGTTCTTGATCATACCCATAACATACGCTCCCAACTGGTATGCCGCATCGTAACTGCCTCGCTGGGCTTTCTTAAAGCCAATGTTCCCAGAGGAGACGGAGATGATCGGGTCACGGTTTCCGGCTGTGAGGGTGATATGGCAGTTGTGGCGGGTAGCGTAGATGTGGAGGTGGTGGGGACGGATGAAGGGCATATCTGTGAGGGAGGGGTTCGCTTTCCGCATAAGACTCTCTGGTATTAGAGGCTCGTTGGAGAGATCGGAGAATCGCGATGTGAAGGACTGAGAGAGATCCGCGACGCTGCCGGTAGCAGAGGTGTTGGAGGACGCAGGATTTGTGTCGGCGAGGTCATGGGAGGTGGTGGTCAAAAGGCGCTTTTGGGGGATCCGGAATGGAGGAAAAGCGTGCGCTCGGGCTATCTTTTGACGGCAAGGAAGACATACTGATCCTAATGAGGGTAGTTGGAATAGTGAGCGCTTCATAGTAGCTGATCTCTACGTTGAACGAGCTGTTAGAGCAGAGCTGGGCTGAGGGCTGTCCAGGAAATGCTTTGACTGTCTTGTCGGCCACCGTAGCGGAATATTGCCCGCTCTGATCTATCGTACTTGTGTACATCCTACGCCGCCGCCGGCATCTTTGATGTCTGAATAACTGAATCTTTACGCGTTCTGACTTCAAAGTGGGCGGTGCCTCCTCATCGGCTGCTGACTTGTAGAGGCTACTAGCATGAGACCACCCTTGCATTTGCTGCGGCACATTCAAACTCGCGGTAGTCTCGCAGCAAGATGCTTCACTTCCGCTGCAATATGCCCCAGTGGGCGGACAGCACCTTTCCGATTATCACAAAGCGACCTACATAATAACAATGCCTCTACATTATATTTCCTTTCCTCGCGGCGACCTCACAGCTTCCTTGACCAGCTATCGAGGAGCGCCTTTTCTACAACGCCCCACGCGAACGCCATCAGTTTCAGAGACTTAAAATCAGAAGACAAGCCAAAGGACTCCCCAAGACAAGAAGCAAAGTCAGGTGCAGATAAAGGAGCTCATAAGCAAGAGCCAGCATCGGAGGAAACGGAGAGTCCTGCAGAGCGGGCATATCGAGAGGCTCAAAAAGAAAGCGAGAAAGAGCGGGAGAGTCGTCACTCAAGTACCAAAGATGAGTCCACCAAAAGCGAGAAAGAAGACGAGACAGGCAATGGTGAAAAGAAGCAAAAAAAGAAAGAAGAGCCGCCACCTCCACCTCCACATGGAAACAAATCACCCTGGCAGGTCTTCACAGAAACACTGCAATCTGAGTTCCAGGCCTCCAAAGAATGGAACGAGTCTACAAAAGCGCTTTCGCATTCAGCACATCAATTTACAGAGAATGAGTCCGTGAGAAAGGCTCGAGAAGCGTCCAGCCGTGCATATGGGGCGGCCACATCAGTAACGGGCTCGGCGCTCAAAGGGACGGGAAAGGTATTAGGACAAAGCGCTGCATGGACTTGGGATTCAACAGTCGTCAAAGGGGTACGGTCTGGCGTTAACGCTACCGGTCGAGGGATTGACGCAGCTACAAAACCTGTAAGGGAGACCAAGGTCTATAAGAGTGTCAAAGATGTCATCGATGATGGCAGCAGCTCAAGATATGGCGGCTGGGTAGAAAAAGAGGAAAGAAGGAAAAAACGCGAGCTGAGGGAATTGAAAGACTCTGGAGGGTTGCCAGGCAAGCGGGCGGAGAAGATGGAGGAAGACCCAGAGTACAATTCCATGAACGAGAAAGCAACCAATATGAATGTCGCTAATTTCATCGTAGTGCCGGCACAAACGTCACCCTGCATAAAGATTCCAAGTTCCATCAAACATGGACCAACTTCAGAGACTCCAACCGACTCATGCAGTCCCTCTTCTCCCTCAAGTCGAGCTACAACGAATCCGAAAACCCCCTCGTCTCAACAGCCCGCAGCATCACGGACCGCGTCGCTGGTTTTTTCGCCGAAAATGAAACTGCTCGGGTCATCAAAAAATTCCGTGAAATGGACCCATCATTCCAAGTAGAACCCTTCCTCCGCGAAATGCGCGAATATATCCTCCCCGAAGTTCTTGACGCCTACGTGAAAGGGGACACCGAGACCCTCAAGCTCTGGCTCTCGGCCGCGCAATACCAGGTCTACGCCGCCCTGACCCAGCAATACACTGCTGCCGGCCTGAAATCCGATGGACGCATACTAGACATACGGCATGTCGACATACTGTCTGCCCGCATGCTCGAACCAGGAGAGATACCGGTCTTCATCATCCGGTGCCAAACGCAAGAAGTTCATGTTTACCGAAATGCCAAGACAAACGAGCTAGCTGCTGGTATGGAGGATAGGGTGCAGCTTGTCACTTATGCCCTTGGGATAACAAGGACGCCGGAAGATGTCAATAATCCGGATACGAGGGGGTGGCGATTGATCGAGCTGCAGAAGAGTGCTAGGGATTACATATGATACAGCAATTTCAGCTGTGCTAACGGTATCTTGTCTTGCATTTAGCGCGCATGGAAAAGCAAGCGTCCTGAGCTCATCCAAGTGTATAATATCATCCGAAGCATCTCGTCTGTCGAGTTGGAAGCAGGGGTAGCGAGGCGTCTATCGGACGTCGAATTTCGGTCGCCACTCTCAAGCAAAATCTAAATTTCTACTGTACATTTTGATTTTTGAAAGACGAAGACCCCTTTCAATGAGCTATCCGGGGTACATTGGCAGGACAAGATGGTAGAGGGATTGAATCTGCGACTTAGGAGAGCTTTTAGCCAGCCGTATAGACTGCGCATCCGACACGTAAAACTCACCGTAATTGCATCAAGCTTCAGGCAGATCTTTATCCTCCAACCCTGCAACAAGCTCCATGTATACTCCGCGCGTTTCGGATGAAGTAGTATTGTCGGCGCTCTTGTTGGCGTGCCCTAGATAACCTCATATGCTGTCAATAAATTTGTTGAGCACCGGCCGTCCTCTACCTTTTCGGCACATGCCACCGAAGCCTACAGCCAGCCAACACCCTCCGCCCACTGGCCCCACTCTCATCCGATGCTTGCTTGAGCCTGTACGCTGTCACGCCTTTTCGTATCTCGAATGAATGCACTCTCTTAATCCATATCTCCGGGCCTTCTTCAAGAGCGCGTTACCTGCCCAATGCAATCCGGTCAACAACCACGTGAGTATACCACCATACCAGAGAGATCTGGCGGACTGGCGCAGGGAAATTACACGAAGCAAGAGCTGACGTTGATGAAGATTCTCCTTGTCCCAACGACCGAATGCCTCCTGACCGGCAAGGACCGAGAGACCAATTCTACATTTGCAGACTTGGCTGGATCTGAGGATTTCCTGGGCAGCCATGTCCTCAAAATCTCTGGCCCTGCAGGTCCTGGAAGCAACAATGTGCGAGACAGCAGGGGTAAAGCGAAGCAGTTCATTACAGTCAATGGGCGGACTGTTGTGGTGAAAGAGTCGTTTGTCTACAGCAATAAAGGTATGGCAAGATCATTGGCACATAAAGACTTCCCTAGGGTAACACTTCTCCAGGCTTTAGAAACCTCAATCAGGCGCAGCTTCTCAGCGACCAGCTATACTATCCTGACAATCTTGATGCGCAGCAATGGCTCATATACTATATCTCGAGACCTCTTGTAGGCTCCTACCAGCCAATCAATATCACGCCAGCTATCCTTCCAACCCTGTTGAAAGGGTTCAAACCTCTTACCATTACCCTGAAAGACCCGTTGGGCGGACAAGGAGACTCTGGGCCCTCCTCATCAGTCAACAAGAAAGACGTACGGTCGTTCAACGAACTACTCAACAACTTTCCAATGATCGCGCGGCAGATGCAGCCCGGGTTAGAGAAGGTGTTTAAAGACTTCAACAAGGAAATGCAGGATCGACCTTCTACGCTTTCGCGCAAGTCATCAAACACCTCTCGAAGATCTTCAACAGCATCCTCACATTCCAAGACCAAGGGGTCCATACGTAGCAGATACTCAAACGGCCATACAGCCGCGCCATCCATAGCAACAACACGCGTGGATGAGGAGGAAGACCATATGCGGAAGACGTTGGAGACTGCGGTGACTGCGGCGATCGATCTGTTTCAGCAAGTGGATAAGCAACAACTGTCTTTGCTAGGAGCTACAACTGACCTCACGGGCCCTACTGTGGAGCGAATCATCGAGCGGTATGTCACAGAGCAAGTTCACGACTCCACTCTCTTCCCAGTGCTTCGGAACAGCAGACGGCTGGAAGATCTGGAGCTCGAGTCTCGAATTCATCAGATGCAACACATCGATATTGCTCAAGTTGGCATTGAGATAGAAGTTGGTCGGAAAGGCAAGGAACAGATGATGGACAGGCTCGCCAAGGGAGTTGAAGAGTTCCGTAAGCTTGGTGTTGCTGGCAGTCCTCAGCAGATGATGGAGATTCTTCTGGCGACGCAGAAGGTCGTCACGAGTGACCAGCCCATAGCTAAGAATCTTGATTCCGCAATGAACGACCGTATAGGACCGGAAGGATCGGGGAAGCCGCCTCCGTCAATAACCATGAATGCCGATACTCTAGTCTCCCTACTGCTAGTTGTGGTCATTCGTTCCCAAGTACGGCATCTTCACGCTCGATTTTCCTATATGCGAAACTTCATCTTCGTCGATGATGTCGAAAGTGGTGAGGTTGGATACGCGTTGAGTACATTCGAAGCAGTGCTTTCCTACCTGGCGTCTGACTCCGGTGGCCTACGTAAAGCAAGCAGAGGGAACAATCGACTATGGCAGGCTGCTAGGAGTGGCGATGTCAAGGATATCAAGGCGATTATGGATCCTGAACCGGAATCTGTTCTCAACAAAAACAGAAGTTCCGCCTTGCACGAGGAGCCCGATGAGGATGCCATTACCGATGCCGACGATGACTCGGAGAAAGGCCGCTTCGTTGGCAAGGAGAACAGCAAGCACTTCGAACGTCGCTTATCCACTGCAACCACCGAGGACGGCAACACTTCGGAAAACTCCACCTTGGCACACGTCTTTCCTTTCCAGGCTCTTCAAGCCTCCCGCAAAGGTAAACATGTTTCCATGGATATGAGAAGCCTTTCAAATTCTTCGGAGTACTCGTTCATTTCTCGAACAACTACTCTGGACTCAAAGTCAAGCAACGTTGAAGGCGATACCTCCATCGAAACACTTGCGCAGACTCAAGACATAGATGGCAACTCGGTACTCATGATGGCCGTGGAAGCACGACAGCCAGAAGCACTTGAGTATCTGTTGTCCTTGGAGGAATACTTTTCCCCTAGGCTTTTGCTGGAAGACTCCAACAAGGAGGGCACCACGCTTCTGAGTGCTGCAGTCCAATTGGCTCACACCGAGCTCATTGATGTATTACTACGCTGCATCTTTCAAAGGAGAGACACAGAGGAGATCCTCGACTACTTCGGCAGAGCAGATCGTCATGGTCGAACGGTTGCCCATTATCTTTTTAACGCCCCATATCTGATTCCCCAGTTCTCCGAGATCCTGCCATGGAGAAGGAAAGACAAGAACGGCCAGACGCCTTTGCTCGCTTTGTGTAGATCCTACGATCATAATAACTATGCGGAGATGGTCAACGAAGCGTTGCAATTCGCAACGCATGAGCAAGGCGACGGCCAGCCACTTCATCTGGACGATCATGTTGACGCGAAGGGCAATACATTACTTCATGTGGTCAATGATCCTACTTTAGCTGTACGAATACTGAGGCATTGCGACTCCGATCCAAACGCTACCAATGACAAGCGTTTCACTCCTTTAATGGTGGCCAGCAAATACGGTCGAATGGACATGGTCAGAGCTTTATTCAGCGATCAGAGGGTTGACGTGTTAGCTAAAGAATCAAGAGGCATGACTGCAGTTGAGCTTGCTAAAGACGACGAGATTCGGAATCGCATCGACGACATGGTGCTCGTTTCCAATGTGCCTGCTGCTGACGGGAGAGTGACAGCCGTTGTTCGGTCATTTTTTGTGGAGGATGCCTCGATACGCTTGATTATCAAGTCTGCTGTCCGCAATGACAATGGAATGATCGGCGTCACCACTTGTAGGCGGTCGTTGACAGATTTTGAGAACCTGGCCAAATGGCTTTCCGTGGAACATCCTGCTTCATGGCTACCGTCAATCTTCAACTTTCGTTCGCCCTATCAGATAGCTTCTCGACCTTCAAGAGCAGTACTGCAAGACATTCAAGTGCGTCTCGACAAGTTCTTAAAGATCATGCTTGCTCACTCAACCTTCTCGACGCACGAGCTGCTGTGGGAGTTTATCCTCTTCCCTGAGATACAGCCAGACATGATGGCAGAGCGGAGCCGGAAGAAAGCGGAGCTTCGGAGCGAGAATATCATGGAGGATTACGAGCCAGTCGAGGATGTGAGGGATGTTTCGACATTTGTTGAGCATGCCCGGGAGTCGATTCGAGGCATCAATTATTCGACCAAGAGCGTGATACGGAGGGTCGCCAGCGTCCGCGTCGGCTCGTCGAGTACGTATACTCCAACTTCTCGGCGGCAGCAAGCTGACTGCTCCCTAGATTTCTCCATCGCCCTGGACTTATGTGCCAAGGATTTCTCAACGCTAGCATTTCTTCCATCCTCTTACGTCGTGGCCCTTTCCCGCTTCGCCACCTGCGCTCAAGGTCTACCCTCAGATCCTCACAAATTCTTTCATCAAGATCTGCAAGCCATTTCCTCCACCATCCTTGCCATTCTCTCATCTCTAGCTCGCCCTCATTCCTTGATCAATTCGCTTGTTAACATCCAAAAGACTGTTGATCGCCACGACTCTTCGCTACGACGCTCCGACCGATGGCCGCTTGGTCTACTCGATGAAACACGCAAAGGCATACACGCTGATGCGCAAGAGAAGGCTGAGAAGAGCAGGGAAGAAATGAGGAGTGTGGGCTGCGAGTTGACCTATACACAGCAGACTGTTGCCGGTGAGCTGGCTGGATGGCAAGAGCTGCATGCTAAGCTAGGGAGACGAGCAATCAAGGCTTTGGCTGAGAGGATGGTAGTGAGGGAGAAGGATCGACTTGAGAGTATGAAGAGGGCGGTGAGGGCAATTGTGGATGTGAATCAGAAGCAGTGAGATGGTGTGGCCTTAACAGATCTGGTGGTTGGGTGCCTGCAGTCCGTTGGACATATGGCTCCTAGGACTCTTTCTTCGTTCATGTCGTAGGGTGGGCTTGGATCCCTCGGTGTTTCTTTGGACGAAGATACCCCAAATCGTTGTCAATCAATGTTTTTTGCTCTACATCAACGATATCCTGGTCGTGCATGCGTCTTAGTGGCTTCCACGCAAAGCATGTCGCTTTTGGCATTCTTGAAGACATGGAATGAATCTCATGCTTGCTTGTTATCGTACACACGTACATTTTTACCTTGCAGAAGAGGCATGCACAGCCGATATCTATTTACCCGGAGGTTAAGGTGGATAGGTACATGTAGTGTACAGGTAGCTGGATAAATACAACATATCTTAGCTGCAGATCCAACCGCCCCGCGTGCGTCACAGCTTCTGAAAAACATCCCACTTTTCTTTGCCCTTTTTTTTCTTCTTTACCTACACCTTCACCTTCAACTTCAACAAAAGACTTTTTCTTACAATCAGGATTACATTTTGAACGCCCTGAAATACATCAGCTCAACTATCACCATGGCCACCTCAGAGATGACCTCGTAAGGTTCCCCTCCCTCAACCAGACCCTCACCTGCTCAAAACCCTGACTAAATCTGTATCAATACAGCAAAACTTTTAGTCTCAACACTGGCGACAAGATTCCAGCCATCGGCCTCGGCACTTGGCAAAGCAAACCCAACGAAGTGCGTGATGCTGTCAAAGTTGCGCTGACTAAAGGCTACCGTCATATCGATACCGCGCTCGCTTATGGGAATGAGCATGAAGTTGGGCAGGGTATCAAAGATTCTGGGGTTCCAAGGAAAGAGATATGGTTGACGACCAAGCTGGATAACACATGGCATCATATTGTCGGCGAGGGCATTGAGAGTAGTCTGAAGAGCTTGGGGACGGACTATGTGGATCTGTACCTCATGGTTGGGATTTCATGTTGGTCCTTGTAGACTTGCGCTGATTAAAGAAGCATTGGCCGTCCTCAACCGACCCAAAGGACAAATCGAAGCATCTACCAGACTGGAACTTTATCAAGACATGGTAAGTCCCTTTGCTCCACTCCCCTTCGGTCCTCCCCTTGCCCTATGCCAACCATACCCTAGGCAAGAGATGCAAAAACTCCCCGCCACCGGCAAAGTCCGCAACATTGGTGTGTCTAATTTTGGTATCAAAAACCTCGAAAAACTCCTCAGCGATCCCTCCTGCAAGATCGTCCCTGCCGTCAACCAGATAGAACTACACCCCAACAACCCGAGTCCGAAGTTGGTGGCATTTAACAAGGAAAAGGGCATTCACTGCACGGGGTACTCATGTCTAGGGAGTACGAACTCGCCGTTATATAAAGATCCGACGCTGTTGAAGATGGCGGAAGAGAAGGGAAAGACGGCGCAGCAGGTGCTGTTGATGTGGGGGCTCCAGCAGTAAGCCTACTCTTCGCTTCCTACTCCTAGTATCGACGGCTTTTTGTCTTGTGAAGCGTTTTCAGGCGTGAATTCCTTTGTTCCTGTCGTGTATCATCCTCGGTGCAAGCCTTGTAATTCTTGGTTTCTTGTCTCGAAGAGACCATGCTGACTTGGAGAACTCACTTACAGTGAATGGTCGGTCATACCTAAGAGTGTCAGCCAGGCCAGAATTGAGAAGAATTTCGAGCTGAATGGGTGGGATTTGTCAAGTGCGGAGATGAAGCAGCTGGACGGGTTGACGGATCGATTCAAGGTTTGTGGAGATGGGTGGTTGCCTATCAAGGTATTTCATGGAGATGATGAGTAGACTGGGGATGTTCAAGGATGAAGTGGGCGTGCAACGGTCTTCGGAGACTTTTGAGGGCGCCAACTTTGAGCTAGCGTCCAAGTCAGATGATGATGCATCCAGAAAGAGTTGTGCGCAGAGCGCACAAAAGGTTCTACACGTTTTCAACCTCTTCCACATTGCTTTGGGACTAATGCCGCAGAGTTTTTCAGTGCTGATCTCAGCTGGGTGGCGCTTACTCATACAAGTGACAATTCGGAGACATACCGAAAAAGTATCCGATAACCATCCGACAATCTTCCATCCCCACCCCCCAATATAAGAAGACTGGAGCCTCCAAATCTCCGGAGAATCATTCTATGATCAGGAAACACTTGACAAGACACATCTCACAAGCAATCAGACCCATAAAACTAATCTACCACGCAACTCCCAAGACCCGAACAACTTGCTTCGCACAGACACCAAGCATGTCTCAACCCCACCCACGCTCCGAACACCCACCAAACACATCTTTCGACCCCCCAAGCCCCTGCACTCACAACAACGATAACAACCACAACCACGCCCATGTGCCCAGCACCGCCTTCTCCGGCGACATGGCCCAAACCTACAGCCAACGCACGGGCGGCTGCAACATCGTCCTCGCCGACCACCTCATCTCCCTCATCACCCCCTCCCTCCCCCCTCCCACCACCACTCCAAGCCTCCGAATCCTCGACAACGCCTGCGGCCCCATGGTCCTCACGACCCAATGCCTGCTCGACCCGTCCATCGCAACCTACCCATCCGTCCACATCTCCGCCGTCGACCTCAGCGCCGACTTCATCGCCGCCAACCGCACCGCCATATCCACCCGGAGCACCCTCGGCCCCAAAGTCGACACCGCCGTCATGGACGGCGCGGACCTGCGCTTCGCCGACGACACCTTCGACGTCAGCTTCACCTCCCTCGGCATCTTCGCCTTCCCGGACCCCGTCCGGGGCGCCCGGGAGCTGTACCGCACGCTGAAACCCGGGGGCGTGACGGCCGCGACGACGTGGAAGGGCGTCGGATGGCTGCCGCTGCTGCACGCGGTCGAAGAAGAAGTGCTGCAGCCCGGGCGGGCGAAGACGCGGCTGCCGTTTCTGGAACCGTGGGCGGTGGCGGGGAAGCTGGAGGCGACGCTGCGGGAAGGGGGGGTTCGAGCGGGTGGAAGAGGGGGAGATGGAGGGGGTGGCGTGGTGGGGTGGGGTGGGGGAGGCGGCGTACTGGCTTACGGCGTCGGTGAAGATGATGGTGGGGCGGGGTTGGAGTGAGGAGGAGAAGGAGAGGATGGAGGAGGGGTTCAGGACGGTTTTGGAGAGAGGGGTTAGGGAGGGGAGTGAGTTGGTGGTGACGGAGGCGGAGGGGGGAAGGGTGGGGTGTAGGATGGTCGCGTTTACGGGGTTGGGGTGGAAGTAGGTGGGAAGGGAGGGGTGGACAGTGTGGAGTTTGGACGAGTGGTTGTTGGGGTGGTGGGGCCTGTGATGTGGGGGGACTTTCTGCTGATGCGGGCCTCTTCGCATCTTAAGATCACCGCGGGTTGGAATCCTACGTTGGAAATCATCCGAAGAGATATCATTCTCGAGCTCTCGACTGCGTGGGCATCTATTAAACACAACTTTCCTGAGTCTCGGGTAGTTGGGAAGGGGGGGAGCGTGGTTGATCGTGGAGAGTTCTCGGTTCGGTCAGCATGTTGTACGAGCCGCTTTATATTTCGAACCAGAAACAAAGGCTTTCCGTGGCTAGATTCTTCAACAATGAACCTAGTCTTTTTCCACGACAGGAATATTTGGTCGAGGGTGAAAGATGTATGTTGTGAGTGCATTGGAATTCGGCCCTACAGCTGAGGTTATCCCGCGACTTCTCGGCTTCCTCAGAAGAAAAGAACGCCTCAATGTTCTTCCTTGCCGCCAAACATAGAACATTTTCATCGTTGTCGATACGACCTGCTGCCAGACCGACTTTCCAGCTCCGAGTAACGCCTCGAACCCGCACTCGTCCCGACGCACCAGGCTCACCCTTCATAAGCCCCGCCTTCCTCGCTCTCACAGCAACAACCTTACTCAGATTCCCTCGCCCTCCTTTGTCACACCATTCCCGTCTGCTCCATCACGGTCGGTTTCCATATCCTTCTTCCACGTGTGGTAAGCCTGCCGCACATACTTCAACGTCCCCAGACCCTGAGACCCACGCCACACATGCAAGTGCCTGGCCAAATTCGCACCAATATCAGGCCCGGTGATGTTGCACTGGGCGAAATGCGTCATGATGGCGCCGGGCCCGCTGCAGGCGGAGATGGTCCGCAGATACGAGGGGTGCGAGCTCAGAGTCAGAGCCAGGTCCGGGAAGAGTATGTTCCGCTTTGAGCCTCTGGAGAAGCCGACGTGCTGTTCGCAGAACCGATAAACCGTCAGTGGGGGAGCTGGCTCAGGAATGGGTGTGAGGCGGTGGCGCCCGAGGATCGGAACCACATACCGTCAGAGTAGCAACGCCGTTGTCGACAACGCTCGAAAACGCGCCGGTGTACCGGATGACGAGTCTGTCAGCCTTCTGGATGACTCCGGCGAGGAAGAGTTTTTCGAACTTCATCTTGCTGTAGGATTCGAACACAGAGTTCGGATCAGCACCTGTGCTCTGGACCCATAGCGGGTCATAGTTGTGGAGGGTTGCGAAACCGTTGTCGCCGACTTCGTTGGTGACGAATCGAAAACGTGGTTGGGGTATCTTCCTGTGGGAGCTTGGTTGGCGCTGGGGTGGAATGGTGTTTTCTAGCTTGAGCTGGAGCGGTAGCGTCATTTGCGTAGGGGCTTGAGGCTTGATGCTGAGGGTCGTAGCTGTGCTGGTGAGGAAGGCTAGGGTCGAGGTTTATGTCATCATGATTTGAAATGGGAAAGCTGCTACTGCGCTGATTGTAGATAGGATCGGCAGCTGTTGTCTCCGTATATGGACTGGAGTATTGGCAACGATCATGTTGAGGATAGCTGGTGTCCGCAAACGTGTTGCTAGTGTACAACGTGGGATCATGGGTACTAAATGGCCCACGATTTGGGTCTTGATGATCCACTGCAAGGTCTGTGCTCTGGTAATCACCTTCTGGTAGAGCATTGAGACTATTAGACGCGATATCGTTATCTGGGTGACGCGCTGAAGACGAGGGGTATATGCCATGGCTCTGAGCAAAAAGAACGCAGGCAGAAAGATACTCAGGATCCAAAGAGCGAACATCGACACTGTGAATACCATCCGACATAGAGTGTTCACGCCCGTCTTGTTGATGTGGCCATTGTTCAGCCATGGTAAGAGGGACACTTCAAGTCTTCTTGAATGCGTAGAAGATGAACAAACGCGTAATATAAAGCTAAAGCTCTAGATCAATAGAGGAATGGGTGGACCAGTGTGTACAAGTCAGCGTGTGTGAACGGATGGATGTCCGGGTGAGAAGTCCGTAGACGTTCAACCTTAGTAATAAGCTATTCCGCTTCAGGAATTGTGTTGTTTGTTTGTAACATCTCATTCACTCACTGTTTCCCCGAGGTTTTCCCATAGTATCAATGATTCTTCATTTCATCTTTGTGAATTTCCTCAGATAAAATAAGTAGAGAATCTCAACAACATGCGGCGATGTCTCAAGCTTGCCGACTCTGGCTATCACAAGTGAATGAGGTTGTTTTCCAAGCATCACTCCAGATATTGTGATTCTGGACCACGGATGCTTCTGCTGACTGACTGCGATTTAAACCTGCAAGTAAACGAGGATGTAGAGTACAGATGTCAAGCAAGCAGGCAAGGAGCTACTTGTTCTACCTCGTCATTCCCAGTAGCAGCTTTAGTGTTGTACTGTGCCGCACATCTGTCTGACCCATTAGCGTGCCGTGGGTTAGCCTAAGGCTATCATACTCAAGGCAAGGCTTTCATATACTAAGTGGTCTCTGTGACGAGTGTTTCTATCCCAACCATAACTTCGTGTCATACCTGCACCAAGATGAGGACTCCAGATCGAGTATGAGATCAGACTACTGCATAAATATCGCAACTTGAACGTTGACACAACTCGAAAATCTGGACCACCTTGTTTACTTCCGTAACCTCCGCACCATCGACCGTCCGAGCCATCGCACAGCTAGCACTCGAAAGCATAGACTCATCTCGATAACTCGTCCCCAGCATGACCGATCATATAATCGCCTTGGCCACGTTCGAAGACCCAGCGAAGTTTGAAGCCGCAAAACTCTCTTGGATCGAAGCTGGATCAATGCCATAGGGGGCCGACATGTAGTAGTTCATCTGGAAATCGAAGAAGGAACCGATAGCGTAGGCGTAGATGACGAGGGTCGCCTGCGTGAGGCCCGGAGACGCTGGTCGAACTGATCAGTAATCCTTCTCGAGGCGTTTATTTCGAGGATCGATGGTAGCTTACGGGGAACCAAATAAGCGCCGCCCGTACCCTGGCTCACACAGTCCCTCATGACGAGCTGAAGCGCTTCGCCGAAATCGGTCCAGCGAGACTTGCTGCTCGCATAGATTCTTTGAGGTCCAGCATAGCTCAGCAACGCAACTCTGAACTCATCTAGAGAATTGTGGATCAGATACGGTTGTGTTCACAGAGACGCCATAGATAGATAGAACGTACTGTTTCCCCAGATCTTCGGAACCTGAACTTTAGGTTCCGTAGCAACGACGGGCGCAAATGGCGTACGTTGCAACTGGGGTTCGACAAAGAACCTTCTCGTGTAATCAAACGGTGGCAGTTGCTGTGCGGTGGGGACGTCGGCGGGTTCGGGTGATCCGGCCCACTTGCCACACCAGTGGTCAGCCGCATTTTCGGTAGAATTTTCCGCTTGAGCTTGGCAGAGGCCAGCAGCGGCGACCAAGATTGAGGTGAAGGCAAGCAAGTACATGGCTGTAGAGGCGAAGCACGAAAAGGAAGTATCTTCTCAGAGACAGGATCTGATCCTAAGAAAAAGCAGCCATAAGGAGCCTCTTATATTCCAGAGAGCCTTGGTCTGTGAGAAGAGAGTGGTCCCCTTTCCTCATCCATCTCTTCGATCGTTGGATTCGCATCGCGTTGCATGAATCTAGCACGACGGAAGGACCTATGTACAAGTCATTTGCTTCGGACGCTTCTCCGCTTCCCCATGAGTTTTTGCGGGGTAATGGGGAAGTTAGTAACCCCTCAATGTCAGGCGCACTGGCAGAGTTGGAAGTATCCATTCAAGCGAACCATAGGTTCATATGGCTACGGAACATGCACTGAGCATGACCTTAGGCTTATGGGTAAAGTAGCGGAAGCGTAGCGAGTTCCAGGAATGTCGGTCAAGAAGAAAATCATGATCACGTGTTTCTTGCGCAACAGATGTACATCTCGACTGTTCGAGACTTGCGCCTTTCTCGCTCTTGGAGAAGCGACGTTTCGCACTGAGACAATGCAGTCATACGCGCGTAGAACGGTTCTCGGAAGATGAGACCCTAGCCTTTCTTCTCAGGACTTGTAAGCCTTGACGTGGTCGTAGATTTCGAGGATACCTCATTCGAGGTCGAAGCCTGCATTTGGTTTTCAATTTCCAACAAGTCTGAATAGAGTCCAAACTTCGTGAAGACGAAGACTCGCATAACGCTAGTCGCCAATCAATCATGACGCACACGATTTTGGCTTGCATGCGCATTCTCCTAAGAACGTGTAAGCAGGCGCTTAAAGTAGATGGCCGCGCAAATGAGCAGGAATTGTCCATCCAATCATGACCCGTTTTACTTTATCCCGTCTCGCTTGCGTGCTTTTATATCTTGAGAAAGGTAGCCTCTAGGCTATCGCCCAAATGAGCGGTATTTCTTCCCACCAGCCAATGCGGAGTTCGCTCGGGGGCATGATCTTTGAGGACACGCACTAGAAGACGGCACGATGCGCTGCTAAACTCTGTGGTTATTCGCGGAAAGATTGTCTCGTAAGACGTTCTAATGTACCTCTGTAAGCGTGGGACTCAGCGGTTTCCCGCGCGGATAAGCAGCACTATGGTTTCGACTTGCATCTCAAAATCTTCCGTAGATTGCATCCGTTTGCTATTCACCATCGATCTGCTAAGCATGTTTAATTGCGTGTCGCTAGCAATGTTTACAGATGTTGGTGCGTCTTCTTTTCGACTGGTAGTACTGGCTGTTGCACTATCGTCCTCGTTCGCTGTGATTCTCGCCTTACCTGCGTTTCCTCTATCACCAAACCTCTCACCTGTCCAAGTCAACACCTCATCACTCCTGATCTCTCCGAATCCCGGTCCCCCACAGGAACCAACGTGTCCCCCCACCGAGCAATGGGGCGTCACCCTTGGACACCCCTCATACGACGACTGCGACTACATCCTCTCAAATCTCTATCCCAAAGACCCACTGTCCAAACCAGTCCTGCGCAATTTCTATGTTGCACCTGCGGACGTATCGCACACGATGTCGAATTTCAAACTGCCGTATGAGGAGAGTTACCGTAAGCGATTTTCCAACAGACCAAGCAGAGTGAGAGGGATCTTTGGTTGTGCTAATCTCGCAGCAGAGACATGCAGCATCCAAATGCTGTTAGCGGCGGACTTCATCAACATCCCGAACGATGAGGCCACCTGGAATGATCTCAGAGGCGCGACGCGGACAATACTCAGGACGTGCATTCGCGGGAGGGGATTAGGAGGCGTGATCACCAAGAACGGTATATTTTCCATACCAATGACCCATATCAGACATCATAGTTTCCGATAACTGACTTGCGATTTAGGAAAGCATGGCAACATAGAAATTGTTGTATACGGCAAAGATTCAATATTCGCTAAGAACCAGATATTGAAGAACTCGCCAGACCAACTCGCTAGATCGATCGCGGCACAGGAGTTGTTGGAGTTGATGAACATAGTGATAGTTCCGGAAACTGATCAGCCAGAGTCCGAGGTCAGGACTGTGGCAAATAGAACAGTCAACCCCACAAGCGAAAGCCGGTTGATCACTGCCGGGGTACATGTAGAGACATCTTGATCGGCGTGGCTCTTTGTGTGACAATGTTGTGATAGAAGGATATTCTGGATTTAGGGCTCGTCAGACGAAGCCATGATACGGCTTTTTTGCTTGCGTGACGTGGAATTGGGAAGTCAAATGTGTCATAGTATTAGACCGAGAAGACAAGGTGCTCTCGACTATTTGGCAGTTGACCATCAAGAGAACACTAAGACAGCTCCTGCAGCTCTGCAATCGAGATAACTTGTAGAACAAGATGAAACGAAGAGGCCCTTGCTGGAGAATTGTACGGAGCAAGTTCGCGCCAGCATGAAAGGTGGACATCCTTCCATTCACTCTCGCAATGCTTGACATTTTGAACGGAAAGCAACTAGGCAGCTCTTTGGCCTATTATGGCTACCAGGACCATGGCACAACGAAAGAGCCCAGAATATTCTTAACTCGATCAGTTCCACAGCGCGTCTGGTGCTCCTGAACTTCCCGGTACGGACGGATCAATCCGGTGGGCTGGTCCACCCATCGACCTGTCGACCTGGAACTTCAGCTTTCTAGCGAAAGTACCGTCCAGTATGATCAAGCGCACGATGACATCGCCGGTATGCTAAGTGATCTTGTCAAGGTCCCAAGGCTCTTTGGGGAATAACCCTATCGACAGAGATTCGAATTTGATCAGGTTAGAGGTAAGCCAATGGGGACACAGTTGTATCGAATTTGGCATGGCTATGTGTTTCTCGCCAATGTCACCAATTCCATGTATCACGCCAATCCCCCGTGTTGGTTTAGCTACTCTTGACCACGGTCGTCAGCTCATTCTTGGTCGACTAAGTCCTATGGCGTCCCTTTGCAGGTCCGTCGGTGACATCTAAATGTCCGAGATCACTGTCATTGACATAATCTGATCGCTCGTCGCATGGTTTGTCCCAGATATCGATATGACCGTAGTCCGTCTCGCTCTCCACCTTGATGTCGTATAGTTGCGCACAATGAAAAAATTGTTAATTTGGCAGAAACATATAGAAAGGCTGTTCTTCAAAAACAGATCCGATTTTAGAAGCTCCAAGTGATGGGATGAAAGCTGAATGCCTTTGCTGGGTGCTGGCGTTTCATGAATAGACACACCCATTTTCACTTCTTCTGCCTGCTTGATAACGAAATAGCGTCGTTTTCCGTTTGAAGCATTGGCGCCGCTGGGTCCCGTGCTTCCATCTAATGTCTTCAACGTGGAAGCAACGTTACCAGTCACCAGCGACGTATCCTCGTGTTGCGATTCCAGCAGAGGACCAGTCATACAAAACAGAGGTGAAAACTCAGGCAATTCGGCTATGGCCGCACCACCGAAAATTTATGAATCTCAATGATATCAGGCTGTGACCGTCGCCAGCATTGGCAACCTCTAGAATGGTACCATCAAGGGCGCTGCTGTGGATCTCGACCACGCGTTGGCGAGGTTCCGGCCGTATTATCGTGACCTTGGGTTCGAAGTGTGTGAAAGCCAACAAGATCTGGGTAACAATCCAAGTCTTGGCATAATTCAAGCAGTTTCTTAAAGCTGACCTTGGCTACCGGAAGCGTTATGCTATCGGATTTCTGGGGGCGACAGGTGACGGTATCAACCTCTCTCTCTCAAAATTGTGGGTACCCCAAGAGGCACCCTCTACCATTCTTGGCGACGCTGACGGCGTCCAATACCCCCGCTTTTCTCGAGGAGGAAAGTATAGCTGTAAGACCGGCGAATCGACTTCGACGGCACCTGCCATCATTCTAGCTCTGATGCGAGGCTCAATATAGTTTTTGCGTAGAACACGCTGTAGCTTCAGCCTGGTATAGAGGGCCAAAGTGAAAGTGAAGAAAACGGGTGATACGCCGAGGACGGCGAGAGGAATACCAACGTAGGTGATGACATCTGTGGCCGACAATATGCTGTAAGAAGGTCAGTGTATGACTGATCTATGGATGCGGAAGCACTGTGGTGAGTGAAGTAGACTTGAGCAGGTAAGGCCACTAGTGGAGAATGAGGTCAAGTAGCCTGCCTGACGTTCAGAGCTACTTTGCAGCTTCTCATCAAAAAATGCTTGGATAGTTATTCCCCGAAGATGACCCTTTGATTCACAGTGCTACGAAAGCATCAAGGATTTACTAAGGGCCAGTTCGGTAACCACATATTTTGAAAATAACCCCTACTTATTTTCAACTTAGCGTCATATATATACAGGGTATCGTTCGGTTACCATATTTTCAGAATATATTTTCAAAATATCTGAAAACAAGCCTCGAGCCTTGTTTTTGGCAAAATAAGGCTAAGCACGCTAAAATAATGGACATCCATGACCAATATACATATAGGTATTAGGGTTACCCTAACCCTAACCCCACCAGTAGGGACACCAGCAGGGACACCAACAGGGACACCAGCAGGGACATCAATGGCAATGATGGGGGCAATAGAAGTATCAATGATAGTCAAAGCCTATGCAGCAGTAGCAGCAGTTGTCTCCGCCATAATGACGTGAAATTATAGAAATTCAATGGTCACTGATGGAGAAGATGATTTTCTCAATTTTTGCGACGTTTCTGACTCAGCCTCAGAAACAGAGTTACCGAACGGAACCGTATATATCAGTATATATAACAGAATAAGATAGGGCTGAGCTTGAAAACCTTGAATTTGTATGTGCAGCCAATCATTAATTCAGGGTCACTACGCTCTTTAGTTAGACCGGCTGAGTCACCGCGGGTAAATAAACTAGCGTCCGCAACCATCAAAAAAATAGGTGTACGTTATTCACAATAGGAATAACTTTTTGTTTTCTATTGAAATTTTGAGATTTTTTTTAAATTGTGGAGCGCCGTTTGCGCTTTCCAAATTCTTAAGAATTTTGAGATTTGGTCTTATGATTATTAAAGCGCAAGGAATTCAAATATCGCTCACCAAAGATCGCTCACCAAAGACCGCTCACCAAATTTACTCGACAGCCCTGATCAAAAAAACGGTTATGAATTTAATTCATAGGCCTTTACTCGTATTTTACATATTTTGAATATAAATTAGTGTCATTTTTAAGCCATATTTTCATTTGCCAAGAGGTGGCGTTATTTAGTGAAAATAAGTAGGGGTTATTTTCAAAATATGTGGTTACCGAACTGGCCCTTAATGAACGGGCTTCGGTCTGATGTAGTTGTCCAAGCTATCGAGCATGCTAGCCATATCTAGCTTACTTGTAGCTGGGATTGAATCCGCCACACTACAGAAGCGGGACGGGTTATGCTCGTTACGACTAGACCAAAAGGTGATCACTAGTAATCCGTCACTAAACAGTAACTTATACTAGTTGTAGGCTTGAAAGCGTATGACCGCTTTCCCACACATATCTACTACCTAGGTATTTGTATGAAACTGCGAGTACAATTATCATTCTAATATCGCACGTCGACTAGAGACTACGATGTAGAAAAATGTGACGATAAGACGACAAGTTTTCATATCCTGAATTAACAGTACAACTTATGACTAACTGCTGCTGAAACGAAGGCTCCCGTCGGCCCGAGTTCCCCCTGCCACCAAAAGACCCGTTCCAACGGCCAACGATTGAGTTGCATGCTATATCTTATTACTACTCTCGATGAGGAAGGAGGAAAGCTCCTCGATGCAATATGTGGAATTGCTGGCCAATCACTGCGCATGGGACGAAATAACGCTGGACATGAGATAAAGGTAGCCTCGAAATCATTATTTCCTTTTGCAACAAATTTCTCTCGTTACACCTTTTTCACGACTATTGTGTGGTAACAAAGACTCAGGTTCTCTCCACATCTGGCCGTCTGAGAGGAAGGCGATCGAACATGGCGGACTCCCTCGACGATAAGACGGCCCTTGAACGGAAAGACCCCGAAACCACCACTGGCGCTGTCATCGAGATCCCCATCAACGCATCCGGGCATAAGCAAGAACTCGACCGCAATTTCAGCTTCCTCGCCATCTGCGGACTCGCCGTCACAAGCGGCAATGTCTGGGTGGCACTTGGAGGAAGCGTGACCGTCGCAATCTATAACGGCGGTCCTCCAGGCGTGCTCTATGAATTCATCGTTGTATCCGTCTTCTACTGGCTCGTTGCAGCTTCAATCGCCGAGCTCGCTTCTGCCATGCCGTCCTCTGGTGGGGTCTATCACTGGGCTTCTATCACGGCCGGGAAATACGGTCGCGTTTGCGGCTGGTTTGCGGGATGGTGGAACTTCCTCGCTTGGGTCTTCGCGATTGCTGCTACTACAGAAATCATTGGGGCACAAGCTGTGTCCATGTACGCGGCTTTCCATCCGGCATTCGTGACGCAGAGGTGGCACGTCTTTGTTGCTTACATCATTGTCAATTGGCTGGCTTGTTTCTGTGTGCTTTTTGCCAACTGGATCCTTCCATTACTGGAACAGGGAGGCGCTTTCCTCATCGTGGCCGGCGTTCTGATCACAATAATTGTATGCGCATCAATGCCGCCTATGCACGCTACCAACGCGTTCGTCTGGAGTGAATGGACAAATACGACTGGGTATTCGAGCAATGGATTCGTTTTTTTACTCGGCATGTTAAACGGTGCCTACTCTGTGGGAACTCCAGATGTAGTAACTCATCTCGCGGAGGAGATTCCCAAGTGAGAGGCCTTGAACGGTGTCAAGTTGGCTACAGTGTTTACTAATCCTCCACCACCAGGCCAAGCAAGAATATCCCCAAAGCTATCCTCGCCCAATTCGTCATCGGCTTTATCACAGGCTTCACTTATCTCATCTCCATCTTCTACAGCATATCCGATCTCAATAAAATCCTCGATAGCACCTTCCTCTTCCCCCTCGCCTCCATTTACCAACAAGCGACCGGCTCAGCCGGAGGAACTCTCGGCCTGCTCATCATCGCCATCTTACCCAACCTGATATCACTACTAGGCTGCTACCTCACCGCTAGCCGCGTGTTCTGGACCTTAGCACGTGATAACGCGACTCCCTTTGCTGGCTTGTTCAGCCGAGTCAGCCACAAACACCGCAACCCTTTCAACGCGATCCTCCTCTGCGCGGTCATCTCCACCATCCTAGCTTGCATCTACCTCGGATCCCAAGCGGCTTTCAACGCCTTTATAGATTCTTTCGTCGTGCTATCAAGTATATCCTACTTAGCAGCCATCCTCCCGCATCTGCTAAGCCGACGGTCCGAAGTAGCGCCAGGCTGGTTCTGGATGAGAGGGCCTACCGGCTTCATCGTAAACGCTGTCGCTTGCATGTACATCATAGTCTTTGTCGTGATATTCTGCTTTCCGTTCTCCATGCCCGTTTCGGCGCCCACGATGAATTACTCCAGCCTTTTGACTGGCGGCACGACGATATTTGTAGCGCTGTTTTGGTTTTGGCGGCAGCGGGAGTATGAGGGACCGAAGTATGTTGCTCCTGATGCTGATATGTTGGCTGCGGACGCCATATAGCATTTTGGATGTATGATTTTGGAGTGTATGAGTTTGGGGATGTGGATATGATACTATAGTGGAACATAAGGGGCCATGATCTGTTATTTGTCCAAATTATTCGTAGTGTCGCTATTCCTGCTGTGGGTGCCAAACCACCTCCAAACCATGAAACTGCTGTTACTCTGTGCTTAGACAATACACCCCAGCGACAATCCTCGACATAGCAGGGACTGTCTGATAGTGAATTCCAGGGGGCGAGATATCTACGATTGTGGCTAGCAATTAACTCGGCTCCAGCTACCTGATTTCACATTCAACTCTTCTCAACACTCGATCACTAGGCCCAGGAACCCCAGTCTTGTTAGTTTGGCGCATCAGCGTCGCCGTATACTGATTCCAAGAATAAGTCTTTATTTACCCCTAAACAAACCGACATTTTGACATATCTCGGAGGAAAATGTGGTGGATATAAGAGGCAACAGCCCCGCCTTCGAACGCAACTCTGCGCGTACTAGGAAAACATCTGTCAAATTCCAGAGGCAATTTTGCTCGAGTCCATAGAAAAATGGCAAGCAACAGAGGGAAGAACCTCAACTACCCAGGTAACTCTGCTCGAAATTATAGAAAACGATCAGCAACAGAGGTAAGAACTCCAACCTCAGAAGTTGTATTACGTACGATAATGAACATATAATAGATAAAATGGAGAATATACCCGACTACAACAGCAATGTGTCTTTTGTCGACGAGAATCTGTCAAACGAAGAGGATAAAGTTCCTACTCCTAATGACAGTAGAGCTCTCGAGCGGGAATGGTCGAGCGAAGGAAAAAAGCTATAGTATGGCTTTGGTGCGGAGACAAGACGGCAACGTTCACGGGAGTAGATTAATGTTGGGTGATAATTTGGCTTTGGGCGGAACTATGAAGGTAACAAACATGGGCAATGGACTGAGCTGGACGCAGGTTGGTCGGCAGAGTTAGAGGTATATGATTCGTAATAGGTTTGATTCCTATTGGCGCTGGCTCGGCTGGTACAATGGTGTTGCGGTTTTTAATTTTCTCGGGATACCTCGTATAGTGATTGTTGCTAGTCCAATGTAGCTTAGTCTGCGTCGACATACGAGTACTGCTGTGATCAGAACATAATTCCAAAGTGAGTGACCTGAGGCGTCATATTAATCCTATATGAATATACGTAGTCTCAGTAGCCTCACGCAGTGAGTCTAAGCAGGAAACCCTGTCAAGCCTCATTTTTTTGGTGGTTTAACTGATATAAGATATTTACCCCTCGTACTTAGTTTTATAAGAAAACGTATAATACTAGAAAATGCGGAATCTTAAAACTAATAAATCCGGTTCATAATACTTAAATGTCTACTTCCTACTAAATACTAAATTTCTATAATAACTCCGTTATATAATAAGAATAAATTACTCTAGTTCTTACTTACTATTATTAAGACTTCTATATTAAAGAACCTAAATTATTATTTTTTAAGCCTTATCGATCTACTAACTCGTGAAAATCTATACCTCTTCTTTTACTATCTCTTCTTCCACTATCTTTTCTTTTACTATCTCTTCTTACTATCTTATCTCTTCTACCTCTTTTTCCATATCTCTTCTATCTCTTCTATCTTACTATTATTATAGCGGTAGAGACTATGACGAAGACTATAGCGAAGACTACGGCGAAGACTACGGCGGAGACTACGATAGAGACTCTAGTAAAGCGAATAATAGTAGTTTTAGTAAGTCTAGCGTTGAAGATATAGTAGCCTTTTTTTTAACTAGACTTCTATCTCTCTTTATATTTTTAAAAATACCTAGTTCGATATAATAATATTTTTAAAATTCCTATTTGAATTACTTTATAGCGAAGTTATTCTTTTCGCTATTAAATAATATTAAGATTTATAATTTATACTTTCTTTTAATATACTTATCTATACTTAATCTTATTCTTTTTTTATTTATTTATCTTAATAAGATTATTATTAATAATATTAAGTAAGATATTAATAGCGAGAGCTAAGCTATATACTTTATTAAGCTTTTCTAATATTATAAAATTATAATTTTTAATCTTTATTTATTAAAGTAGCTAATTAATTTACTTTATATTTACTAGTATATAAAATATAAAAACTAAGTTATTCTTAGATATAATATCTATAAATATATCTAGATGAATAAATTTAACGATAATTCTAATACTTTAAGTTTAAATCTATTAAGAATAAGTTATAATTAAATTAAAAATAGGCTACTCTTTTATTATATATATTTAATATTCTATTTTATTATAGCGTTCTTTCTTATTATTTAAATTATTTAAATAAAATATGCTTTATTTATTAAGTAGCTATCTTTATACTTTATATCTTTCTCTAAATATTTATAATATACTATTATTAAAGATATAAAAAATTCGATATTAAGTAATTAAAGTATATATATAATATAAATAAATAGATATAAGAGAATAATATCGTTATTAGTATAGAACTCTATAACTTTAATATTAATATATAATATATATTCATTATAAATAAGAAGACGATATTATTCTTAAATTGTCTTTCGAGTCTATAGCTTAAAGCTTCTATAAGAGATAAGTTAGAACGCTATTTTAAGAAGCGCTTCTTCCTCTTATTAAATTTATATAAGAAAATAGCTTACTTAATAAATTAATTTAGATCTAATACGTTATTTATTTAATTAATTTTACTTATTCTTAATTTATATAACTTTATTCTCTATAATATTATATTAAGTCTTTATATAACGCTTATCTTTAAAGATAATAATTAATATAAAAAGTCTTTTATTAGCGAATATATATTCGATAAAAATTATTTATTCTCTACTCTTATTCTAAGTTTTATATATCTATATATTATACTTAAAAGATAACGACTTTTATTCTATTAGTAGAATCGAGAGTAATTTCTTTCTTATTTATATTATATATATCTATCTTCTAAATATTATATTTCTAAATTACTAACTTTATAAGTCGAAATTATTATATTAATTTTATTAAATTATAAGTTATAGATTATTCTTTATTTAATAACTAATTATATTAACTTTATAGCTTTTAATAACGTCTTAAAAAGCTAATTATCTTAATTTAAGTCTAGTTCTTTATAATCTTTTTTTACTATTAATATTTCTTTAGTTATATTTTAAATAGAGATAACTCTTAAAGATTAATCTTACTTTACTATTTATAGAATTTATAAACTTAAAGCTTACTCCTCTATAGAACTTAGTTATTATTTATACTTATATACTTCTTAATAAAAATAAATCTTTTTATTAATATGTTAATTAAGAGTAGAATAAGTAATATTATAATATAATATAATTAATAAAATAGTAGACTTCTTTTTATAAGAATCTTCGTTAAGCTTATAGATTATAAAGAGCTTAATTATATTTATTAATTATAATATCTAAACGTACTTCTTTAAATAGCTTCTTTAAAAGCCTTTAAAGAAATTATAACGAAGAGAAATATAATTTACTCGCTATAATAAGAACTATAAATTAATAAATTCTTCTCTTAATCTTCTAAGTTATCTATTTGATAATTAATTAATATTAAGAGTTATATAAATATATCTATTTTAGATTAAGAAGGCTTATAAAAAGACTTATAGAAAGGCTTATAGAAAGGCTTATAGAAAGGCTTATAGAAAGGCTTATATATATCTATTTTAGATAATAAAAGATACTTAGCTTATAATATTAATAGGCGACTTGAAAGAAAAACTCGAATATAATATTTTTAAACGAATTAAATTTATTCGAAGTCTTTAGAGTAAACCTTTAAGGGTTATTTTTTTATATTTAAAAATCGATTACTTAGACCCTTATTATTTAATAATTACTTTATATTAACCTTACTTAAGTACGCTTCCCTTATTACTCTATTTCTAAAGATCTTTTAAAGTAATATCACGTTATTATTTAATCTCGCTATCGTTATCTAGTTCTTTATAGCGATTATATAAATATAATATCTTAAAAAAAACTTACTTAATATTAATATAGAAATTAAAGACTTACGACTCGATTTAACTTGAGAGTACTCGAATTAATTAGAGCGTATTATTCTACGATTTCTTCTTCGCTTAAAAATATAATATTAAATAATTACTCTATAGTAAAATATATTTATAACTATTATTCTTCGTTTCTTCATTAAATCTCTTTAAGATCGAGGTCTTATAATGCTAAAATACTAGATATTAAGACTATTACGTAAGATATATCGTAATTTCTATCTTATATAATATTTTAGAGTATTAAAAAAGAAGTTTAGAAATCTATTTAAGAGTAAATTAGTAGAGATCTAATAAATTTCAGATATATATAAGTGAATATTAGCTATAAATTAGAATAAACTATATACTTATAGTATAAACTCTTATAAGAAATCATGTATAAACACAATGGACGTGTACTGGACTTCGTGGCGGTGCTGTGGCTTAATTACCTGCATGCTTACGAAACATCTGCAGGGCATTTCTCAGCCCCCGTGCCGCATGCCTGCAGGCTGTCTTTGCGCAGCATCTAAAGAGCGAGGATTCCCGATCACCACAAATACCCCTTTGTTTGAGTGACTGCTCGCGAGAGACAGATTCCATACAGCACCGCTGCCACCGCATAAACACTGCCCCAGCAAAGAATTGCTTCTGGTAGCCTTCGGACTTTGCGCGTTTGTGCGGACTCGTGTCTCGCTGTTGATTCGCAGCTCATCCTGCCAAATCCTTCGATGACTGATTGGCTGGCGTCTTTTGGAAGTTCACCACGGCGTCCGGTGCTGAGGAGACTAGGCTCTGTCATCCTTGCCATCGGGTCTACCTGCCACTTTTCAGTAGAACCCTGTCATCAGGCGGTAGCTCGGGCATTTGAGGCGGCCCACTAGACATCTGAGGCACCTTACCATCAAAAGTCCGTGGCATTGATCGACGGCCATCTACCGGATGGATCCGGTCACCGCCATCGGCCTAGGCGCCAGCGTACTCCAATTGATCGGCGTAGCCGGTAAAGCTATTAAGTACCTCAACGACATCAAAAATGCCCCACGAGAGCGTTTCCGCCTTGCTCAAGAGCTAAATAGCCTGTACGGGATACTTATAGAACTCGAGAATCGCGCGGATGAGGCAAAGGCCAGCGGAGATGACGACTGGTTGAGAGGTGTCCAGTCGCTTACTTTCAAGTTCGGCCCCGTTGAACAGCTAGAAACCGCGCTGGAGCTGATTGTGAACAAAGTCAAGCCGGTCTCAAGGTTTAAAAAGGTCGGCAAAGCACTTGTATGGCCATTTACCAGAAGGGAAGTTGAGGAATTACTGAGGCAGGTTGAAAGGCAGAAGTCGACTATCATTTTCGCTCTGCAGGGGGACCAAATCAGCCTAGCAAAGGCCATCAAAGCCGACACCATGCACATACCCGCTCTCATCAACGGAGTCCAGGATATGTCAATCGGAGTGGCGTATCTACAGGATCGTCAAGAAGTGGAAGCGGTTCAGAAGGTCGTTGACTGGTTTTCCCCTCTAAGCTTCGGCGACCGGCACAATGATGTCCTCTCCCGTCGGTGTGAGGGAACTGGGAGTTGGTTCTTTGAGACACCACGAAGCCTCCGCGTGGTTATCAAGCGCGGACAAGGCCTCTTTGTGGTGTAGTGGAATCCCTGGAGCTGGCAAGACCACCATCGCCGCTATTGTGACCGAGCACATCGAGCGAACCCTCGTACACGATCAATCTGTTGCCGTCGCCTGCATCTATTGTAATTACAAGGACAAGATGGTCCAGACTCCAGCCAACCTCCTGGCCAACATTTGGATGCAGATACGCCAGAAAGGAGGACTTTCTCCTGAAGTGGAAGAGCTTTACGCCTCATCTGTGACCAAAGGATCTTCTACCCGCCCAAGGCTTGACGAAGTTATCAAGGTTCTCAAAGCCGAGGTCAACCGGCATGCCAGCGTCTATGTCGTTATTGATGCTCTGGACGAGTGTGAGCCTGCGTACAAATTACGGCTTCTCACGGAGTTGAAGGTTCCTCAAGCCGAAACTGAAGCTAATGGTTACCTCCCGCTACTATGATGCTTTCGGCGCCGATATGGGAGTCGATACTGATATTGAGATAGTTGCAAGCGATGATGATATCAAACGTTACGTACAAGAGAGAGTATCCACAACTCCTAGACTTGGCCGCTGGATCGCTGCGGACTCAACCTTGCAAGCAACGATTGAGACAAAGGTCATGGAGGCAGCACAGAACATGTAAGTCGGCCGCTGATTCTCCAAACGGGTTATGAGCCATGATTTGATGCGGATGCTGATATGGGTGTTTTTAGGTTCCTCATGGCGAAGCTTCTTCTGGACTCTCTTGTTACCAAGATGACGCGAAAGGCTCTGCAGGAAGCTGTCGGAGAGCTACCAAAGACCCTCCTCGACACCTACGATGACGCATTGAGCCGGATTTATAAGCAGAACGAGGATGAGAAAGAGCTCGCTGAGCGTATATTATCTTGGGTATCGTACGCTTTCCGGCCTCTGAACATCATGGAGCTTCGACATGCACTTGCCGTAACAACAGGTGAAGACCACTTTGATGAAGCCAACATGCCAGACGAGGAAGATCTCCCATCTGTTTGTGCGGGGCTCATCTACATTGAAGAAGGTAGCAAGATCGTGCGTTTGGCTCATTATACCGCGCAGGACTATCTTGAGAGTATCCGCGACCAGAATTTCGTTGATGCGCGTCGCTTACTAGCAGCGACCTGTCTCACTTATTTGACTTACGATGGCAACCGACTTTGCTGCAATGGCCGGCATTACGTCTACCGTTTTGGCCGAGATGGATATTACAGCGACAACGTCGATGGGCTCTTGGGTTGTCCTTATGCCATGCAAATATCCAATGCAAGTGAGACAGCAAAGGATGTAGTAGACGGCGACAAGACTTCCTTCTACCATGCTCAGAGTGGAACACCGCTAGCACTCTATCAATACGCAGCGCACTACTGGGCACGTCACTTAAAAGACCGTCTTGAGAAAGACTTGCAATCGTTGGCCGTGAAGTTCATCCTCGATGACATGAACCGTCAAATGGCCCTCGGAGTTCTCCGACAGCTCTGGTGGACCTCACGTATCAAGGGACCGTTGACAGTCGCTGTGCACTATGATCTCCGTCATATATGCCACACCCTTCTAGAAGAGCAAGTTTATGATTTAAATAACGAAGAAGGGGAAGGCTACAATTCTCTACTCTCAGCCGCCGAGCTCGGACGCGATCAAGTCATCAAGCTACTCCTGCAGCAAACAGATCTCCAAAGCCTCATAGATGCCGACCGAGATTTCGTCCTCACGCCCCTCGATTGGGTCGCATGGACCGGTAATCGTGCTGCCGTTCGGTTTCTCCTACAAAGCGCCGGCCTCGTAAGTGCAGACGATATGACACCAGAGTCGGGCAGATACTCAGTCTACAAATCGCAGAAGCTGCCAGAGAATGATGATCCACTAATTGAAGGCCTCGAATCCATGAACATATTCGCTACGATACCACTCATTGCAGTCCTCAGCAACGTCTCGACCCTCCAGACAGCACTTTCCCAACCGGGCGCCGACATCGAAGACCGCGACCCCACGCACGAAAAGACCGCTTTACACCACGCCTCACAATCCGGTCGCACCGGCATTGTCGAGCTACTCCTCTCCAAAGGTGCTGATGTGCGAGCCAGGGACTTCTACGGCGAGACTGCCCTGCACTACGCCGTCGACAGCGGTAATCTAGAGGTAGTCAAGCTTCTTGTAGAGGCGGGCAGCGATCTAGACGCGCGCAATGAGCTTGGGAAACTGCCGACTGAGATGCTACGCATCAGGGTGGGAGACATACCGTGTCCGATCCATCAGGATGAGCTATGGGAGGAGACACATGAGTTTTTGTTTGGGGAAGTGGTGAGGAAGGAGGGGAAGGAAATGCAGTTGAGGCAGACGGAGAGGAGGGAGGTGCGCAAGAAGTATGGGGCCAGCTGGAGGGAATTCCATAAAGAGGCTGAGTAAGAAGGGGCTTGAAATGCTGCTATGCTACTTTAGGGCAGTATGAGGTTATCAGGACAAGATGACAAATTTTGGTTCGTTTGAACCTCCAGTCAAATTTGGTGCGGGCTTGATGATTATCATGCGTTACGTGGCTGACGGGGCTCTGTAGGTCTCCGCAATGATCGTTTGTTGCCAACAAAGCTCAGCAAACACTTCTAACACTACTCAAGTATACGAGAGACCTCCTATGCCCTTCACTAGATCAACTTTTTCCAAAATGCTAGCCCGATGGGCTAGCAATCCTCTGATCCGTTTCCTCGACACACTCAGACTTGTTCATTAGAAGAACAACCTGCAAGCCCAGGGAATGCGAACAATGAAACCTCAATTCGCGTATAATTGGTATACCTCAGACCGATGACTCATCAGCAGCTATCGTTAAAATGATCCGAATGGCCACCATACATTCCGTTGACAAAGAGCCCTTCGTCTCTCCCTTCCCCACTCTCAAAACCATCCGAGCCTTTCTATTCATCTCATCCTTCGCCGCGCCTTCTTATTTTCTCCGACGACAACAGAGACCGCACAGTATCGGGCGAATCTAACTCGACGCAGTAATTTAGCGCCGCTCAAGTGCTCATTGAGCCTCACGCATAGGCCTACAGATGCATATAGATCAACCTAGGTTCTTTCTCCACTCCCAGGAGACTGGGATGCTATATATGAGATACGCTCCAGACAATGTTTGACGAAGTAGGTAGAACTGTGGGATTTTAGTCCAACCGTGCTTAACACTTCACCCTAGTGGCGTCTTCGTGCGGGTCATGTCGGAGAATAGGTCTATTATCTTGATGGTCTGGTACTTATAAGTTGTGACTAATTGGCAGCAAGCCACTCGAGAAGGCGGAAGATGAGAGAGCATGTTAATTATATACAGTATGTATGTATGGTACTTGAGAACGATGATATCGCTGACAGCAATACTAGTATCTTTGAACGGAATAATGGACCTGCCAAAGCTTTTGGATGACGGAAGGCGACGGGTTTCTTCGTTGCCTGGTGCTAAAGCACAATGACGCCCAGGCTTGTCTTCTTGGCTCGTACATGTCTGGCTCGGCCATACTGTGCAAGATTTCACCCTTTGTATGTCTGGTTCGGCCGTACAATGAGAAGTGTCGTGGAATTTCTTTGTGCAGGAAACATAGCTATCTGTCGAGTCAATGCGGAGTATAGTGTCATGTGGCTACTTGTCGGCTCACGTTGGGACTGCTCACCTGGCTATTTCCTCTCGACTTATCCATACAACCTTCGGCCAGCTCTTTTACGTATCCCCAGTCTCCCATCGCTGCTGCAAAAGAATCGAGAAATCTCATACTTTGGAATTCACCGCCCCAATTGTTCGAATAACTCTACATACGACTACGCCGGAAGGCGAGTAACTGGTCTACTCCTGTTGTTTCTTCTCAAAAGCTTATCCTTGTGTACCACAATATGACAGTCAGAGGCGCGACCCAGAGAGAGAGCCCGGATGGCCATGTTCTCTTCATAGAAGAAGTTCGGAAACACCTAGGTGTGAGGGCCAACGCCGGCGAAAGTTCTTCCTTAGCCGATACCATTGAAGCCCGCCCCAAGGTCCTCCTCATCGGTCACGATATGCATGACGATTTTCGGAAGATGAGACAAGACGGCATCGATCTCCAAAAACACTTCCAGTACTCGGGTTGCGTCGATACCCAGGTAGTTGTCGAGGACACAGGTGCAAGCATGGGCAAAGGGTTGAGCGATCTGATGTCACACTACGGACTGGCCAAGCTCGAGTTCAAAAAAGTAGGTTGCCCCAGAATGCCAGGCAAATGGGTTTTTGTGGGCGCCCACTGCTCGGGCAACGATGCCGTCGCAGCTTTGGAGTGTCTTATCGATCAAACCTTCGATCTGAGCCTAAGGACACCCGGCGACAAGGACTCCGTAGGCCTGGAAGATCTGCCTGAAGACTGGTTGAAGAAGCCTCTTCAAGGTATGAACATGGATTTGATCCTGCTGAGCTACGACACCGAAGGCGTAGAGACGCCTAAACTACAAACCAAAAGTCGTCAACCGTACGAGCGAGCACGGCTTCGCATGGATGCGCGTCGCCGACTTTGCCCATATTCCGCCCGGAGACCATGGGCAAAACTGGCGTTCCTTTATCCGCGCACGACACTGGATAAACCACGATTTCCGCAACTTCTCGAATTGGTTCTACTGCATCGGCAATCCGAAAGGCTTCTGGCCCAAGTATGGCGAGTCACAGTATTACCATGTGTCGGAGGGTCCGGCCCCGTTCCATAAGCTATTCGAGGAGCTTGCAAATGCCACTGCTGGCGCTTCCGAAGGGTTTGATACCGTCGAAGAAGTCACAGCGATGCTCGAGCAGACAACACTCGAGGAGGAGCGCACACCGGCCGGTGGACGTAACATGGCCATTACCCGAGGCAATGCGAACAATGTTAGAGGAGACATGACCAACAGCAGAGGCATGCAGCCTCCCTTCCGAAGCAACGCGAAAAACATCGGGGAGGATACCGCGGCGATTAGAGGCAATGATTCAAGCTGGGCACAGATTGGTCAAGGCAACGAAGGCAAGAAAATCCAACAGCAAAGCCAGTGAGACAGGAACAAGCAAGAAGGGTGGACGGCAGCGAGGGCTTTTACAATCGGAAGCGCATGTTAGGGTACTACTTCCTCCCTCATTAGGTAGACAGGCCAATGTCGAAATCCTCTGACAACACAACTCACGCCTGCGAATGATGGAGTACGCCTGACTGGTTTAGGAAAGCGTGAAGACTATGGGGAAACGCGGAAGCGCCTTGATTCCGAGGGTCCAGCCCCTTTCCATCAGCTATTCCAGGAATTTGCGAGTGCCGTTGTTGCCAACGAGAGCTCTGATGCGATAGATAATGCTAATATAAAGGGAATTGCCACTAAAGAAGAGGTCACCATATCACTCAAGAAGACACCGATTGAGAAAGACACAAGGGTCTTCGAGGAAAATATGATAGAAACGAGAAGTAACAGCCCAGCCTCCGAGACAATATTATGCGCAGTAGAGGAAATACACCAAACTTCAGAGGCAATTCCGCTTGGGCAAGTGAAAATAAGGCAAGTAACGGAGGCTACAATCCCAATGACAGAGGCAATTCCGCTCGAGGTTATAATAATATAACAGGCAAAAAAGGCTATAAACCCAACTATAGAGGTAATTTTGCTCGAGAAAGTGAAAACCTGGCAAGCAACAGAGGCTACAAGCCCAACTACAGAGGCAAATTCTCTCGAGGTAATGGGAATATAACAGGCAACACCGCAACACCATTGTACCAGCGCCAATAGGAATCGAACCCATTACGCATCAAATACCTCCAACCTAACAACAGAAAGCGACGTGCCAAGCCTCTTCCGGCTCGGCCTCTGTATTGGGGTCTCCTTCAACTAACCCCATATTTCTGCACCCCACAAGATTCAGCGGTCACGTTTGGTACCCGGATGTTTGTAAATTGAATCATATACATTGATGAAGAATCCTATGTACAGACACCGAGTTTGGATGGTGAGTAACTCTATGAAAAAACCCCTTTCCCTAGTGATGCGTTCTCGAAGTATCCACGCTAATAGAAAGACATACCACCCTGGTAAAAATGCGCTTAGAGTTGATTGAATCACAAAGCGGAATAACGACAATTCCCTCGAAAGACTCAAAGAAACTTCCCAGCCCACGGTTGCTGCGACTATTGTCGCGGATTATATACCGATGCTCAACCCCCTGCCAGATGCCTATGGCTCACAGCTGTTCCTCGGCATTAGCATCATACCCTTCGTGCTCCTCATAAACCCATCGAAAGTCTGGCTGCTGCAACGTCCCATCCCCGTTGCGAGCCGCCCATCTCCCCCTCCTCATCGGCGCACGGAAATGCTCCGATTCTCCGGAGCCCTCCACTTCTCAACCGCTCCACCCCACGCCTTCATCCGGAACAGCTCCGGCAACGGGTCCAACCGTTGCGGATTCTTCTCCGACTTCCACCAAACCCGGAAGGCGGCCCGGATCTCTCGATACTGCACGTTGTAAGTATCCTCCAGGTTCGTGACCGGGGCCGCTTCACCCGTCCACTCCCGGTAGGCCTCTCGCGTGTATCTCAGGGCACTGTCGAGGCTCTGGGATTGCCAGCCGTTCACCGGCCGCACATCACGGAAGTCGGAGGGTGCTCCGGGCTCCGCTTGGGCTGGCGGAGGCGCCTGTGGTGGATCTGGGCCTTGTGCGTCGGCCGCTTGGGGAGCTTCGTCGAAGTTTATAACGGTCCCGTTTATATATATGTGCTGTGGCGGCGTCAGGTGCGCGTCCTCCACTGGAGCTTGGGACACATCCGGGATGTTCTCATTGGTGTGTAGTTGCGGTGGAGGTAGGCGCGCGTCCCATTCTGCCTTGCGCTCTTTCTGCACCGTTGCAGCCTTTGGATTCTGTGCCGGGGGTGAGTAGTAGCTTTCGGTGGCGGTTATATCCCGTCGCTTTGGCTTTGGTTCACTGGTGTGCTCATCCCAGTTACTCTCTTGCTCTTGCGGCTCCTGTTCCCCGATATCCTGCTCCGGGACATAGGCGTCCTGCTCCCATTCACCCACGTGATCTTCCCTTCTGTGCTTTCCGAGGATCTGCTCAGGCAGATGTCCCTCGGAAAGACGTTGAAGGTACTCCGAATGACGGGAGGGTGCATCAGTCGTGCCTTGGTCCACACTCTCGTTCGAAGCAGCAACAAGAATCGGGCCTCCGTACACATCGCCGTTTAGTGGATTGCTGGGCCCAATATCCGCAGCTGGTCTGTCGTAGAAGCCTCGACCGGTATTACTGAAATTTCGGCCCGCTGCATCCCCATATGATCCGAGTAAGTCCGGCATGGTCCTAAAAAGCTCCTCTGGTGACTTCAACGGGCCCTCTGTGTCCTCATTGAAATCGCACACAGGCTGTGAGGTCCCAAGAGGCTCCTCTAGCGACAATAATGGAACTGGGGCACCTTTTGCCCCATAATACCGTCGTCGAGGAGTCCTTTCATACTGAGCACGACGCTGAGGCCCAGGGACTATACCAGGATTTTCCGTCTTTGCGTTGTCGCTTGGACGGGGGCGCCATTTTCTGAATCTCTATCCGCTTGGACGCTGGACTCAAATTGGCCGGCCTGGTATCCCATATTCTGTAGTTGGCCAATCTGCTGCTGTTCCGACGGTGAAATTTCCGCGCCTCGCTCCTCCTGAGTCTGGTTTTGGATCACCGGATTTCCAGACTCGACATAACCGTATTGGGCATTATGGGCTGATCTTCCCACTCCTGCGGCCTCCTTTTTCCTCGTATATATATTCTGGTCAACTTCGTCTGAATCTTCGCGCCCACGTCTTCCCAGAATCTGTTTGGGCGCTTGATACAATCTGCGACCGCCTTGACCCAAAGTGTCTCCTTCATGCTTCGGAGCACCATTCGTGCCATTGATGAACCCTTGGTGCTGAACAGGTGGACCGTCTTGAATGTTGTAGGTATAGTCAGGGGATGGATTATGCTGTGGCTGATACTGCAACCCCCGGTAGTTGTTTTGCCCGATAGAGCCTTGTGCTGACCACATCTGCCCTCTGCATTCCTGCTGCAATTGGTCCAAGCGGGTATCAGTCTCCAGCCCGATGCCCTGATAGTATGGTACCCTTTGGTTCTCCGCAAAATGATTGTTGCCCAGAGAATGCGCCTGCTGGTTTCCTGCGGAGACGTTGATGTTTTGATACGGTGACGGGGCTGTACCATATGTGCCACTGTACGAGCGGCCTCCAGCCTCCAAAGTACTCGTGTTCTGGTACGGCGTCGATGCGGCACCAAACGTGCCATAGCGCTGTGGTTGCGAAGACGCCGGCTTTCTATGACCATTTCGCGAGCGACCTCCAGACTTGCTCTTCCGTTGAGCAGGATTCGAGTCTTGATCATAACCATCCTCGTCCTCACGAGGACGCTTTCCGAACGCACTGCTGGCCTTCCCTGCATCTGCTTCAGCCTTCTCCTTGCCTTTCTCGATCTTCCTTAGTGTCTTTTGCAAGTTCTTATTCCGAGTCTCCTCATCCAGTGCTCGCGACTCCCCCGCCCTCATTCCGTGCTTTCCAGTGTTTCCTAGCTTCACTGAGTCCTGCTCCCATGGGAACAGGTCCCTCGCGAACCCTCTCGTGGAGCCGGTCAGGGAAGGATCAAATCCGTTTTCAGCGAAAAATGCCTTCAGCCCTTTCCTAATCTTGTCGGTGCCTTGACGTATGTTCCCTGCCACTGTGCCTTTCTCGTCTCGGAAGCGCTGCGAAGGCATGTTTACGTGCGTGTTAGGACTTCCGATGTATTTGGTGATCAGATCATACGTCTTCGGCTTTTTCTTTCTGATCCACCTTGGCATTCTGGCCCACTCATCTTTCTGCGATATGCTCGTGTTTCTAAGTCGCATCACTTGCAACTTGTACCCTTCTGTCTCAGCCGAGAGCGTGAGTGGCATGTCCAGGTGCTTCTTGACAGGATTGTTGTGAGGGTCCAACAGAATCTTGTTGTCCTCAAACCAGAATCCGGGATTTGGCCGGGGGTTAGGCTTGCGCTTCTTCTTCGCTTGGCCCTTGTCCCCAGCCTCCTTATCATCTGGGTCGCCCTCTGGCTTGTCTTTGGGCCAAACGAAACATTCGTCTGGGCAGTCATCACGGTTCGGACCCAAGTTCTGATGTGGGAGATAGAAAGCCGTCTCGCTATGTGGCAACCCATCGGTGGGATCAGGATGCACTGTAACTACCAGTCAGTCTTGGCACCTGACGATCTGATAGTTATACTCACGATATTCCTTATCCGGATGCTCAGCCTGGGCTCGCGCGATCAGAATCTCCCTATAGCTATGGTGTGAAGCGGACTCCTCTGTACACGTCAGCATGGTTCATTCAAACATGGAGCAGAAGCATTATAACTTACGCCATTGCTCAGTCTCCGGGTTGAACCAGACTTCGGCACCGTTTCTCGTCCCGGTACGACCCCATCCTCGCCTACGCCGACTCTCTATTACGCCCGTGTCAAGATCTATCCGGTAGTAGTTTAGATCATCTGCAGGGTTGAATTTCGGGTCGTTCTCTGTCACCTCCGTATCGGCCTCCTCCGCGCCTTCATGGTATGTGTTGGGTTGTTGGCTAGAGTACATGGAGTCCTCACGACCATGGGTGTTGCCGGAACCATATTGCTGCACAGTGCTTTCCATTTGGTAAGGTGTTCCCGAGGAAAGTCCAGATGTAGATTGTGGGGAAGGATTGAGTGTGCCATAAGCAGAGTCAATGCCTGATGTATTGACTACTGATCTTTCTCCATTCTCGACAGAATGTAAGTGGGAACTAGCCGCATATGTGTCGAAATCTCCTTGTGGAATTGGCGTGTGGTAGATGGGGCTCGTGTGCTCGTGATCATCTTTCTTTGTCTGATGTTCGTCCTGTGCCACAGTGTCTGGAAAATCCGAAAGGTCTCCGTTGGCGGCATGAGCCTCGGGGTTCTTCCACTCTTCTGAAGAGAACACGTCAGATTGGAATTGGAACTGTTGTTCATCATCCCCACTTGTCAGACCGACTTGTTGTTGGCCAAAGTTGGACGTGTCGCTTGCTGGATTCATGTCTTGAAGTTGTGTTATCTTTTCTTGACCTTCCCCGAGTTCGTTGGGCTCGAACAGATGATGCTGAGACACACTCGTCAGACCGCCTTGCCGTTGACGGTAGCTGGAAGAGTCATTGTCTGGGATGGTGTTTTGGAGACTTGAAACTTCTCCTTGGGCTTCCACAATCTCGTTCGGCTCATACCGCGATTGGTGTTCCCCGTATGACAGACCAGCCTGTGGATGCCCATAGCTCGCATTGTCAAAGTCAAGATTGAAGTTGGCAGGGTCGAAACCATTGATGTCGACACTATCATCAAGGCCATTGCCAAGTTGAAAATCTCCCTGCTGCAAAAAACGGCTTGGCTCGGAGTATTCAGACATAGTGCTGAGACTCGCAGAGCACGCTTTAGCTTGACTAAAGGTAGAGTGTCAGCAATGTCTTAACGTCATTGGGTTCCTAGGTAAGGTGTTTGGTAAGATTAGTGTTGATGCGTGGGGAAGACCTGATATGAAGAATGGAAGCGGTCCGGCCACAGAGGTGCCCAAGTCTCGTCTTGGTCATAGTGTACGTACCTGAAGGTGTTTGAAGGTTGGTGACGGAGTTGGCGAAGCTGTGTTGCCACAATATAACGAGGGAGCGATGTGAACGAGATCTGTAGGTATCTCAATCAGTCTCATGCAAAATGTTCGAATGCTATGTGCTTTGTGGAAGCAATATGAGAACGGATGTTGCGGAAATTCGGTGATGAATGGCTGGTGGTAAGAGAACGGGAAGTTGTAAGGAAGAAGTGCTCTTATACTGGGAATGTGACCTGGAGGTCTTTGTGTCGACACTAGCCTGAGAATCTTGATGTGTTTGGAGTTGCTGTGTTTGTGTCGACACTAGCCTGAGAATAGAATTCTGAATATGTGTTTGGAGTTGCTGTGTTAGGAAGATGGTGTCGAGTCTTTTCTCTCCTTTTCGTAAGACCACAAGCATATAGGGGTAATTACGCGTTTCCTTACCTCAATAAGCAGCAGTAACCACCGAGTAGCCTCAGCAAGAGGACCAGTATGCCACAGAAAGACTCCAGAGTCTATCAGTCAAGGGGCTCGTCCACAGCATCATCTTTTCCCAATGTCAACAAAAGGCTTGGCGCCGGCGGAACCTAGCTTCATCGTGCCAAGACTGCTTCTATGTCGTAGCCTCCGGCCGGCACCCGCTGACCACTGGTTCATCATGCTGGTGTCATCGTCTTGCAGCGAAGTCGGCCCCGCCATCATATCAACATCTCCTCGTGCTTCCCGATTTTGCAAGCCAACGTCGACAGAAAACAATGGCTTGGCTGATGCAAACCCTCCAGTCTAGAATGATATGCCTGTATGGCTTCAATTTCAGCTGGGCGGTATCTTCCCGGTACAGGTCTGGCCCGCAAACTGAGTCGACTTCTCATGCTCCCTTGAAGGACACCGCAGGATTCTCAATCAGGGGAACACAGACAGATCCGGGAACAGTGCTCGAAGCGGAATCGAATGTTGCTTTATCAGTCGGGCGTAGCGGCGTTCCGGAGCTCCAGTCCGAACTCATGAGGATCTCTCGGTGCTCCTATGGAAGAATCGTGGCCGTGGGAGGCATGTTTTGATGGGCTCCGATTGCCTAAGCCGAAAAACTCGTGAACCTGCATCGTGTCAGCCCTCATGGGTACTCGTATCTCATCACGACGTCCTCGAAACTCACCGCTGTGTTCTGCTCTCGTGTCCTCGAAGGAAAGATATCTCGAGACGTTCTGATCACAAGGATCAAGCGCTTAATGACCATAATGGGTCAGCATGTACATGGCGGCCATGTTGATCAGCTCGTCGCTAAGGACAGGGAATGCGGGAGCGAGAAACGACAGGAGGAAGAGTAGGAAGCCCTAAACGCTCGGTTGAGACGGGTAATGGAAGGGATTGTCAAAGAACACTTACGTGATTGACAAAACGCCTCTTGGAAACTCATGTTCAGCGCGCTTCACCTTCTGCGCTTCGACCGGCTACAGAATCATGACCGCAAGCGGTTGTCGCGTCTTTGTGAAGTGGTGTTTGTAGACACTCGTGGGGATGCCGGCGCTGCTTGCTCTCAGGCGATCTTCCCGCTCGATCTCCGGGTCGTGCATCGCCAGCGCCTCGAGAATAGGGCCGCTGCTAGCAACTGCTTGGATTCTAATTCGAAGCGTTCAGAGTACTCAGCCCTCTCTCGCTCCTAATCTTCAATGTAGGAAAAAGATCAGGTGTTTCGAAGACCTGGAGATGATAGAAGGTAATGTAAGGCTAGCATCTCAAGATCAGGAGACAGCGGTCAAATCCGAAGAGGCTGATGTTGAATCGACGGGAGGGGGGGGGTTGACTCCACTATTTGGCACGGTGAAGACGGCAGTTTCCTTTTTCAAACAAAAAAACCATATTATAGTATATATAGAAGGCTGACATTCTGACTTGGGAAAGTTGCAATGTCTCTCACAGATCAAAAGGATTGTGTCTCAGAAGTTGACAGTTCTTATAGCAGTGGAAACGGGCGCTAGACTACTTCACTTGTCTGTTTGTCTAATGACATTCCGCGCGGAGATGAAGAAGATGAGTGATGAGACAGAAATAGAGAAAGATCGGCGAACGAGGTGTTTGCAGTAGTGAGTAGGAAATCCCTTAACAATAAATATTATATCACTCCAACACTTGCTCCATTCCTCGCGGGGACCATGTTGTGACCTAATCCTTTCTCGCTGTCATCAACTCATGATCTTTTGAGATCAAGTCATTTCTTGGCCTGACCACAGGAACCTTGTCTGCGCCTAATTGACTATTTCATACGCTTCTCTGTGAACGTTCCGCTGTTTTCTGTCCTTATTGGACGCCCTCTTTGCGATCCTTGTTCCGCTAGGGTTCAGCTTGGCGAGTTGGCTGTACGGAGTGCCAGTCTGTCTTTGACACTTGCTGTGCCGCATGCAGCGATTGGAGTAACACTGGTTTTGTTTGGTTGCTGGGAGCTTTTTGCCGCCGAGAGTCAAATGATTGCTCGTCTTGTCCGCTGATACGCTTCGCTGTCAAATAATTATCTTTCCGGACAGTGACTTTTAATTTATATCTGCATGAATGATTTTGAGCTTTGAGATGTAGCAGTTGAAATATCAAACCCTGGAAACATTCTAAAACAGTACATAAGCCTTCGAGCAGAAGAGTAAAATGATCAGTCGTGCACTCCCAAGATCAAATTCCGACTCTCAGGGATCTTCTCAGTCTCAAAAACTTTAACGTCATGCGCAAAGCGAGACTGCTGAAGATTCTTTTAAAGATTCCCTAGGTCTCCAGCGACTTCTTCCCGCTTCTTCCCGCTTTTTTTGCATCGAACAATTGCAGAAGGCTACATTGCTCTAATCGTATTCCTCCAACCATCACTTAGCACAAAGGGACCAGATGCTAGGTACACAAGAAGACATTGGCTATGTAATCCTTGCGCTTGCACTCATGGCCATTTCTGAACAATAAGGAGGGAGTGATGTAGATACGGACTTGCAGTGGCATTGAGTGAAAGAATTGCCAACGAAAGCTTTCATCATAAGCGTTGTATACCTAATGACTGCTCCTTCGATAGTATCGAAATGGACATAGAAAAGAGACGGCACGGTGTCATCGTGTCAAAGATTTGACATGCGCTTTCCGGATGGCTTCTTGATATACACAGAGCGATAAGGAGTGACTAGAACTAATGCATGAATGCATGCACTGACAGAAAGAATATATGCTTGAGCTTTGGCATACCTTATTTCTGGAGGCATCTTGTAATCCACTGTGTTGGGGTAGAAGTACAGAGAATCGACTTACATGGAGATACCTTCAGGAATTGTCTGATTTTGACTCCATAAGTACTGTGGCAGGTTAGCCGAAGGTCTTGGCGGGCTATTTTAGCGGCCGAAGCTAAGCAATAAAATTCAATCGCGCGAAAAGCTCCTCAACCTTTTCACTCGACGTCGCTTCTCTTGGTTAAGACTGGACTGCGTCCAGATATTACTGTCGGCACTCAATGCTGGATAGCTGTTCTTTCACTCCTCTGTACCTAAATATCTTGTCAGGATCTGGTGGCTACGTGTGACGGCTCTTCCGGCAAAGGTTCCGCTCATACCAAAGCCTTGGCGCAGGGCGAAGTCGTAGTGTTTGGCCAGATATGCGGCATGTTGAAGATGCAGTAATGACTCACGATATTTGAGAGCCCACCGCAAGAGAAGGTAGTGTAATTGTATCCCGATCATTTGGCCTTCGCCAATCAATGCCTCTCCTATCATGATTAGCTTTTTTCGTGGCTACACTCTTCCCGGTGCCAGTTCCGCAAATGGGGGTATTGTCAGAGGCGTCAAGGTTGGATCAACGTAGTGAAGCAATTATTCAACGTCGTTAAAGAAGCACAGCAAGCTCATCACCGTTGAAATCACATTCCAAGCCTGCCAATCATGTTTCTCTTAGTTGAAAAGTCACTTGAAGGCTTTGTGCGAAGCCCACCTTGGTATGATTGAAGGGACGGGGATCTGAGCTAAGGTTCTTAGATGCACGAGCATCAAATTGTGAGTAGTCCACCGTCAGTCTCATTCCTTGGCGTCTTCGCCAAGAGCTTGGCACGCTAGTATCTCACAATGTTTATTTTCTTCAATCTCCCTTACTTTATTCAGTAAGACCAGCGAGATGATCGTTTCGCCCAGGACTTCAAAATACGCCAGCGTTTCACACGGCCGAGTCCGGAATATATACGTAAACTTCCCAGGCGTTGATCGCTGGACTTGCTGCTAGGTTCACGAAGATGAAACACCCGCTTGTTCCGCGCCGCGCCATACGTTACAGATTTTAATTCGACTTCATGTTGTTGACGTTGACGTTGCGGTACATTGATATCCTCTGCCATCTCTTTCTCTGTTTTCTGTATGATATAATGGTCTGGTGGATTGGGCTCTGTTTACATGCGCGCTTCCTTCATCGAACGCAAAATGTCCAACACCTGTGATCTTGCCGCTTTCCACACCGTAACTGCCAGTGACCAACATGAAATTTCAATGGCTACTTTCAATCTTTAGCCTGCTTGGGCTGCCGGCTGCGCGAGGGTGGCCTGTTATTCCGGTATCTTCAACAGGTCCAAATCCATCGACCGTAGTACTGGGCGCGTCGACGATATCAGCGGCGGCGTCTTTGACATGGACTGAGAACGTATCGACCAATTCCACATTGCATAAATTTTTCTCCTTCAATGGCTCCACGAAGGCAACCAACGTCAATGGGCCGGTCACCGTACTCAAGACAATTGAACTCATACCCCGGCCATTACTCAGTGATTCATCTGCGGGAGCTAGAGAACCTGCGAAAAATCTAACCCGCGATGGTTCACCTTTAGCTACCATTGCCCAGCAAGCAACAGTGCCCACAGTTTCGCCGCCAGCCAAGCCAAGAAGCTCTTCCGAGCCTAGCATTTCATCGAGTCCCCAGGGAGCGGGTCTGCAACTAGTTGGTCAATCGGTCAAGCGCTCCATGCTCCAACCAATAATCGTGGGAGGGATCACCTATGCCCCAGTCCATGCGCATCACACGCGCAGCAGTGCTGGCATTTGGCAAGGAAAATCCCGGGCCAGCCTGGCAAACTCTGAGACTGTAGAATGGCATGGGTATTATGCAAAACATGACTCGGAGCCGAATGGGCTTGACCACGAAAATCTGAAGTCCGTGCAAGGGCAAGGAGGCTTACCGCCTGTTGTCGTAGGAGGCCTGACGTACAGACCAGTAGGCGAAGAACTTGAATCCGGACGGCAGACTCCAGCACCCGTGAATGTTGCAGGGTCGGCAACAGAGACAGCAAAGCCAGCGGCCAACCCTTTAGTAGAGGGTGGAACGATGTCCCGCCTAGAGCAGTCGGAACCAACGGCAGCAAAATCTCCGTATCCTGCGAGTCCCGGTGGCTCGAGCCGTGTATCGATGCAGTCTCAAATCCCTCCCTCGCCACCAGGAAGCTCGATTCTCGTACTGGGCTCGCAAACTTTGACAGCCGTCCCAGGAAGTAGCGGCTTCATTCTCGGTAGCGGCTCCCTGCTTCCTGGCTCTCCCGCAATCACCGTCGACGGCACTGCAGATTCCCTCGATCCGTCTGCAACTCTTAACGTGGGGAACTCCACCGTCATCCTCGCCGCCTCCGGCGCTCTTACCATAGCAAACGAGACCTTCGTACCCCTTGGCAGCACAGCGATTTCCGTAAAAGGCACCACCCTTTCCATATCAGGGCCCGCCATGACGAACCAGGGCACCCTTCTCTCTCTCGCCCCCAGCGGGCTCGTCGTCGACGCATCCACATTCCCCTTCGCAACCCCCACTCCAACCGCAGCAGTGACAACCACCAACCAGGCTTCCGCCCCACCACCCCCCTTCGCGATCTCCGGCCACTCAATAATACCAGCATCTCCATCAACCTTCACCATAGCCGGCGAAACATTCACCGCCTACCCCGGCGGCCTGGCCATCGACGGCACCGAAGTGTTCCAAGGCAGCACCGCCATCACCGTCTCCGGCACGGCCATATCGCTCGGCAGCTCCGACCTCGTGGTCGGGACGAGCACTGTACCGTTCGCGTCGGTCACCGGGTTGGGGCCGGCGCTTGCGTCGGGATTGGACACTGTTGCGGGTGCGTCGGGGGGTGGGGTGGGGCCCGATGCGACGAGCACGTCGGCGAAGGGGTCGCATCGGTCAGCTGCTGGGCAGTTGAAGATGAGGAATCTTACGGCGATGGTGTGGCTTGCGATTGTAGCGCTGATCACTTCGGTGGTGTGAGACGATTAGAAGGGAAGGGGATGCTTTGGCAGACACGAGACTTATCCCCGCTTCTACAATGTACATATGTCTAATATATCTATCTACCTAGCATCTTACTCTCAATGCATCCGCCACGCGCATCTGATCAACACTATTAGTGTCTTGAGTATCTAGAGCAAACCCGCAGCCCCTTCCTCATCTCACCCTCCCACTCCCCCGTGCCTCAGAGCCAAACGAAAGCCAACGAAAGCCAAACCAAAATCCACATCAAGCCACGAGCCATTCTCCGCCGCCATCCGCACCCAGCGCACCGTGTTCCATCCAGCAACAGGGCGGTACATCTCAACGGGAGCTTTTCGAGCCGCGAGCCGGATCGATCTTCCCGGCCTCTCGTCGGGCCCGCAGATAGCATTTGCGTGAGCTGCCGTGGTTCGAGTAGGTAGGCCGAGAGGTGGGGATTATCTTCCAGGAGCGTCTGCATGAGGGGGTGGCCGGCGTGGCCCGACATCAAGCATGGTTTACGACATCGGGCCACGTCTTGACGGATTCTTTGAAAATCGCGTCGTTGCTGCTCTTGAGGGCGGGAAAGCCTTACAAGCGCGTGAGGGTGTGTTGTGGGGTAGGTTGTGCTCGCGGCCGAAGTTCAGGAGGGCTTGGATACGGGGGAGATGGGCTGACAGTAGGCTTATGGTCTCTCGCCTTGGGGGAACGCTGTTTTGGGGTTGTTCTTCCGGATCGAGCGCGGTATTGGTGGAGGTTGGATCTGACAGAAGGGTCTCGAGCCGGTGGGAATCACCCGTGGAACAAGCTTCCTGTAAGTTTTCGATGGCGGTGTCGGTCGGCGGGGTGCTGTCAGATTCTGACGCTGATGTTAATAGATTGGTAACTGATGAAGGTATTGAAGATGAGGAGGATTTCCAGTGCAGCAAGCGAGTAGGTAGCAACAAAATACAAAGCTGTTCCCAGTACGGCACCAACGGTGGATGTCTCCGTGTTTCCAGCTTGATGAGAATATGCACTGACGGAACCCCGGCACACGTATTCGCCGTGCTTCAGGATTCAAACATTTCGATCTGCATTTGGTATGCCTGAATATCTTGTCCAGTCGTAACATCCCCTTGACCTTTGCTTTTCCACTGCTCTTGTAAATAAGCCGTGGGACAATTCACAGACAAGGCGTGATCGCTCTTTAGCATCGGGATGAGGCTGCCTCTTATCTGAGTTACTGACACCGTAAGCTGAGCACTATATTTTCCACCAAACACTCCATCTGCTATTCTCGCAAGCCTAACGCGCCACAGGCTAGCCCGTCGTCCCCACGGGCTGCACCGTTCACGCGACCGGAACAACGATGACGAGTATCTCCGTCGTGCAAAAGCTACCTTAGACACCTAGACGCTGTTTTGGCATACTGCGTGCAGGGGTACGGAGATCCGAAGGCAACGTTATATCTCATTGATATAAGCGTCGACAATCAAGGAAGGCTGAATAATTGCCTTCTTCTTACTTTGGGTTGGACACAGACCTTAATACTACTCCCTCGCTCCTCAGGCTCTTTACCGAAATCTCTCAACTGCGGAAATTGCCATCAAGGGGCTTGGTGAAATTCCAAAAAAAAGGTTCTGCAGCGAAACCAAAACAAAAACAAAAAAATGTTTTACCTTTTTTTAATTGAATCCTCTCAACTGATATTGTTATGAAGTCGTCCCTGACTGTTTCTTCTTCGGGCGCCAAGTGATAGGGCTGAAGTTCAAGGTAGTAGAGACCGTCGTTCCGCGCCGTCCCTAGCGCTGAAGATACAATGTTGGAGGGGTGGAGGGGGACGACAGCTGAGATGTTTACATCCAAATACGGAAGAGAGCATACTGTGGACTCACTTCGCAATTTGCAGAACTGCTGCGATCAAGTGTGGTTGGTTGGCTCATTATTTCCATCATGACAAGGCCTATCATGTTAAAGCCATTGGCTATACTTACTATTCTATCGTCTTGCACTGCAGCCGCGTTTCATTTACAAGAACCAAAAGTCCTTCCAAGCCTCGACAGTTCCACCGGCGTTGGGGTCACATACATCCCCATGACTGACCCTAATCGCCTGGACCCTTTCACCAATTACACCCAGCAAAGACGAGTCATGATATCGCTGTACTACCCCGCTCAACCAAGTCCCCCTACGAACTTGCTCGAACAGCGACCGAAAGCCGACGACTGGCACCACATAACCCCTTACATGCCTCCAACGACCGCCGCTCTATACGACGAACTCGTCACTCCATTCGGTTTCCCCACCAACACATTCGAGCAGCTCTCGACCCTTTGCCAGCAAAATGCTCCGCTTCAAGATGACTCCATGGCCCACCCGCTCCTAATCTTCTCCCCAGGCGGCGGGGCGCCGCGTTTTTTCTACTCCACATTCCTAGAAGATCTAGCACGCAAAGGCTACGTAGTCGCCGCCATCGACCACCCACACGATGCCCTGGTCGTCGAATTCCCTGATGGACAGGCCGTCATAGGGCTCAACAAGTCCCTTACCCGAGACGAGGTAGAATTGCTCATCACGGTACGAGCGCAGGACATATCCTTCGTACTCGATGAACTGAGCCGTCAATCTCCATCATCCGCCAAAATCCAAATCAACACGACGGATGTCGTAGCGTTCGGCCACTCACTCGGCGGCGGTACAATTGCAGAGGCAGCGCTGAATGACACCCGCATTAAAGGCGGTATCAACGTCGATGGCCGCATGTTCGGTTCGATGGAGAAGCCAAACACCACCATTTCCAAACCGATCCTCCAGTTCGTATCCGAAGCCTCCAGTGCGGATCCGTACTGGCGCTGGGATGAGGAATGGGCGCGTCTGTCAGGCTGGAAGCTGGAGCTCGTATTGAACGGTGCCGCGCACTCGACTTTCAGCGATATGCCTCTCGTCGCCGAGGTCTTGGATGTTCGGAAAAAGCTGGGCGAGGACGGGAAGGAGCTTCTGGGCAAGCTGGATGGGATCAGGGGGTTGGAAATTGTGGTGGAGTATGTGAGCGCTTTTGCCGAGTTTGTGCTGACGGGGAAGAAGGGAAGTCTGCTGGGAAACAATGGTGATGAGAGGTTCCCGGAAGTCAGGGTGAGGAGACATACATGAATGATATTCAACGTATTCTTATGTTTGAGAAATATATGTAAAGCACGACGGAGCATGTGAATGAAAGGTTCAAGCCGCGGAGATAGTCTATTGCGCAATTCAGGATGATGTAGTCGCGAAGACATGAGTGAACCTGACAGGACTACTTGTGATGAGAGGCAATGAGAGTTGCAAGTGTAGGGGACCACAGTAATATTCAATTGTTGAGAATAAGAACATGGAAGACTTGGTGGAGTCTACCTATTCTTTTCCCGCACACGAATAGGTTCATGAGACGGTGACCAGGTGCGAAGAGTGTGGGATGGGAATGCCCGGCCAGACAGGGTCTGGCTGCTCTCGGAGTTTGCGATCCAGCCTTGTGGGACTTGGACGTAGAAAGACCGAGATAAGTCTTCGAGCAGTGAGATGGAGGACAGGATAATGTAAATCCGTTACTTCGAGTTGCGAGGCTAGAAACGAAAAATGCTGAAGAGTGGGAAGTCGCAAAGGGATTGAGTGGTTTTCGCAGAATGGTACTAATTACATGCAGCGCTGAGAGAGGCTTCGCATTCTGCCTACTCCTTCTCGGGTCTGGTCTAGCAGGTTTTCGTCATCTGGAGAGTATGGGGCTGGTAGAAGATATGCTATCCTGCTGCGCGTGGCGAGGAGCATGTAGGGAGTGGGGGTGCCGACCAAAACCGTCCTAGCGTGGAGGGCGCAGTTTCCAGCCTGATGGGTTTATCAGGCTCACCAAACGACTTCCATCGTGACTCCACCACCCTTATCCATCGCAATTCCATCAATTCAGTATACAGAACCTCTATGCCATCACAACTATGCCCCTGCCTACGAGTGCATGGGCACAAGCGCGAGCGCGCTTTCTCGAAGACCTCGAGGAGCCGGAGCGACTCATGTTCGCAGAAGCTTCTCTGGAAAACATGTTCTACAGCGCAAGCGCTCTCAAAAGACCCATCAAGACGGTAGCAGGACACGATATCTTGCCTCTAAATTGAATTCCCTCCTAGCCGGCATCGATCAATATGGCAAGGCTATGGACGTGCTTGTCTCAAGCATCAACAATCTCAAGTCTGTTATGGGGTTCTTTGCGAATTATCACTTTTTTTTTTTCCCTGGCCCGGTTTTAGGAGGTTTTTTTCCCATTTCAAACATACTTCACAGTCATGATCGACATGTTCGAGCAGATTGGCGATGTCATACCCACAATTCAAGTTCATACGAAACAATCTTCTCATCCAACCCGAGATCCCCACCCCCTTTCCAATTCTTTCTTTTACATAACCAGATTCTGCACAATTGCCAAGGCCGCTTGTCAAAAGGCTTGGAAGGCTGGCTTCGATCTCTTAAACTATCTCACAAGAACACTCCTTGCTGATTAGCTGTTGGTAGTCATGAACGCGAAGATCACCTTCAAAACTTCTTGGAGGTCTGTCGAGCAGCAATTTGGAACGCTGATGACAGACTTAGAAAAAAAAAAAATTAATTGAAGAAAAACTAGGGCGGCAATTTTTTTTGGGGGGGGGGAAGGGGGGGGTCCCCCCCAAGGAAATTTTATAAACCCTCCTGGCAGAAGTTGGTCGAATTCTTCTGTCACTGCTCCCTCAATCGCATGGGAACAGCAAGATCCAAACCTGACTTGAAACAAAGCCAGGTACTGGAACCTGGAGTGTAACTCATATTTTTAGGCCGTGAAAAATCGGCTACAGGAACACCTCAGCAAGAAAGTCTCTGATGCTAGGGTACTCGAGAGCAGGAGCTCGAATCCCTATAAATACGTTTTGCTGGATCTGTACTGACGAAGAACCTACCAACAGCCGGTTCTGGAAAGACCATTCTCACGTAAGCTTTTCATCTGTGGGCACTGAATCCTGATCTGATCGATAGTCCAGGGCTGGCGTGATCAATGCTCTGTCGCAAGAAGTGGACTGTCAACATACTGGTGTGGCTTATTTCTATTGCGATTATGCTGATCACGAGACTCTTGACGCTTCCGCTATACTGGGCACAATCATCCAGCAATTGCTGGTCGTCAGGTCTAGTATAGATGAAGTAACAGCGGTAAAGATCCAGAAGCGTATGGTGATGGAATGCGAAAACCTCTGCCTTGTGACCTAACCAAAATCCTGGAAGGTATCATTCACCAATTACCACCATTGTGTTTATATCATCCTTGATGGTGTGGATGAAGCTAGTCCAGACACGCAAGAGAAGCTGTTCGGCAGTTTTGCGAAGCTTTTGACATCCTGCGGTACGCTTCTGAGGCTGTACTTTTCGACTCGTGAGATCCCTCTGATGTCAGACCACTTCCCATCGTGCCTGAGCTTCGATGTTTCGGGAAGCCGCGTCGCTGAGGACATCGACCATTATGTCAAAGTGTCTGTTCAACAGAGGCTGCACAGTCTTCCGGTCATGCTCAATCACCCCTATCTAGAAGAAAACGCGGTTCTTGAGCTTACAGCAAAAGCGCATGGACTGTGAGTCCCCCCTTTCGGTTCTTCTTGCTTAGTTCCACCGCCGAATTTGCAGGTTTCCTTGGGTCTCTCTTCAAATGGAGAAACTTTGCGACCCTTCTCATTCAGAGCGAAGCTTCAAGTCTGCCTTACAAGACCTAGCGGAAGGGCTGACAGCAACCTACGAGAGAATTTCTCAAAAGATTGCCCGCCGTTCCGTACGTCAGAAAGCTCTCGCTGAAAGAATTCTTAATTGGGTTGTCTGTGCCAGGCGCCCGCTGAGGTTTGACGAGCTCAAAGATGCCGTTGCCGTTGACTTTGGTGACGTCTCGTGAGACAGAAGAAAGACTTCGGCAGAGACTGAGGGGAAACGTTTCCTTCATGTGTGTGGCAATCTGGTCGTATTCCACGAAAGGGACAATACAGTCCGCCTTGCTCATCACACGGTTGGGCAGTTCCTTGACGAACAGAAGAGTCATCATTCACAGACCGACGTCAGGATCGGCAAGATTTGCTTGACATACTTGGGCTTCTCTGATTTCGAGACCCAAGTGATTTCTGTTGAAAAGAACCAAGACCATTTTGGTGCACAGCCTTCAAGACAGGCGGGCTTTCCCCTTGTTCCCCAGGTTCTGGGTCTTGGCAATGGTGTATACGATTTCAGACTTGGGCTACATAACCGGAACAACACGCGGTCAATTCCAGATGTCAATTATGATGAGCTCATGAGAAGATATGGAAAAAGGCCTTTGCCGGAATCATTGACCCGAAAATACTGCCTTTTGGACTACGTCATAGAGAATTGGATTTGGCATGCAAAAGAATTTGATACACACACCCTGGAGTCTTGGAGCAAATTTGAAGAAATGGTGTTCTACAAAGCCTTACCATTTGACTTCAAGCCATGGCACAGTCGAGAAGGACCGTCTAATCTGCCCCACTTGACAATGTATCTTTGGGCCCTCGAGAACAACCACCTTCCTCTCCTGCTTCTTCTCAGGGATCTTTCTGGTCACCGGTGTCTGAGACCCTACCTACAATACAGGACCTTGTGCTGGGATCAAGTGCCACCGCACCTACTGACACGTAGTGCCAGGGTAACCGCAGTTGACTTTCATCGATATCCTGATGCCTACGATTGGCCGGCGATGAACATCTTTCTAGATGGGCGAACAGAGATACAGATCCTCCAACTCTGTCTGCAGGAAGATCCATCGGTCTTCTCAACCCCGCATATCAGGGCCCGCGCTTTGGAAGATGCCAACTTAGGAGTTATCCAAAGTCTATTGCGAAGTGGGGCGAACTTGCAAAAGACCGAAATCGATGCAACCAATGCCCTGCATATTGCTAGTCGAAGAGGGAATCAAGATCTTGTCAAGATACTCTTGGATCTCGGTGCAGACGCCAATTCACGATCTTCTAAAGATGAGCGCGGAAGGACTCCTTTATACGAGGCGCTCGTGAACAATGGGTCGGGCAATCCTGACCATCGCAGGACTTTTTCATACGAGGCGCTCATGAACGATGGGTCGGGCAATCCTGACCATCGCAGGACCTGTGTAGATCATGCACGTTCAAGTTCGTCTCTTGACATGATAGAGTTTTTCTTCCCCCCCGGCAGCTCCTAATTTTTTTCAAGGGGGGGGGGAAACGGTTTTATAAAAGGCAGTAGGCTTAGGAGAGGCTTATGTACGACTCCTGCTATCACATGGAGCCGATGTGGAAGCTAGGAACGATCGACAACAGAGCATTCTGGACCTGACTGTTGACGCATTGGACAGCAGTATTGACGCTCTAGTCGAATACGGCGTCAATTTAGAAGCTAGAGACGCAAATGGTCAAACTGCGTTTTTGAAAGTCGTCGGGGAAAGACATGACACTCGAGCTAGAGTGGAGATGCTCATTGGACTTGGGGTTGACGTCCACGCAAAAGACGATAGGGAACAAACTGTTCTCCATCTTTATCTTCGCTCGCATAAATATTATCGTGGCTCGAGTGATGGAACACTACGGCGTTTGCTAGAGCAAGGGGAAAAAAGCCTTGGTTTTTTCTGTGGAAAACACCGATAACCCACAATTCAAGTTGCTGCTTGAGTTTGGGGCCGTCTTCGGCCGCAGAGAGGAAACCATCATCAACTAAGGCTGCCGCTCATAGGAACATAGAGTTGGTGAATTCACTGCTTCGGATGGGGCAAGATCCAAACCTGTTGAAAAAAGCGAACCGAGTGCCATATTTTTAGCCGTGAAAAATCAAAGCAAGGAAGTCGTAATGAGGCTGCTCGAGGCAGGAGCTGAACCCAAATTTGATGGGAAAAAGTTTTGTGCCTCCGTTAGGCCGAGCTGTCAGGGCTAGAGACAAGGAGGTTGGAGAAACTCTGATCCAGGCGGGAGCAGCCATCCAATTGTCGGATCCTCTCCTATGCAGTCCAGTATACATTGCAATCACGTCGAATGACGTCCACATGCTCGAGTTTCTTATCCGACGAGGAGCAGATGTATCCACCTTTCGACCCGAGGATTGGAGGGACCTGCGAGCGGACCAGATATAAATGTGCGAGTTCCTGTCCGAGCTCGGTGTCCCTTTCAAGCTATACAACAATAAATATTTTGGCTGATTTATGATGAAGATGTGTTATGAAAACGGACGGGGCTCATTTGTGACTTAGCTATACTCTTCGACAGATTCTCAATTATTTTGGATCCTAGCCGCTCCTCTTTCTCCTTTAGCACCGGCGCAGTATATACTCAAGCTAAACTCTGTCATGATAGTCAAACATAAATTGCGTGCAAGTTACCAAACGCACATATAAACGTGATTCAAGGGCCAGCACTTGACTTTCCGAATTCGACTGCACAGCGAGCATGTAACGCGCAAGGTCTGAGAAGAAGATGCAAGCTTCTAAGCCCCACATGGTTGTCCTACGCGGAAGATTGGGCGCTGGAGTATGCTGCATGCATGCCCCGTGCTTCGCCCACTGTTGGCCCCCCCTCAGCCCTGGGGGGAGATGTTCGTCCTAGCGATTGGGGGGGGTCGATCTGGCTTTGGTTGTACCTGTTTGGTCTTACTGCATTTCTGTGTCCGCAAACGCAGTCTGATCACGAAAGGTACATCGTGGCTTTCGGTCACAGAAGGAAGTTTAAACCAATCTGTCTCGGTCTTTGGACCCAGTGCCTCAAACACTCAACACAACCCCAATGGCTTCGGTGGCGCCACGACGTCAGCACATGCTCTCGCCGCCAAACCCAGGATTACTGGAATCTTGCACCGTGGAACACCAGCGAGGATCTCGTGGCGGCTCGTCCGGGGTGGATTCATGCCAGGATCGAGTTTTTTGAGGTAGCGGACTTTACTGGCGAGGGTAGTCACGATGAGACCGTCAAGAAAGGCGACTTTGACTATGTGATATATACCGCGGTACCGACTCTGCATGGTACGAGGAACACGGACTATGTAAAATGGTATGAGAAGCCCAGTATTCAAGGGTGAGTGCCCACCATCACCACGCTGTATATGGATAAGAGGAGGAAGTGAGTGGATTGAGCATGTGTGGGTCCTTGTTCACGCAAGCGTGAAACGAATCATCAATGACGCTGTTCGCATTGGTCGTAAAGACGGCGTTGGATCGCAGGATCCTTTCGTAAGCCTATCTTACCACGGAAACAGCGTCCATCAGCTTAAACACCGAAGCACAGATCTCCTATGGCGCGGAGGCTAGAAGCAAGCCGAGAACGCAACCTGGCAGTCCGTCGATGGAGAGAAAGTTCTCGTTTGCTGTCACGGATCTCTTGTTTGCGTTGATACTAGGGCTATCTCTTTAGCCCATCTAATCCTTGCGGAAGGTCAACTTTGGTACTGGCCACGAGTCACTTGTATACCTAATTCGTCTTACGGCTTAGGACCCAAGAAGAAGATGAAGAAGGTAAGCTGATACGGCCGTTTGTCAAAGACTGGCGTTCGCGATGCGGTAGAGCGGCTCATCAAAGCGCTGATAACGGTGACAGCCAAGAACAAGTATTCTGTACCGGGCCAGTTCATGAAGTATTAGGACTTTGCTGATAGGTTGAAGAATCTGCTTGAGATATCAGGGAAGGTTCGCAGAAGATAGTGACGAGGACATCGCGGTAGCGAAAATGGATTGAGGGTCATTGAGAAGGTGACATCGATGAGATGGCACACGAAGCTGGAGACTCATCAGAACACTGCAAAAGCCAAATTTGGTTTGGAAACCGAACTCGCACAACCGTAGGAAACATGAGTGGGAATATCGATCTTGCTACAATGTAATGTGTGAGTCTCAGTAGCGAGTCTGACGTTGTTGGACGAATATCTGTATTGCTCAATCCCTTCAGGGTCCTATTCGGTAAGTTCTATCCGTGAGATATACATCGTATGTGAACCGTTACAAATGCAGTATTTCTAGACTCCTTCGGCGCTCGCGAGCCAGATCTTAAATGCTCGCCGCGGTGCCGTTTGACGGCGTCCGCAATGTCGGAAATTTGGATCGTGGCCAATCAACTTCAACCATTTGTTCTTCGTGGTTTCGGTAGACTAGACGGATCTTTCAATGCCATCATGTCATCCTTTCTCGGCTTAAAGACAAGGATGAGAGCGCTAGTCGTGAGTCCTAATCAGATCCGCAATAAGATATGTAGATCGAGAATGAGAATATTGAAGCAGAAGAGTCTCGAGCGTGAGTGACAGAGGGAGAACGTCTGCCCCATACTTGAGTACCTGCCCCTTAGAGATGAAATCCTGGATTTTGGCTCGGCTTCGACAGGGTCAGAAGAGTCTTTAGAGTCTTGAAGTTCTCGGAACAGCGAAATGGTCGCAGTTTGAAATTTTGGCATTGGAAAAACAAACACGCTGCATTGTCGACCTTGTCAGGTAGAGTACAATTGGTGTGAGTGAGTTGAATGAAATGATATGATATAAATAGCTATGCTTTCTACAGCGCATTTCTCTTGAAATGAAGTGGTTCAAGTCTTTTTAGCAGAAGTTGCTAACGCTCATTTCTGCGAGCGCGAAAGATTGTGTGCGGGACTTCAACTGCTCCAAAGCCTTAGGATAACCGTCTTTCCAGCGGAAACAGAGTTTTGGAGGAATTTAGGAGCGAATGAACTTGGTCGGGCATGTGTTTTATCTATAACTGGGGGAAAAGAATCCGGGCTAGAATCTATTGGAAAGGAGATCTGAATCTCAGAACACAGGCCACGCCCCCGGGACGGGCTCATCTTCCACAACGCGCGCGCAGTATTCACCCAGAGGTGGATAGCGGTCTGCTTCCGGAACGCCTTGGACCTCTTGGATGTGACGCAGCAATTTTTCAAGAGCAGAGATGCTTTCCAGCTCATCTTCGTAGGGAGCGGGCCACCAAAACCGCCTAGGGCCCTTGCTTTGGTAGTATCCCTCCCAGTTGGGTCCATTTTTCATCCGTAAAAGGTCGAAAGCCGTATTTCCATCTTTATCTTGTGCTTCTAAGTCTAGCTTCGTGATATCTGCATGGCGCATTACCTCGCAGAGCCGATGAATGTTTGGCGTATATGTGCATGTATGGGTGATGGCAAGATGTAAAATCGTGCTCCCTGTGACGGTTTTCACATCAAGGCGTGCGCCAGCGCGTGCGAGAATATCAAAGGTCTCAGGGGACGAATGACAAGCAGCATACATTATTGCAGTCTCCCCGTTCTTGTCAGCAATCTCAATGTCAGCGCCGTATTTGATCAACTGTCTCAGACGGCGTGCTGCGTCGCGAAGCTGATAGTCGCAAGTCAAGCGCATTAGTATAGTCACACCCTCGACACCACCAAATTCCGCACGGTGGTCGAGGTCGATACCGTGTCTAACGAGCAGCTCGTCCACCGCCAAAGTGTCACCTTCCAAACCGGAATCAGGCCATGGCAGCCAGCCAGTATCGCGAGAGCGACTGAGGGTTGCACCGGAATCGAGAAGCAATTCTACAATTGCGTAATCTAGACATTCCTCTACATCGGCCCAAATAGGCGGATCACCAGTATTCGGGTCGGCTCCTCGCTCTAGTAGTCTTCTAACATAGTCCAGTTTTCGATGGGCCACTGCATACCATAATGCACTCCGACCATGTCTGTCCAACTCGTTAATAGCAGCTGAGCGTCGCAGCTCAGCATTCAAGGGAAGGCTGCTTAGTCCACACACGATCTGATGCAACATAGTAAAATTTTCGCGCTCCGCGTGGCATTCCCATTCCACCGTAGGCAGAAATTCAGTCAGCAACGTGTACGGCCGATCAGTAAAAAACCCGTTCGGAAATTTGGCGTCAAGAACGAAGAGTTGCCATAATAAGTTCTCGACCTCGGCCGTAACAGACCGTGGATTGTGGCAGAAGTCGCTGTAATTTGAAATACAGAACATTGTCTCAACATTACCGTGAAGCGCGGCCCACTGAAAGATTTAGATCAGAAAATATTTCCTAAAACTGAATTCTCTATGGCTGTTCTTACAGAAAGAAGATTATCCCCGTATTGGTCAACATCATATGTTGTACAGTCTCCATTCGTAAGAGCAAGCTTCAATGATTCGACGTCACGGAGTGCTACGGCTATAAAGGCTGCGTTGCTATGGCTTACTACTCGGGGGACTCTAAGTAGAAGCTCCGGACCGCAAGGTGGAGATGATGTAAGCCATACGAAAATCATACGAGATGCCAACCATTGCGGTAACAGATATTGGACTGATATGCGTGGCGCAGTAAGAGCTCTGCATGACTCGGTGTCGCACTGAGTTCCGAGTATGAAAGAACCAGCTGTCTGGATGTAGCCACGGCCAAAGATCTTCGAGAGAGTCCCAGAGGCGCCGAATCGTCTGAAAACATGGCACTTGCAGGCGCAACCTATGGCACAAATGCTGACTCTCTGGATTTTTCTGACACGAAGAATACTTTGAGGATGGAGCTTGGACACAGTCTGGTCCGCTTGAAGTGTTTCGGTCTCGGTAATTTTCGCTACGGTATCGTTTGCTTGAGGGTCTGATTCGAGAGTAAGCTGTCGGACCGTACCCAGCGAGCCAGCCAAAGCCGATTGAGTAGAAGGCGATTCTTCCAAAAGCTGTACCAGCTGGGCAAGAGCAGGTAGTATAGGGAGTATTTGATTGCTGAGTTGTCGATGCTCGGAGAGCGTTTGATTTGTGACCCGGGATACCTGATCCAGGGTTATACTTTTGAGGGAACTTAGCGATTTATGACATTTCCTCACGAAGGTGCAGAAAGATGGTGACCGAACATACCTGGTGTTGACGCCGACAAGTGCTACTAGGTTAGCTGTGACATCACGCAGTTGTCCCCGCAGTCGCTCCACATCCTTTGAGCTGCGTGTCCACTGCCAGCGGTCGACTTTATTACTAGTTCCCGCCTCTGTCAATTTATATTCAATCAATGACTCAAAGTCGACTAGGATTCTGCGGGCCATCTCGAGCAGCCTTCCCAGCTCAACCCCAGGATTCTCATGAGCTCTCTGGACAGCTTGCAAAACAAGCTCAAGTTGAGATATCTCGGCGAGTAGGTCGTCCAGTTCCCGTGGCGCGTCTTGTAATGCTTTGAGGCGGCGGATTCCTTTGATGACCTTTGCAGTAGCGCCAACCACGGCAATAACACTCGCGCCCACCGAGAGAGGGTCCATTGAGGACGCGGCGAAGATCTCGCTGCCTGAAATTACAAGGCTAGGACCCTAAAATATAATTCTTTGCGCCGCTAGAAGATACGGGCTTTGGTCTTGTTTCTTCTGATTGTCACCACAGATATTCAGTATCGGGATCAGATACTGCAAGAAGTGAAACGGATATTCATCATGGTCAAGAGAGAAAGAAGAAAGCAAGAAAGAGGTGCGAGGGGAAGGCAGACATTAAAATCCCCCGCACTTCGCCCAGCTCAGCCTTGCGCTAATGTATGCACGACGATGAGTAGGGAGGTTTAGCAGTTTTTTTAAAAGAAATGATTTAAAACGGGAACAGCCCTACCCTTCTACCGCTAACCCGATTAAGCAATATCACGGACTTCGATAAAACCTTTATCGAAGAATTATAAATCTCTTTGAATTTCACTTATTTTTCTTCTTTCATTATATACGAGTAAAGGCCTATGAATTAAATTTATAATTATTTTTCTAATTAGGGCTATCGAGTAAATTTGATAAGCGATCTTTGATGAGCGATCTTTGATGAGCGATATTTGAATGTCTTATCTTTTAATAATTATAAGACTAAATTTAGTAATTCTTTTTTTTCTCTAAAAGCTCATATTACGTTCTATAATTTAAATAAAAAATCTTATAAATTTAATAGAAAATAAAAAAGTTATTCTAAAATTAAATAATATATATCTATTTTTTAACTAGAGCTATCGAGCGAACTTTAATAAGCGAACTTTAATAAACGATATTTAAGCTCCTTATTTTTTAATAATTATAAGATTAAATTTTATAATTCTTTTACTATTAAATAGCGTAAACTACGCTCTATAATTTAAAAAAGAAATCTTAAAATTTTAATAGAAGATAAAAAGGTTATTTTATTTATAAATAGCGTATATTTAATTTTTAATAAGAAGACGTAAAAGAATTATTAGACTAATTTAATCGATTTAATTAAAGAGCGTAGCGAACTTAAATTTATAATTAACTATATATATAAATTTAAGATTTTTTAACTTAACTCTATCTTATTCTTTTATATATACTAATATACGAGTAAAGGTTTATAAATTAAATTTATAATTTTTTTTTTAATTAGAACTATCGAGTAAATAGATAAGCGATCTTTAATAAGCGAACTTTAATAAGCGATATTTAAATTCCTTACGCTTTAATAATTATAAGACTAAAATTAAGAATTATTTTTTTATTTAAAAATTTATATTTTATTCTATAATTTAAAAAAAGAATCTTAAAATTTTAATAGAAAATAAAAAGGTTATTCTAAAATTAAATAATGTATATTTATTTTATAATTAGAGCTATTCGACTATCGAGCGAACTCTAATAAGCGATATTTAAATTTCTTACGCTTTAATAATTATAAGATTAAATTTCAAAATTCTTAAAAATTAAGATAGCGCAAATCGCGCTCTAGAATTTAAAATAAAAACTTTAAAATTTTAATAGAAAATAAAAAGGTTATTTCTATTATAAATAACGTATATCTATTTTTTTTAATAAGAGGCTCGAAAGGGCTAGCGAGCTAACTTAGTCGATTTAATTAAAGAGTATAATAACTCTTAATTTATAATTAATTATATATATAAATTTAAGATTTTTTAGATTAACTCTATCTTATTCTTTTATATATATTAATAAGTCTAAATCTATAAATTAAAGTAATTTATAGAAAGTAAATAAGTAACTTATCTTTAAATCTAATTTCGAGATTAAATTCTATTAGAATATTAGATACGAAGAGTAATATTAAAAGTTCTATATATACGCTAAATCTCTTAATATGCTTAGTAAATTAACTCTCGTCTTAAGAGCGATAACGAGTATAGAAAAGATCGTAAGGAAGATAATATACGATTCTATAACTCTACGAAGCGAGTAAATAAGTATATACGTAGCTATATAAAGTATTATTACTAGACTACTAAAAAATAAAGCTATCTAAGAAAAAGATTAGATTTATTAAAATGTTAAGTATGTTAAGAGATTTAGCGTATATATAGAACTTTTAATATTACTCTCCGTATGTGATATATAGAATAGACGAATTAATTCTTTAAAACCTCTTCGGGGCTAGGTTCTAAATATAGTACAAAATTAGGTGGCTGGAAAACATGGTGGCTGAGATGCGCGGAGGCTAAAAACATGGTGGCTGGGATGCGCGAGGTCATATTTCGACACTCCCCTGCAGCCACATTTCGACAAATTCGATTCTCGAACTTCGAAGAGTAAAAAAAATTTAATTTAAGATTTACTTAGAACTATAAGATCGAATTTTAAAAATTTTAAATTATTAGAAAGCGTAGAACAATTTCTATAATATAAAAAATAATAGTAAAATTTTAATAGAAAAAAGAGAAGTTATATTAATAATAGATTTCTATAAAGTTAATTAACTCTAAATTAATTTAAATTTAATTAATAAGAAGTTAATTTTAATATCTATTATAGTCTTTTCATTTTAATTATTATTATTATTATTTTTATTATTTATAAAATTTTTACGAATTCTACGATTTTACGATTTTTACGATTTTAGTTTTACGATTTTTTAGCGATAGAGATTAATAGATTCGAGTCGAGAACGAAGCGGAATATTTTCGAAAATTATTAAAACTATTATTACTCGACTATCTAAGCTTATATAAAAAGATATTCTTAATAGAGTAGATAAGTATTTAATAAGCGATATTTAAATCCTCTATCTTTAAATATTTATAAGACTTAATTTAGAATTTCTTTTCTTTTATAAAAGCCTATATTTCGTTCTATAATTTTAAAAAAAAAAATCTCAAAATTTTAATAGAAAATAAAAAAGTTATTCTAAAATTAAATAATGTATATCTATTTTTTAATTAGGGCTGTTCGGCTATCGAGCGAACTTTAATAAGCGATATTTGAATTTCTTACGCTTTAATAATTATAAGATTAAATTTAAAAATTCTTTTTTTATCTAAAAGCTTATATTTCGTTCTATAATTTAAAAAAAAATTAAATTTTAATAGAAAATAAAAAATTTATTCTATATATTAATAATATATATCTATTTTTTTAATAAGAGAGCTTAAAAGAATTATCGAGTTAATTTAGTCGATTTAATTAAAGAGTATAGCGAACTTAAATTTATAATTAGCTATATATATAAATTTAAGATTTTATAACTTAATTCTATCTTATTCTATTATATATACTAATATATCTACTTATATATACGTTATTTTTATATATTTTTATTATTTATAAGTATTAATCGTAATTAATATATATAATAGAATAAGATAGAGCTAAATTAGAAAATCTTAAATTTATATATATAGTTAATTATTAATTTATTAGATCTACGCTCTTTAATCAAATCGACTAAGTTATCGCGGATAAATAAATTAGCGTTCGCAATTATTAATATCTATTTTTATAATTTATAAAATTCTTATAAAAAAATACGATGTTATATTATTAATATATACGAATAACTTTTTAGTTTCTATTAAAATTTTTAGAAGTTTTTTAAATTTTAAAGCGCTATTTACGCGAAATTTTCGAAATTAATTAAAATTATAAATATTACTCTATATCTAAGCTTATTAAAAAGTAAATTCTTAAATAACGATAATTAAAGTTTTAAAAAAGCGATATTTAAATTGCTCTAATTAAAAACATTTATAAGACTAAATTTTAGAATAACTCTTTTTTTTTCTATTAAAATCTTAAGATTTTTTCTTTAAATTATATTTAAAAAATAAGCTTTTAAAACTTTTTTTTAATTTAGTCTTATAACGTATTTAAAGCGTAAGAAATTTAAATATATCTTATTAAAGTTCGTTAATTAGATAGATAGTAGAAGATAGCTCTAATTAAAAAAAATTATAAATGTTAATTTATAGATCTTTACTTATTATAATAGAATAATAGATTAATAAGTTTATTATAAAAACTATAGCGTTATTAACTATTTAATTAATTATTTTATTATTATACTAATATATAATATATAATAATAGAGAGATAGATAAATATAGCGAGTATTATTTATATAATTGACTATAGTAAAAATAAGCTCTTTATTTAAATTATTCTCTTTTAAAAAAATAGATATATATTTATTTATATATAGAAATAACTTTTTTATCTTCTATTAAAATTTTAAAATTTTTTTTTAAATTTTTAGAGCGCTATCTACGCTTTTCGAGATTGTTTAAAAATTCTATAGATTTAATCTTATAATTATTAAAGCGTAAGAAATTTAAATATCGCTTATTAGAGTTCGCTCGATAGCCGAATAGCTCTAATTAAAAAATAGATATATATTATTTATTTTTAGAATAACTTTTGTATTTTCTATTTAAATTTTATAGATTTTTTTTTTATAATATAAAACGAAAATATGCTTTTAAGATAAAAAAAGAATTTTTAAATATAATTTTATAATTATTAAAGCGTAAGAAATTCAAATATTAATTATTATAGTTCGCTTACTAAAGATCGCTTATTCATTTACTCGATAGCTCTAATTTAAAAAAAAATTATAAATTTAATTTATAGATCTTTACTCGTATAATTTATAATAATAGAGAGATAGATAAATATAGCGAGTATTATTTAATATAATTACTATAGTAAAAGTAAGCTCTTTATTTAAATTACTCTCTTTTAAAACTATATTATTATTCTTTCTCTTATCTATATCTATATATAGCTTTATTTTACTTTAAAGTATATCGCTTAGATATAGAAGTTTTTCTAGACGCTAGAAAATCTTTTTCGAGATTATTTATATATCTAGATATTTAAAAAGGTCTTAACTATCTTAGTATTAGATATGCCTAATTATATATCTATATATCTACTTGTACATACGTTATTTCTGTATGGCCTCACTGTTTGCGAGCACTAAGGCCTAAGATGTCTCTGGGAGAGCGCTTTCCTTTTACATTTTCTGTCGTTACCTACACGCCTGGAAAAGTATCGCCGGGATCCAATGATTGCGAAGGAACCAAGGTCCCCAAATGGGATAGCAGCGATCCTACATGCACGTTACCGTCAAAATCAGCCAATAGGGGCAAAGAGATGTCAACAACCTAAAATTAGCGACATCCATTTCGATTGCCATTACTCAACGCTTGACTGATACAATACCTTTGTCCTTCTCACATTCTCATACGACAAGCATTATTCCAAACTCTGAGCCAGGATTTGAAACCACTATACAAGAAAATCATCAACCAACGATCCCCTCAGGCAGACTAACACAGACTAAGAAGAAAGCTACCTTTGTGTCACCTCCTCCAACCATGCCAACCACCCTCTTCACCCTCCCCCGCGAACTCCGGGACGAAGTTTACATCTATCTTGCCCATTCCCCCAGCTTCACCTTCCTACTCGCCTGCCGCCAACTCAACGAAGAAGGCACACCCCTCCTCTACAAACACGGCACCTACCGCCTCCGCGCCCTGACCCTCCGCAAAGAACACCTGCCCGCGCCCCCCAAACCACCTCCGACCTCTCTGATCCAAAACCTCCACATCGCCATGCCGCCGATACATTTCGGGCACCACAAAAGCCCCAACTACGAAATCTCGCGCCGCACTACGGAATCACTGAGCCAATTCGGTGGCACCGACATTCGGCGTCGGATCTGTCATTTCGATCTGCAGGGGTGGACTCTCTCCGCAGGGATGGCAAAGGTGTTGGGCGGTTTCCGCGGGTTCGACGTCGTGCGCGTGGAGGTACGGTTGAAGCCTTATAGTGATCACTATAACGGAGGGATCAGGCCGCACGATGAGGATCGCGCGGATGAGGAGAGGGTTGACTGTGTGCGATTGATCGAGGAGAGACTTGGGACGGCGCTTGGGGAAGCCAAGTGGGAGAAGAAAGACTCCGGGACCTGTTTTGAAGAGGTTCTGGTTGCGGAGTTCCGGCCTTGTGGATCAAGGCAATGAATGGGTCTAGGGACGTCGAGAGGGGGGAGTGGAGTTGCTGTCGTTTACGATGGTTAAGTTAAAGGTGCAAAGTACTGCCAGGGCATGTGAATTTCCAAGATCACGCATATTCATGACTACCGCGGGCGCCACAAGCGAGGAGAGTCTCTAAGATATTCCAAACTCCCATCGATCCCAACATGCTAAATCACAAAAGCCTGAACTCACTTCCTAGAAACCCTCTCCTCATCCCTCATTCAGTTCTCATTGCCCTCATCGTTTCCGCCGTTCCTACTCTCTCTCGATCCTCTCTCTCCCGACGCGCTCTCTCCAGATCCTCTCTCTCCTTTGCCATCCCCAGTTCCTCCCGTTGCTCATCCCGCAAATTCACCATCTTCCCATCCCTCACCACCAATTCACCCAGTCCGCCAGGGTCAGCCATGATGTGCCCCGTTTCGCGCTGATAGACACTATTATACACACCACCGCTGGCCCAAAACATACCAGTCCCGGCGGCATAATCAGGCTTGTTGGGCAGTCCGACCGCTTGAACGTCCGACTTCGGGTCTCCGACCTGGTGTCCTGCCGCAGTATCCCTATCGCTATCTTCCGGAACCGAAATCTCAGACTGCAGCTCCTGAACCCCACCCCGTGCGCTTTCGTCAGCTGGACGGCCCGGCATGCGTTTCAGGATCTGGAGTAGCTCGTCGGGTGTCTGGTTTGAAACCCAGAGGTTGAGGGTGGGCGGGGCTGGTGCTTCTCCGATGCGACGCAGTTCGGATTGGAAATCGGCGCTCATGCGTGCTGAGAGCTGACGGGCGGTGCCGTTGTGGTCGAGGATGCGGATGCTCATGGTGAGGGAGATTGGGGTTGGTGAGGGGGAGTTGGTTGTGAGGGATCAATTGCTCACAGGGAGTGGATGTATGGGTAGATATAGGATTGAAGGATAAAGGATTGAGGGAGCTGCACGGAAAGTACTGGAAAGGATTGGACATGTCTTACGGGGTAGGGGGCAGTAAGTAGTAGGCCTGATTGTCTTTGTTCTTGTGGGAAACGCGGCGCTCTGCATACTTGATGGAAACTTGTGCTTTCTTCTTAGTTCTACCCGATTCTACAACTTACAAACGACGGCATGTCAAGAAGAGAACCTTTGTCCGGTTTGTGAACGTGTAAGCGCTCGATATAAACCTCTTCAGATAGCATGAATGATCCCATCATTTTCGTGAATGGCCATAGACTCTATATTCCCATTTCCATACGCATTATAACAGATGCCTATGTAGGTCGGACTGCAACTCCGATCGCGCTGGACCAGATAGTATTTCCATGTTTCCGTTGTTCCTTTCAGGACAAAGCAACCTGACTGTTGTCCTGACAGAGGCTTAGGTGTCTAGAAAGCGGTATCAGCGTGTTTGATGCTTTTACCTTTGTCTGAAAAGCTATGTCAATAAAGAGCAAACGTACTCCTTCTCTTGCAGCGATCGAAGTTCTCTGTGCCAATATCGTCTGGGAAGGAAATCATGTCCACAGCTATGTTGTATGAGATCTCTGTACGTGAATGAATGACATAATGTCTTCTTCCCAGACATCGTGTGACGCTGAAACTTCGATAAATGGACTGACAAAGATTAGCGCTCTGACAAAAACATCGGTCCGGTAGATTCTGCCGCTAAATACTCGGCTTACTGCTGATTGACACACTTCCACTTATGACCAAAATACAAAACTTCAGTTGTCATACATGAACCCAAGAAAAAAGGCTACTCTGACCGCGATACTGCGTCTGGGCATGCGACCGCGGTGGAATGGATCCCTTTGCGATTCCCTCTCTTCGTTTCCAGTCTACAACGTTGTTGTATAGTTTGAAGACAGAACCACATAGAAGCAGTCACCAACAAAGCTGCGATTGCAGTCCAAGAAAAGACCTACATTTTGACCACTTTGATTCAACGGTTGATGATTCATCTCAAATATGGAAGTGGCAAGATTGATCGGGACGTAAACAAAAGCCAAGATCGTGACTAAGACTTGTTCAAGCGGGTGTGATAAGATTATACTCTATCGGGTTCTAACATATCGTTGACTTTAATCTGATCAGGCAAACCATCTTACGATTCGGTAGCTCACACTTCTTACCTCGTTTCGCTTCTTCAATCTCCCGGTTTGAGAGCTGGATGTTCCCTTGACTCTAAGATCGACAAGTTCCCAATCTGAAGTTACATATGATCTCGAGCTTCCGCTTCTTTAGCACGCGCCTCGATAACGGCCTCTCTGATACTTCCGTCGTGTCTCAGCCATGTGTTGCTTCCTAGCCATGTTGCCGCGTCTTACGAACGCACGTATTTGACAAAGCCGTTTCTGCTCTTTTCGAGACCTTCAAGTCTCCTACGCAACCAGAAGCGCTGTTGAGCAATGGTATGGTTGGTCCCTTGTTTCTGATCATCTGAATGCAAGACCATGTTTTCGACTTGACAATGTAACTCGAGAAATGCAGATTGTGAGATTTCACATTGAACATGTAGACGCAGAGTTTCCAGACATAGCAGAGGCAGCATCGCGACCCAAAGCGGAGCACTTTCTGCTGCGTCAGTATTTCGATTCTTATGGACATACTTGGGCATGAGATTGAGTTACAGGTCTGACGACATAGATGCAAGGTTTATCCGGTAGGCGTCTGTCGAAAGTAGAGCGATAGAGTGATGCGCTTCCGCTGAACTCCCCTTTCACGAGTTTTTCGACGATGTCATCATAAGGGTTTTCCAACCTGTCGACAGCCGTGCCCATGATTTTCCTCGGATCATACATTGGCGCAACAAGTAACACAGGTGGAGCACCTTCCTGTAATTGATAGTTTCGTGCCACGATAGCAACGCTGTTACCGATTTTGACATACTCCGATCCATTAGGCCTCAAGGAGTCATTGTAACATGGGGTCCTGGCGTAGCTAGTTGCGCCCATCGAAAGCAGAGTCTCAAAGAAAGAACGATGTATCTGTAGGCTTAGGCCAGGGCGCGTCGATGATGCCAGGGTAAGGGTAGCACCTCCAAGGGATCGACCACAATACGACTCTCGCCGGGACATTCTCAAGTCGCGACCGCAGATTTTGAAGTATCTGAGTGCGCCATCTAGAACCACCGCCCAACCTCGTCTGCACTTCCACGTTGACCGACGTGTGCCCATCCTTCAGTATATCGAGTACGAAGATATTGCCAAGCCTACACCGGTCGCCATAATGAAGATTGTCTCTATACAGTTGATTCAGGCCTCCCAGTAAGTCTTTGAATTGCGGCTCTGTTTCGGGCAAAGCTTCCAAAAAAAGGACGTGTAAGACGGATGAGTAGCCAGTCTCCGCCTGGACATTTTTCCAGCATTGGGGACGCTGGTCCTCATAGCTTCTAGTATCAGATGAAAGAGTCGATAGCTGTATCTCGTATACCTCAGAAAAAATACTCAACAATAGTTTGTAGAGTTAGAAGAGCGCTCAAGATGACAGAAATGAGTTGTTGATCGACGATGGCCTTGCTTCACGGTGAGATCCTGGTGAGGTCTCGGCCGCAAGATACGCTAGTGCCGGAGCAGCTAGCTTCGATTGAGGAGCATGAGGTAGGAAGTTGCCATTCGTCAAGTCTGTCCCCTGCCATCTCAGTCAAGATGGGCCCACACATGGAATGATGGGATACCATATCTTCATGCATCAATGTTCTAAGATTCCTCGCAAACTTATTTCCAGCAGTTCCTAGAAACCTGAGGGGAGCAAGTCCATACAGCCCAGCACATGCTCTGCTTCCCAAGGACATTGTGAGACGCGATCCCTTGAGCGTGAACAGACAAGGAACCGAAGAAGATTGAGCATCAAAAACCACGGAGAGATTCGACAAAGAATCCGGTCGCGTAGAGCCAGGAGTTTTGTTTTCGTATGTTCCCAAAGCACCAAACAACGCGCAGACTTCCTCCCTCGAAAGCACAAAACAGTCTACCGTGCGGTAACACTATGCCATCGTTGACCTTTGTAACTGCCTGGGTAGCAGAAAACGCTAAAAAAAACATGACAGGAAAATGCAAAAATGTTTTACCAAATCCAGCAACGAAGCCTAGCCAAAAAATGACGAAGTGAAAGAACACCCAGAAGAACGCATCTGCTGAACCGAAGAAGTCTCGAACTACGACCTAAATCGCCGAAACCCCAATTCCAAGCGCACGATACGCCGGCGCCCGAAAATAGCTAACGCAAGTATCGTGATCTCAGCGCTGCACGCAAGATGGACAGACCTTTGCCCAAAGAAGACCCCGGACGTACGACTCCGCGTCAAAAGCGCGCCTACACGGTGGGCTCTGAGTATGCCGCTCGGCAGGACGATGATATCCAGTGACACAGGTGGCGCGATCTGGGCTCTGATTCCAGAGGTGTTTGAGGATCTTACTGTTGCTGTTCTGGTGAGAGATGGTAGAGAGGACCGCAGTCCAGCAAGTGAAAAGGCGGGATAGTGTTTTACTCCCCATGCCGGGAACGAGCTGGATGAGAAGCACAATCAACACTACCATTTTCAAGCGATAGTTCAGTCGTGGACAAAAAACTAGAGCGGGGGCTCAGAGTTGTAGTCTGGAGAAAATGTGACATGGGTTGAGTGCCTGTCGAGTGTATCCAATGCTGGTGAAGGTTCTCAAAGACTGGTCAACTTGGGATCTGCCCTCGTGTAAGGAAAGTGGAAATCTTGGGCCCATCCAGCGTGTTTGAATCGTTCTCGCCATGGTTTCTAATGCAATGTGAACACGTAGCACAGATACGCAGCACAGCGTTATAAGCACCACCTCGCGAACGGAGTGATCTCCCGCCTCTCACGTTCACTCGACACCTCCTCGAGCACCATCCCGAAATCATAACGTCTCCTCGTCCATTCGCAAAGAGACCCACCCCTCCCGCTTACGCGTAAGCTTCCGAGCCGGGTCATCCAAGAAGATCCGCCTCTTCGTCGTCATTTCGTTCCTTATGTCTCAGCTAAACACCAGCAATATCTTCAAAGGACACAATCTGCAGAGCCGCCGCGAACTCTCCGCCCGACTTGATATCCAACCATGACCCCGCGCCCAACTCCACGCTGTCGTCACCGTATCCATCAGATCATTTCAACCGTATCGCTTTCCAGATCCGACTCCGTCCCAGCAACCTCTTTACCAACGGCCCTCGATCGGCCCCCGCAACAAAACGAGATCTTACACATATACCAGATACCGTGGAAAATATCCCGTACGTCCAACACATCCACCAGCGCGCCGCCCAGACTCCTAGTCCGCGGCAACTCTCTCGACAACTCCAAATACTCTTCCGCGGAGAAGCTCCAGAGGAAGACGACCGAGGCGATAAACATCTCCACGCAAGTCATGAACGCGGGCGTGCCGACCGCGAAGTCCAGAATCGACACATACTGCGTGCGCTTGAACCATTGGTACTGGGCGAAGAGCTGGAAGACGGGAGCCTGGGTGAGGGTGACGCCGACGATGCCCTTGAAGGAGAAGAGTTTGTAAACGACCTTGTACTGTTTCAGCTCGGGGGCCATGCGGCGGGCGAACCAGACGATGCCGAGGACGCAGATGGAGGTGGCGATGGACTCGATGACGCTGAGGGCGGTGCCGGTGCTGGAGAGTTTGTATTTGACGGGACAGGTGACGCCGCTGAGGACCCAGACGAGAATGTTCAGGACGAGTTTGACGGGGAGGATTTGGAAGACCATGACCCAGATCATCTTTGCGCAGAGTTAGCGACGCGGTGGGAGAGGAAGCTCGTGGTAATTTAAGAAAGGCTTACTTTGAACCAGCGCAAGCTGCCTCCGTCGTGCTTGAGCTTGGGCTTGTTTTTGACGACGCCGAAGCGTTGGAGGTTCATGAAGAAGTGGTCCCGGTGGGATTCATGTGGGGCGACGTAGAGGACGAGGAGATAGAACATTGCGACGAGAGCGAAGCATTCGTAGAGCTCGGGGAAGGGTTCCAAGACCCATGAAGCGTCGTAGAACCAGAGCGCAAACAGACTGAATATGCCGGATATTGGAGGGAAGATGATTATTCGGACAAGCCTGTCGAAGATACACAATTAGACGGGATCGCTTGGAGGTTTCTGGAGGTATTTACTGTTTCTGCTCCCTTGGTTTGACCCAGTTGGATAGATGTACGCTCGCTAGTGAAACGGAGAATATGAGACACAGGGTCGTGGTTACAGCAGAGACGATGAGGAGAATCTGATGGTAGGTGTACCCGCTTGCATAGGGTTCAGTCTTATCTAGTCTCCCCATGAGTAATCACACATTTTCGATCTCATGCTGGAGCATACTGAAGAAGGCCGATAGTGTACAAGTGTCTTCGGCTTGGTCCACTGTTGCCGTGACGTTTATTCCGGTGAAGTTTAACGACATTGTAAATGAATGATGTAGTAACACAAATGCGCTACAGAGATGCGACTCCAATATATTCTACTGCAACGCAAGCAGATTCGAATATGCTTGAGGTAGCAAGGGAGCAGAAGTTGAAAAGGTAGAAATTGGGAAAGGGAACTGGCGTGGGCATACCGTCTTAAGGATCCGGGAGCCCACGGCCGGGGCTGTCATTGAGATCTATTCATAGGCAAATGAAGCTTATTACCTGCGGTCCTATCCGCAATACTAAAGGAACGGAGGCACATAAAGTAAGCCTGTTCATTGTTTTCGAGTTAGCGAAGGATTGTGAAACGTATTCGGGAGGGCGCAGTTCCCACAAGGCTGACAAAGGTTGCACGACCGGTATACATAGTAGTAATGGACTCCGTTGTCCGATGCTGTTGGAATACTCGTATTTCTCTAATACGAGGGCCGTCGGAAGCTTCGGATAAGATTCGCGGGCACCAAAAGAGTCAAAGACCGACGAATCGCGAATTGATGCGACTCACCAACTTTCAAAGTTGTACTCGTATTATGTTTCGCTTGGTAAGTGGTAATCCAGTCGCAAAATCCCAAGCCTTGTCTCGATAAAGCCACTTGGACCAGTAGAACACGTTTCGGCAAGACCTTAAGCTATATGGTGCAGATGGCATTGCCCATGTTGCACAGTCGGCGTTGACTGTGCATTGTTGTTCATCTCACTAGAGCGTCTGTAAATCCCTGCTTAGCGCATCCTTCGTCAGCCCACACACAGCCAAGCCTGCGCCTCCCAGCAGACAAATCTTCTCTGCGTCCTCTTTTCTTCTTACAGAACCCCTCATTCTTCACGGACTGGTGCGGGTAAGAAATTATTTCTCTCCTATCCGATGCCGCTTTCTTATAGGCAACCCTGAGGTCTAATACAGTCAGTGCATACCAGAAAGGCCGGCAGAGGCGTTGGAGCGAGGTACTCCAGCTCCGGCTGAGGGGACCCTTGATAGGCCCCGGTAATTAAGAGACACTGGGGGCCAAAGTTCTAGTCCTAGCATTGATGATGGCGCAACCGTTCATCATAACTGGAAAACGGCCAAGCCTCCAGGGATCGTCCGGGGACCGGAGTGAGAAGATGTCCATGCCAATTGAGGGATAATGTTATAAATTGGGAAATATCTACCACCCAAGCCCCCTGATGTTGTTCTAGGCAACCCCTATCAACTCGAAGTTTGAATAGTATGGCTAGCGAACAGTCCCGATCTGAACTCATGTCTCGGATCTAATATACCCCTACCTGTACGGTGTGTAGAGTCTTTGATGAACAGTTCGAATCGAATGGTTCGCTTTAAACATGCGCTCTCGACACGAGTAAGTTTTCAGAACAACTCACAAAGCCATTACGTGGGCACGCCCAAAATCGATTGACAACCATTTTTAGAGTTAAGGAGAAGAAACAAAGTACATTCGAGCGGATCGAATCAACCTTCTGTCCCGCAGGTCTCCATGCCACGCACTTGTGTGTCTGTCCAGGTTGGGTTCATCCCCGAACGCCGCTTTTCCACTCCAAACCCGCCAAACGCGTTGGATGTGAGCTCACTGTGACGCTTCCACAGCACAAGCGATCCTGTGCGGCCTCCGCTCACTTTGTAGGCCGAAGATAGGGGCGGCGGTGGTAACGAAAGTAGCAGCGCTGGAGTTGGGGGAAAAGGTTGCACCCTGAACGTATCACAGGCAAGGCATGGGAAATTACCAAGTATTGCAACTCAAGTAAAATTGAAGCAATGCTTGTTGAATGTGTTGCTATTCTGGAAGCCAGAGCTAGTGATTTATGCACCGTCGAGGTGGTCGAAGTTTTGGCTTGGTGCCGACCCAGCCTTCCCCAAGACGACATCGTTGACTTAACGATTTCGATACTCAGAAGATAAATCTCCACCTTTTATTCACCGTTACCACCACTTGTGCGTTCCTCTTGGTCTTCAAGGCCGCTTGGATGACAGATCGCTTCTGGAATCTGGAAGCGCAGAAACTTGAGTCTCTGCAAATGTCAATAGAGATATCGTCTGTATCGAGCGGACCTCTGTCGAGTAGAAGCCCTGGAAGGGCTCCCAGAAAATGCCAACGAAAAACGCGGTCTGTCGACTTGAACATGATATGATAGATGATAATTTGTGTTGGATCGTGAGAGAGTGTTGACATGAGCTTGGGCGCGGCAAATTTGCCGCTACCCTTTCTCAATCGGAAAGACCACAACAGAAATTCCGAGCTCGCGATCGGAACACGTTATCATCAAAAGGTGTTTGTGGACAGACGATCTAACATCAGTCTATTACCCAGAGATTGACGACATATAGACGGCTCCGACAATAAGAGCCGACCCGGATGTAAGTGTAAGTGAATACTCACAGCGCTTTCAACTTCTGATCTTGAATTGAAAAGCCTTCGTGCCCCCCGAACAGCATTTGCTGCTAGAGCAACATATGCTTACGAATCTCAGAACACCATCACAATGACCCAAAGTGTCGAGCAACGCTTCCTCTGTGACACTTGCCACCTCCGCCACCGCCGAGATCAGATCTGTTTTCCATTATGCTCGCGATGCCAAGGAAGACACCATACACATGCTGCTTGCAACGGTCCTAGGGTATTGATATGGTCACTGCAGCAACTGCGGTATCGATCGGTTCAGGCTATGCCACCACTGGTGCCGCCATCAGGTTATGGGAACGCTTATCTACCAGCACAGCATCAAATCTATCAGCAGGGCTTTACTTCCTATGGCGCTGCACCTTATGACGCTGTACCTTATAGCGCCCCCCATACGGTGCTGCCCCTTACGGCGTCTACTCCTACGCGTATCCAATGCAGCCTCCACCGCATCAGAACCATTACCAATACAATTATTATCCGGTGCAGCCTCCTCCTTACCAGCACCCCCCGCCTCTCTCCGCACCACTTCCACCTCCTCAAAATGCCTACGCATTCCAGTACCCACCTCCTCCACAACAGCCCTTCTCGTACCTCGCCGGGCCTCCGCCACCTCACCACTCCCACGCCTTCCAGGCGCCACCTCTACTGACTCAGCCGGCATACAATATTCATCCTCAGCCAGGGCAGTGGGTTTCGCCATACGGAACGCAGCCCAGTCTCGTTCAGGCTGACAGGCTTAGAGATCGTGTTACGCGTGGCCGTGGCAAGAATAGAAAGAGGAAGAGGGGAACGGTGGAAGAAGAGGATGAGGAGCTTAATGCGATCGTACAAGAGGAGCCTGCGAGGATGAGGATAGAAGTTGGCGTCAAAAATGAGCATGAAGATGATGAGAACGGTTCCAAGATGCCTGTAGTCAAAACGGAGCCAGCACCTAGCCCCGTTGGTGATGGTTCTACGTCTCCAAGGATTGGGAAGTTGAGCAAGGGGCAGAGGAAACGTGCTCGGCTGTTTAAGAAGAAGACCGAAGCCGCTGTTCCACAGAGCAACAATGCGAACGTCCGCCCCGAGCCAAGAGTGAAGACGGAAGATGGGGGGAAATGGAGAGGCCGGAGGTGACAAAGACGAAGAGAGATGAGGAGATCAACGAAGGAGGCATCAAACAAGAGGATGCCGAGGCGGAAGAGGAATGAGGGGCGTGAGGGGTCCGGGGTCAGTCTAGGGCTTCTACGAGGGTTAGAAAAATTCAAGCGATTGAGAAGATCTTGATGCCGGAAGCCAATAGACTTGATTTTGCCTACCACTAGGTAGCCAATAAATACTTCCCATCACATTGCGCTATCATCTCCCTCCTTTACACTCCTCTCGTACTTTTTCCAAAACCTTCACTAAACAAGCTTACCCAGCTTTCACTCATCACCCTCTGCCGTTCTACGAGCTCTCAACCCCAGCACTATCGAGATATCGATAATACACAGTCACGTCTTTTAGCACTCAGCATGTCAACGTATTCGAGTAGTAGTGCAGCCCAAACAGCCACTCTCCAACCTCTCCACCAAGCCCTCCGATGTCTTCTACACTCCAGAACCCCTTGGATCAGGGAGTTATATACCGCTTCCTAGACCTACCAAAACTGATGACTGACCAGCCGTATCGTTCCATTCCACCGGCTTATCCTACTGTGCGTAAGAGTCAAGGCCACTCCCATATCCATGTATAACGGTGTTTCGACTCGCAGCTCAGCCTTTTCAAATAAGCAGTCCCTGTTCATTCGCTGCGTGGCTGCGAGGCGGGGAAGCATTACTTGTATAAGCGGCAGAACTGTCCTCAATTACTCCGATGCCTAATACAAATAAAACATATAATCCCTTCCCCCCTCGTCCTTTCCGGATTGTGAGATAGGTAGACTACATGTGACGGTGCGGTAAAAGGTGAACGCAACTCAGTGCTTTCCAAATATCAATATACGGGAAATGTTTCAGTCTTTTCTCCCCTTTATCCCTGCCACCCTTGTGCCTCGAGCTGACAACGCACCGATACGACGGCAGTAGCGAAAGCATTCTCTATCGTGTTTCGAATATTAGGGTTTCGTTATGGAGTGGAGACTTAGTGATATCTTTTTCTAAAGCGATGGACGAAGTATAAGATTTTTATCAGACGGGGTTTTTAAAAGAGTCTTACGACGCTGCTGGTTCTGTTAGGCTGCTGTCATGCGATAAGCACTGAAGACTAATACGATAGTTCAAGAGAGCACACAGTTTCCATCGAGCGAGTACTTTCGTTTGAGATCCAATGCCCTGACAGACCGCGCTCGATTGATCAGTTGCGAATCGCCCGTCAGAGACTTTTCAATCTTCGCCGAGAAGGTCTCGACTCTAGACGCGAGAATTTTCGGACCTGCTTAGCAGAGTTCCTTGCATGTAGTGGAGTGTTGAACTCACTAGATGCTGAGAAAGAGTAATACTCCATCATCGTAGGGAAGAGAAGTTATCGAAACTCGAATCAGTCAATGTACCGAGACCAAGAATGTCAGAAACTCGCTCTCTTAAAGTTTACTTACAAAGATTATAATCCATCGTATCAACGCTTGAAGGAGTCAAGCTCAACCAACATAGCCAACTAGTCCTATCGCTCACTGAAGATTCTGACGCATCTGCCTGTCGTGGCAAGCCGCTTGACTCCCGAGGCGAAGTGCACGACGGAGGAAAGGAGATTGGCCATTTTGACTTGTCGAAGAACACACGCGGGCCAGAAATACTCTTTCTAAGCCTCTACGAGCCATTACCATTCATTGACATCTTCAAGCCAGGATCCACCTTTCTGGGCCTCTCCGAGCCCATCGATCTGGCGCGTATCCCCTCAGATATGGGCTCTGGAAGGGTGGCACGGGCATCGATGTCCGGCATGTCATGGAGTGCTTAGGCAAGGCCAACATCTGTCTTGGGCCGGCACCCCGAGCTACATACGCAGAATCATATCCCAAAGGGCACTTCACAAACCTCCTGGAGGTGTTCCAGAAGTAGTCGACAGACAAAATGTCGTTCTGGGTGCAAATGTCACATACATTTCATGATTATCGCAAGCATCTTCGATCTTTGATTCCAAACTGATTCATTACAGGCGCTTTGTTGTTGTGCTAGCAGACTATCTGGCTTTGGCAGAGAGTAGACTTGGAATTTTATGTCGATTCCGTGCAAGCCTAGTCCATGAAATTCTTATCTGCAGTCCTTCAAACAATCGTTGATACAGCCCCGCCAGTCATGCTCAGCGAATGTCAGATATGCGACCAATCTTAGCAGATTCAGCAATGGAGGGCCAGCAGTCACCAGGACCTTGGACATCAACGCTGGAGATGCAAATTTTGTTCTGCGGGATTGTTTTTGCAATGTGCTCACAGCTGGCGAAAAGGACTACGTAGGTCGTGGCGGTCGTAAAGCAGAAGGTACGATTGTACGCAAAGACACAGTGTCTCCAGCAAAAATGCTCTGTCTCTTGTGGATATTTTGGGGGAAGAGTCATTGTTTTCCACCTCCTGCCATCGCCATTTACACATCTCCCAGGCCAAAAGGCCTCCTTTCACCGCCCTCTCCATCACCCACACGCCTCCCACACCGAAAGACATTAAAAGATGTGCCTTCCATACCTTGCCGGCGACATCCTAGGGCATCAAAGGTCGAGAAACAGCCACTTACTCTCAGAGGGTGGTGATAAGCGCTGGTGATGTATATACTCTATTATTGTAACGAGAAGAATTCGCGCGTTTGAGCTTTGTTTGGTATGGAAGGATAATGTAGGTATCGTGGTATCTAATAAAAATAGCAAAATGATAGCCCATTCCTTGGCGATCTTTTCTCCAATAGGTTAGGCGAATGCACGTGCCATCATGACAAAGATCTATTCGTACACAATAATATCCTTGGCACTGCCTCAATTTTTGAACCACAGCTACCTCAAGAATCATGACCATCTCCGCCACTCACACACCAAACCTATCATCCCACCCGTCACAGCCTCTTCATACCGTCTGATCTGCTCCGCACTGAATTACTTCAAAGATGCTTCAGCCGCAGCGACGCAGCCATATTGAGAATAAATACCTGCTCCGCTCCCCTTCCTGAATCCTTACCCCAGACATTAGATTTCGCATCATACCACCCACCCCAGTATCATCATGTCCGACTACACCCAACCCCCCAACACCAATGCTGCCCGCCACGGCGAAGACAGCAAAATCAACCCGCCTTCATCTCACCAGGCCCTCCCCAACCACCGTGCCCAAGCGCTCCAATCCGCATCGCCCGACCTCCGCGCCTGGGCCGAAGCAAAACAAATGCACAACCCCGGCCAAGACGGGTCCTTCGCCACGGGCCAGATATCCATGGGCACCGGCGCCGTGTCCGGGGGTCCCGTGTTTCTGCCTCGCCGGGATGACACACCGTTGCCGCCCGATGAGCTGTTGGGCTTGAAAGGAACCGCGTTCCATGTGGGAAGTGACGCGGAGAAAGCGAAGAAGGAGCAGAAGGAGAGGGAGAAGACGGAGCGTAGGGGGATCTTTGGTCAACATGGGAAGGAGGAGGGGGAGCATGCTGGGGGTGATGGGAAGAGGGGGAGTTTGGCGGGGTTGTTCCATCATCATCAGCATGAAAAGGATGCCGGGGGGAAAGAGGCTGGGAAGGGTGCAGATAGCGACACCGTTCGGTAGATCTCCGTGGTTTCTGCTGGTGTCGAGCGGACGAATCACACGGGTACTTTTCTGCGGTATAGAATATACCGGGCATTCACTCTATCTGCAAACAATTATTTCAAGCAGTCTAAGTAACGCGCTCTAAAACCCGCATGATAGCAGACGGGCGTATACACCGGTAACAACCAGTCAGACACCCTAAGACCCATCCACGATGCAACTACTCTCTTCACTCCAACTCTTCTCTCTCTCACCCTTTTCTAGACACCAACGTCCGATCTCCTAATCAAACTTTCCGGTACGAAGGTTCCCCACGATAAAGCGAACACCTTGAAAGTCCTGCTATAAGGTACATCAAACTCCGCGTCGGATTAATCAATACGGCTTTCAAGCAAAAGTGGGCTGCAGGTCATTTCTAGCCCACTTTGAAGGCCTCCCTTGTACATGAATTCAATGCCCGAGTCTCATCTCGATGAAAACAATATCGGTACTTTGAACCCTTGTCTTCTCTCAGTTCTACTCGCAAACCACCGCCTACAACCGGTGTCCAGGGATGCCACGGCAGTACAAGATCATCAAAGCAGCATGGAACCATTACTCTCTTTTGCTATAGGAATGTGCCTAATCAAGGAGTCTTTCTCAAATGGTAGATCCTACCACGAAACCAACCGGGGACTGCTGGACAGGCGTCTTGGAAAGTGTCGTTCGGCGTTTAAAATATAGCAGGTTGGTAGACAGGTGTTCAAGCTCGAGGTTCTTCCACCTCCTATCGTGGCACCAATCAACCATAATGGGCCAACGGCACTCCATCCCCCACTCCAAGGACTCCAACCCAAACCCCTCGTTCACCAGGAAAGGGGACGATGCATCTACACCACGCCTCCCTGGCTACAGTCAACTCTCACTACCACCTGAATACTCTCCTCGCCTCTCTCCCCAAAATCTCCCCATCGATCTCGTTCCTGAAAGTAGCACGATATCTCGACCCTGTTAGCAGGCTTTGTCTACGTTACACCAATCTCAAGTCGTCCATAGGCCTCCCATTCCATATAGATTTAAAGCTTGGCAAACTATCCAGGGAACCCACGCGGCTCCTGAGTCAGGTTCCGGACACAAGACCACGCCTGAACGAAAGCAGAAGGGCCCCTCGGTACGACCTCAAGCGCGAAGATGGACCGCAGCTGCCGAGACACTTCCTCCCAGACGGTTTCTTCGGCATTGGGAAAAGCCGTTCGCGGCGCCCGTCTCGACCTCCACAAAAATATCCCTGCCTCATCTATCGAGCTTGAAAAAAGCCAGACGGCGAACGCAGCTGTCTGGGTCAGACGGGGGAAAAAGTGTGGCAAGTCCCCATCGCTCGCTTACCTACGAGCACATCGCTCTCCCATAACGCGCCCAACACGGACCGGGAGGGCTTCTCCTGCGCCTCCATCCACGTCATCATACAATCCCATCATCCTCTCGAGTCTGCTTCTTTATAGCGCGCCTCTTCGTTCTTCGAATCAGCCCCCACAAAGAAAGGTGAACTGGTCGTAGCGCCATCAGCTCTCGGTCGCGCATTCGCACGTCCACAGCTCGCGCTCTCAGACATCTTTCCGACCGGCACGTCTCACTCCGATGACCCGATTGGGAGAGAACCGCACCGTTGTCCGCGATGCCGTGGATAGTTCCGATTTCGAATGCGGGCGCACTGATAGGAAGGGTCACGCACGGCTGCTGAGATTGGCTGTGTGGAGGTATTTGAGTGGGTCAAAGGGGGTGGGGGGGGGGGGGGGTGACGGATCCGAAGTGGTTTGGCGCAGTTGAAGCAGAAGAATGTGACGGTAGAGGAGAGCAGGGTGAAGAGGATATTCGATGATGAACCTTTAGCGCGGTGGGAGTGGAGGTATGGATGTGATGGACGCGGCTTGGAGAGGGGCGCTGGGACAGTGTGGGCGGATTACGCACGTGGGGGATATGAAGGATCATGAGGGTATAATGGCTGTCTTGGAAAGAGGTTGTCTGAAAGACCAAGAGGATTTCTATCGATCTGAGTTGAAATCATCTCATTATAGTAACGCTATAGCTTGCGATCTAAGTTCGGACGTCGGGTTATCTATACTGTAACCTGCAACATCAATCCGGACTTCAGACGCGTCTCCCGCGCCAGCGTGACGGGATGCGCTCTGTTTTTTCTTCGCCTGCAAAGGTAGACTTGATTGAGGCTACGTTCTGCTGAATCGTTCGGCAGTGTCAAACAGCACATGGCGCTTTTCCAGCTGACTCGGTAGAACTTTCCGCTTGACGTTCCCTTCGGTTGTGCACATTCTTCCATCTTCAACTTCGTTATCGATCTTTCGTTTGAATAACACCCACACATAAAGACACTAAATTCATTTCCTTGTATGCGAGAGGATGTGCAAGTTTCGTAGCCTAAGTGGCGACCTAGGTAGATAACCGCATAATCCTATAGCCTCACTTTGGCCAGATCAAGAACCGTGTTCCAAGCTCATGACGGTGCTACTGCCGGTCGTCAGCTCCGGGCGATCTGAATCTACTGCTTAATCCTGAGATCTCAACAAGAGCGACCCCATGCCGCCTTGACAACCTCACGGATTGACAGAAAAGCCTGCACACGCAAAACCCGTAAATCTACTACAACTCGCCAACGAAAGATCTCATTCAGAATCCCTCGCTCCGTGAGATAGGAAAACAAGCAGAAGGGGTGACTTTTACCGCAACTGTTGAAACTTGAGAATGGGTATTGATAGAACTATTCCAAATGATAAGGTGGGAGGATCGCTTCGTGTGAGGCTCTTCTGTTACCCGCGAGGACAGCGTAGATTGGAAGCAGAACCTTTGAATCCAGCCTTGCGAAAATGGCCATGGACACGCGGTCTTAGTCAAATCCCTCAACAAATGCCTTGCAGACCATTTCGGAATTGTGAACAGAAGCTCCTGTCTTTGGAACTAGCCCGAAGAGACCGATGACCAGCAGCGAGCGGACCTTTCTGCCGGACCTGGCCACCGAATGGTCCAAAACGCAATCCTCACGTCTCGATGCTTCTTATGATCGAAGCTCGCTTTTTCGACAAGAGATTCCTTCCCTTCCGTTGTTGGCAACATGAATCGTTGACCTTGACAGCGCTTTCCTCAGATGAATGTGTGGTTCAAAAGCCATACTTTACATTTCAACCAATCAACAACGATGACGGCAACAGGATGGTCGACGAGCCATCCCCAGAAGAGATCCCACTCGACAAGTGAGATGGAAGTTCGAGGATCCAAGGTTTCCCGAACTCCTGGGACGTAGTTCACGGTTCCGTGGCGTTGTCCTTGCTCCCCAGTCAGATAGCATTTTCGATCGGGTTGAATCGGTAAAACCGAACGTCAAGGGGCTTTGAACTTGGCACTTTCGATCCATCTCGTACTTCTTCCAATGATTTTTCTAAGTATAATCGAACAAATGGGATCGCCTTGCCCTCGCCCACATCGGCGGTGGCATTCGGGGTAACGAAGTGCATTCGACATTAATCCAGGACAGGAAGGAGAAGCAAATGCCAGGCATAGTTTTTCCTCTGTGGCTTTGTCTTAGCTTAGTCAATCAGAGCTAGATTCTAGCCTTCTCGCTGTCCCTGTTTCTTTCACCTCCACTTGACCGCTTCCCATGGAAGAAGCACCCAATGTGGAATATGTACGGAGCAGAGTGAGACACGCTTTTTCCGGCTATGGAAAGGATCGCTGGTTTCCTCTCGAGCTTATGACACGTCGTTTGCGTTGTTCGTAGCGTAGAGCATACAGCACAGATCACAGGTTTGCTCTAGGACTCCCGCAGCCCGAACAGCCCTCCGGGGCTTGGTTGAGAGCTCATGGTGCCACCTCCTAAGGTCCGAGTCTCGTATGGACGACGTATCTAAGCGGAGTATAGTAGGCTAATAGCTTAGGCTTTTAGACCGTTCCAATGCCGTCCTTCTCTGCTCCGAGCGCTGGTGAAAGACACCAATCAGATGGCTCTTTCCCTAGGCTATCAATCCGTTATGTCACAGTGCAAGGACGAATATGTATTTTAGGGGCTTTGCCACCAAAATTAGTAACACTTCGGTAAGAGTATGTAGCAGAAGTCATGCATATAGGGAATTCAAAATTTCTAAGTCCCACTGAGGCAAGCTTGCCGGTGCACTGTGGGAATTAGAAATCCTAAGGTTTTCGCCCGCAAAATTTTCCCTATATGCATAACTTCTGCTACATGCTCTTACCTTCTATTTAAAGCTTGTTGTATGCTGTCGCTCTTGCCCGCCAAAATTGCTTCTTCGAATGGTATCAGACCCTTCGACCTAGGGGTCTGGCGAATTGATTCCCAGTCAATTTTCGAGATCAAACCTCACCTGAGCTTACCAACGCGGAATTTCTTGGTTCATTAGCGGCCTCCAGATCGCGTTTCTTGGTCATAGCTCCATTTCCATCTGTGTATCCTTGGGGACCCACGCCTATCCCCCAAGCTTTCGACACGCTTCTAGGCCCCCAACTCCAGCCAGCGCCTCGTCTGATAGGCAAATGATACATCCTGAAGCCAATGTAAGAGATGACAGTGCCCATCAACGAGCCGAAAATGATGTCAAATCCATGATGCCTGAAATCCGAAAAACGCGTTGATGCAACATAAGCGGGGATCGAGATACAGATGAGTGGTAGGATTAAAAGATAAGTCGGAGGAGCCGCCGCTTGCTTGCGCAGAGGTACTGATCTGCTCTTGGTGGATGCGGGAGCATCATTTTTGAAGTTGTCGGAGTCACCGTCGATTAGGCCTTGATCATATCTTTTGGCATCTTGCGTTGAAGATTCGAAGGTGTATGGGAGTAAATATGGAATGGTGACGGAGAATTTGGAGCAGAGGAAGAGAGTCAGGTAGAACATGCCAGCCCAGGAGACTAGACAGAGCACTGTTAGCCAGCCTAGGGACAAAAGGCAGAGTACGGACTTACAAGAAGAATGGCCGCTAGGAAAGCTTGCGAATCCATCATTCAGCTTCGAAGCATTGGGCTGTCGGCAAGCCGTAGAAGAGACCAAGAGGTTCCATAGTGGTAGCTGGCTCCCTTCGCCACCTAGAGCGTATTGCTGCACAGTCGCAGGATCTAGATTACATCTTGATAGCAGGTCTGGCCTTGGTCTGCCAATTACGTTTTTAAGCCCTTCCGTGAAAAAGAACGTCGTGGCTAGAGCAAGCGCAAGTCCCATCCAAGCAGTATTCCACTCCCATAGTTTCATCCTCCACATGAGTGACTTTGGTGTTCCCCGTGACACGCCAGGTCCTGGCGTGAACACCAGCGTCACAAAAGCCGTGACGAGAGCGGGTATGACCAATGCGATGGTGACAAGGAGGCCTGTTGATATCTTTTCATGCTCGACGTATGGGAAGGATATGTCAGGGTCGACTGGGGAGAAGGGTCTGTGGTTCGGTGTTACCTTCCAGAAGCCTGCACCAACTGCTGCAATGCCACTGTAAAGGCTCGTCAGTAAGAAGCCGAGCGTTGAATTCCAGGAGAAACAAACATGATGACGATCCAGTCGACCACGTATGAAAGCGCCAGTCGCTTCGGTGTATGAGTGAGTGATGCCATAGCTGCGTTTTAGAGTCGACAGAGACGGTGGGTATTGGTGAAAGTCCTAGGGACTAAATACAGGAGGGAAGCATCACTGGCAAGACAAAGACTATCTTACAACAATGACGAATGCTATTTTTAATGGAGCACGCGACGATTTTGCCGCCGTCGCGCCAAGCCGGCGCCGCTTTAGCCTCGCACGACCTGCGGCCGAGGGTCGCCGAGGGGGTCGCTCGATCCCGGGTGATTGCGCCCCTCGACGTCCATGAGCTTCTACCTGGTCGTGGTAGTTTCTCTTATCAGAGCGACCCGACAGACAGTCAGAGAATAAATTCGCACGCCTCGGGTGCGCGTGGTAGGTGGGTACCGAAGTCTAGACGCCGCCTCTGTACAAATATTCGAGCATTGTCGTAAAAGTTCCGTACGAAGTTTCATTGGGATGCACCAGCTCACCATCTTATGCTATATAAGGAATGGCTTGAATGATTTAGGTAAGTGATACATGTACACCCACTTTTGATACATTGACACAATTCGTATGTCTTGGTCTTCTCAAACGTGGGTGCAGTATGACTTGGTGCAATGTCCAAGGGGTTTCGCCATTCCAAGCGTTCATCGGGCGCTGGTCGCGGGTCCAAGTTGACTCAAAAGGATATTTTCGTCTCTATTATGAGCGATGGAGTCATGAAGAAGTCAGCGTAGCCCCTGAGTTTGAAAGAATACGACCGCGAATCGGCATGACAATGCTCATACTCAAGCATACGAAGGCAGATACAAAAACCTTGGCCCGCCGGGACAGTGTGCATTTTCAAGGAGACAGTCTACTGAGTCTGGCCTTGAGAAGGGCGGATGAAGGGATCATCAAACAAGTTCTCGAGTATGATAGCGACATTGACAGAAGAAAGCCAACATTCAATATGGAACCCGTCCGCTGAATACGCCTCTCGAGTGGCTATGCTCTGGATTGATAGGGGACATAGACCTAAAGAGGACCCTGCTTGCACTCCTCTTCAACTGGGAGTTGTAACCGAGTAGGGCCCCAGGAAAACTTCAACCGCAAAATTGAAACTCTATCCAGCGAAGATTTGTTCGATACAAAAACATGCCGTTCATCACCATTAATGTGACAACTTAGCCTCGGAGAAGACAATGAAGTTCTCTCGGAGCCAGATCAAGGCTGTCATCTCCCTGGTGCCGATAGGTCTGAGTTCCGAGCTGCGAGTAGGGCCCTCTAAAACAATCAAGATCCAAGGAAACTGCCTGTATCAGTCCTCGATATTTCTGCCAGTTCCAGAAACAACATCTTGGTCAACATGTTTACCGTCTGTCCTCGAAACATATCAGATATTCTCTGCCATTTCGACTTAGCAACCCTTGCCATCCACTTCTTGCTGCGGACAATACTCTATTCAAGCAGTACCAGAACGCCTGCCAAGAGGCCCCGGACTGGAGTCTCATTCGGGGTCACGTGCGACCTAGCTCGTTCTGGTGAAGCGGCTTGGCACACAGATTCTCGAAGAGCAGAATAGAGTAGGATACTACGGAAACTACCATGCTTTTCAAAGTACATACTTACACAACCATTCAGGCTTCACATCTCGACGCACTGAGGGTTCTAGAACGGCTCCCGACTCCTGAGAGGAACCTCCATTACACACAGCAAGTCCTATAGCCCACGACGATTCGACACTCTTCCGTATCTTTGAGGTCCTTGACAAACTAAAACTGCAAGGCTTGAACTTGGACACGATGTCACGGAACCCTCCTTCAAAAGACAAGCTGGAATGGTCACAGTTTTCAGTCAACGAGCCACTGACTTCTGAAATGAAAACCAAAATTAGATCGGAGCTTACGAGATCTTATCACTCTTTCAGGAAAAGTGTATACGGCCTGGAAACCAAAACCCACTGGGCATCCAACCTTGGCCCAGATACCGGCATGTTCATTCACAACAATCCAATAACGCCACTTGATGATTGGACGCTGCAGAAGTTCTGCAACAAACCAGCAGCATTGTACTGGGCGCGTTCGGCTCAAATCAATGAACGCTGTCCACGCTTAACATTCGCTTGTATCTACAAGCAATGGTTCCGTTCCCACAACCACGATCCGAACATCGAATTCGGTCAATTCTTTGCAAATCCCATCCGGATTTCCTCCACCGGTCCCGAAACAATAGCCGGTACCCTCGAAGCCCACAAGTGTCTCTGCAATCAGGCAGCCTCACTTTTGAATATCATCCGACGAGGGGAGGCTGGCGAAGTTCGTTTGGGTAGTTGGCCAGACCCTCGAAATTGCAGACTGCTTCCTCTTTATCGAGCGATACTTGTTGTCCTCGATAATTTTGATCCACCTAATGTGACCAACCAGCACGAACGCATAAAGTTAGAGAGCCGGTTCAACGGCAGACCGTGATTATGGTTTTGACTGGTGACGACAATGGTCTCAGCGCGCCAATAATTTTCGATACCATCAGGTCGCAGTCACTCCCACTTGCAAAAGCTGACATCGCCGACGACGTAGATAATATCCGTGTCTCTTTAAAAACAGCCGTACATTTCATTGCGGATTTACAGTGGCAAGAAGAAGAAGCTTTCCCGGATTTGCGACGGATTGCGACTGATCGATCCATTGGCCCAACAACCGATAACATATCGTTCGGCCTGATCAGTGCAGATGAATGGGTTGATGAGATTGTGCACAAATCAGAAGAGGAGGGCGACAACATTGTTATTGAAATGAAGTCTGCGGCGTGGAAAATGAAAGCGAAGCAACAAGGGGATAGCGTTCTTCAGCGAGAGTTCGATAATTTCTCTCCGATGTGGGAGTAGCTTGGCTTGGGAACTCTTGGAGGAAGGAATGATGCTGGTGGGTGGATGAGGGTTCGGAATCGTCAAATATGTCGTCTCGAATCCCCTCCTTCTACCGCATCTGGTTCACAGTCGTCGATCCCTTCTTATCCATCATCGGCGTCTACGGTAACCTCTTCGCGCCCACCTCCATCCTGAATTCCTACTCCTCCTCCTACGTCTCCCCGCCCACCACGGAAACAATCCCACTCCTCGATACAACGGCCGGCTTCCTCGCAGGCCTAGCCTTCCTGCAGGTTGCCCTATTGCGCGCAAAACCTACGGATCTAACGGTCTGGGGCGCGCTACAGGGTAGTACGGTGCTGGTGGATATTGCTATGTGTGGGTGGATTTACGAGGGTGTTGTGTGTCGAGGGAGGACGGATTGGAGAGACTGGAAGGTTGAGGAGTGGACGAGTTTGGGGAATACGGCGGGGGTCGCGCTTATTAGGACGGCGTTCTTGTTAGACGTTGGGATGGGGGGAGAGGAGAGGGGGGACGGGAAGGGGAAGAGGATTTGAGAGGGTACACGCGTAGGCTCCTAGGATATACGTGTTAGGTAGAGACGAGTGTGGGATGGTGTTAGATAAATAACAGATAAGAGCTTCATGCATAAACAAAAAACCCATTAATACTTTACCTCGTCTTATAAGGCGAGGGTAAGACAGGCTCGAAGAAGCTATATAGAGTATTCAGATCCCTGTTATCGTAACCGTTCCTGCGAGCGAGGGCTAAGGCCCGCTCTCTTTCATACCCGCGGTGGTAGCCTTATTCGGACTTCGGGTCACCCAAATTAGGCTGTACGAGAGACGGCGCTTTTGGATATCTTACATCTGGGGGTAAGTAAGTGGAAGAGTGAGGGTGAGAATAAATGTTCATCAAGTCGAATGTCGCAGCTAGCTCACTCGCTAAAGCGGCCACGCCCGGGCGAATTCCGACTTCCGCCCGCCAAGCCACCCGACTACTAGATTAACCTCCAGGGGAACTCTAAGAAGTGTCAGAATGTTCAACTGAAAACCTCCCTCTCAATAGCAGACTGCACTTCACACCGTGAATACCTGGCATTCAAGGGCTGTTGAAGCGTTGATACAGGGCGATGAGTTTCGGTGGACCTGGTGGAGGACAGAAAAGCGCCAAACCTATCCCGCCGGAGCGTGGGAGTTTCCCCTCTCGACCATGACGGAGAGTGCAAGCCTATCATAGCAGACTACCTCCGATGCTTGCGCAGAGTCAAGGGGACGAATGACCAAGAATGTCGAATGATGGCAAAGGAGTACCTCAAATGTCGTATGGAGAACAATCTAATGGCGCCTGATGAAATGAAGAATCTTGGTTTTGCAGAGGACGACAAGACGGAACCTATACCAAATCACGCTGGTGGAGCCACGGCACATAAGGTTAGGGATGATGGGAAGAAGATATCTTGATCGTTGAGACCCCTGTAACGTCTACGTATCATTCTCCCTCGACACTACACTACAGGTGGAGCATTCGGCGTCTACAGATACTCCGTTAGCGAGATGGCATCCTATCCTCTACCTCCCAACCCTTGCCTCGTGGCGATACTCTTGCTAGTGAAAACCACATCCGAGCCACGCATCATCTTTCATTACCCACCAAAACCGGGTGAAGACAATACGCATTTCACAGACATGTTTAAAGAGAGCCCTGCGGACGACGATTCATCCAGCTCATCAAGCGATGACGAAAGCCAAGACTCTTCAACAGAGATCCCCAAACCTATTGAGCCAAAGGGGGAGAATGGCACGGGGAAAAGTACTCCCGAAGTGGATGAATATGGCTCTGCGTCACCAGAGAAGAGCGATGGGTTGAAAGGGGTTAAGGCGAAGCTACAATGGAACGATCTATTCGGCTACCAGTCTAGTGTTCTGTCCAAGGTGCTACTACCTGCTGTGAGCTGTCACAAGAAGAGGTTCGAAGTTGGCCTGAACGACAAGGTATTTCTGGGCCGCCCGGTTTTTGCGAGGCCGGAGGGTACCTGGAAGAAACCAAGGAAACCGAGAAGGTCGTCTAGCAAAAGTGATGTGACTGCAGAGAAAGTCAAGGATGTCCGGGAGCAGGGCAAGGGCACCAAAGTAGAGACGTTTGATTATGCGAACAAGGACAGTGGGACATCAGGCGTCGACACTCACTTGGAGAGCCAGTCGGACTCCCATCGAGATGAAGACACACTGAAGAAGGAAGATGCGATCGAGGACGGAGAGCCTGTTGTACAGACACCAGACACGAAGAGTAATAGAACTAGCAAGTCAGATATGCTCCCATTAATCAAGGAAAAACAGAAGCCTCTGGCAATGTTTCACGTCGTCTTCGTGCTCCGGCCGCCACCGCTTGAATATCACCTACGGGTGAAAGAGATGTACGACAATGTCACCAAGAAACTTTCTAAGGCTTTGAAGTGGGAGCAAACTCGTTCAGGTTATGTGGCGAGGGAAACAGCTGTGATCACATCATTGACAAAGCATATGGACAAATCAAACAGTAAGACGCGTTCAGCAACAGTCTTGACTATCGCTCATATGTACAGGCGAAAAGCAAAACCTGGCAACTTTGTATCACGACATAATCTCGCGGTCTAGTCTCGCGAAAGCCATATCAACCCTCTACAACAGCATCACCGCTTCTCAAATCGCCCATATCAGTTTGAGTCCAGCCTTGTCTCTATCTCTCCAGATCCCGTTCCCCACCTCCATCTCAATCCTCCCAACCGCACTCGCGCCCCAGCTGCCCGGCCTCTGGCTGACGACCGCCAATTCCATGCCAACGGACGACGACGTCCAGGGTAACGGGCCCCAACTAGGGGCACATTTCACCCTTTTGTTGCTATCAGACCTTCATTCAATCATGGCAGATATCAATGCCACCGCATCGCCCATCACTGGACCTTTGACCCATTACCTCCGGGTCACCACATCCAACGAATCCTTCCTGCAAATCTCCCAATCCTCAGGAATCCCCCTCACCGAGATCCAATTCCTCGCCTCCCACCTCATATACTGGCGGCGTGCCCGAGCAATCCCACCACTCCACCAACGCGACGTCTACATAGTATCACCGAATGCCGACATGCGGAATTTGGCAACCGCATCTCAGAACTTTGCCAAGCTCTTTCCTGCGCTTCCACCACTACCCAAGATTCTCTACATGCTCTCGCACACGCCGAGACCATACTCAGCTCTCATCCCCAGCAAAGACCACAAGCCAACCTACATGGATATCTTGGCCTGGCTGATGCGTGGAGGCTGGGTGACTCAGCTCCGAACATTTGCATGGGTGCGAGTACCAGCCGATATTAAGGAAGCTGTGGCCAAGGAGACAGTGATGAACGCATCACGCAAGAAGAAATTCTCAGAAACCGAGAGCACCGACGAGACCGACACCGACACCTCCAGCGCCAGCAGCACAAACCTAAGCGTGCCCCCTCCCCACACATCCTCTGCTTCCCCCTCCCCCACCTCAAGCACCCACACCACCCTCCCCATTCCCCAACCCACAACGCCCCACACCCCCTCCCTAATCCCAAACCCGCGTCTCGCATCCGCCCTCCCCTCTCGCTACCTCTCCGCCCTATCAGCGTACGTTCTAAACACTCAAGGCGTCGACGCGCAATCGGCCTGGGATATATGCGTCAATTATTTCGACGGACATCATGCCATTGAGACCATTCCGGTCCGAGAGGGGTGGAAACGGAAGAGGGTTGCGGAGCTGATGGGGGCATGGGAGGGGATGGGATTGGTGGTCAGGGGGAAGCATTGGTAGGGTTTGCGAATGAGAAGAGGTACAGTTCTTGAAATGTGAAAAAATGATCAGGTGTTCCGGTTCAGACGCCGAGGAAGCTCGTCTCAGCTGGATCTACTGCAGTGGAATCTGGTGAACTACGGGGGCGAACTCCGAGACTGGTTTCCCATTTGCGCGAGGTTTCACGCACCGTTCATACTCGTTTTGGGGAAGGGACTGGGGTCAACATGATCGTTCTTGTGAATGTTAGACAGAGGCAGTCATATCCCCACTCTATCAATAGCTTGAGCGCAGGTCCTTCGTCCTTGCCCGATAGTCTACATCAGCAACGCTCTTGTGTGGAATGGATTCATAATCTTCTATAGTGACACATGTCCACCGGAAGACATCCACATGCATAGTTCATGATCCTCTACCAGCGCCTCGGCCTCCACCCATCATATTTCGTGCCCTGGATGATTGTCAATTCCCGTCCCCATGCCACCAAAGAACGCAGAGGGTTTAAACTCACATCTCAGCAATATTCGGATCGTTCATCATAGCGGCCAGATCCGGCATGCCCCCTCCCCCACTGGCACCTCCTCCTCTCCCAGCACCTGCTTCGCCTGCTCCTCCCCGTCCTCCCGCCGCCCAGCATGCCCGCCAGCGCACTCAGATCAGGCATGCCTCCTCCTCCTCCTCCTCCTGTCCCAGCACCTCCCGAGCCCCCACCACCGAGACCAAACCTCTCCGCCATGCCCCTCAACTGCGGGTTATTCATCAAGCCCTGCAGTGTCTCCGGATTGCTCATGAGGTTCTGCGCCATATTCGCGAACATGGGGTTGCTCATCAGGCCACCGAGATCCGGCATGCCTCCTCCACCCCTCCCACCGCCGCCGCCCATCATACCCGCCAGGGCACTGAGATCTGGCATACCTCCCCCACCACTCGCGCCCCTCGCACTAGTCCCGTCATCGAGATCCTCTTCCAACCCACCAGCCGCCCTCTCCCTCTCCAACTCGTCCACCTTCTCCTTCGCCGTCTTGAACCCCTTCTTCATCGCCTCGCTTCCCCCATTCCCTTCATACTCGATCCCCTGCCCATAAGCCTCCATGCTGCCCCTCGCGTCCCCGAGCACGAACCGCGCCAGCCCGAGCCGCGACCACGCCTTGGTGTACTTCGGGTCGGCCGCGACGGCCATTTCGGCGTCGGTGCAGGCCTCGGCGTGCTTGTGGCTGGCGCTGTAGGCGGCGGCGCGGTTGGAGAGGTAGATGGGGTTCATGGGGGCGATGGCGATGGCTTTGGAGTAGAGGTCGATGGCGGCCGGGTGGTCTTTGCGCGCCATGGCGGCGTTGCCCTGGGATTTGAAGCCTTCGGATTCCGGGGTCGGGGCGGAGACGGCTTCTGCAGGTTTGGGTGCGCTGGCTCCGGTCGTGTTGCCGCCGCTGCTGCTGCTACTGGCTCCGGTCGTGTCTTTGCCCTTGAGTTTCTCGTAAACGCCGTAGATGCTCAGGAGTGATTGCGAGCCGATGGCGTCTGTCATGTGCGATTTATTGGAGGGGTCGACGTGGAAGGTGTCGGCGATGCAGGAGGTGGCTATTTCTATGCTCTCGGTGTCTTCAGGCGTTATGGTGCCGTCTTTGAGGGAGGTGGAGAGGAAGTCGATTATGGCAAGGGCGAGACGCTTTTTGGTGTCGAGGGTGGACGCCTATGGGGTGGTTAGCATTGGTGGGACTGCGAAGCTTGGTGGAACTCACCATGATGGCGCTGAGAGTATATAGGGGATTTAATAGGTCTGGTGGATTTCTCAGAGTCTGAAGAGGTATTTAAGTAGGCTGGTAGATTGTTGGAGTCGTGGGTAAAGGTGTGGTGTTCACAGGGAGAGCGCTGCAAAAGCTGGTATAAACTTGGACCCTGCATTGTGACGATCCCGAGGTTTGGCCGACCGCCTATGACGATGCTGCGAAGACTTGAAGACCAACAACAAGTGAAAAAGTCATGTCGGTCTATTCCAAACATAGCTTCCTTGACCAGACTCTAACATTTCAAGTCTCGATAGCCACAGGTTCGCAGGCTTGCTACCCAGAAGCCAGCCGCAGAGCCAGCAACTATTGACTCAATGCCACAAAGCCTGAACGGCCATTGAGGTTCCGGTTTATCGCTCCTATCTTGTTATCCGAGTTTATGCATCTCCTAACCTTATGAAGCTACGACAATTTGGGTATCAAGTCGCCTCAAAATGTTGACTTTTATAGTTGCCATACTGGAAAGGTGAAGAAGCTTGTATTCTTATCCTGTACATCCGACGGTGTACTTCTCAAGCTCTTCCACCTCAGTGCGTAAGAGTTGACCCCCAACTCCTCATTCTCACTCAACTCTGTCCTAGATCGACTATCTGCAAGGAACTATTCTCCAAACTGATGGCAGAAGTACTTTCATCTGACAAGCTTGCTAGCCCATTTCTCACAGTTGTCAAGTCCACACCCGTCACACTCACGAAGATTCCTTTATCTGCATCAAGCGTGGAGATACCCCCAAATCCTTGCTCTCTCCCGCAGATGCACCTCAGCATAATCTCGGATGCCCAGTATACCATCTTAAGTAACGTGATGTAATCCGAGATCGACAGGTCTAAACTGGTATCCATCATCAAATAGCAGCTTTTACTATGCTGTACGAATGGCATTTCGATACCGCCCGTCGGTTCCGTTGTGAAGAGTTGAGGGACCAAGATCTTTGGATCGCTGAGAAGTACCATGACGGCATCGGTGCAATCTTGTGTATTTATCTTTTGAGCAGCGGGCATGCCGGACCCAAGGCACCTCACCAATGGAGCGAATCTACCGCTGGCTTCTGGATACTTGGTAGTGTTGCTCGAGCGCTTATCCAGGTTGGCGGACTCGGTGCCACTGTATTCGTAAGAAGGTGTTGATACTGTCCGGTTTCTCGGTGGCGATGCAGATATTGCACTGGACGGCGACGAGACTCCTGTACCGGATGGCACCTCGAGAATTGTGCCATTTCTAAGATGTGTTGAGCCGAAGCCGCTGACACCTACGTAGAATTTATCTGCAGCTGTCCCAACATCGGCGATTCCACCTATTGCAAACTTGGACCCGTCCAAGCATCGGTCCAAGATCCTGTTGACCGTAGAAGCCACGTCAAGAAACCGGAACCGGTCCTGAATCGTGCTTTCATCATTGTTCTTGATGAAAACCACGCATTGCCCGTAGTGCCAATTGTTATATTCCGTTTTCATGATATTGATGTCCGCAGCGTCTGTGTAGCCAAAGGTCTGCTCCATCATCGGGTTTGGTAGCCTCAGGATTATTTCGTTTATGATAACATTACAATCCGAGGCAATAGCAGGCAGCAAGCGGTGGACTGAGGCGGGGTCGAAGCAGTGCACTGGATACCTTTTGCGGGCTTTCAACCCATCCGTAAGAGTCATTGACAACGAATTATGCTCTGGCACAATCGGGGATGATCTGCTTTCGAGGATGCGAGGCCCACCCGACGGAAGAGAAAGTGTGGTATCGCTCCCTAGGCTTTCTCCACTTCGCGTCTGTATGCCCGACACAACAACATAGAAACTCAGTGGAAATTTCAAACGACCAATATCAGCATTTCCACCCAATGGTTCTTTAGTGTCGGCGACACATTTCTGAACTATCCGCTGTGCCACTTCTGCAACGTCCACTGGGCGGAACCTATCGACCTGCTTTTCATCTATGTTTCGAACACGCATGAAGCAGTTTCCGAAAATCCATCGGTTTTCTGGCAGTGAAACATTGATTTCCGCAGTATCCGTGTAACCCCAAGTCTGTGCCCGAAGCGGATCCTTCATGCCAAGAATGATTGTGTTGATAATGAACTTGCAGTCTTTTGCATTGGCACCAGGTAGGCGAGATCCCCTTGGATAGCAGTCGATTTCGTGGCCGATCTGTACCTTCGGATCTCCCGTAGAATTCGATTGAGATCGTGTCTCATTCAGAGATACTAACGCCCCGTTTGAACCCAACATTCGCGGTTGAAGTCCTGCCGGACCGCGATTTGCCAGGTTGGCATTCGGAGTTCGCTTGGAGACTTCCGAATTAGGAAGGGTCGAAATGTCAGCGTCATTGACAGCGTTGACGTTAACATCTGGTAGGTATCCTTGCAAACCAACATAATACGACATTACGCGCGACCCGATGGGCATTGATCCCCCTTGGGCCTTCCTGTGACTCGTCACGCAATCTGACAAGATTTTGTTTGCCGTCAGTGCAACCTCAAAAAGAGTAAACAGGTCAATCGAGGCGCTCGGTGCAGAGTTGACATAGACACTGCATTGACCAAAGATCCATCGCGCGGGGAGCCAGTCGCGATACGACTCCATGTACATTTGCTCGGAGAAAGGTCGCCTCTCAAATGGTCCATCAAGGCGAAGAATGACATCATTGAGGACCGTGGTGCAATCTTGAGCTACTGCGGTAAGATCGAGACTTGCTCTGATATCGAAGCATAGAACTTGGTATGCTGGTGAATCCAGATTCGAGACCGGATTTGTCGAGTTGAACTGGGGTGAAGACACGTTTGCGTTTGGTACGGCTGCCGGGTTAAGAACTCTAGAGGGCAATGGTATTGCCGAAATTGGGACCAGGAAGAGTAACGCTGTATTGAGAGATTTGCCCAAGAGCAGCATCGCAGCTGCACCCTCACTTCAATCGACGCAGATTTGTACGCATTCAAGTCAAGGCTATAGGTTTGAGACGAGAGATGAAGGGAATAGAAGAGCAGAGGCGTACACCTCGATCCAAACAAGGTCACCAGAGATGATGAAGGAAATAGGCGCCTTTAGCAGTCGCGAGTCCTACGCATGGCGGATGTTGACTGCGCTGGCGCACAAATCAATGAGCAAGCCAAGGTAAAGCATATCGCTCTTACGGAACCGTCATCCAGAGAAACTGCTCATGCAGGGCAATAGCGTGGAAGGCACAAAATAACAGATAGCTCTTTTCTCAGAAAGACTGTTAGATCGAACTGCATGCTGCAGAGAAGAAACATGCGCTATTTGAGATTCCGATAACATGACCTGTAAGTATCCAAATGCTTGTCAATTGTAAGGAGAAGCATATTCGATGCCAATCCAAGGAAGTTGTGAGAATTGGAGGCAATCTGCTTGTGCAGGATGAGGATATTCTACAGGAGTCGATCGAATAGCTGTACAGAGATACATTGACGGACCGATATCTCCCATGAAGAAGAGCTGCGTATGGGCGATGAAGAGATACAGCATAGGGACATAAAGAAAGAAAAAAAGTGAAGTAACAGAACTCACTGCCCTCCTGCTGAGAGAGGATGCCGCATGCCGGCGCCACCGGAGCCGTCCGCGGCTTTAAGCAAAATCGGAGTTAAGCTATCGCCGTTCGGCTTACCAGACAGAGCTCCCTTGAACCTCACTCCATCCTTTCACTTTGACTCCAATGTATCTTCCCCTTACCGACAACAGATAATGACAATGGCCAACAATCTCCTTCATCTACCTCACGAGGTCTTGCATAGTATCATAGCCAATACAGACCCGCAAGACCTCGCAGCGTTATGCTGCTGCCGAGCTCTCAATGACTTCATCAAGAACAATCACCTGCTCCACAAGGAGATGTACCTCAAGACCTTTGTATGGCATTGGCATGATCCAATCTATCCGCCGTGTTCACACTGAGTGGTGTGCCTTGTGTAGGATTCATTATCCCAAAAGGACAACACTGTCTGGGGCCCCGAACTGCGAAAGCTGGTCAATGTCCAGAAGATCCTCGAGTCGAGTGACGATGCTCTTAAGGTAGCGTTCCCGCTCTCATCTCAAACGTGAAAGATACTGACGCTGTAGTAGTTATCCCAATTGCAGACAGTAGCTGTATCCATCCAAGATCTCTTGACGAACGCCCCCATGGACCCACGTACCTCCCTCAATCTTCCATTCCTTACGAACCTTTTCGAGCAACGACAAAACGTTAATACCTTCCTCTGCAGCTCATCACTCTTTGAATGGGCTAGAGCAGAGTTATGGGGTGATCTATCTACAACTAGGCAACGGAGAGACTTGGCAGCCATGCTCACAGAACAGAAGTTCCCTCGATCTCTGCGTAACCATTCCACCTTAAATTCTCTTGATTCGGAGACAGTTGCAGACCCGATACCGGAACAGCCAGAGTTGGGCGACCTGTTGGCTTACGTCTCCAGAACTGGAGATACAGGCTCTATCCCAGTACCAGTGCCCGCAGAAGCGCATGCCGCCAGCCCAACGAGCGCACTACAAAGACCACAACCATATGATAGGCAGCTCAGCGCAAAGCTCCATTGCTTATATGGTGTCTCAATTGGGACTGTCCGCAAGACTTGCGAGAGTTCCCCACCGCGTTACTCTCTGCGCAACGACACTGCGGAAATACATCCTTACGCTCGCTCCCGGGTTTACGACCTTAGGCAACACACAGAGAACGGCACTTTCTGGGGTCCATTTCTTGATGATGGCTTAGGAACTGTGGACTGGGAGAAGCTTGAAGCGATCATGATCATATTAGACTACAACCTGAGGCGCTCAACGGAGGTCCATCGCCAGTATGAGGGTATGCTGGAGCTGCAAGAGAATCCATGGGTTGGGGCAACACCTCATAGCTTCATCTCGCCTCCGCAGTCTGTGCCAATGGAGCCTCCTTTGCCACTTGAAGCGCAAGACCCTTACAGTGTCACGGGGACCTGGATGCGTGTTGTATGTTTCCTGGATTATACCGCACTGTATGACTTCAACTTTGGTGATGACCAGCCCGAACGTGACCATCTACGCGAGCCTATCGATACCGAGGAGGCTACTCGCTTGATCACCATGAAGATTCACGTGACTAAGATCCAAGCACCTGGTGAAGATGATGGCCAGCAACTTCCGGTTGTCCATTTTCAGGGCAAGTCCTCATCAATCCGGCCATCATGGGATCCCAACGCGAACTCCAAGATCAAAGGTAAGACATAACCTCATCACCTACCGAGATGATTAGGCTAATCACGACCAGGTACCGTGAGATTGACGCCTCAAGGCGAGGTCAGGTGGACAACCTTTTCTGTCTTTCAAGGGTAAGTGCTTCCCGCTCCCCAAGGAAGTGATCCAGAGGCTAATTGCTATTGTGCAGCGAGGAGAGATGGCGAAGCGAGGGCATTCAGATTGGAGGCGTCCGGTCAGCTCGTGGTGTCTTGGGCTTCTGGTTCGACAAAGACTTCGATGAGCATGGCCCGGCTGGGCCTACAGCCTTCTGGAAGTCGCATGATGGGATAGAGGCGAAGAAACCGTCAAACACTCACGGATGGAATCAATTTACTGTGCCTTCATACTGACTTTGCTTCCGTATCGGAGTGCGGCACTGGGCACCCTCGGAGTTGGTGGCGTGTGCAGGGACTCCAACATGCGACAGCTGAAATAGTGTCAAGTTCAACAATTCATTGAAGTCAATAGGAGGCGAAAAAGAGGAGTAGGATGTAGAGAAGAGTTTTATTGATCTCCCGAACATGCATTACGAATCTGACTGAATTTCTCACGCGCTAATTTGAGGTCAGAGCTACTCTCGTTGTGCAAGGAATAGAGTACAGCTATTCATGAATTGTTTGATGGCCTTCGAGATGATGAACACTCATCCTTTGTCTGGCACAATGTCCTGAGTCCTCGACTGATCTATGGTCGCATTCCTTCACACTTGGCTTCACCCCCTAGTTCCAACCTCTTCTCTCGAAGCAAAAACCCCATCCACAAGATTTCCGTATCGTTCCCTCTCAATCCCCAACCTTCAACCCTTCCACCCCCTTCAAAGCATCCTCCTCCCCCTCCTCCTCCTCCTCCCACCTTCCCCACCAGCCCCCTCTCCCACAACTCCCTCCCACTCATCTTCCCCTCCTCAATCTTCACCTTCCTCGACTTCCCCTCCTCCTCCACCTTCCTCCTCTCCTCCTCCTCCCTCTCCACCTCATCCCGGAATCCCGCCCTCCAGGCCAGAAAACTCTCCCTCGTCACAGCCTCCCCGTGAAACTTGGCATTCTCCGCCTCTTCGGCCTTGGCCGCCTCTTTATCCTTCTCCGCCTGCACTTCATTCAACCTCTCGCCAATCAGCAGCTCCGCACTCTCCTTCAGCGCGCTGATGAGCGTAAACACCATCGCCTGACCCATAGACTCGGTTATCGTCTCGTCGATGGACGATAGCAAGTGTGGTTTGTCCTCTGGTAGAGATAGCTGAGGCAATCGGGGAGCATTTTGGGGGAAGGTGATGTCGAGGTTGGGGGCAACGTCGGGATAGGATTCGGGATAGGCGACTGTGAGGACGAGGTTTGCTGGTGGGAATGTGTCAGTCAGTCTCTTGCCCGAATATGTATGTGGGGAAAGACGGGATGTGGAGGGAAATGGAGGGGGGCACGTACGAACTTCTGCATCTTCATCTTGACCGGGTATATCTAGTGCTATCGAGACGCGGTAGGATGTCTCTGAGATATCTGATGTAAAAAGGTGTGAGCACTCTTCCATCAGACCAAGAAAGCAGACTCACCAGCAATCTCATCCGGAAAGATAGAATCAAGGACCTCTCGTTCCTCAACCTGCTCCTCACGACCCATCTTTCCATCTCGTCAAAATCCTAACCCACTGCCTCCCACCAACCCGCCATGCCCGCGGAAATCACATAAACCCATAGGGCTGAACACTCCCGCTTTAGCGCCCCAAAACTCCACTTCCACCTTCCCAAAAATTCCCACCAACGAACGAACCCCCACCATGCCCCCCCGCTGGCTCCGCATCCTCTCGAAACCCTACGTCTTTCTCCCCGCCGGCTTCCTCATCATCAACGTCGCCGTCAGTATTTTCCCCGACCCGCCCGCCGTCCGAGAAGCGAACGAGCGGAAATGGGCGCAGGCGCAGCAGCGGCGCGAAGAAGCGTACGAGCGCGCCGTGATGGAGCAGATCGAGCGGGCGAACCCGGGCGCGTTCGACCGAAACTGGGACCCGGATCGGGACCGGGATTAGACCCGGCTTCTTCGACAGCAGCGGCAACGGACGTGCTCGCGGAAGCGGAATCGTTGTTGAGAGAGGGGAGAGGAAGGGCGGAGGACGCACTACCGGTTGCGTTGCGAGCGCTGCGGCGAGCTGCGGGGCGGGATGATGCCGCTACGACGACGCTGCCCGCGCTCGGTCTGGTCGCGGAGATATACCTCGAGCTCGGCGACGCGACGGCCGCGCGTGAATACTTTCTGCAAGCCGTTTCGTTGGACCCGGAAGGGCGGGTTCCCGAGACGCTCGGCGGGGGCGCGGAGAAGTTCCTCTGGCTGGCGCAGCTGAGCGAGGAAGGCGGGCAGGATAGCGTGGCGTGGTTCGAGCGTGGCGCGGCGGTGTTGCGGCGGGAGATTGGAGCGCTGGGGGAGGGAGAGGGCGAGGGGGGGGGAAGAGATGCGGAAGAAGCTGGCGGGGGCGTTGTGTGGGATGGTGGAAGTGTACATGACGGATCTGTCCTGGGAGCCCTCCGCGGAGGCGAAATGCGAGAGTTTGATTTCGGAGGCGCTGCTCGTGGCGCCGCGTTGTGCGGAGCCGTTGCAGACGCTGGCTTCGGTACGGATATCGCAGACGCGGATACCGGAGGCTAGGAAGGCGTTGGGGGATAGTATGGGGGTATGGCGGGATTTGGAGCCCGAAGACGCTGCGGTGCCGGATTTCCCCACGCGGATTTCTTTGGCGAGATTGTTGATGGAGGTGGAGATGGAAGAGGAAGCGTTGGGGGGTTGTGGAGAGGTTGGTGCAGGAGGATGATGGGAGTGTGGAGGCGTGGTATTTGGGGGGTTGGTGTTTATATTTGCTCGGAATGAAGCAGAGGAAGAAGCATGATGAAAGGAATGGCGCAGCCGAGGGGGATGCTATGGAGGATGTGAATGGACATGACGAGGATGAAGAAGATCTTCTTACCCAAACTATGGTCTCGAGTCGAGAATGGTTACGGCAAAGTTTAAAGCTTTATGAACTGGTTGAATATGAGGATGAAAGATTGAAGGACCATGCGATGGAGTTGGTTGAGGAACTCGATGCCATTATTGGGGAAGGGGGAGAGGATGAGGTAGACGGGGGCGAGGAGGAGTGGAACGGCTTTGGAGAGGAAAGTGAGAAGGAGCAAGAAGATGAGGAGATGGATGAAGGCTGAGATTGCTCCATTCCGGCTCTGGAGACCAACGTCAAGAACAACGACATGTATAACACGATCACGATAATGGACGGCGACATTTCGACCATAGATAATATCAATCGCAAACAAACCAGATCAAGGGTATCATGCCACCAACTCGTCACTCTCCCACCCGACCTCCCCACAAACCTCCTTCGTATACCTCTGCATTTCCTGCAAATTCTCCACGATATCCGTCAAAGCGCCCGAAAAGGCATACTGATACACATCCGCCCACCTCCTGCCTTTGCCTTCTTCATGCCCCATCCTCTCCCTTCCCCCGTCCTCAACTCCCTTCCCCTTTCCATCCACCTCCGACCGCCGGACTTGCTCCGCCTCCATGACAGCCATACAGTCCAACAATCTCCTCCTCGCAATCGCTGCGCTGGGCAGATACCGCGGCACGGGCTTATCTGCCCTAAGAGCGCAGGCGAGGACGTAAAGATTCATGAGGATGACGGCGACAGCGTCACGGCGGGGAACAGTCAGTGAAGCGATGGCTGCAGGGTCGGAAGCGGCCATGTTGGGTTGGAAATAAAGACTCGACTGGCGCACTTGGACAAGGTGCTCGAAGAAAGACTCGCAGGCTGCGATGAGGGCGCTGTAGGGGAGCGGGTTGAAGGGAGCTCTGAGGCGCATTTCGTGCCTTGTCAACTCCATGAGCTGCCGCATTCGCACAAAGCCTTCTCTTAACCGAGCTTCGAGCATTTCCGATCTCACTATGTCTTTTGGACCCGGTTCTTCACCTTTCGTGTAGTAGATGTATTTGGCTACGACACCACGGTAAAGGATGGCTGAATGGAGCATCGTGCTGGATAAAGATTTTCTGAGCTCGTGGCGGGCGACGAAAGGCCAGAGGACCCAGTTGACGGTCAAGGCGGCTACCAACCCCACGACAAAAGCAAGGCCTCTGGTCCAGGCGATGGCGACGACAGATGGGTAGCCACCTTCCGTATATGCGCTCAATGAGACCACGGTGAAGCTTAGGCATCCAACTACTCCTGAACGAGGATGCGAGCTTTGCGTGGAAACGGTAAAGCATTGGTATCATGTAGACGGCGGCAAATACGGCCATCACGTACGGATTTCCGTTATCTGCTGCGTAGGCGAGCCCACCCCAGATCGCACCAATGGCAGCGCAAAAGGTCCGCACAGCAAGGTCCTGGAAGGTCCCGCCAACGCGTGGATGCATCATGGCCCAAACCGTGACTACAGTCCACCAGCTTTCATTATCATTCCACCATCCTCGACTCTGTGGAAGCCAAGCAGGGACAGAGAGAAGCGTAGTGACCAGGGTGACTTTGAAAGCAAACCGTGATTCGAAGCCTTGTAACCGGTGTAACATCTCCCACGCTCGATATCGAAAAGGTGCTTTGCCCGAACTCTTGCCATGGTCATACTCTTGTTCTTTTTGGTACTCTCCGATCACTGGTGGCTGTTCTGGCGCATCCTTCAAGCCCTGCCCTCCTGCTGCATGTCTTGCCGCCGGAATGTAGGCACTGCTCTGAAGTTCCGCCATTGTTCTATCCAGTTGTTTCTTGCTACGAAAGTAGAAGCCCGCTGTCAGCCCTCCACGGTCGTGTCTTACCTGGTAATTAGTCCGCATGATTGCCTTATGGAATGGGTAAGACGGTGCGCGAATACTCCATTTTCTTTTTGCCTGCTCCATTTCTAAGACCTTGGCCACAAGCGCCTCCACTTTGTCTGCTGTCTGGCGTACGGGGTGAACGAACAGGAAAAGCTGTATCACATCAGGACTTTTGGCATATTCAGACGGCAAATGGGGGTGCGCGACCAGTAGAGCGTCGGCTGAGTCGAACGCTTCCTTGGCGGTTCGCAGATTGTCCAGGGCTTGCGAAAGGATGTATGGTTCGTTTTTTGCGGCTTTTTGCCCACCAATAGATAAAATCGTTTGGTCTGCGCGCGTAATATTGGCTACCATGGCGTCAATCAATACTCTCGTGGGCTCCTTGAGGGTGTGGCAAATTGTCCGCTTGGCTCGATCATGGTGGAGTATGGGACCCTGCTGCACATCACCGGTACTCTGCTCGAAGGCTGGCTCAGTGGGCGAATCGGAATCGGCAAAGAGAGTTGGGTCAGGGGTGATTGCCAAGATAGATCGTATGACACCTTGGATCAGGTTGCGTATCAGTGCAACATCGTTGGGAAGGAAACGTGAAAACGTAAATTCGAGAGTAAAGTCTCGAACAGCCTGAGAGATATTGACGAACTGCCAGGCAAGCTTGCGTTTCAGAAACGGCATCTCCGGGGATGGTAACACAAGTCCCGCTTGTATTGTGTTCAATGAATCATGAAGAGCAAGTCTAAAGAAGGGTGAGATACCGTAATGCTGACCAAGTATAAAGGAATAGTGCCTTACGCAAGCGACCTTGAACCAGCATCTGGGAAAACGAGGACTGCGATGATAAGGCAAACAGCCTGGCCTAGTACCCACGGTATGCCATAATCGAAGACCTTTTTCCAGCCCACACTCTGGGATGTGTCTGCTAGACATGTGTAAACGATGGCAATTCCAGCACAGAGTACGGCTTGATAGAGCCTGATGAAGACGCATCGTAACCAGCCGATGAGTACAGCGAAGATAATAAGGAAAGTAGCCAATATACCGCCGTATCCGGACTGGGCTGTAGCCGTAGATGTGGAGACGTAAAGAGCTAGAGACCCCCAGCCCAAGCCAGCGACGGTACCGAGGATAGTGAGAATAGTACCGTCAAGCTGGCTACCGACCGCTCTTCCTGGGTGATTGATGATTGCAGAAATAACCATAATGTAATTATATTTGCCAAGCCAGTCCCTTGAAGCTGGTATTAGACAGATGATATAAGTAATTATAAACCCAAGAAATGTCTTCAAAAGGCGGATACCTGCCCTAGACGTACTAATCCTCTGGAAAAAAGCCTTTGCTTCGCGAAATTGCTGAGGCAGGAATCGCCGTAACGAGAGTGGATGATTCTTCTTCCGGAATGCATCTGGCAAAGTCTCGGCTGCTTTCATCATCAGATCCTCATGATTGCGTTTTAACGGCCGATTAAAGGCAGCGTCGAAGAATCCATCCCGCGATTCCTCAAGACCGTACCCGTCGAGATCTGCATCTACAGCTTGGAGGAGATGCTCGAGCTGCAGATGACTGGTACTTGCCCCAGGAGATGGTACTGGAGATGTTTTCAGCGCCCTGGAGTCTAAAGCGCCTCGAGGGGCTGTAGAGGTGTGAGCAAAGGATCCAAGGATGACATCGTGTGCACCAGCCAAGCGGCGTTGGGGGCTTGGTTCTTCTGTAAGGTGTAGACTGTTGGGGTTCCGTTTCCTCAAGAGCAAGTGTGGTCCGGATGATGTATTTTTCTCGCCATGGTGGGCCGGCTTACGTCCCTCAGCGGCCTCGACATCTTTGATCTCTGACTTGATTGTTGGTGTCTTCAAATAGATCTTTGGGCCTGTTCCTGCGGCCATTTGTTAATCAGATGGCAACAAGGTTTACCGTCTTAGCTATGTCTGCCTTGACATGGTTCAGGGTTCCCAACTTATCCCGGGCCATAGCCAGGACACTAGCAGAGATGTATTAGATGTATTTGTTGTCGTTATTGCCTTTCTTGGCAGAATATGATAGTCACAAACGCGCTAACGCCTCGTAGGGCTGAATGCGCCTAATGCTGTACCTGAAAGGTACCTTACTTTCTCTCTTTGTGTCACGTACTTTTCTTCTATAAAGTCGATTTAGCAATGTACTTAAGTTTGTGGCACGATCAGATTTGCTTTCGCCTTCCTGTTGGCTCTTTGTTTTCTCTTTTCATTGATTTGTTCTATCTTATTATCTACAATTCGTACGTATCTTCGTTCCATCTGTGAACTGTGTTTAGAATAAATTTGTAAGATGTTAAGATACAGTATACCAATTTTGGAGTATTGTACGGTATATGGCAAACGAGCCCGTGATCTGATGGTATCCTGTCAGCACTGTTAACCACTAGGCCATAGGCTCAAAAATGCGAGGGTATCGCGCTTCATGCACGATTCACCCTATCGAACCCTATAATAGGTGCTTAGGTGTCAGGTCAGGCCTGACATATCCTGAGTTCAAAGCGGAATACCTTCATTCAATTTCACCTATCAGGCTATCACTGAATGTCACACGGAGCGCTGACGCTAATCCGGAAAAAGCCAGCTATTGCAGCCTTTCAAATGGCCCCGCATCGTCAGCCTCGTCGCTCCGTCTCTGCTCTTTCATCTCTTCCTCTAGTATTATCTCTGAATGCGTGAAATTTTGGCGTCACAATGTCGACATCGAAGCATGGCAAGCGCCAAGAAGAATACCTTCGCACTTTGTATGAGCCTGACGTGCAGGGAGAGCTGGCCCAGCATCTTATTGAGTACTTGCGCATACGGGACTGATTTTTCATCATGCTAACTCAACAAGCATCGTATTCGTACACGGGCTGAACCCCCACAGCAATGCCGATTTTGCCAATGCTACCTGGACCCACGAGAACGGGAATTTCTGGCCTACCAAACAGCTCCCGAAGCGTGTCCCATCAGCTCGCATCCTTGTCTTCTCCTACAACTCACAGGTAGCCTGGGACACCAGTAAGAACGGGATTCAAAAACACGCCAATAACCTGCTTGATCGGCTCTCCGGAGCTAGAGAGTCCAGACTTGCTGATGTGTGCGCCCACATATGTGGTTCGACAGAAGACATGCTAATGAGATAGCCACAGAAAAACTACAGTGTACCCATCATCTTCGTCGCACACAGTCTCGGAGGCCTAGTGGTCAAACAGGCACTCGTCACTGCTAAGATTGATGACACATACATTAATCTCAGAAAAGCAACCTATGGCCTTGTCTTCTTCGCTGTACCCCATCAAGGCGGCCATGGAGCTGGTCTCGGCGCGATCGCAAAGAATATCGTGTTGTCGCTGACGGGTGATGCGAACAACGACCTCATAGAGTCACTGAAGTCGAATTCTCTCTTTCAGGAAAGCCAGACGGCATTCTTTAAGCATCAGCTGGAAGACTACCAGATAGTCTCGGTCTGCGAGGACAAGCCAACGAAGCTTACCAGATTTCTTGGCAAGGCAACGGCTTTGGTGATTTTACAGCTCTGCCGAACTATCATTAGCACACCGAGCTGACAATTAGTACAGGTCGTTGTCGACGAAAGGTCTGCGACTTTGGGATTGCCAGGCACTCGGGAAAAGCTTCTGACTGTCAACTCGAACCATTCAGAGGTCTGTAAGTTCGAGGATGACGATGACAAGTTTGAGCCTATCAAACGTGCTATTGGAATGCTGGCAGATCATGCTATCGCCGAGCAGAAGAAGACTGCTGCCGATCAATCTCGCGATCATTTACACGCACAAGGATGTACGTAGTCGGTGAGCTAAGCTTGTCTTCAAGATGGCTTCATGGTGGTCAGTATTTGACAGAGCGTATCTTCATATAGATGTCCAAAAATTTCTCGATGGCCTCCACTTCCCCGCAATAGTGTCCCGTGAAGAAGAAATTGCCGATGCTCACCAAGAGACGTTTCAGTGGATTTTTGATGACTCCGGCGATGCAGTGCGCCCTTGGCCCAATTTCGTGGAGTGGCTCAAGACAGGCCGGGGAACATATTGGCAAGTGTTCCTGCTTTCGTGCGTCTTATATTAGCTGAATGAAATAGGATCTCCGGCAAAGCGGGGTCTGGGAAGTCGACTTTGATGAGCTATATCTGCGGGGATTCACGGACCATGAGGTCCCTAAAGATCTGGGCAGGACCAAAAGTTTCAACAGTGGTTACGCCGAGATTCTTCTTCTGGAGTCCCGGCAGCCCGATGCAAAAGACTTCCGTGGGATTGCTTCGGTCTCTTCTCTATCAGATATTTCAGGAGTATCCTGAGAGTGTTCCACTGCCGACAAGAAACGAATCCCTCTCAGATTGGACGGAGAAACGGCTTCGAAGGATTTTTCAGAACTTAACTCGTGATATATCGAGCTCATATCGCATTTGCTTCTTTATTGATGGACTGGACGAGTTCAGCGGTGATCACGACGCACTGATTGAGATGTTTCAGGAGCTGGTGCAGGATGAGAAAATCAAAGTGGTACTGTCTAGTCGGCCGTACCCAACATTCGATCGAGCATTTGGCTCCAGAGCTATGCTTAAACTGCAAGACCTGACTAGAGCCGATATTAAGAAGTTTGTGTTGGATAAGTTCTTCGCTCATCCGAAAATTCAGTCAATGGCAGCCCAAGAGCCTCAGAATGCCTTCGAGCACGACCTTTATGATTTGATCAATGATATTGTCTGGAAATCTGACGGTGTCTTTCTTTGGGTCGACTTGGCTGTCAAGGACCTGATACGAGGGATCAACGATGAAGACAGCCTAGAACAACTGAAAGAAAGGCTTGACTTCTTACCAACAAGACTTGAAGATCTCTACGCACAGATGCTCAGTAAAATCGACAAAGTCCATCAGGAAGAAGCGGCTTGGTTCCTACAAATTGCACTTCATCAGCAGTCGAACGCGTGTTCGCACCGGTCGAACGATCTTCTCGACTTCACGCTTGCAGTCTATAAATGTCTGGACCGTGATCTTGAGTCTTCAGCGGATTTTCCTTCGCAAAATGTGATGGATCATTGCCAGTGGACGAGAAGAAGGATCGCAACGACCTGCGCTGGCCTTCTTGAAGTCCACCAACCAACATTCGGCAGAAGCACCGCGCAAAGTTCCCCAGAAAACACCAGTTCAGAAGACACCGATCCAGAAGGCGCCAATCCAGAAGACACCGATCCAGAAGACACCGATATTAGAAGACACCGATTCAGAAGACACCGATTCAGAAGACACCAATCCAGAAGACACGATCCCAGAAGTCCAGTTTGTGGTCTCATTCCTGCATCGCACCGTCGCAGATTTTCTAAACGAATCCGAGCAAGGAAGAAAGTTTCTAGGTGCAAACACGTCACCAAATCGAAACATTTATGTAGTATGGGCCAAAGTGCTAGTGGCTAAAGTACGAATGCTTGGGTTTACTCAGGACACAAATTTGATTGAAGCTTTAACCATTGAAGACATCATGACAGCCGCCTCTGATGCCGAATACAAAACTGGTGTGGCTCAGACGGCAATCTGTGCCTATATAGAGCTCGCCGTGACAATCCTAGATCAGAAAAGAGGAGTCCCTGTACCAGGGTCGCACTGGTGTACACGCATAAATAAGTGGGCTTCGCGTTGGAGTTATGGAGTACGGTATAGTTACTTGGAGCGTAGCCTAAGCAATCAATTTCGCTATACCAGCAATCAAGCTAAAGAAGACGGCTCGTCGAGGCCAGCGTCAGATCGGCCAATCGACTACCTTGGCTTTGCAGTGTCCAATGGTTTGAAGTTGTACGTGCAGCAGCAAATAACGTTACTCCCAGCCGACTTTCAATCATCTACAGCAACTTACTTGTTACGATGTACAATAATTTCTTCTCGCTTCGACGACATCGGCCCTTCGCAGACTTCGAGATTCCTTGACCTCGTTTGTGCGCTTTTGAGACACGGTGCAAACCCAAACGTGCCGGTATGTGAAAGCACTGTCTGGGGTCATTTTCTGGCACGGATGGTCTTTGCGAAGGACGACCGAAGATGGATGGACCATGAGCTTGCACATACTATGGAAAGGCCCTGGAGAACAGCGTTCAACTGTTTCATCGAGCATGGGGCTGACACGAATGGCATACTTTCCATGCAGAGGTGGAACTTCCTAAAGTTTGAAATCGAAGAACGTGACCTTCACAGACTTCCGAATGGTTCTTCGAGATTTAGAAAAGTGCTAGGAATTTGGTGCTACCTTCAATTTCCCATCAGTGTGTCTGTTCCAACACTGATTCGGTACTACTTGGGCGACTCGCCCGACTCTGCAGATATTCTTTCAGCCTGTATGCTCAATGGTGCTTTTTATCATGCAAAATGCACGGAAATATCCATCGAATTTTGAAGATGGTGAGGACCTACCCCCACTAAAACAATGGGCGCTGTCCGATCAGCAGTCGGATCGACTTCTTGAAGCATTCGAAAGATACGTCATACCCACCGTGCCACCCCGATCTTCGGAAGCCGAATTAAAGCGTCTGGTTCTATGTCTATACGATGAGATTTCGATGAAGGAACCAGTTCGCATTCAAGGGTCGAACTCTTTCAGGTCTCCAACATAATTGATGTTCACGCAACGCATGTTTAGCACACCTTGATGAACTTCTGCCAATTCAGTTTCTGAGCAACACAAAGGTCAGTATCTGTATTACAATGAGTTCGACTTTCCCACAGCGCGCTCATCAACCACGCGTGCCAAAATGCAAGTCATCTGCGAAATGCCAGCTTGTCGGTGAATGGCTGAGGCTGGCTGAGGAGCGTCTCATCGCGCCATGCACTTACCTCGTCACCGGAGCACATGTGAGATACGATTAGATACTGAAATCCAATCACGCCGGGAAAGATGTCCCACGTTGGCGCAACAGTTCCCGCAAACCACGGCCCTTTGATTATCTACACCAAGATCTTGAAATTGGTGAGACATCTCATTGACCAAATAGACGGCCACGGTGAGTCTCACGTCTCCTTCATGGCGCGATCTATATGCCGAATATCACGGCTGAATCACTTGATGCCTAAGACGTGACTATCGTCAACCCCAACGGCACCAGTCGGCCCAAGAGACGTCCCATCGAAGAAGTATAGTCTGCTGCACCTGGTTCCTATCTATCACATTCTGACAAGCCTTGCACTCAATGTACACCAGTGAGCTTCACGAACGTGAAACAGGAGACACACCCGGATGTCAAGGCCAAGTCCAGCCACACGAAGTTCAGAAAGCAGGAGAGTCTCGCTTCAGGGGCGGGATATATCCAGAGCAAGCGCGGCAACGTGAACGTTGATGCTAGACAGCTACATGCATCGTCCAGCTGCAAGCCTACGGCTCGAAAGGGGCTGACGATAGGGATGGCGAATACAGATACGATCTGATGGTGTGAGAGCTGTGAGGCCTTGGAGAAGAGGTACGGAATCATGGTGATGAAACTCGGCAGATTGAGACAGCTGAGCGATCTGTGATAGTTAGCATGTACGACTTTCTTTCTGAATGGGGATTTCCGTCGGCCAGGCCTTTGGTAGCCTTTGATGGAAATGGAGGTCTGAGCCGCTATTACGAACCATCATCCCAACGAGTCAAGGGTCCTAACAAAGTTCGCGCGCACGTTGTGTCTTCGCGGTAGCGATTCATATGACCAGTGTCTCATTCGAGCTCATATACACACAGAAACGACACCCTTCCCCGAATCCTCGCTCAACCAACGCCTCAGTCCATCATTACAACAGATGCACATATTCCCTCCCCCCTCAAAACACCTTATCCTTATACTCCAACCAATCACTACTCGTAACGACGACCTCATCCTTGACCCTGATGCCCCCAGCCGGCACATTCATCTCCTCGAGACTGATCTCATCCTCCCTCCCCCTCCCCACCACCTTCCCCCCGCGCACGTTGGCCTCGTGGCGGAAAAACCCCGGCCGCGCGCCCCCCGGACTGACCGCCTCCGACGGGTCCTCCAGCCGCTCGAAATAGCCCTCGCGGCAGTCCTCGGGGCCGACGCGCGGACTGCGCCAGGCGATCCGCGACGCCGCGCTGCTGGTGGTGTCCTGGGCGCTGGGTTTGCTCCTGGGCGTCTTGCTGACGCCGACGCCGCGGGTCGTGCCGCGGGCGAGGAGGGAGATGAGGGGCCGGAGGCTGGGGATGCAGGCGCTGATGACGCCCATGGAGGGTTCGGCGGCGGACCAGATGGCCGAGTCGACGTAGTTCCCTGGTTGGGCGGCTTGTTAGAGGGGCTCCCGGGTGGGCGGGTTGAGAAGGGGTTTGGTACGTACATGTGACGTCGACGGCGGCGAGTCGGGATAGCACGACGAGGCGGATGATGCTGATGATGCAGACGCTGCGATGACGGTTAGCAAGTGTGTGACTTTTGTGAGGCGTGCGGTTAGAGGGAGTGGCAGTCGCGGGCGTCGGCGACACTGAAATTTCGAGCACAGGAACCGTTGGGAAGACACGTTGCACGCGTCTTTCCGGCTACCAGCCAGTGTTGTCCGAAAGATCAAGGTACACCGACGCCGAGAGACAGCTTCCTTTCTCGGCCGCGGGCTTAACGTGGGCTTGACTTACAATCCTGCGCAAACGAATATCCCAGTCAACACTCCTTTTTGCGAAGCCGTTGTCCGCAGCCGCCAAAGCAAAGGTATCGGCTGTATTGCTGTTAGCACTGCGCACGTGAGTGAGCCGGGTGACTTACGAGCATTATAATAAAGAAGTCTATAACGCAATTGATGGCTCCAGGAACGATTTGTACAAGGTCGCCGTTGGCACACTTGCCCGGTCCCAACCTGTTCCAAAAGTGGTGTATCGGTTGACTTCATGCATGATAAGCTTTATGCCCCTTCCTGTCTGTCAAATTAGAGCTCACCATTGGAAGATCGCCGTCAGTAGGGATCCCAGGAAATAGCACAGTACGATGCCGACTGCGATGAACAGGAGTAGCTTCAGCTGTTGGACAGGAAAAATGCGTCTATAGAATGCAAGACTGAAAGACGCCATGGTTCAGCTAATTGACATTCTGAACTTCTCTTGCGGGGAAATTGGCTTACATAGCGAGTTTTACAACGGAAGTGGCAGAAAAGTATCCAATGAGATAGATGTACAGGATCTTGAGGAACTCGACAGTGTTGTCCGCGGGGTCCTTGAGGCCATATATGTGCTTGCCAAAGTCATTGCGCCGCTCCGCTAGGAGAATGTCAGCCCAACGCACCAGATCTTGTCGGGCCCGAGCACTGACAGATGAGGACGCATATGCATTGGATGTAACACAGAGCCTAGATCATTTCCTTCAGCGACGCACACCCAATATTGTCCAACTTTGGGCGTCACCAACACAAGCAAGGACCACGAAGAAGTCATCCCACCAGTAGCCGGCGCGAGCGACCTTTCTCGATACCAGGCGCGCGATGACGAACAATGTTGGCAGTACTATGAGGGTGATCATAGATCCGACCAGTCTTGGCCCTTGGTCCGCGTTCAAGTCGATGCCAGGAGGAGGTGTGTCCGCCATGGCACCTGTGTGAATGCTATTGATGCCAATGCGCGATGTCGACACCTCGTGCCCTGTCCATAAGATACTACGTCGACACCATGATGCTGAAAGGAATGCGAATAGGTAGCAGAGATGAACGTCAAGAAAGGTGGCGGAATATCTTCATTTGAGCTACAGTAGTCTAAGAACTAGATGCCTCGTTTTTGCCGTGTGTCTGGACTCTGGAACATACATGTGATGTGCCACAAAATTTGACGTTGGGAAAGGTCATATCCTAGTCGAAACTCATGCCACAAGGTGAAATTGCCAAAGCTAGAGCCGAAGTTGCCTAGAGCTATCCCGTCTTTTGCGTCTGAAATGACGCTTACGATTCCAAGTTGAATGCAAGGAAACGCGCTTGGGCTGGTGTATGAGGTTCCTGGATTGAGCTCAAGGATGGAGTGCAAAATCACGCGATGCCAGGCTTGATATGGTTAGAAGACGGTGGATTCAATCAAAAAGAAGGTTGGAGTCAGGGTTCTTGAAGCCAGCTGTGCCACGCTTCCCCCACACACCTCCGCACCATCGCGATTTGAGCCGGCCCGCCCCCTGGAAGCATGAGAAGCTCGGACGAACTTTGAGAAATCTGATTGGTAGATTCGGAGAGTTCAACAGACCCAGTGTCCGGCCTTGTGGCCAGTGCACGCTATCCCGAGAACTGCCCATTCTTTCGTATTCATGCAGTAGAAGACGTGCCATGTAAAATGAGAAACACTTCTCCCAGAATTGCTAGCGAAAAAGAAAACTCTGCTTTGCCTTATTGTTAGGGTTTCATAAATCCCTGCAGCCGTGAAGTTGTGAACCACGTGAGAGTCGTTTTCCGGAGACGAGGAACGCCGCAGAGCTTGTATTTGAACTAGTGGTCGAAGGAACTTGCTGATGACGATAATCAACACACCACTATGTGATCTTTGTCGATCTGTGTCCGCTATCGCCTCCTTGAGAGCAAGGGAAAAACCCAAAAAGAAAAAAATCAGGATTGCCGTATTCCTAGATGATCACCTGTGGCTTTCCAATCGGAGACTCAGACAAAAATTTAGCGGAACACTAGGCCAGAAGCTGTCCGCCGGAAGCTCAGAAATAACAACCAGGCACCGTGTACTTTATCACGTTTCTGCATAGGAAGAACAGGATGATCTGGAGTCTTGATCGATTTTGAACAGCACCTGCCCAACCCGGACGTTCAATTCCTCAAACACTTGGATGTACCCCTCTAGTAACTCTTGGGACCTTTCTGTACTCTGGGGCCAGTGCATTTGGTCGTGACTTGGTGGCACACTATCCGCAAAAATCAATGTTTTCAGACTTGGGGCCACTACCCCCGGGTTTGCCCAGAGTATGGCGCTGAGGTAGTTTTTTAGTCGTCGCTTGCAGTGTTTCTCATGCTCCGCGGCTTTTGCGCTGTTGCTCGAGGATATCCAGAAAAATGTGTTCGCCTCCAGGTGCAGCATTTTGACCAGATTGAAGTGCCGAGGAAGGAAGCGCCAGCCCGACATGGCGAACGGTTTCCGAAGCGGAAGGGAGAACGTGTTTCTGCCATAATAGTACTCCAAGGTTTCTTGGTAGAGCTGATGGCAGGCGAAGAAAAGAGCGGTCTTGGTGTAGTGAGACTTTGGGTGGAGGAATTCCACGATACGGTCCTCAAGATAGATGAATGAGTAGATGTGGCATCGTATCTCCATTGGGAGTGTCAGTAGATGAGGTTTGTCGGACATGGCTGGGGGTTGCTGTGAAAGGATTGGAAATGGTTGTGAAAGTGACGATGCTGACATTTGTGACTGAACGACGCACCAACGAATAATTCGGCTAGCAAAGTGCTAATGAATAGGCTCAATTCGGACTAGTGCTGAGATACTGGTCCAGGCCTAATTTGTAGTAGCGTGCTATTGATTGAGCTTTTCTAAGGTATGCTTTTCTCCTTCAATTCTTAGATATATCGAGTACAGTACATCTGCCTCTGCGTTAGCGCTTACTACTTGAGTCCATATTGTGCCATATCACACATGAAGAAGGCAGTATAGGCGTCGGAGTCCATTTCCCTTCTTCTCATCCGAATCAATAGTCTTGTCGAGACGTCTCTATCTTTCGAAGAATGTCTGTCGACAGCAAAAGAGATCGGGACACAGCGCCTTGAACTACGAGTTTCTTCGAAAGACATCATTCACGTCTGCTCTTCGCCTTGAGGCTGCATTATCGCAACACGTCTATCAGTCTCGACACCCCAGCCCTGGGGCTCAAGGCATTAAATATATATCACGCCGCTGAAAAAGAGACCAAGATGATCTCACTCATCTGATGTGCTATGACATGTTAGATAGCAAAGAAAGAAGAAGCTTGACATTGCCGGGATGACGCGGGCCACAGTCTTGTTGGAAAGTATGGCTTCTGCACTGCGGTATGATTGTCAAGCCTACGACCACGGGATCGAAAAACCTGACAGTATGCGGCAGCTACTGCAACGGTCCTCAGGACTGTGGAAGCTCAGATGTCATGGAAAGCTGCTTCTGTGCCATACCTTCGCCTGCAGACTCCAGGACTCTTGGCTTGGACATTGTCGATCCGGTTGCTGTTTGTCTAATTTTGGCTATGACGACTATTAGCAGCCCGCTAAATGGAAGAAGTGTTTCAGGGTATGTGAATGAGAGGGAAATGGCATATCAGTGTCGTTGTAACTCGACGTACATGTCGAACGAATGCTGTGGATCGAGAGATGGGAGGGTGCCTCGGCCTTTACAGTTGAGGTAAAACCTTCGGATTTCGCTTTCCGGAAACAAAGACGGATTGGTGGTGTATTATCACTTGGCGAGGTGTCGAATCTATACGTGTAAATATAGACCGAGTGACTTGCTGCACCAGTAGTGTTTGTGAGAGTGATTATTGCAAGTTGACATCGTAGTCACTGATGATTGATAATTCATTATGGTATAACTGGCCAACCGTAATGACATCGGCAGTCGGGAATTACTTCGTACTGCCGACATTGTACTCGAACATCAACTTCGGGCCTCCTGACCGCAACAGGATCTTCAGCGATGGCCGCCCACGACAAAGTCCGATGGCATCCACCGCTCAAGGCACCGGCTATCGAAGTCGTTGACCTGCTCTCCGACTCGGAATCCACTTGCACTCCGCCGAGAACCAGCGAGCACACAGGAAAGCACGACGCGTACAGCACAGTCTTGAGAGCGAAGGGCACGGCGGATGACGATATACAATGGCGTGCACCTCTCAAGGCTCCTGTGATTGAGCTCGACGATCCGCTCCCGCTAGATGTATCGACGGGAATGGGCGAGGTCCTCGTGAGCGGTGAAGATGTCAAGGCGCGCGACGCGTCAGTGGAAGGAAGCGATAGCGATGAGGATAGTCAATGGTCTCTCTACGAGGATGCGCTGGGTGGAGACGAAGATGAGATGGTGGTACGTTCTGGTACGGATATTCTCACCCTGGTCTGTTGCTTGCAGTGCTAACATATGCAGGTGACGGCTCGTGCACTCTCGAAGAATCCTTGGCATTCCGCAAACGACTAAGACTCATTGGAGGTGACAGGTTTATTGCAGAGACGGTGGAAGCAGGCAACATAACGGCCAAGAAGCTGTGTACGGCGTTCGGCATCCGGCCACCATTCTTCTTGGACGGGGAACCAGATGAGGCGTACTACTCTCTACTGGACCTTGCAATGTGTCGTGAGCTATCGAAAAGGGCCAAACTGCCACAACATAACACCATTGAGGATGCGGTATCGTTGTTGAAGAAGTCACGGAATATCATTGTCCTCACTGGAGCTGGTGTAAGGATATCGTGGCAGATTGTTGGATTACGGCTGATCGGCATAGATATCAACAAGTCTCGGTATCCCAGACTTTCGATCCAAAGAAACCGGTCTGTACTCCCAGCTACAGCATCTCGGTCTCGGTGACCCGCAGGAGGTGTTTGATATCAGCCTCTTCCGTGAAGATCCCAGCATTTTCTACAGCGTTGCCAAAGACATTCTGCCGTCGAGCAAGAAATTTTCGCCGACTCACGCATTCATACGACTGCTGCAGGATAAGAACAGGCTCTTAACAAACTTCACGCAAAATATCGACAATCTGGAGGGCCATGCGGGGATTCTGCCAGAGAAGCTAATTCAGTGTCATGGATCCTTCGCCACTGCAACGTGCATTGAGTGTACATATAGGGTCAAATGCGAAGCGATATACAAGGAATTGAAAGCCGGAAGGGTAGCGCGTTGCGATCGATGTATTCAATCTATAAGACAAGCGAAACCGGGTCTCAAGCGGAAACGAAGCTCCAATGGGTCGTCTGGTTCGAGGAAAAAACGGCAAAGCTATGAGGATAGTACGGATGATGAGGATGACGATATTGCAACTGCAGGAGTCATGAAGCCGGATATCACCTTCTTCGGCGAGGATCTCCCAGCGACCTTTCACAATCGATTGATGGATCATGATAGGGACCTCGTAGATCTTGTACTTGTTATTGGGACTTCGCTGAAAGTGGCGCCTGTGTCGGAGGTTGTTGGGGTGTTGCCGCATCATGTGCCTCAGCTGTATATTTCCAGAGAGGTAAGCACCTGTCATTTTCGCCTCGTACTAGCGATACTCATCTACTTTCAGCCATGCAATCACGCCAACTTTGACATCGACCTTCTGGGTGATTGTGATGCCGTCGTCACCGAGCTCTGTCGACGTGCTGGATGGGATCTGCAGCATGAGATGATCCCCCATGATGAGAAAGTTGACGTGCAGCTGAAAGAGGGCTACGACTCTCGATTTTCTTTCAAGGTTGTTAAGGCATAGCGTGGAGTGGTTTGCCTGCATTATACCCATTAATTGCATCTGTGGGAGCGATGAAGGCGTTGTCGGTACAGAGGCTGGGAGCATGATTGATCGGATGGATCACTTTGTACTCTATCATTTCTATATATCTTAACTGTAAAAGACGAAAAGACCCACAACCTATACAAGCGAGTCGATTGTGATACCATACAGCCATTTGTGGTCTTTCCTAGCAGCACGACTAGCCGCGATGTCGGAAAAACAAGCGGAGAACTGGTTCCTCGAAGCATGCAGAGACGGCTTTGTATCCGAAGCAGACGCAAGGGGAAATATTATACTTGACATCAATGCTATGGATTATTTTCAGGTCAGAAAATCGCGGTGCGAGCAAGTCGAATCGCAGAACAGAAGCTGCTGGCAGCATGGCCTGAGCCCGCACAAAATTCAACTTCAAAAAATCAATGGCCGAACTGCCAAAGTGACAAACACGAATCCGAATGGCGTCAAAAGTGTAGCAAAAGAATCATCAAGAAGGCTCAATCCGGCGCAGAGCGCTATGACAAAAGTCATGACGAGCCAGAGAAAACACCACTTCCGGCCCCGCCGATTGCGCAAAACACTATTCTCGACGGCTTTCAGCAGGCCGAAGCACGCAAAGATACCGTCAACGATGACTGTTTCGTGCGGCGAGATACGACGAAAGAGCTCTTGGAACTGATGGTGTTGGGAACGCCTCCAGTGGACAATGTGCGCGGCCGCGAGGCTGAGGCAAAAAAACGTCAAACAAAGATCGACGATCATGGGCCATTGGCGCAACGAGAACGCGCCAGCGGAGAGGCTCAAGGCGCGAGTGACACGGGCGATGATGCTCAGACTGAGCGGGAGCATGATGGTCAAGACCATGAGGGGGATGGCGATCTGCCAGAATAGCGAATTGTGTAGGTTCCCGGTCAGAATCTCGACAGTGTTCATGCCAAAGTATGAGGACACGAAGGCGACTGGCACGTAAATGGCGACAAGGAAACCGATGATTCCAGCGATTTGATTCTGCTTTAGTTCTTCCAGTGATTTTGCCTGGCGAGATGTGTTAATTTGATGACCCAGCGGTCTTGCAAACCTTACCTGTTGTTGACATTCGCCCAGATGCACCATCGTCAAGTTTAAAGATTCGATGAGATAGTCTGTGTCTTTCAAAACATTGTCCTTTCGAGTCGTTAATGCCTCCCCTGCTGTACTTGAAAGCTGTCGGCAAAGTTGTTCTTTGGCAGCTTGAATATGGTGAAGTGTCAAGGTAATAGAGTCTTGCAACATTAGTAGGTAGAGATACTCGGCCCTGCCAGGGTGATCACGGCTGTGTATAACCTGATGGGTCGTAAGTAAAAGCTCAATTTGGTGGTAGCAGACAGTGTATACTATCTCAGTCGCTCGGTCGAAAACCTTCCCTATGAACTCAAGCGATTCCTCGTTCATTTGCTCATGGATAATCAAAATGATCTCATACAAACATTTCAAAGGAACCACGTCTACTAAATTTTCAGGCTGGGTTACTCCGCCATCCTGAGGTAGAGGGTGCGTGAGGAGTATCCTGAACCTCGCCAAAGCTCTAGTGGAGTCAAATGATAAAGTCGTGTTACAGGAGCCATCGTCTTTGAAATGATTGAACAGCTGAATGATCTCCATGGTTGGCTTTGCTTTGTAAGGCCGCCTTGTATGGATATCAAATACGCTAAAATCGGGCACATTAAATGGCCAAACGTATTCAAAACCCCAGCTGGACGAGGCTGGCACGACTGTTGCATACTACTGAGTTGCTGGATAATGAATCGAAAAATGCAAAAGAAACTTACCTTGAGAAGGAAGGCGAAAGACGCGATTCCTATCGGCGTTGCTCTTGCTATCTGAGCTCTGCAATATGATATCGACGAACTCCTGGCTTGCGTAACCACTCCAACAGAGAAGAAATGCAAGGAGAGTTCGGGCCCAGAATTGCGGCTCAGAGTAAGCTGAGAGAGTGAACAGACGGAAGTACGAAAAGAGCCGCTTGATTACGGGTGCAGTCTTCGTTAAGCAACTGTGACATGTTATATGGCACCGACCAAACCGGGCAGGCTTAGAAACATACCATAATCGAAGTGTACCTGGGGAAGCTTGCTCATAGTCCGCTCGGAATTGATGGAATGCTTCATATACTGACAGGCTGCTGACATTCTCATTTGGAAAGAACGAGGTGAACGTTACATTCGAAGAATCTTCATTCCCATCAGTTGTTTGCGGCCAGGCAACAACAAGGCGAACAAACCTTGACTTGATACCGCGAACCAGATTAGGCCTTCGAAAGATGCAGCAGGCTTCTCGTTCAGTGTGTGGTAGATATCGGCTAACGTGACCTCTTTCAGGTCCCTCAAAAAGGTCTCGAAGCCGTCTGGGGCCACAGGTCGTCTTCGATAGAGCAACTTGCTCCATATGCTATCGAGTACGCTGTTACTTATTTCTTGGTCTCGAGGTACGCGAGGCGGCACGACGGGTAAAGGAAGGGCATAATTGCGAGTGTGAGCCTTCCCTTGGGGTAGTCGGATAGCGAACTCTGTAATGTCTACCATGCCTGGTTAAGACACCGCATCTGCAGGATATCAACGAAGGCCATGGTGTGAGCTCGTCGACCTGTTGCGAGGCTGCATAATTATGGCGTCTACAGCTAGCGAGATCCTAGTTCGAGAGGGGAATTAGCCAAGAATCTCCACTACGTGCCATGGACCACCCCATAGCACACCGCATAGGCGATCTACGATAGAAAATGTAGAAGAACATCTTGACCGTATAGTTCACCATTCCATCTCAAGACTGAACAAAAAGAGGGTCAAAACTCAACTATCCAAAGCATTATTCAGTCAATAACCATCCTCTTCCATCACCCCTGCCATCCCCGCCATGTCCACCCCACTCTACACCTCCCGCCTCTCCCTCCCCCTACTCCACCAAATCCTCCCTCAACACCCTCGACATCCACTCACCCACCCACTCACCCCACTCCCCATCCTACCGGCTCGTGTAATACGCCCCCCATCCCTCCCCTCTCACCTCTCCCACACCCAATACAACATCGCACTGACTCCCCCTTCCCACCAGCTACATCCACGGCGGCGCCTTCCGTGACCCCCTCGTGAGCTCCCTATCCCTCACCCCCTCCCTGCCCGCCCTCTTCCAAAACCCCCACGTCGCCGGTATCGCCTCCCTCAACTACCGCCTCTCGCCCCACCCGACCCATCCCACGGATCCCAGCGACCCGTGCGACGGGGCCCGGAACGCGGAATGGCCGGACGCGATTGAGGACGTGAGGGATGCGATACGCTGGTTGAAAAAAGAAGAGGGGTTGGGAGGGGGGGAGTGGATTGTGTGCGGGCACAGTGTGGGGGGCACTATGGCTGTGATGGTTGGGATGGATGGGACGGGGGGTGGGGGAGATGACGGGCGGGGAGGAAAGGAGGGAAAGGAGTGGGAAAGGGGTGTTTGGGGGGAAGAAGGCGGTATGGATGGGTTGAAGGCTGTTGTGTCTCTAGAAGGTATTTACGACTTCACCGCGTGCCGGGACGCACATCCGCGGTTGCGGGATATGTATGATGCTTTCACTACGGGGGCTTTTGGGCCTGAGGAGGAGGGGGGATGGGAGAGGGGGGACGTGTTGAGGTGTAAGAGGAGGGTTAGAGATGGGGTGGAGGCTGTGGTTGTGGGGCATAGTAGGGATGATGAGTTGGTGGAGTGGGAGCAGGGGCAGAGGTTGATTGGGGTGCTTGAGAGGGAGAGGGAGGGGGAGGGGGAGGGGGAGGTGGTGAGATTGGTGGAGGTTGAGGGGAAGCATTCGCAGGTTGTGAGGGACGGGGTAGCGGTGGGGAAGTGTGTAAATGTTGCAATTAGGGTGTTGGTGGAGAAGGCAAGGGCGAAGGAGGGAGGTTGATGGGATTAAGATCGGTCCCTCTGTTAGGGACTCTTGGCTTTCTCTTTAAACACTGACGAATGAAGCATTTCCAACCTCTGAGCACCAGTCTTGTCAGCGCTCAACCATGCACCTGATGCCAGACCGCTGCTTTTCGTGACTCGACCAACTCCTCCAATAGCGGTGGGATTTCAGGCTGTGGTTGTATGCTTTCGTAGTCATTTCGTCTGACTACTCCGGGCTTGGGAGGCTTTGCCTGTTTCTCCGAGCCCAGTCGCTTGTTCGTGGAATGCTTGGCTTTATTGAGCTTCTGCTCCCAGAAAGAAGCGTTTTCTTGTTTACGGTTCAGTTTTTCAGCCTTCTTTTCGGATTCTTCTTCTTTTCTTCTGGCCCTTGCCTCTTTAATCTTGGCTATTTCTGCATCCGTCTTTGGCCGGAGGCTAGCTTCCTTGATCCGCCTCAATTCATCCGATGTTTTGTACTTGCCACCTCTTAGGCGCCATTCCTGTTTCATCTTTGGCTGTCGAGCTTCTTCCTGTCCTTGCTTCGCCACTTCCTTGTCTTCGATTTTTGGGTACAGTCTCTCTTGAACCTCTGACTCTGTCAATCCTCTCCTAGCCAGCCGTCTTGCCTTCGTTGCTTTATGCTTCTTGTCTCTGATCCTCAGCTTTTCCTCTTCTGCCAGCGCCTTCTCTTGTTCCTGGATGGTGTACATATTCGCAGAAATGTCTGCTCGCTTTTGTATAGCTTCAACTTGCAATTTGTGATTTGAGTCCAGGGCTCGCTGGACTTCATGTTGCCAAGGATGTACCTCTGGGCCCCGGCAATCCGATTCAAATTGCTCGTCAAGGATTTCATCCCACTCGTCTTCATCTGCAGCGGTTGGAAGCTCGCTGGTCAGCCTCGCGGCTCTCAAGATTCGGTGTTCGCGCGTCTTGACGGTATCGCGAATGACGCGGCTGAGGAAGGGAGGCTGGGGCTTCTTTAGCCGGAGGAAAGGCACCCTATTGGCGTTGATGAGCTTTGGAACGTGGCGGCGGCCGGACAGGTGAAAGAATGGACGATCGAGGGTACGCCTGGCGCCAGGGTAGCGTGCTGCATGTCTTCTCGGAGTCTTTTGCGCTGGAGCAATCTTAGTTTGAGGTGACGAGGGAAGATCTTCGGGCTGCGCGCTCGTGCTTGCAGGAGAAGCGAGCTCCAAGATGCGATTCAAAAGACGTTGTTGCCTTACGCCATCGTTAAGACCGTCAAGCGTCTACGTTCACGTTAGAGCAACCAGGACCGGTCTCCGTAATTCTCGAGATTCACCTCATAGCCCAATTGAAGAGCTGTAGAGATCTGAGGTGGGCTCTGGAGCTTCGAGTTTCGCTTGAAAATTGCCCGTATTGGCTTGCGAAAGAGGTGCTGGTGGTGTTCATTCAATTGTAGTTTGTGCTTCTGCCGGAGGATCGCACGGTAAAGCGCGAAGCCTGGGGCATGGTTAGGGGATAGCAAGCAGTCCAATGTACTATTACTTACATGCAGCGCGATGCACTCCTGATCTTCTGAGAACCAGGTACCTCGGCATTCAAGGTTCCATAGACGTGAAGTATTGCGACATGAAGAGGGCAGGGAAACGGAAATCGAGGCGATCGCTAGTTCTGAACCGCGGTCACGTGCCAACGCAGCCTTATCGTGGGACGAGCGAATGCGTGGCAGGATTACGATGCAAAATTTTGGCAGAGGTCACATATACGAGTAAGATGTCTTTGTTTGCTACGCCCATCTATCTCGAGAAGGACCGTCTGGAAAATGCTGTCGTACTCCAGCCATGCAAATGTGGAACCAACAGTGCCCGCTTGTCGTAACTTCGTGACCTGTTGTTTCCCTCTTTCCCATCACTCCTCTCTTCCGGTAATCAAAATGTGGAGCCTTCGGGAGGCTGAGGAAGCTTCTTGTGTTGTGGTAATGCCATGAATCTAGGGGCACACGGTCAGCCATGTGGGCATGAAGTCGTCAGGGTAGGCATCTCACCTCCTCAACTCGATCAAGATGGTTTCCATTGTGTTCTCCCTCTTCCACTGATACAGACATGGCAATCGTTGCGGGTCCACCTAGGATCTGTTAAACACAGCTCACACTTTTGAGAATGTAGCCCACCTTTCCAGTCCTCTGATCAACGCAGGGTAGATTGATTTTGGAGACGAATTGGACCGTTGGTGGTGTATCAGGGTAGGTTTCTCCACAGTGAATGTTCAGGCTGTAGATCCGATTCTCATGAGCACTCTGTTATTTCATGTAACATCAGCCTCCGTGTCTCATAGCAGCATGTCAGACGTCCAGCGTACGTGAGGGGGTCCAAGTATCGTGCCATTCCAATTCGACATCAACAGGTCATCTCCATCCGACAGCCCGTAGGAACAAGCCTCTACACAGCAGCATCAGTCCCGTTCCAGTTGGTGTGACGCCTCAATCTCAAAGCGTACCTGCTCCAAGCCCCTTCTCGCCCTTCTCCAACTCTTCCAGGAGACGAAAGTTCCTGGGTACCTTCGCTCCCATGTCCGCTGAATCTTTGTATGTTCGCCTGACGGTTTGGAGATAATGATTCTGCAAATGTGAGTCGAGGAAATGTTGATGTTGCACGAGGACTGGAGTGGATTGCCAAATGCATTATGCCAAAAGCCCACTTTAGATTACGATACCCGCAGGTTTCTAGCGGTAATTTTTCGGATTTAGGCAATCGAGTTCCACTTGCTGGCCTCTTCTCCATCATTGAATGCTTTTCATTTCCTCCTCTTTTTACTCGTGGAACTTTTTATTCACGTAAAATATATGGATTCTAACAGATGTAGGTTGTAGCCGCTTGTTGCTCTTCAATGGGTGTGGACTGGCCATGACCGCCCAATTGCTCACCTCCGAACTGTCAACCCTTATACAGGAGTCCAAGAGGAAGAACCCAGAATTAAGAGCGGCACGTTCGTAATCTCACTGATGGCGGTGCCATGTTTCTAACAAGGTGTGCAGGCTGCTGAAAAGTCACTGAACGATCTCAAGGCTCTCCCAAGGACGTCCGAAGCTCAAATAGCAGCAGGTCTGTCTGGATCCTGGAGCTGCCGAAAAAAGACTGACTTTGAAAGAGATTTGAAATGCCGACCGGCGTTCGTGAAGCCCTTCTTGCTCGCCTGCAGTACTCGCAACCCAAAGTTTGCAGGTACCGCTGCTGTCTGCCTACAGCGGATAGTCGTTGCCAATGCATTGCCCAAGGAAACCCTACCTGAGGTCCTAGGAGCTTTTCGAGAATGCTCGACTTTAGGTAAGTTCTCCGGCTTTGACTCCACTTCCATTAGTCATTGACCTTCCACAGCTCCTGATATTCAGCTCAAGGTGTTGCAGGCGCTTCCATCCTTGCTACAGAACTATGCAAGCAGCTTGAGTGGACAGCTTCTGGTGGCAGCTTTCCAAGTTTGCTTTCTTCTCTACAGTAGCAGGACTGCTGTTGTGTCGAATACCGCAGCGGCTGCTATACAACAGCTTGTGAGCTCTACCTTGGAGAAAGCTGCGATAGAGAATGGTATTTTAATATTCTGGTACTCATATGCTATACACGCTCATGCAACACAGATGGACAGTTCGAGCATGAGCCCTCTGTCGAGGTTGCGATTGGAGACGGCACGACATCAATATACGGCACATCACTGGATGCGTATCGTGTACGTTTTCATAGCATGCTTTGAGCAATTTCTTCTGACGCCGTTCTCCAGCTCCTGGACGACATTTGTCTCTTGACTGATGGACAAAAGCCAAAGTTTCTCCCTGCGGTAAATCTTGTTCAAAATTACGGCCTGGAGTTGCTGGAGTCCATGCTTGCAAATCACGCGGATACTGTCATGGCTCATCCGGAGCAGATCCATGTATTACGTCTCCGGCTGATGCCGTTGATCGTCAAGATCTTGTCGGAAAAATCAAGCTTTTCGAGCACAGTCCGCACGATGAGACTACTCAGATTGATCGTTAGTCGCCTGCTGTTTGCACTTGCACCTGAATGCGAGATGGTCTTGAGTCTACTGAATCACATGCTTGACCCGGACGCTGCCGCTCTTTGGAAGCGTGCTCTTTGCCTCGAGGTACTTCGTGGAATTCATTCCGAGCCTACACTGGTCAGGAGCATATATGCTCACTTTGACGAAGCAGAGGAACAAAGGAACATCATTCGTGACCACTTGGGAAGCCTTGTACGACTGGCCTCGGAAAAGCCTGCAATCATTGGACTAGGGCAGCAGTCATCAGTCCCTGTCTCGACTACGCAAGATGACACTTCAGACGAGCAAGCCGCTATCCAGGCTGGTGGTCTGATAGGCATTGGCGCCATTCCCATGGAAAACAATACCAACAAGTCTGGTATAAGTTCTCAATGGAGTGCTATCAGAATACCGTGCATTGATCAACTCGATAAGTCAGAGCCCCCAACATTGCCTGCGACGTACATTTACAGTCTTGCCTTGACTTGTATCACCACGTTTTCTGAGGGTCTCGCAAGATTTTTGTTGCCGTTTACCGTGCCTACAGACAATAAGGCGAAACGAAAACAACCTATCTTTGAAGGATGTTGTTGTGGAAAGCCGGGCAGAAAAGAAGGCCGAAAGGACTCAGTCTTTTGGGGGCCGCAGAATGCCTGTAAATCCACTCACACTCAAGGATCATGTTCTGTACACACAGATCTCGACCTCTGGCCACATGGTAGAGCACTGTTGGCCAGCGCTACTTGCGGCCTCCTCTACGTATCTCAACGCGACCTTGGACTCGGACAACTATCATGCGCTAATCCGATCTTTCCAAAAATTCACTCAAATCGCTGGCCTTCTCGATCTGGCGACTCCTCGAGATGCGTTTCTGACAACCCTTGGTAAAAGTGCTGTGCCCTTGATGAATACCACGGTAGCATCTCCGCAGACCAATGGACAAGAGTTTGGATCTCTAGCAGGCGAGCTTACGGACAGTGACCGTGATTCAAGCCCAGCGCGGAATAGTAAACCTCGCCACACTCGAAAGTCTATGGATTTATCGTTGCCCACACTGAATACCCGGCATCTTCTCTGCTTAAGAGCTCTCCTGAATCTGGGCATCGCTCTGGGTCCGGTGTTGCAGCAGTCCTGGACGATCATCCTCGAGACTCTCCAGCAGGCAGATCTAATAATTTCTCTTGCTGCCCCAGGTCGCCGAAAACAGAGCAGACGATCAACAGGTGGATTGGAAAAGGATTCCGCCGCGGAACTTGGAGATGGTGCCGATGACTTGAGACTAGAGATCACGGCTGCCGAGACTGCTGCATCTAGATTGTTTGAGAGTACGGCCGACTTACCGAACGAAGCTTTTATGGATTTTCTGACATGTATCTGCTCTCTACTTCCGGTCGGTGAGGGTTCGTCTGGAGGAACACCGATCGATGGGATGCTCAACGCGAAACCTGCGGCACGGAAGCACCAGAGAGTGCGCAGCGTATCTGGCATTGCCATGGACGCAGATGTGGCAGGCCACAGCAGTGGATTCGTGCTGGACAAGATCGATGACGCCATCCAAAGTAATGTTGGGCGACTACTTCAACCAGAGACGACGGAGACGGGTTGGGACTTCCTCTTAGAGAAGCTTACCAGCGTTTTAAGGAGTGGTCCCTTACCCTCGGACGTTCGCATCAAAGCAGCGAGAGCTTTGGACGACTTGGTCGTGATTGTGGCAGTCTCCGAAGAGGAGATGTCTTCGGAAGAGCGTGACGCTGTCAGAGGTAGAAGCCTAGAAGCCTTGGCGAACGAAGTCTCATGCCTCAGCGTTTCTGGACCGCAGAGCACGAGGAACTCCCAAAGCTGTGAGATTGAGATACATCGACTTTCATTGGAAGCTTTACGATCAATCCTGGAACATTGTGGTGATTCACTCGAGATTGGATGGACCAGCGTTCTCACAATCATCAACAGCATCTTCGCTACACCAGTAAGCGACCATACGACTGATGCAACCTCGCCTCGTAGTCGATCGCAAAAGCTCGTCTCGCCTGCGTTTGGATCGTTACAGCTCATTTGTTCCGATTTTCTAAGCTCTGTACCTCCTTCGCATATTCTGTCCTTATTAGACACCCTTCATTCTTTTAGCGCTCAAGACCAGGACTTGAACATCTCCCTTACTGTGAGTGCTTGGGGAGCTAGTCTAAGTCTGGCCTACCACTGACGACATCAACAGACAGCCACGTTCTTTCGTAATGTTTCAGACTTTCTACAGCGCGACGGCGGAAGGATTGAACTTGAACTTCTTGAATACCCATCATCCGACGGAAGCTGATCTGAAGCAGTGGGCAAAAGCTCAATATGACGAGAAATCGACCCAAGCTTTGTGGCTATACCTATTGCTGCGTTTGACGCTGTTGTCCACTGATAGCAGGCTTGAAGTTCGCCACAGTAAGTATACCAACGATGATGCCTTGGTTTACCAGTCTATAACAAATACCCAGGTGCCTTGCATACACTTTTCAGAATCTTCGACGCGTGTAGTGATCAATTGCCAGCCGCAGCAGTACGGATCTGTTTCAACGTTATTTTAGTAAAATTGCTTGAATCAAATGAGCTGCGACGACTAGCTTTGAAGACATCTCTGCAATCTGTTTCCAATGAGGGATTGACAGACAGCTGGAATGAGTCAGCAATTGTTGAGATTGAAGGCTTATCGGGCTTGTTTACCCAGTGGCTAGATACTTACAAGAGCAACGAATCACTCGCCCCGATGTTCCAAGAATTCTTTGGGCAACTGATCGGCTGCCTGAAACGGCAGTCATTGACTGTTAGCAACGCTGTCTTTACTGGAATGAGCAAAATCCTTGCGGAGATCGAGAGCCTCGAAAGCTTAGGGAAACCTCTATTGGTCAAAGCGTGGCAATTGTGGAAGGACGGTAATCCCGCTTCTCACGTCGATGATTCCAAAAGGAAGAATGGTAATCAAGACGCCTTGATGGCCTACATGCTCTGCTTGGGGCAGCTCTTGCGCCTGATATCGCAGGACCTTCAACTTGACCAGGCGCACATAATTATGTTGCAACTAAGAGCCTGCGTAGTGGAATCGAATGCCGCGGCCTACAGTACAGATGTTGATCGCGTGACGCCTGTGCAGGGCTTGGTATTGGAGATTCTGAACTCTATACCCACCAATACTCCAGAGTTGGTGCCAGAGCTCGTCGGATCCATTGATGGTTTTGTGACCCTAGCTTATGAACAGAAAGGCCAACCTTCAGGAAAAGCTCAAACTTATATTGCTCTCTCCAAAGCTGCAATGGATCTACTTGACTCATGCATTACAAATCAAACCAGACGTCCGGATGTCAATGCCACAGATCTGGTCTCTAAGGCCTGTTCTGCCCTTGCTATACCATTACACCTCAAGTACAGGTGGCAGACCGAAGGCAAGGGGCCATCACCCTGGCGAAAGGCTACGTCGACGGCACTCGCGATACTGGAAGCGTTCATGCCTACCATTTATGCCTCTCAAGATGGCAAGCAATCCGACTCGCCGTTTTGGGAAGTGGTCGTCAGAATCAGCGATGGCATTCTAGCGGCTGATTGCGACGCATGCGCCCGCTGGCAAGAGATGTCTAAAGATCAAGTCTTTGACGTTGATGCTTTCACAAGGCTGCAGAAGCTCATCATACCTGCTCTTGGGTCGTCATCGATAACCGATGCCATACGACGAAAGTACGCGGAGTCCATCTTCACGCATTCGATGATACATGAGCCCCATCCAGATGACCTTGCCAGGCCGGATCAGGAGCTTCTTGAGGGCCTACGCAGCACACACATTGGCCGGGTCCAAGAGCTCCCGCCTTCGCCTCGGTCTAAGCTTAGCTACATACTCCTCGATGAGCTCTTCGGTCTCGTCGCTGTTCATGATGGCTCGCTTGAGCGCGTACGATTAGCACAGGCAGCTGCTCCCTACCTGATCTTGCGTGCAGGCCTTACACTGAAAGCATATATCATGGATCATCCGCTGCGAGGGCGTATGCCCCAACCATGGTCGCAAAAGAAAGAAATGCTGCACGTTCTGCGCAAATTAGTTGACTTGGACTCGGAACCGAAGGCCATACCTGCTGCGCCTGGGATTACTTCGGAGCGCAAGAAGCACTTGCATAGACTGTATCCATTAGTGACAAAGGCATTAAAGGCTGCTTGGAGGGACGAGGAAATGACAAACGCGTTAAGGGAGGTATTAGACGCTGTGGGAGATGACTTTGGGCTTTGAATAGACTTGATCATGTTGCAACGAATTCTAATCACAAAAAACTTTGCTTTGCATACCACTAGACGTTTTACTACAGCATTATAATCATCGACACACAGGAAGTGAAAGTGGCAATTGGACGCAAACCCGCTCCTAACCCCGTGCTTGGAGACAATCACTTAAAGTCAACCTGCCTGACCGTACCATCCTCTGCCAAATGCACATTCAACCTATTCTCGTCGTCAGCTCCCTTCCATTCAGAGTAATGGCCAGAGGGAAGTGACCTATCCGGCTTGAAGTCCTGCGTAACCATACTCCCATGCTCAATGACTCGATGCTCCTTTGGCAGATCCTGCTTTGCGAAGCTCTGTGTACGTTCACGTCAGCTCACTCAGCCACCACATAATACCTCAGCGTGGAGCGAACCGTCGTATCAGAAGTGCTGTCGCTGAGCTTCTTCCCCACGAGCTTATTCATCCAGTCTTCTTGCTGATTGTTGGAGCCGCCTGAGCTCATGAGGCCGGGGACGACGAGTGGCATGATGGGTGGCTCGAGGAGTTACGTGTGGTGAGAGTGATGTGTGCTTTTCTATTTTGAAATGGAAGATAGTGAAGCTGCTACGGCGTAAGTTGGAATGTTGTTTACATTACGCAGGCAGCCTTGAGGCTGAGTCACAAGCCACACTCCGCCCCGCCAAATGACGTTGCCAAGCTCAGGGTCCGAGGGGTCCATTCTTTGTACTTATCTCCGGTCCGTCCACCTCCTCGATACCCTCGCCATCCACAATCACATTCACATTCACATCCACTCATTGACCGCCCAACATGTCCTCTCACGACTACATCGACCAAGACGCTCGCTATGCGCAACAGCTACAGGCTGAAGAAGACGCTCGCGGTGCCGCTGACGGACGTCCTGCTACAGACTATCCGCAGCAGGGACATGCGCCCTCCCCGCAAGCAAACCAGCAGGGTGGCTATCAGATCGGCGCGGGTTTGCCGGTGAATCAGCAGTATATGGGTGCGGATCAGACACCGGGGGTGCAGCAGGGACAGCATAGTTCGGCTGGAGGGGCTCAGGGTTACGGTTACGCTCCACCACCTCAGCAGCAACAGCATTCTTCGGCAGAAGGGGCTCAGGATTACACACCGCCGCCTCAGCAAATGTATGCTTCTGGCATGTCTGGACAGGAGTCTCAAGGGTATTACCCACCGCCGCCTCCTCCGGGTCAGCACATGCCAACTTCGGGAGCTCCTGGGCAAGACCCAGCGCCTTCCCACCAGATGCCAGCTTCTGGAATACCCGGACAACAATCTCAAGAATACTATCCACCGCCACCTCCTCAAGGGCAGCAGATGCCATCTTCTGGCGGTCCTGGGCAAGCATCTCAAGAATACTACCCACCACCGCCTCAGCAATCTCACGCTCCAGCTGGAGTAGGACTCTCTGGTCAAAGCCTCAACACTGGATTCCAACCGCCGCTACCTCCTCGAAGACCAAGCGCGCAAAGCATGAATTTCGGCGATGATGACCCTTCTAGTCCTATTCATTACACCCGCGATCCTCATAAGCTGGTCGCCTACCTAGTACCCTTCCCGAAGCCTGTAATTAAGGGTGTCGAGCCTTCATCGATTCCAGACCGCTTTCTCATCTACACGCCTCCACCACCTCCCCTTTCTGCACCTGCCGAGGGTGAGAAGGAGGACAAGTTTCACAAGGTGCAACGCAAATGGCAAAATGAGGTTCGGGCGGCCAAGACCAGTGACGCGAAGACTGCAAGTTGGAAAGGCGTCAAGAGCAAGGCTACCAAGGGTATCAGCTGGGCCATTGGGAAAACGACGAGCTCGAATCTGGATTTCGTGAACCGCATCCCCGGAGCGAAATCAGACTCACATGACAAGCACACTGAAGACGGCGTAAATGAAGGCGATACCACACACAAGACGGTTGGTCTGGAAGAGATGGTCCTGATTTACCCATCGTCTTATGCGGCTTCTCCGGAACAGGTCAAGGCGGAGTTCATCAACACTATGATGCGTACCAAGTCCAAAGCCCAGCGCGACTCCATCATAGCCACCGGTCTCCTACCTGTCTCCGGCGCCATTGATCTTTTGGCAACAGTGGTGTGGCCATTTGGTGGGCTATTGGAAGTCGACGGTGTCTGGGCTTACTCTTCTATTCGAGGCGCTAAAACCGCGAGATCCGTGACGAAGCGCTTGACATCTTCAACTCAATCTGGAAACACACACGCTCAAACCGAAGAGCAAGAAATGGCAGGAGATAAGCTCCGCCTCACCTTCACCCAATCGCCACGTCTCGAAGTGCTCAACCACTACCTCATGGCTAGATGTCGAGACTACGACCACAGACATTTCCCGAGCGTGGAGATGGCGCCTACTGAGTCGGAGGTGTTGGCAGCGATCGGATGGGCGCCGAGTCAGACTGGTGGTAATGAGAAAAACTGGGAAGATGAGCAATGGGAGACTGAGGAGGTAAAGGAGGATATGAAGAATACTCTGGGAAAGGCGTCAAAGGAATGGGATAAGTGGTGTAAGGCTTTTGCGAAGAATCCGGAAAAGGCGATAAAGAAGTAGGGAATAGGAAACATGGAGCCAGGAAATCATGGCCATAGTAAACAGCGTGCTGGATTTTCTATGGGTTATATAGACAGAAAAGATTGCCTATACCGGTTCTGATTTCAAACTCAATGGAGCAGCTTATTAGCCCGTCCATACGACTTCTATAACTGAGAGGTTTGATCCTCTAGGTGTTGTGATACTCTTCAGTTGGAACTTTGGGTGGGCATGGTTGAACAAATCTGCCCAGTCATCGCTATCCCTCTCTCGCGCGTTCAGAAGCGACAGCATATGCATGTCCATCGCCCTACACAGCAAAAGACCCCCAGTCAGCTCTGTAACCCACCAAAATCTGGTGCGGAAAGAGTGCAGACCTCAATCTTCGTTCCTCCATGATGGAAATCGTGTGTATTTCCGGTAGACACCACTCGTTGACGATAATCCTGGCCCCAGGTTTCAACGCCGGCACGAGCGCTCTGAGGATCCGGGAGCAATCTTCGTCGGACCAATTATGCAACACCAAGCGGAAAAAGTACACATCGGCGTCCTTGACAGGTTGCTCGTTGAAGAAGTCATGGGCCATGAACCGAATTCGTCCCTGTATCGCAGTCGGAGGCACGAGATGCCTAGCGATAGGATTCGGTAAGTCCTGCACCACGGCGACGAGTCGAGGGAATTTGCTCGTGAGCGCAATCATCGCCTCCCCCGTCGAACCACCGAGATCCACAACGACGGCTTCTCCAAGGTCGGTCCAGAGCGGATCGTCGACGATGTGGTCCAGTTTATACCCAGGCCCTGTACTGAAGGCCGACATACCGCTGGCGAACTTTGTCGCTCGCTCCGGATGCTTGCCCAAGTAATCAAAGAGCGTGTCGTCCGTACCCCTGGAGCAGGAAAAGCCCTAGCTCACACATTCAGCTTTCCGCACCACCATAACGTCGCTCGGGGCAGAATACACTCTGAGCTGCTCTTTGCGACCCAGGCCACTTCCGCATCGCATTGACCGTCTATCCCGTCCCGTCAGCAGGAAAAAAGCCGCCCACCGTCCATGAAAACCACAGTCCACGCTCACCTGAGCTGCCGCCGGCCAGGCCTCCCCGAGATTGACATTTGCCCAATCGGCGAACGCCTCATCCTGCGCCAACAGCCTCGACGCGGCGGTATGCTCCACGACGCCCTTCCTCGACTCCCGAAACACACGCTTCGTCATGGCATGGCGGAGCACGCGACGGACCTCTCGCTCCCCGAGCCCGCACGCCCCGCCGATGTCCGCAAACGTCGCTTCCTGCCCGACGGGGAAGGATCGGGCGATGCCGTAGTCCACGACGACGTGCAGGCTGACGAGATCGTGCTGCTGGAGCGCGGCGAAGCGGTGGGCGAAAGGTCAGCCTCGCGTACAACAACATCTCGATGCACTCGGTGCCACCATCGCGGAAAAAGGGGAAGCGAACCCCTTCGGATTGCAGTGCCTCCTTCGGCCCTTGCACGAGCAGCTTGAGCTCGTCGGCAGCCTCCACGACGGCAGCGCGTGCGCTCGCCAGCACTTCCGGTAAGCCCGGGGGCGCGTCGGCTGCGAACGATAACGGCGGCAGGTCGTGTCCGTTCAAGGTAGTTACTGATGCGCTCCGTGTTCTGGGAGATGATGGCGGCGAGCTCGGTGATCCTGTCCGTAGCGCGTTTCCATTTCTGGGATCGAAAGTTGCGTGTGAGTAAACGGTGGATCCCGGTGATGGATCGGGGGGAGAAGCTTCGTCAAATCAGACTCGGATGGCGTCCTGCACCGCCGCTCACGTGAACAATCCCAACGGTGGTGCGGGCCGCACTTCACGTGCACGCCCCAGCTTCGGGTGCACCTGGACTGCATCAGCGGGTTTGTTCTACCGGGGGGGGGGGCAGCTGCTGTGCTGCACACGGGGGGAGGATGGACGCTGAGCGGTGGGGTACATGAGGCACCCGGTCGGATCCTGGGGTGTTTTCGGGTGGCGGTACGATGCTGGCGCTCGCACTATTTCGGAAGAAAGCATTATAAAAGGTGCGAAGCTGCAGGTCGAATCCTTCGATTTCTGTCTGCACTAGTCACCACCGGACGCGGCTTATCTACATGATTCCTTATGCAACTAATTGGACGAATGTTCTTATCTGAAGTTGGACCACGCAAATGGTCAGATATGCTCCCATGATCCTTGTGCAACGCCTTTTAAAACTCAATACATTCACGTAAGGGGAAAGAATTGATTGAACCGTCCTCGCGGATCATGTTCTCGCTTGATCTTCTGCAATCTTGCAACGTTCCCTCCATAGACGGTTTCCAAAGGCTCATCACCATTGGCATAGTTGATGTAGCTATAAAAGGGGTAAGTGAATGCTGCTTTCGCATGATACCGGTAACATCACAAAGAAGATTACGAGTCACTCACGTCTCATTTGAAGGCAAATTATCAGTGGACCGCCATAGATCTCGGACCGCAGAGCCGAATGCCTCCGCTCTGGAATCCAAAGCCGGATCCGCATACCAGGTGTTGACTACAGCATTGTACTTGATAGATGAACGGAATGCGTACGAGGACGATGCGTTGCCGAACGACGTGGCTTTATATAACGAGTAGCACTCCACCAAGACACTTGTGTTCTGCGTACCTGGATTCTGTATGAAGGTGTTGTATTCATTCCAAATCGAGCGCCAAGTCGCAGGATCCATTTGCGCAAAGCCAGCACCGTATGAAGGTTTTCGGCCTCCCTTCGCGCAGAAAGTGTCGCTTCCTGCATTGATAAGGTTGTAAGGTATCCAGGCAGTCTCATCCGCAACTGGACCTACGGCGGAAATGGAAGCAAAGGCAGCTTTGCCCTGGGTCTCATTGCCAAGATAGAATGGGATCGCGATGACGGTAGCCGTGTTGTTCGGTGGCAAGGTTGCAAAGTACAGAAAAATGGCCATGGGAGGTAAAAGATCCAGATCGTTGATGGCTTGGACAAGCGCTTCGATCTTGTCTTCCGTGAAGATGAGTGGGCCAAGCCAGGCACCGTTCTGCGCAGTTGGGACAGGATAGGACTTCATCGTTGCGGAGGTGACAATGCCGAAATTGGGACCGGCGCCTCGAAGAGCCCACCAGAGGTCTGTATCTTTGGGCCCCACCTCGATAGCGGTACCGGACGGTGTCACAAGATTCATGGAGAGGATGTTGTCAACCCCGAATCCATACAAACCCATCAGACGGCTATATCCGCCGCCAAGAGCTGCACCAAGTGTCCCAATGCAGTTGCAATTGCCTGTCAACACTTGCGTTCCGTTTCCGTAGGCGGCATCCACGACCTCTGATACAATAGCTCCTCCTTGGAACGTGACCTGAGTTTTGTTGGCATTGAATCGGATTTTTCGAATGCCTCTCAGGTTGATGAGCACGTCATTCTGTCCTATGGTGAAGGTGGTACCCCAGGCATTTCCGCCATTCTGGGCCAGAAAGCGCAGATTGTGTGCAATACAATATTTGACCTGCCTTCTCATGAACATCGAAGTCGGATCAACGACGAAGAAGGAAAGGAGAAACGCACTGTCAATAACACATCATGTTCCGATGCCACATTCACAACCGTACCGGGATTTGGCGCGTCAAAATCGCTCCATCTTGGAATCGCGGAGGTGGTGTGCACGATCGATGCATGTCTCGACAACTCCGGGCCAAGATTCTTGTCGATTTGGCACTGCTGGTTGCAAGTGGAGTTGGCGGGACTTGTGGGTAGAACGACGGCAGACACAAGAGACAGAAGGAAGGGTAGGATGTACAATGATAACGGTGATAACGGCCACATGTCTGCTTGCAATGCCGGAACTTGAAAGCTGATAAGAAGTGGGAAAAGGATGTGATGAGGTTTAAAAGGCGAAAGACAATGGAGGTCGTTGTCTCAAGCCAGCCTGGTCGCGTGGTGAATGTAACTCCAACTCCCGCTTGGTGCGCCATTCTCACCCTTTAGGAAGGAGCGTCTTACAATTCTTGCCGATGCGATGCCGATCCCAGGGCACAGCCATTCTTGGGATTAGCCTCACCAGTGTGAGGTGGGAAAGCTTCAAATGTGATGGTGGCATGGGCTCCACCGTCTACTGGTATTAAACACGGCCGAATATCTGCGCGGGTCTTTCTTTATTATTGTAGGTACGCAAGTGGAAGGAAGCTTTGACCTCTTTCGTCGGGAGCATGTTTGGTGCTTTCTACCCGACCTGACGTGTTATTTACGCTACTCTCGGGAGAATGGAATGGGGGTGGTGTTCCCCGGCTGCACCAGACACAGACGCCCGGGACGCCGAAAGCAGGGCCTAGGAGCGGGAAAGCTGTGAGACTAAGGTAGGTGGGCTCACATTCACAGACCAAATCATTCTCGTATAATTATAATTTTACAATCTTGATATCTAGCAAGGGAAATCCAATCCCATCTGCGGATTACTAACGTGGTCAAAATCATCTTCGCTTTTTGTTGCTTCTTCTGCCTTAAGTACATGTACATTGTGGCGGTGGGGTTTGGGGTCAGTGACAAAATCAGTGGCGCGGCACTACCTACTCCGTTGAGAATAACGGATCGAAAAACGAGGCAAAACAAGGCAAACGGATCGTGAATCATCATCTTACGGCCCTATGAAGTCGTCCTTCCGAGCCTCAGCTGATACATGCTTACGCTCTCGCTCTCAGCCCCACTCTCCCGACTGCCGTCACCGCAACTTTCCATTCCTTCCCACAGTTGCCCCTCAGTCCTAACCCTTGACTTTCGATTTCTCGTCCGGCAGAGACCAGGTGTAGACCACTCGATCATCGCCGTCCGCCGATTCGGCACGCTTGCTCTTCTCGTCCGGCAGAGACCACGTGTAGACGACTTGATCATCGCCGTCTACTGACTCTGCTCGTGGGAGGAGGCCTGTCGGTGGTCAGCGTACGGTTGGATCCGCGTGGCCAGATGGTTTACCATACCTTCGCGGCGGCTAACGGGAAGAGCGTTGCAGGCAAGGCTGAGGGCGAGACATCCCCACACGTAGATAGTCGCTTTCATCGTCTCGAAATTCGCAAAGATGAATCTTTTTGACCCCCTTATTGGTGTTGGGAAGTTGAACGAGTTTGGAGACGGGTTTGAATGGCTAGGATTGTGGAAAGGCACCTGTTATAACTGAGTTTGTGAGCGGGTCACCTTCTAGATTTAGGTGCATCATTGCATGCAGCCTGTGTTGTCTTTCTCTTGCTTTCTTAGTCCCTTCTCCATCGATTGCTCATACCTACTTGCATTGCTCGTCTTTCTCTTGCTTCCTTAGTCCCTTCCCATCGATTTCTCATCCTTGCATTGCCCAACGCGCGTTGGTCGTTGACCATCCGGGCCATTTCGCAAGTTCAGGACTACTTGCCCCTTCCGAAACTCGTCATCTGACATCGTTCCAAAGATGTCGAATCCGAGTAAGTGCTGCTTTAACCGCTTGCAATCGGATCCGGTACTCTAAACCCCACCTTTTTTCCTTGGCCATCTCATCCATACGACCGTAGACCTAGGTATACCATTCCTACGACTGTCTCTCCGAATCCTCGTCCACAGCATACAGGACTCTGCGGAATGTCTGTGGATTGGCAGCGGGGCTTTCTCGGAGCGTATCTTTCAAAGTCCGGAGGGAAGGACTATGTACCTCTACGCACATCTGAGGAAAATAAAGAAGAGCCGGGAGCCGACTTGAGGCCTGGGAAGAAGTCTAAATGGTATATCATATGTGTTACCCTTCTCGTTATAACCTCTATGATTGGTTCCGGGGGCATTGGTTTCGCCTTGGGAAACCGCAGATGGAGCGCCTCAAAGGGCAACGTTGATGGTTTTACGATCCGTCACGACAAAGTCAGGGTGAAGGATACTGACCGGGGCAGACTTTTTGATACCGCCGGGAGACGTCAGATATCCAATGGTGTACAACCTGACCTACACGGAGGAGCCCTCCCCCGAGACGGACGCAGCCTGGGACTCCATGTTCCCGAGTAAGCGGAGACGGATCCCAGGCCGTGAGCCATACTGACTTCGAAGCAGAGGGCGTCGGTTTTGTAAAACACCCAGAGGTGTCGCCGAACCTCTCCGGTCTCGCAGTCTTCCACGAACTCCACTGCGTGGTAAGCGATCCCGAAACCCGCCTTTCAACCAACAACGATACAACCCCTACCCCAATCGCAACTCGCCGCGGCCAAAGACTGACCGTGCTATTCCCCCCCCCTTTAGAATATGTTGCGGGTGGGCTATTACGCAGCCCTGAACGGCAACCTCGCGGACATGCAACGCGTCCACGACCACAACAAACGGCCGGACCCGCACCACCTGCGGCACTGTTTTGATTACCTCCGCCAATCCCTGATGTGTAGCGTCGACACGAACCTGGAGCCGGTGGACTTCGAGTTGGGCGGGGTCACCGGCTGGGAGTTTCGGCGCACGTGCCGGGATTTCGAGCGGGTCAAGGGGTGGGCGGAAGAGTGGCGGAGCTGGCCCGAGGGGATCGGCGAGTCGGAGCGTCTGTAGAAGCGGTACGTCCGGGTCGATGTTGAATAGGTCGAGATGCATGTTTTTGTTATCGTCACGTCATATGAAGTTTTTAATCGAGATGGTCCGGTTCCATGTTCTTTCAACGCCAACTCAGGTCCTGTTAGCACGGTTCGACTCCTACCCATTCCAAAAGGCTGTCCCGGTTCACACACTGATGACATCCCAAGGCGACGGCCGTCAACCGTGGTCGATTCTCAGAAAGATAGTGGAAGGTGCCGGGCGAAGGACGACCCCTGTACATGATAGACACTCGCATCATCTCCATGCCAATGATCTATCTTCCCGTCAGGTTGTCCTTCCACCTCAGACAGTCGCACGAATTGGGACGTACCGATGTGCGCTCTCCACTCCTCCATCTCCGCTTCCCTTTCGTCGACAAAAAGTCGTCTTTGTATTCCATCGCCTGATCGTTTTCTAACCCGCCATCATCAGCACCGTATTGCTATTCGAGCCATGCTTGAGTGCGACTCACCAGGCGGTGCAACCCATGGTGCGCGCCCAGCTCTGTCGCGTGGCCCGAACCCACCTGCCACAGGTACAGAGGTCAGGTTGTAGTATTCGAGATCTTCACGCGGGACTCGGATCCTGGGTGTCTGTGGTTCTAGGTCAGCAAAAGTCGAGCGTGATTGTCCGTGAGGGGGTTCCGGCGCACTTTCGAAAAACGTGTGCCGGGCGGCATCGAGCTGTGGGTCGCGTGGGGCCGGTGTGCACTTTGACTGCTGGATTGCGGCGCTCGAACTGGACAGCGTTACTGTGGGCGAGGGCTTTTGTGGTGAGCGAGCAGGTACGGTCCGATGTGGAAGAGCTAGGATGCGAGGGTGGCAAGCTACTTACGGGGGAAGATGGTTGTCAAGTCGGCTGTTCACACACTGGCTACGCACTGGTGCTTTGAGATACAGGAGAAGGGAGAGGATAAGGAGGGGAACGTGGGCGAATGTGAGGATATGGTAAAGCCATTGGTAAAGGTTGTGGCTCTTTTCTTTTGGCCCACACTTTCCTGCAAGATGGCATTGGAACCGAGACTGGAGCTTGTATCCTTTTCCTCCTGCTGTCCGAGAAGAGGCTGAACGTCTGGGTAATTTTCTTCGTCTAGTAAAACCGCGCGGTTAGAAAACATTGGAGACATGGCAGAAGCTAGCTGGGGTTTTCTTTTGGAATGAAACACTGACAAGGCGGTGAAAAGGTCTGCCACGCGTGTGGAAAATATCAATTGGAGCGTCAGTTGGGGTCCCCCTTTCGCACAACAAGTCGTACATACAACATATTTACATTAAATTAAGACACGCTTGACAGCCGCTGTGTAAAAGCAGCGAGAACAATCTAATGACAGTGGGCATTCAGGCTTACTGCGTAAGCCGACAGTGTGCCGCATCAATAACTGTTTTTGCAACGCGCAATGCATTGGAAGTGAAAAGATTAATAAAGGATGCGAAGTGTAGGACCCCGAAGGCTGTCAGAGCGGGATGCCACATGGCAACTGCAAGCGAAGAAATGGAAAATGCCGGGACTAAAGTAGTATGTACCTAGCACCATTTGCGCTGCAAGGTCCTGTCAGCGGGTGTCCCATTACTACCTACTGTACGTTTTATAGCTCGATGGCGAATCAGAGAAGAGAGCAGCGTCGCTTTGCGTCAGAACGGCCAAAACAAGTCCTACGCAATCAATTCAATTCGGTTCGTCCCTTCCAACCCCGCAGAGTATGATCGGGCATACCGTGCGTATCTCGTTGGAATTGAATTAGAATACTGCTGACAACAGGACCACTCGGAGACTTCCCTGCGCCAGTAGCCATAACTTCATATGCAGGTAGCGTGTGCGTTATCAGGCAAGGATTTGCGAATCCGCTCCCCTCCCCACTTTTTCATATGCATATCATTTTTCCATTGGTGGAGCAAAAGCAATTCAGCCGCAAGGCTTGGCCAAACCATCCGCACACCCTCCACCTCTACACCAGTCGGCTCTGCTTCACTTCGCAAATTGGAAGTTGGGGCCGTGTAGCTGCAGAAGTATATGGGCGGTGTGGGGACCCACGAGGCTCGCCTTCTGAGAGGTTACCTACCTGGAACACTGCCACCCACTGCCCATGTGCCGGCAGTTCCGGTGCTTCCCGGACGTGAAAGCAGCATTCTGACCAATCTATCTTGTCCATCTGTTTTTGCGCATTCCGGAGCGGATAAAGTGGTTTGGAGGTGTGGAGGTGTGTGTGGGGTAGATGGGTAGATGCCGAGGATCATTCTCGGCACGTTGTCTCTACCTACAGTACCTACCTTCCTAAATCCTTCCACGGTCATTTCAGATTAAGGTATAGTCCTGCGTCAATGGCTTTGCCTCACCCAGAGTATCACGGCAGTGGTTGAGACTCTCTTTCAGTTACCTTGATGTTATAATTCCTTCATTGTTGAATCTACCTCCATTTGATACGTGAACAGTCCCTGTTTCTACATAATTCGCTACCTTAAACTACAAATAATCCAGAGGTCTTCTCTCACCCCTGCACACACAAATCATCTTTGTCAGCCCTAATCTTAATCCTCCTCCCAAAGGCGTACAAAGAGAAGCCGTGAAGAAGAGAGCGACGAGGGGTATTTGCGACTCGACATGGGCTACTCCCGTGGGCAGACCATCGCCATCGCCGTCATATTTATGGTATTGCCTACGTCTGTTGTGGGTCTGCGGATATGGGCAAAGACCATGAGCCGTCGAGGCTTTGGATGGGATGATTACCTGATCTTATTGGCTCTGGTAAGGCTTTGACTCTACGTTTGCGATCAAGTTTCTAAGACTACCTAGGCGACTACGATAGGGTCTTGTGTAGTTCAACTCATAGGTATGTACACTCTATGCCTAAACGTCGACTCTGTTTCCTAACACGTGGTGAATAGCTGCGATTGATGGACAGCTCGGCCAGCATCAGACGGACGCGCCAAATGGCATGCCAATCCTGAACGACCCTCGCTTTTTGCGCTACGAGACGGTAAGGAGGACACTGCCCTGCTCAGGCCCGTGTAGTAACATGATCCATCACCAGTGCAAATTTGCGTTACAGATGCTCACGTACTCCGGCTATGGTCTCGCCAAAGCTTCGATTCTCGTCCTCTATATGCGCATCTTCGATGTTCGAGCATTTCGTATACGAGCGAAAATTCTCTTGGTGGTTGTCACCGCATGGACCATCTCCTTTTTTTTTGCAAGTTTGTTTCAATGTTATCCAATAACACCCTTGATCGAGCCGTTTTACGGTAAGAAATGTGTGAACGCGATTCCGCTGTGGTATGTTGGCAGCTCAACGGACATCCTGTTGGATTGCCTGATTCTCGCCTTGCCCATACCGATGGTCCTGAAATTACAACTTCCCCAAAAGCAGAAGATAGGTGTCATATGTATGCTTCTTTTGGGTGCATTGTAAGTACATTATAGTCATTCGTCGTGCGCTGAGGATGGCCTTACTGATCGTCATCAGAGCCACTGCTTCGAGCGTTGCGCGCTTGGTGGTGTACGTCCAAGTCGGCAATATTCTGGCTGTCCATTTCAACGATGAAACGTGTAAGCCTCTTTGTCCTTCAAACTCAGCGCTCACTAAGTCTTTCAGATTACACATCTCCGGTCTTCATCTGGAGCGTAATTGAACTTGCTCTTGGCGTCATCAGTGCGTGTCTACCAACTCTTCGCCCTATCTTTCTGCGATACAGGACCAAACCCAATTCGCAAGAAAGTGGAGTGTCGGCATACAAGTCCTTTGGTTCCTTCCGCTACGGTAGACATCCTTACGGACGCTCGGCTTCGAGAAGTGACGACTACGAGATTCCAGTGCTCAAAGCTTTGGAGCCTGCTGTGCATACCCACATCAAGGGACCTGATGCCGAAAATCTGGAATTGCCAGAAGTGGGAGTCATAATGGTTCATCAGAACATTGAGCATGTCTAATATATTGATGATGGCCTTTTGAAAGATGTTTTCTCCATTCGACACGTTATACAGGTACCTTTCAATGGGACCCGCGCCATGCTGCCGCCTTCAAATCATGGCTTGCGGACGCGAAAGCACGGAGTGTGCAACGTTGCAGGGCAAGATGCAGAACGGGGTTTGGTACGAAACACATCCCTTCAGGATTCAGTCGGACAGCGGTCCATGACGGGGTCTCTGAAGCTGCAATCTGATCCAAGATCGAGTTTTTGACAAAGCGTTTGGTGGCTACTTGCTCATAGCGCGGGTGTAACGGCGTTAAGTCTTTGTACGAATCCGCACGCTGTGTCTCTCTTGTAGCCACCTGTATAATAGATGTTTCATGATGTATCTGCGTGACTGGCACAAAACAACGTGACTGGCGATAGCTCCAGGGTGGCCACTAGATGTCTGCGAGCTGCATACGGCTATGCAACCTTGGTAGTGAAGTAAGGTACATTCGGCAGTGAAAAGCTCCGAGTTCCGATCCGAGTGATGGTGGGGGAATGTGCGAAAGAGCTGCCTTAGCTTCGACTGTTTGTATATTTACCATCCCCCCTTTTCACTCCGCCCTCTCACCACACTCCTTCCTGGTACTACATAAAAAGCTCATGCAAAATATGGCGCCAACAGAGGCCGATTACATCGTCGTCGGAGGCGGCCTGACTGGATGCGCGCTTGCATCTCGTCTCAAACAGGGCGATGCATCGCTCAACATACTCCTCATCGAAGCTGGTGTTGATGCCACTGGCGATCCTCGCACCACGGCTCCCATGGGTTGCTTCGCGCTCTCTCACTCCGAACTTGACTGGGCCTATCAAACTGATCCCTCAGTCACATACCAAGAACCGTGCTCACTACAACGCTGCCGGCAAGACCCTCGGAGGAGGTAGCACCCTGAACTACGGCGCCTGGACTCGCGGTGATGCTAGTGATTATGACGAATGGGCTAACGTTGTGAAAGACCCTCGCTGGAGCTACAAAGGCTTGCTTCCTTATTTCAAGAAGTCAGAGCATCACTTTGATGCCAACTCAGATCCGCAACAGCATGGCTTCGAAGGGCCTATACATTACGTCTCGGTATCCGGCAGCGATCCAGAGCGACAGTACCTTCTCCGTAAGCCAGTACATGCTGCATGGACGGAGTTGGGAGTAAAGCATAACCCTGACGCCAACAGCGGCCGCTTGGCCGGTATCTCAGAAATCGAAGAAAGTTGGCGCAGTGGGCTTCGGCAGCCGTCTCATCAGGCGTACGGGCTCAAAGGGGTGCAGGTCCTCACAGATACAATGGTCCATCGCGTTCTATTTTCCACCAATAGCGAAGGCAAGCACGTAATATCGGGAGTTGAGCTTGCGGATGGTAGTCGGATATCTGCACGCAAGGAAGTCATTCTATCGGCTGGTGCACACCGAACACCACAGCTGCTAATGCTATCCGGCATTGGGCCCGCAGACGAGCTGTTGAAACACAACATTCCTCTCCTGACAGACGCATCACAAGTCGGCCGAAATATGTTCGACCACTTCGCCCTTTTTCAGTTCTGGAAATTACTTGATCCCTCAAGAGGCCTCGCAATGGGTACTCCACATTGGACCTCTCCTGCCTACTACAAAGGCATGCCCTGCGACTGGGCAGTGAAAGAAGCCGTACCCACAGACCTCCTCTCGACTGCTTTACGCGCTGACTCCGTCTCCGATGTCGACGCTGCGGCCCTCTTGCACCCCACACGCTGCCATCTCGAGACCCAGATCATCTACGCTCCTGCTGGCGCTGATCATGTTGGATTAAGCCTACCGATGGATGGCACTCACGTCGCAAGCTCCGTGATGCTCCTCCTACCTACTTCACGCGGGACGATCTCTCTCGCCTCCACCTCCGCTATCGACCCGCCTGTCATCAACCCAAACTATTACGCCACGTCTACTGATCACGCGGCGCTCATATACGGCGCCCGACGAGTCATGAAGGCAATGCTGGACACAGCAGGGGGCAAAGAGTTCATCGCGTGCGAAGTGACGCCACCAGGGATGCCAGAATTAAATTTGCAGTCCGGGGATAAGGAAATCGACGAACGTATCAGGGCTGCTGGCGTGTCGCATGCTCATGCCTCGGGTACAGCGGCGATGGGAAAGGTCGTGGGACCTGATCTAAAAGTCTATGGAGTTGAGGGATTGCGGGTTGCGGACGCGAGCGTGTTTCCAGTAGCAATTGGCGGGCATCCACAGGCGACGTTATATGCAGTAGCGGAACAGGCAGCAGAGATAATCTTGAAGGGATGAGAGTGTAGAGACGTAATTTTCGAGTGAAGGTGGGAGGCAAACAAAGGGGGGACTCGGTTGGTTGAGACTCACATGTGCATTGCATTGCCTCGCATTGCATTGCCTTGCATGTCGCATGTCGCACATTTCAGGTTGCAGCGAATTTGGGCTTACAGAAAGTAGTACAATAGACTTGGACTGTTGCCATTGCAGTGCTTCAGATATGTATGTCAGCATTTAGTATCAGAAAATAGAAATGGGGAACGGAGGACTGGTTCAGCCTGATCAGTCTACCTTTTAGAGTACCTCTGTAGGCATCAACCACTTGACCTCCATCATTCTTACCCCACCCAACCGCGGCGCCTTCTGTCTACCAGTCACAACAACACCTGACCCCAACTCCACACCAAACCATCTTACATAGAGTTCATCATAGCCAAGTTGATTTCGAGCCTATTCTCTTGTTGACCAAAGTTCAATCAGCCCCAATGGCCTCACCCAACAGCCACACCTACCTGGTGACGGGCGCCAATCGAGGCAAGAGATCCTTCCTGTCGTATCCCAGCCATGCTTAATTCGAGTCTCAGGCATCGGTCTAAGTCTAATCACCACCTATCTCTCACGACCCAATACCACCGTCATCGCAGGAGTCCGCGACCCTTCAACCCCTTCGTCAAAAGCTCTCTCCGGCGTCCACAGAGACCCTAGCAGCACCCTCATCATTGTCAAGATCGACAACACCTCCGCCACCGACGCCAAAACCGCGGTCGCTTTCCTGCAGTCCGAGCACAAAATCTCGAAACTCGACACGGTCATCGCCAACGCCGCGGTGCAGAATCTAGTCTTTGCCACATTGGCCGATGTCGACCCGGCGCAGGTGCAGGAGCACCTCTCCATCAACGCCATCGGGTCGCTACTGCTTTTCCAAGCCGTTTTACCGCTGCTCCAAAAAGCATCGCAGCCGAAGTTTGTCGTGTTGGGGTCGCCTATTGGGAGCATCGGTGGCATGGAGAAGCGACCTGTGCCGATGAGTGCGTATGGCGTCTCCAAGACCGCGGCTCACTATCTCGTGAGGAAGATGCATTTCGAGAATGAGGGACTGATTGCTTTCGCTGTTGATCCCGGGTGAGATCCCTGACATTCCGTGTTTGTAAAGATGATGGGGGGGGGAGAGATCTAACGTTGCCTGGCTTTAGGTTCGTACAGACCGCCTCAGGCAACGAAGCGGCTCGTGCTTTCGGCATGGGAGAGGCGCCCGTACCAGTGAAGAAGAGTGTTGAATTCCTGGTCGCTACGGTCAGGATCTCGTCTGATATCTCAGCCTTGGGAGCCGCATCGCTAATGGATGTGAATTGCAGATTGACGGTGCCACTAGAGATAAGACTTCTGGCCATTTCCCATCTATTGAAGGCGAGGACTGGGCCTGGTAAGTTTCTACTAAATATAAGCACGAGTTCTCTGCCTGAGCTCGAGCCGAATCTTGGTCTACGCACTCCAAAGTCGAGGTCCGGTGCGGAAATAACTTCCACGAGCTTCTGTAATCATTGCAACTTCTTCCAATCCTAAGCGTATAATCTAAGATGTTGCGTTGGAAACTATCATGACCGGGGCTTCACGTCTGATTACAGATAGTAAAAAACAGTCCACCACAATGGAACGCAGCTAACGTCCAGTCCCAAAGAAAACCCCCTTTATCTTTCTCTCGTGGCGAAAAAATTGGTGTTCTTTGAATGAAAATTGCCCCACTGTTTTTGTACCCCTCGCACAAGCCTTAGTCGAGCTATGGCGCAAAGCCAAGACCTTCCACAACTGGCTACAGCTAGGCCTCAACATCAATTGAATCTTGCACCCAGAATAACTTTCTTCAGTGGGTCTTGTCTCTAGAGGCTTGATAGAAAACGGCAGAGACGATGAGCGTGCTACACTGGAGAAGTTCTTCTCTATGCTGCAGTTGGACAGGACGTTAAGGTCTTGTCAAACCCTCTCCAACACGACAGAGCTAGGTCATGGCTTCAAGACTCCCCAACACTCCAAACCATGAACAAATTCTTTGATCATCCTCCCCTACCTCCGCCTGCAACCATGATGCATTTCACTCGGGACGCGACCACGTGTAAACAACTTGATCATCCCCATCCGTCACCTTCTCTGATCGCTTTGCCTTTCTCCTCCGGGCGAGACCATGTGTACACGACTTGGTCATCCCCATCCGTCACCTTCTCTGATCGCTTTGCCTTTTCCTCTGGGCGGGACCATGTGTATACTACCGCATCATCTCCATCGATCTCAGTCATTGTACGGATTGATTTTGCTAAGAGAAATGATTAATTAGTCCCCATCATCCTCGGAATATACCATAAGTGTCTCACCTTTCTCCACGGGAAGAGCAGTGGCAGAGACGGCAGCCAGAAGGAGGCCGCAAACAAGCGTGTTGAATCTCATGGCGAAATAAGTCGTCTTATGGTTGAGTCCGGAATCGGGAGTAGGTGTAGGAATTGGATCTGGAAGATGAGAATTATTGTGACCGTAAAGCTTTATGTTCAGACGACGGTCGGATGTCTTATTGATGCAAGGCAAGTCTGAGCCTGAGTGAGTTCATTAGAGGCCCACGACTTCTAACCAGACCTGACATGTGGAAGGGAGCCCCACCGCTCATTGCTTCCCCTCCGGCCTACTGCAGTAACCGCTAGTGTAGGATTCAGCGAAGTGCTGGCTCCAGGGCGATGGTCCTGTTGATCAGCTGCGCACCACCATTGTTAGGATGCCATCACTAGCGAAGGGCCCCACCCCACGCCAAGAGAAAAGTATACATACGGCCCTCGGGTCTGTAAACGGAAACCAGTGCGAGTGGCTTGTCGACCAAAGCATGCTCGAAACGTGTTTCGTGTATGGTTCCGTGGTGAGTGACATCGTCGAGGCCAATAGCTAGCTCGATTAGTATGCATGGTAAGCTCATGTACGCTGGCGGGGTCCTCTTAACCCCTCCAATGACGTGGCCTCCTGGTTCCTGTAGTCAGCCAGGCTGCAGAAACCCTCCTCGAAGTTTGTCGGTTGACAGCTGTCGATAGCAAAAGTCAACCCGCCGCCGCTTTTACAACCTCCCGGGTCTTCTTTGGCCATATGCGTTCTAAGGCTCGCTGGCTAGGGATCAATCCTTAATATCGAGTATTGAGAACAGTACACGTCCTTCTTCGGGCTGTTCAAACGAACCATTAAACAGTCCTCGCTCAAAGACCATGGCACCATTTTCGCACCATTTTCGAACAAGCCGGTATGCTCTCCTCAAGACCTCAGACGACGGCAGCAAAGAGGAACCCAACGGTCTTTGGCCAGAATCTCAACCCGCCACTCCCTGGTCCACCTTCCAAGTGCGCCTCCTCCTCCTCCTTTCGAGCGCGCTTTCCATAACCATTGGACTTGCCGTGGGCTACCTCGCTCGCCAGCCCCAATACTCCGGACCGCTCGGTACGTCTCCAGACCAGCTTGTCCGTCCGACCGTCGATTGACCAGTCCTCGTAGTTCCATCCGGCCATACGGACTATCCCATGGTCTACAACCGGACCTTCTCGCAGGCACCCTCGGCCGAGAGCAACGCCGCCTGGGACTCCATGTTCCCCAGTACGCGCCCGTGCCCCCCCCGCAGACATCTCTCGCCCCTGAAACGCTCTCGGTACGAAAAGGATCGCTGATCACCGTGGAGCAGGCGACGTCGGTTTCGTCAAACACCCCACGATCGCGCCCGCCCTCTCCGGCCTCGCCGTCTTCCACGAGCTCCATTGCGTGGTACGTTTAACCCCCCCCGAATTTTCGAAGAACGTCCCCTCTCCGCCCCGTCTCGGATGCCCTGCCTGCCCGCTCGGCTGAATCCTCCGGGGCGTCAGAACATGCTACGCGTCGGGTATTACGCGGCGTTGGACGGGACCATTGCGGAGATGCAGCACGTGCACGATCACAACAAGCGCCCGGATCCGCACCACCTGCGGCACTGTTTCGATTACCTGCGTCAGTCCCTCATGTGCGCCGCGGACACGAACCTCGAGCCTGTGGATATGGAGTTGGGGGGTGTGACGGGGTGGAGTTTTCGGCGCACGTGTAGGGATTTTGGAGCGGTGAAGGAGTGGGCGGAAGAGTGGGGGAGTTGGGATGAGGGGTTGCGTTCTGAAGCTGATGCTTGAGAGTTTTATACCAAATGGTCCCATGTTTTGGCACGCTGGGTTGTCTTTGCAATGCGATAGGTTTCCAAAAACGAGATATACCGCACAAATCCTGCCTCTTAGTTTCTGGATACTTTGATAGATAAAAAAGGTACCAGTTCGAATGTTTCTTGTAACTTCATTCGTTATAGACTTATAATAAGTTGTGAACGGGGAGTTTGAAGGCCCTTCTTTGGGGACTAATGCCCTAACCCCCACCTAGGGGTTCAGGGACTCGACCCCGGAACTCGGACTCCAGACGCGTGAACGGTCCCCGCAACTCCGATCCCCGAAACGCGAACCCTGCCAGGATAAAGAAATCGAAAGACATGACCACCTCGAGTCCTTGAACGAGCAGTCCGACCACTTCCTCACTCCGCCAGGACCCCGGGCTCGAATATGGGCACCGCGCGCGCCCGCACCCACTGCATCAAGCGGTCCCAGTCTACGCACTGGTGATGCCCGAGAGCGACGGCCGTCAGCCGCGGCGGCGTGGTCGGTAGGTGTTGGAACGTGGTGAGTGAGGTGTCGCCGCGGCACATGATGGACTCGCGGAGCATCTCCAGGCAGTGATCTAGGGTTGTAGGTCAGACGTGTGCTTCTGATGCGGCAGCTCAATCTTCCTTCCTCCGTCTATGGAGTCACGGAGCAAGACAGAGCGTCGGATCTCGGTACGCACGTATGTGGGCCCTCCACTCCACCAGCTCTGACTCGGGCTCGTCGGCAAGGTAATAGTCTCTGTAGATCCAATGGCGGATTTTTTTCTGTTCGCTTGGATCAATGTCGAGTCCACCTCTGGAAACGGGGCGGTGGAGAGTGACGGACCAAGCAGTGAAGTTCATGATGCACGCCTAACTCTGCTGCAAACCCGGACCCGTTTGCTAATGGTATCGAGCTCAAGTTGAAATACATAAGATCTGCAGCTGACACGCGGATCCTGATATCTGAATACAGTATTAGTTTATTCCAAGCAAGCCGTATTCCTGACCAAATGGGGAGCAAACAGCGACGGGTTTTGGGTGATATATACCTTCGAACAGCTCATGCCAAGCAGCGTCGAGCTCAGGACGCGGCTCCCCTGCAAATGCGTTGCCGTGAATCCGAACAGGGAAGGGCCTGCGCTCATAGTGCACGGCGTCACTATCCGCAATCGCTGGGTCGCTCTACAATTAGCTTGCTCGGCGCCTGAGCTTGAAGCTGGATATGATTCAACGCTTACATGGAAAGAGGTCGTGACTATTTGCGCAGGCAGTATTTGCGTGGTGGCTCGACGGCATCCAGCCATAAAAGAGGCCAAGGTACAAGAAGCAGAGCACCGCATAGGCGAAAGCGAGAAACGTGTTGTGCGAGCAGACATTGTGTCTCCAAGATTGCGCGGATGGCGACTGAGGCAGCGGTCCGGAACTACACTTCGGCGTGGATTCTACGTCGCCCAGTAGGGGGCTAGCACTTTCTCTCTTGTCTGCTTCTGACATGACTGGACACACAGGCGCATGAAAGAGGTTTTGCATCAAAGACCACAAACTTGCAACGATCACCGGAAGAAAGGAGTCTCATCAACGTCCCACCTTTCGCACCGATGCAAAAGTTCTGCTGGGACAAGCTCTACCGCAAACACGTCGTTAAGGCGGCAAGAGAAGGTCTATCTCACATTGGGACCCACGTATGGATAAAGACTCTTGGACCAGGATTCGCATAATATTAGGCAGATGTTTATTCAGGTTGCCTGACATGCCTTGACGCAGTCCGTCGTACTACCGGTGAGTGTGTAGGCACTTTTCGGAGATTACCGTGGGATCGAAAGTTTCCTTGATGTCTGCAGGTGACTGCGCCAAGTACGCTTTAGACCCGAGTTGTGAAATGTCAATGTCGTTGTACCTAGACTATGATTAGGCACACCGCCGACATGGAGGTTAAGACATTTGGATTGGCCCTGTCATGGGATGCCTCAGGGTCACTCAATCGATTGGTGCATAAAGAAAGGATTGCGTTTTTGGCCTACAAAACACTGGTCCAATCGAATGACGGCGCATATATAAAGCAACTCAATCATTCAGATCGCTCACATGCGCTTTTTAAACCGTTGGGTCCAGCTCATCATTCGCGCTCTCGGTAGAATACCCAGCCACCCTCAGTGAAGTCCAGCTCAGCCAAGAAAACCTACTGTAAGTCTTGCCAGTAGACAGGTTTAGCAACGTGATTCAATAAAATAATACAAAGCGGGAACAGCCTTACAGCCCTACGACTTTACTCAATAAGGTAAGAAAGTGAATTACCTCAAAAGGTATTACACGTAATTATCTAATGGGTAGGTTTTAGAGAATTTTAAGAGGTTATACCTCGGAAAATCCCCTCTTAACTTAGAAACCTATCGAATTAATTAATATATAAAAGACTATATTATTATAAGATCTCTTTACATATAAGATATCGTTTAAAATATCGATTTTTAGACGTAGATTATAATTAAACTATAAGATAGAGATTTTAATAGTTTACTAAGTAATAATACTTAATTATACTAAAACTCTAGAATAAAATTATAAATATTCTCTTCGTAATTCTCTTCGTAATATTTAAATCTATCGATAATTAATTAAGTAAAATCTTAATAGTAAGATAAGTAAAATAATAAGTAGTCGAAGTAGATATAGATTATTTACGATATTCTACGCCCTAAAATTAAATATTATCTTTCTTTTAAAGATATTCTCTTATACGTCTCTACTCTCTAATTAACGATAGCGAGCTTAGTAAGATCGTAAACTAACGTCTTAAATTATACGATATTATAGTATTATAAAACTTCTTTATATATAAAATATAATTTTAAATAAGAACAAGTAAAGGCCCATGAATTAAATTCATGGAGTTGGATTTTTCTAAGTTAAATCGAATTTTAGCCCTAGCCCTAAGTCAAATCGAACTCTTTTTTTTTTTTTTTTTTTTTTTTTTTTTTTTTTTTTTTTTTGGGGGGGGGGGGGGGGGGCTTTTTTTTTGGTTTTTTTTTGTTTTTTTTTTTTTTTTTTTTTTTTTTTTTTTAATAAAAAAAAAAGAGGCCTTTTTTTTTTTTTAAGGATTTTTTAAAAAATAGAGGAAAAAAAAGAGGATGTTTTTTTTTTTGGTGTTTTTTTCCATAATTTCCCCCGCCGCAGTGAAATCTTTCGAATAATGAAATAGCTTTAATTCGTCTAAATATGCATCGTCCGAGGTTCCTCCTGCAGAAGGCCTAATTGACTGTGAGCGTCGCAGTAGAGCCTCCTCTTGTGATGTTATTGCAGTGATATATCATAATATGTGCTGGGGCGTGTCCTTCCCAGTAGTGAAAAAGCTTTAATCCAAGTACTGGTTTTTAACTATTTTTGATTCTCAGGAAGATCTCCTAAAACCCCTCGGACCCTTCGGAGCTCTTTAGAGGTTTTAACTCTCCGAGAGCTTCTGTCGAGGGGCTGTCAAAGCAAGCTCGAAATTTAATTATTTTAGTGATATTTGATTGATTTCAAGCTTGCTTTGACAGCCCCTCGACAGAAGCTCTCGGAGAGCCCTTAAAGAGCTCCGAAGGGTTTAAGGGATTTTAAGGGATCTAACCCTGAGAATCGAGAGAGACGTTAGAGAGAGACGTTATAGTTCACTGAGAATCGAGAGAGACGTTGTAATTTATTTGACATACTCAGGGGGAGACCCCCTGAAACCCCCTAACCCTCCGGGGGCTCTCCGAGGGCTCTCCGAGGGCTCCTGCCGAAGGGGCTCTTCTCGCGAGTTCGATAAATCTTAGTTTTTAGTATATTCTTACGAATACTTTATCAAATTTCGTCTTCTCTGCATTATTTGAAAGCGTATAATTAACTCTATAATTCTATAAATTTACTTTATTATCATTTATTACGTAACGTTAAAGGAATTAAATAGAATAAATTGATAAAGTTGATGTTCGAGGTTCAGCCTTATGGTGCTTCCTCTTTTGGACGTACCCGTGTGTACCCGTGTTTAGATCGAAAATGAAGAAATAAGGTGTGTTTTAGACTAGAAATGATGGAATTTGATGATCTGATTGGTCACTAGCCTCTTAGCGTAGCACCCATTCTCATTTTCAAGTCTTGAGCATTGAGAAAGCAAGCTTTCCAATTAATGCAGTGGGGATGACAGGCCAAGTTGCAGTGGTGTTCTCCGCTTGCTGAGTGATGATTTGATGTGGAACCGTGGAGAGTATATGACGTGGGATCTTGGAGAGCTGAGCCGTGTTCTTGACGATGGTGGCCTTGTTGCCGCTTGGTTTCTCCGTAGTGTTCTCCGCATTTGCCTGTTGTAGTTCCTCCTCTTGCTCCTCAATGCAGTGGGGATGATAGGCCAAGTTGCAGTGGTGTTCTCCGCTTGCTGAGTGATGATTTGATGTGGAACCGTGAAGAGCATATGACGTGGGATCTTGGAGAGCTGAGCCGTGTTCTTGGTGCTGGGGGCCTTGTTGCCGCTTGGTTTCTCCGCAGTGTTCTCCGCATTCGCCTGCTGTATTGACTTCTCTTGCACTGGCTGAGTGGATTGATGTGAGATCGTGGAGAGTAAGTCTGTTGTGTCACTGCTGCTGATGACTGTCTCCGCAATGTTCTCCGCAGTGTTCTCCGCATTCGCCTATTGTAGATCCTCCTCTTGTTTAACTAAGTGCGAGGGTACCGAGGGTAAATGTGTTTATATTGATGGAATTGGTAGAATTGGTAGAATTGATAGAATGGTGGAAGAAGAATGGTTACACAAACAATTATTATCCGATCCCGGACGCGTCTGGTGTGACTACCATGACTATCATATTTGAATGTTCATTTAATCCACCAATAGTAGGCCAAACTTCATAATTTTTACAGCGTTAGAAAGCGTAAAGCGAGCTCTACAATTTGAGGAATTATGAAGTAACTGTATGTATCGCAAGCTGAGTACTTCAAAGTGTAAAACTTCTACATACAAATTTTTGATGAGGGAGGCGCGGGAGGGCTACCGGGCTGACTCAGCCGGTCTAACCAAAAAGCGTACAGGACCCGAATTGATGATTGGCTGCACATACAAATTCAAGGTTTTCAAGCTCAGCTCTATCTTATTCTATTATATATATTAATTAGATAAACGCTTCGACTATATAATAGTATCTTATATAATAATTAATTTAATATTAACGTAGTTCTTATTATCTTAATAATTAAATAAATTTCTATCGAAACTTAATAACTTTAATATAATTAAAATCGTATACTCTTTTTCTATAATATTAATTATATAAGTTATTTTATTCGATAGTTAATTATTACGCTATATAATAGAATAAGATAAAAAGAGCTTTAAACTATCTTAGAGATAAGATCTCTTAAATCTTATAATACGAAAATCTAATTAGATAACTATATATATAAATTACTATTTTATATTATAAAATAATATTTAATTCGTAAACGATCGATAAGGCTAAGTATTATTCTATATGATTAGTCTATTAAATTATTATCTTTTTCGTTTTAAATTATTCTTTTAAATTATACGAGTATAGAGGTCTATATTAAAAGTTCTATATCCGTTAAGACTCTTACGCTTAGACTTCGAATAACGTCTTATCTAAAGAACTATCTAAATAATACTAGAGTTCTTCGAAATCGCATCTAGTTCTAGTCAGGTTTCGGGGCTTAATATCTCTATCAAGCTAAAAGAAGTATCTAAAGTTCCATTTATACGCTATAAGAAGATATTTCTAAACTTCTCCTCTATAGAGCCGCTTTCTAAAAGTAGAATTAAGGCTATACTAGCGTATATATAGAATTTTCGATATAGACCTCTATAAAGGTCTATAAATTAAATTCATAATTATTTTTTTAATTAAGGCTATCGAGTAAATAGATAAGCGATCTTTAATGTGCGAACTTTAATGAGCGATATTTGAATTCCTTGCGCTTTGATGATTATAAGACAAATTTTTAGAATTCTTAAAAATTCGGAAAGCGCAAATAGCGCTTCAAAATTTTTAAAAAAAAAATTCAAAATTTCAATAGAAAATAAAAAAGTTATTACTATAGAGGTCTACATTGAAAGTTTTATACCCGCACTAGTATAGCCTTAACCTTACTTTCAAAAAGCGGCCCTATAAAGGGAAGTCTAGAAATATCTTCTTATAGCGTATAAATAGGATTTTAGATACTTCTTTTAGCTTAATAAAGGTATTAAGCCCCGAAATATATAGATATTCTTCTTTCTTAGATATTATTAAGAATATATATATATTAATAATAAGTCTTATTATAGTAAGTAACTATAGTATTAAATATTTATTAATATTAATTAATATACTTTAATAATAGTATATAAATTAGCTAGATTATACTCTAAAGAAAGTTTATCTTAATATTATCGCGATATTTTATACGATTCTATATTACTTAATCGATTTCGCTTATTATAACGATTCGATCGAATAAAACTATAATTTCTACTTCTATAATTTCTATAACTTCTATTTAATAGAGAAAATACTTAGAAAATATTAAATATTACTAAGCTTTTATATTATATTAATATATAATATATATCTAAAATAAACTTTAAGAATAAGAAATCTAATTCTTTAGAGATATTATTAGATATTATAATTAAGCGTAAATTAGAGAAACTATAAGAAGCTAAATTATTAGATATCTAAGAGAAGCTTAAGAAATTTATTCGTTAAAGGATATAATAATATATAATATATAAATTTAGAATACTCTCTAACGTCTTTATTAACGACTTTATTTAATATATTAGAGAGAACTTTAAGATTCTTAGTAAGAATATTATTATTAATCTACGAGATTATCTATAAATTAATAAAGTCTATATTAAAAAAGAAAGAGAACTCTTAATAGCTAAAGAATTAGCGGATGTAATTAAAAAGAGATCTTATAGCTATTAGACGACGAAGATTGTCCTCTATTAAAATTATCTTATTACTATTCTTAGTAATAATTAATTTAACTAATATAGAAATAATAGTCTTATTAATCGAAGAATACTATTTCTCTCTCCCTTATAATCATCTTATCGATCGAAGAATTCTATTCTAGATTCTCTCTTCTAACATCTAAACTTACGATCTAAATTATCGAGTCTTATATCTATTACTCTCACCTTATTAAGTTATTTAAAACTTCGATATTAAATAAAATTATAATTATAATAAGAAACTTATTATTTTAATTAAATTATATATTAATAAGAAGAAGTATAATAAAAATCTTATTAAGAGTCTTAGCTATAAATTTATAATTTTTATAAATCTTTATATAAGAGTCGAGATTCCCTTAGTAGATTCTTTAAATAGTATTTCTAATTATATTAAAATCTATAATACTAAAATATTATTACTCTAGCTATTAAGAAATTAACCTTATTATTTAATAACTCTTTAATTAATTTTAGAACTATTTCGAGAGAGAAGAATATTATTATCTTATACTTTATAAGTAAAATAATATTAATCTAAAAGACTTACTTTAAGCTAGTCTTAAAAAGAATAAAGAAATTATCTTTAATAAGATAATTTAATAACTTTATTAAATTTAAAGAGAATTAGATTATAAATTTTAATTAGATATAATACTTCGAAATAAGATAATTATCTTCTTATAGTAATATCTCTATATATAGTATTATAATTCTATAATAGATAATTATAATTACGAGATTAATTAATAATATCTATACTATAATTAAGAATTACGAAGAGACTATAAAGACTAAAAGATTCGAGTTATTTAAATCTATAATATATTTTACTAATTAAAAGTATTATATTAATTAATCTTTAAATTAAAATAATTATAGTAGATTATTCTCATAAATAAATAGCTTTTAAAAAAAGCGATACTTTATCTATAAAAAGATAGACTATTAATTAATTAAGTATATTAATAAGAAATATTAGAAGTCTCGAAATAAGTTCGCTAAGCGGTTTATCGACTTTATTAATAAGCGATATAACTTTTATATTTAAGAGTTTAAAGATTAAAAGAATAAGATCGAGAATCTTAAGATTTTAACTCTCGATATTTAAAATAATAACTTAAAGAAGATCAAAAACTTTATTATAATTACTTTTATAATTATATTAAATTAAGTCTAAATATATTATTTAAAGCTTTTTAATTATTTTATATATTATAATATTATTAAATTTAATAGCTTTCTTAATATTAATTAATATATCTTTAAAATAATTTTATAATATTATATTAGATATCGAAGTTATATATATATTTATTATTAAATATAATTAAGTAAAAGTTTATATAAGAGAATTTAATATATAATTAAATATTATTATTAATAGTATTATTATTTAATTTAAAATTAGAATAATAATATTAATTAAAAAACTTATAGTAAATTCGTTTATTAATCGAGTCGACTTTTATATAATATAGACTAATATCTTATTTTTACTATATATTTAAGATATAAATAAACTAAGAGATCTATCTAAATAATCTTAAGAATTAAATTATTTTAAGAAATAGTTCTATAATCTTAATTATTCGCTTTTATAAATATCTATTTTTAATATAAGATTCTATATTAGTTAACTATCTAATCGATATCGAGTTATATTAATTATATTATCGATTTAATTATTTCTTAATTAATAGACTTATTTAAATTCTAGAAAAAAGCTAGCTATAACGATTTTAAATATTATTATATATTTAAATAAATTATCGAGTTCTATATACTCTATTAAAAGCACTCTTAATCTTTTAGATTATTTTAAATTCTTACTTAAGAATAAGAATAATATCTATTTTAATTATATAATTATTATCGATATTCTCTATATTAATAATAGCTTAATTTTATAAATTATTAATAAGAAAATTTTATTTTAAATTACTTGATAGCTAACGAATATAACTATCTTCTATATATAAAATATACTTAGATTATACTAAATAAATATATATATTAAATCTTTAGATATTATTATTTATAACGCTAAAATTAACTTTAATAATATCGAATTTAAATAAAACGCTAGAACTCTAAGTATTTAAATAAAATATATATTAGTTAAGATCGCTAATTCTATTAATCTAATAAAACGATATTATATTTTATTAAGATAAGTCTATTCGATAATTACTATAAAATTAAAAAATTAAGATATTAAGAAGAAGATTTATTTATAAATAACTATTAAGACTATTAATATTATAATTAAATATAACGATATTATTCTTATATTACTAGTTTTTAAAATCTTTTCTTATATTATAAACGATAATATATTAACTCTATTTATTATTAAGAGAGTAAAAGCTATTAATATAGTAATAACTAAAATTATAAAATTTCACGCTAAGAGATAAATTAATAATACTCTATATTAACGAAATAACTCTTAAATTATAAAAATATATAATACTCTAATTAATTTCTTAATACTAATATAAAGAATATATTAAAAGAAGTAAACTAAACTATATAAACTACTAGCTACTTCTTAAGAGATATATATTATTAAATTATCTAATAATCTTATAAACTTTCAAGTTACTATTATTAAGTTATATTTAAAAAAAATAGATATCTTAATTAAGCCTCTTAAGTTTCTTAAATAAGAATCTCTATAGTTAGATAATACTTAATATAAAAATAACGATAATTAAGATTATTAAAACTCTTTTTAGAATACTCTACTACGTTATAACCCTTCTCGATATTAATATATTCTCACTTATTTTCGAAACTCTATTAATATTATAATCTATATATCTAAATTTATATTATAATTATCTTTATCGAACTTTTAGATATCTTAATAAAAAGAATTAAATAAACTACTTAAAAAGAATATATTTAAGATTATAAAGATCGAAGATATTTCTATAAAAGTATAGATATTTAATAGTTATTTTATAAATTAAATTAAAAATAAGAGTATTAAGAAAGTCTTTAAGAAGTTATAACTAGTAATATAAATATTTAATAACTCGAAGAAGTATAGAATTCTTACTTAAACTTCTATTATTTAACGAGTTAATTAATAACTTATTATTACTCTAGCGTTAGCTGTTCTATAGCTATCTCTATATCTACGCGATATTACTTAAATATATATATAATCTTAATTTAAGTTAATTAGAGATATCTTTATTTTAGTCTTAGCTAAAATAAGACTATTCTTAAAAATAATACTTTATATTATTCTCCCTCTCTATAAAGTTACTAAGTTCGATATCTACTAATTTTAAATATATTATAAATATTATATAAAGAAGCTAAGAATAACCTTATCTATATTCGATATTTATCTTTTATTAATATATATAAAAGAATAAGATAGAGCTAAACTAGAAAATCTTAAATTTATATATACAGTCAATTATAAATTCATTAGGTCTACGCTTTTTGATTAGATATCGCGGGTAAATAAATTAGCGTTCGCAACTATTAAAAATCTTTTCTTCTACTTTTAACCCTTCAATAACTTTACTATTCTCTATTAAATTTTTTTTTTTTAAATTATAGCCCGTAATTTACGCTTCTTAAAAATGAAAGAATTTTAAAATTTGGTATTATAATTATTAAAGCGCAAGGAATTCAAATATCGCTCATTAAAGATCGCTCTATTACGATACGTTAAGGCCTTACCTCGACTTAGAACTAGAGCTATCTAGCGTAGACTTAATATTACATATATCTATTCTATAGATATATAGAATAATTAATATCTTTTATATTACATATTAAATTATAATATAATTATATTATTTTCTAATACGCTTATCTATTTACTCGATAGCTCTAATTAAAAAAAAAATTATAAATTTAATTTATAGATCTTTACTCGTTTAATAATAATATAATAATAATTATTAACTTATAAATCGATAACTCTCTTATCGCCGATATTACCGAGTTTATAAATCTAAAATTATAAGAATTATATATCGTCGAATTATTAACTAAGTTATATAAGAGACTTATTTTAAAATAATCTCTCGAATTTAATAGATTTATTATTACTCTCGAGAATAATATAAGAATTAATTAACTTAGAGAAGTAAAGAAGATTTAATTATTTATAAAATTATTTATAAAAGAATAATATATCGTCTAGCGAGTATAAGAAGTATATATTATTACTATATTATAGCTATAAGCGATATTTATCTTATTATATATTATCTAGATTATAGAGTTTATATATAAGAATACTTAGTATCTAAATTACTTTCTTTTATAATAAATAAAAGAAAGAGATTTTATATTTATTAAGTTAGATATAACGTCTCTAAGAATTATAACTTTTATAAATTCGTTATTTATTAATAATAAAGATCTCTCTTTTTAAATCGAATATATAATAGCTCTAGCTAACGCTTAGAATAAGGCTAATATTATTTATTAATAATTAATTAAATATCGTCGAGTTACTAGAAGCGTATTAGTCTTCGAACTTTATATATTATCTCTAAAATTCGATATTATAGCTATTATAAAATCTACTCTAGATTAAATCTTCTCTAATACTCTCTAAAGAAAGATACTTCTTTCTATATATATAAACTCGAAATCTTTATATAAATATCTTATTAAGCTAAAAATAATATAAGAGAAGAGATTAATAATAGATATTCTATATCTAAAATAGTTATATAAATAATAAGAGATTATCGAAATTCTATAAATTAGAGAAGATAAGAATCTAGTCGATTTAATAATAAAGAATAAGAAATATAATATACTATAATATCTAGTAAATATAAATTATCTAGAATTAGATTTAGAAGATTAGATAAAAAAATAAGATATTAATACTAATTAATAGAAAGTCGTCTTAGCGTAATACTATTAGAAATACGTCTAATATAATTAAATCTACGCTTATTATAGTAGAGAGAGTAATTATAATTATAGAGATTATAAAGAAGAAATATAGTATATAAATAGTCTTATTTTCTATTTTTTACTAGTATTAAAACGACTTAATACTCGCTATTACTAATACTTATTCGATCTAATTATAAGTATATAAAGGTATTCTCTATATATAGATATTCTTCTTTCTTAGATACTATTAAGAATACTATATCTAGTAATAAGTCTTATTATATAAGTAACTACAGTACTAAGTACTTATTAATAAAACCGCTACATCATAGAGAACCTTGGCATACGGTCTAGATATCGCGTCTGCCTAAGATGATATTTTCTTCACCATTGATACTGCAATAACCACCACGTCTCGATAGAAGTCTGAATACCGAGGCTCGCTTAATTTCGGTGGAGTCAAGAACATCAAAAAAGTCCTCTCTTCATATCTGATTATCATCACGAAATTTACGTAAAATATTTTAAATCAATATCATCAAATAGCGTAGAGTCTCCCCTCTAACATTTCTGATTTTGAATTTAATTAATCATATTTAGACGGCGTGAAGTTGGTTGCAAGAAGGTCACATATGCCGGGTAAATCTTGGTGTTCGGACTTCTGTCGACAACTGGTGAACTAAAAGTAATCTGCCCAATGTAGGCCTCAGAACGCAACACACGAGCAGGTATAAGCTTGAAGACGGTTCCATCTCCTCTCGAGTTGAGCTAAGCTCAGCTCTAACGAAACTTTCCTGGTTCATACAGCAGACAGAAAATCAACAACGTTCTCAAAAGTATTATCCGTTATCAGGCTGACACCTCGATCATCGGCGCGTCGCCATCAAAAGGACGCACGGCCAGGTGAACCGCCTGACAGCATCTTCCCCGCCCATAATCTCTGTCAATTCCTTGAAAAGCCCATCAATCTTTGCGTCCCCTTCGCCATTCGCCTCCTTGAACCCCGGAAACAGCACGCTAAAGTATCTCTTCACCGCCGTCACATCCCATCCATTCATCCAAAATTCCGGATCCTCGCTTATGGTAACTTTTTCCCCCTCAGAAATGTTTAATACAGGCTCAATGTCAAAACCGCACGCCTCTTTCCCAAAGAACGGTAGTGTCCCATGCATGTTCCACTTGAAACGCTACACGTCTGTCCAAGTGTCGGCTAGAAAGCGTACGTAGTCGAGCCAGCTCTTTATACTATCGGCGCAGCGCTTAAACCCCCAAACGCGCGTCGGCCCACTGCCATGAATCACCTTGGCCTAATTACGTACCATAGATAGCGTCGAGAATCGGCTGGCCCTTGGCGAAATACGCAGGCTCCGAAAACGTTGGGCGACCGTAGAATCAAGTCGCGAGAGTGTCGCCTGGCTTAAGCAAATCGGCGAAGCTCCGCAGACCCCGGTCTGCGTTCATCAGGATGATAGCTTCAGCGGTAGCGATCATATCGGCGGAGCCCCGGGGGTGATGGGAGGAAAGGTCTTCGCCTTTGAATGGGTGAACCAGATCCGCGATGCGTCGAAGTCGGGTTACAGGCGCCCTTAAGCCACGGTGAGGTGGCTGTTATTGTTATCCGACGCGACGACGTAAGAAAAGTGAGAAGCCAGCTCGGTAGCGATTTGGCCGGCGCCGCAGCCGACGTCGTGGACAACGACGTAAGAGGACGAGTGTGCTGCATGATACTTGTACATGATTTCGTAAAAAGGTTGGCTGTAGTTTGGGCGTGTTGAGACGTAGGCATCCCAAAACTCCAAATCACTGGCTGGGACTTTTCAGAAGTTCTCCGAGTCTTCATGGTTTGATACGTTCCTGGTTATGGTAAAATGCTGCTGTAAGAGATGTTAAAACATTAGGGAGATTGTATTAGAAGCAATGTTGTCAAAACGTTGGTCGAAGATTAAAGTGCAGGAATAAAGTACTAGATTTCGTAGTATACCCTCTATAACTCTATATCACTCGAGTTACTAGATACGTAAATCAAGGGTTAAGATAAATATATAATATCTCTTATCTATAAAGACTAGAAACTTAGAATAATAACTTTACTTGGTTATTAATAGAGGGGTGAATATATAATTCTCATCGATGACGGCGATAGCTGTATTTAGATGCCCGTTATCCGTATATTAATATCTAGAATATTAGTTTTAAGAGAGATCGTATAAATATCTATTAATAAATACCTCGGTATATAATTACTACTATGAGATCTATTACTAGTTATAATATTTCTAATAATATCTAAGAAAGAAGAATACTATATATAGAAAGAGTTTTTATATATTAATATATTAGGCTAAATAAGTACTAGTAATAACGAGTATTAAGTCGTTTTAATATTAGTAAGAAATAGAAAAAGTAAGACTATTCATATACTATTAAAATATTACTTCTTTAAATTCTTTTCTATAATACTCTTTATAGTTATAATTACTCTTCTTATCATAGTAAGCGTAGATTTAATTATATTAAATATATTTCTAATAGTAATAAAAGAAAGATAATCTTTTATTAATTAATATTTTATTTTTTAATCTATTCTTTTAAATCTAGATCTAATTAATTTACATTTATTAATCTTTATAATATATTCTATCTCTTATTCTTTATTATTATATTAATTAAATTCTTATCTTCTTTAATTTAGAGAAACTTAATAAACTCTTATTACTTATAAGATTATTTTAAGTATAAGATATCTATTATTAATCTCTTCTTCTAAATCGTCTTTAGCTTAATAAGATATTTATATATAAAAATTAAATCTATATATATAGAGAGAGATATTTTTATCTAAAAAGTATTAAAGAAGATTTAATTTAAAGTAAACTCTATAATAATTATAATATCGAATCTTAGAGATAAAGCGTAAAGTTTAAAGATTAATACGCTTTTAGTAATTTAATAATATTTAATTAATTATTAATTAATAATATTAGCTAGAGCTATTATATAACTAATTTAAAAAAAAATCTTTATTATTAGCGAATAACGAATTTATAAAAATTTTACTTTTTAAAGATATTATATCTAACTTAACGAATATAGAATCTCTTTTTTTTTTTTATATTATAAAAATAATAATTTTAATACTAAGTATTCTTATATATAAATTCTATAATTTAAATAATATATAATAGAGTAAATATTATTTATAGCTATAATATAGTTAAGATATATATTTCTTAAGCTCGCTAGATAATATACTATTCTTTTATAAATAATTTTAAAAATAATTAAATCTTCTTTATTTATCTAAGTTAATTAATTCTTATATTATCTTTAAAAGTAATAAATAAATTTAAGAAATTTAAGAAATTATTTTAAAGAAGCTTTTATATAGTTTAGTTATTAATTTAGCGATATATAATTCTTATAATTTCATATTTATAAACTTAATAATATTCGCGATAAGAGAGTTATCGATTTATAAACTAATAATTACTATTATATTATTATTAAATAATAAGTAAATATTAAATATAGACGAGATTATTTCTAGCTTCTCTATATAATATCTATAATATATCTAAAATTAATAGATATCGAACTTAATAATTTTATAGAGAGAGAAAATAGTATAAAGAATTATTCTCGATAATAATTCTATTTTAGCTAAGATTAAAATAAAGATATTTTTAATTAATTTAAATTAAGATTATATATATATTTAAATAATATTATATAGATATAGAAATAGTTATAGAATAATTAATAATAAAGCGATAATAAATTATTAACTTACTCGTTAAATAATAAAGATTTAAATAAGAATCTTATACTTTTTTTAGTTATTAAATACTTAAACTACTAATTACGACTTCTTAAAGATCTTATTAATATTATTATTCTTAACTTAATCTATAAAATATTTATTAAATATTTATACTACTATGAGAATATCTTCGATCTTTATAATCTTAAATATACTCTTTTTAAATAATTTATTAAGTTCTTTTAATTAGAATATCTAAAAGTTTAAAAAAAAATAGATTTAAATATATAAATAATAATATTAGCTAAATTTTAAAAATAAGTTAAAATATATTAATATTAAGAAGAGTTATAATATAGTAAAGACGTCTTAAAGAGAATCTTAATAATTTAATAATTATTATTAATCTACTAAGTATCGTTTAACTCTAAAGTATCTTATTTAAGAGACTTAAGAGAATCTTAATTAAAAGACTTAATTTAAATATCTAATTCTTTTAAATATAACTTAATAATAGTAATTCGAAAGTCTATAAAATTACTAGATAATTTAATATTATATATTTCTCGAGAAGTAACTAGCAATTTATACGATTAAATCTACTTCTTTTAATATATTCTTTATATTAATATTAAGAAATTAATTAGAGTATTATATATTTTTATAATTTAAAAATTATTTCGCTAATATAAAGCCTTATTAATTTATCTTTTAATATAAAATTTTATAACTTTAGCTATTACTATATTAATAGCTTTTTACTCTCTTAATAATAAATTAAATTAATATATTATTATTTATAATATAAGAAAAGATTTTAAAATCTAGTAATAAAGAAATAAGATTATTATGTTCGACTATATTATTAATAATCTTAATAGCTATTTATAAATATAAAAAATCTTCTTCTTAATAAACTAATTTTCTAATTTCGTAATATTTATTAAATAGATAGACTTATCTTAATAGAGTATAATATTATTTTATTAAGTCGATAGAATTAGCGGTTTTAACTAATATATATTTTATTTAAATATTTAAAATTCTAGCGTTTTATCTAAACTCGATATTATTAAAATTAATTCTAGCGTTATAAATAATAATATCGAAAAATTTAATATATATATCTATTTAATATAATTTAAATATATCTTATATATAAAAGATAATTAATTTATTAGTTAGTAGGCGATCTAAAATAAAATTCTCTTATTAACGATTTAAAGAATTAGACTATTATTAATATAGAGAATATCGATAATAATTATATAATTAAAATAAGTATTATTTTTATTCTTTAGCGAAAATTTAAAGTAGTTTAAAAATCGAGAGTATTTTTAATAAAGCGTATAAAACTCGATAATTTATTTAAGTATATTAATACTTAAAATTATTATATTTAACTTTTTCTAGATTATAAATAAATTTATTAATTAAAAGATAATCGAATTAATAATATAATTAATATAAGTTAATATTAATTAGATAGTTAACTAATATAAAATCTTATATTAAGAATAAATATTTATAAGAATAAATAATTAAGATCGTAGATTTATTTCTTAAAATAATTTAATTATTAAGATTATTTAAATAGATTTCTAATTTATTTATATTTTAAGTATATAGTAGAAATAAGATATTAGTCTATATTACGTGAAAGTCGATTTAGCTAATAAATAAATTTACTATAAAAGCTTTAATTAATATTATTATCTTAATTTTAAATTAGATAATAATACTATTAATAGAGATAATATTTAATTATATATCGAATTCTCTTATATAAACTTTTATTTAATTATATTTAATAATAAATATATATATAAATTCGATATCTAATATAATATTATAAAATTATTTTAAAATATATTAATTAATAATAAAAAAAATTATTAAACTTAATAATATTATTAGTATATATAAAAGAATAAGATAGAACTAAGCTTGAAAATCTTAAATTTATATGTGTAGCCAATTATTAATTCGAGTTCGCTACGCTCTTTAATTAGATCGACTAATTTATCGCGAATAAATAAATTAGCGTTCGCAATTATTAAAATCTCGTATTAAAAAAATAGGTGTACATTATTAATACATAGAATTACTTTTTTATTTTCTATTAAAATTTTAAGCTTTTTTTTAGTTTTAAAGCGCTATTTGTGCTTTTCGAATTTTTAAGAATTTTGAAATTTAGTCTTATAATTATTAAAGCGCAAGGAATTCAAATATCGCTCACCAAAGTTCGCTTATCAAAGATCGCTTATTAAAGATCGCTTACCTACTTACTCGATAGCCCTAATTAAAAAAATAATTATAAATTTAATTTATAGACCTTTATAAATAAATTAAAAAAAATTCGTAAAAATATATAAAATAATTAAAAAGCTTTAAATAATATACTTAAATTTAGTTTAATATAATTATAAAAATAGTCGTAATAAAGTTTTTAATCTCTTTTATATTAGTCTTTTAGATATCGAGAATTAAAATTTCGAACTCTTAAAAATTTCATTCTTATTCTTTTTATCTTTAAACTCTTAAATATAAATATTATATCTTTTATTAATAAAGTCGAAAAATCGCTTAGTAAACTTATTTCGAGAACTTTTAATATTTTTTATCGATATACTTAATTAATTAGTAATCTATCTTTTTATAAATTAAATATTATTATTTTTAAAAGTTGTTTATTTATAAAAAGATTTACTATAATAATTTTAATTTAAAAATTAATTAATATAATACTTTCGATTAATAAAATATATTATAAACTTAAATAACTCGAATTTTTTAATCTTTATAGTCTTTTTATAATTCTCGATTATAGTATAGATATTATTAATTAATCTTATAATCATAATTATATATTATAAGATTATAAGATTATATATAAGAATATTACTATAAGAGATAACTATTTTATTTCGAAGTATTATATTTAACTAAAGTTCGTAATTTAATTCTCTTTAAATTTAACGAAGTTATTAAATTATATTATTAAAAATAATATTTTTTTTTTTAAGACTAGATTAAAGTAAAACCTCTTATATTAATATTATTTTATTTATAAAATATAAAATAATAATATTCTTCTCTCTCGAAATAGCTCTAAAATTAATTATAGAGTTATTAAATAATAAGATTAATTTCTTAATAGCTAGAGTAGTAATATTTTAATACTATAGATTTTAATATAATTAAAAATATTATTTAAAGAATCTATTAAGAGATCTCGACTTTTATATAGAGATTTATAAAAATTATAAATTTATAGCTAAGACTCTTAATAGAACTTTTATTATATTTCTTTTTATTTATATATAATTTAACTAATATAATAAATTTCTTATTATAATTATAATTTTATTTAATTTTAAAATTCTAAATAATTTAATAAGATAAGAGTAATAGATATAGAATTTAATAATTTAGACTATAATTTAAAATTAGAGAGAGAATCGAAGTAAAATTCTCTAGTTAATAAGGCGATTATAAAGAGAGAGAAGTAATATTCTTTAATCGATAAGGCTAATAAAACTATTACGACTAAATTAGCTATTATTATAAAGAATAATATTATTACTACTTTAATAGAGAATAATCTTTATTATTTAATAACTATAGAATCTCTTTTTAAATTATATTTATTAATATCTTAATTATAAAATACTCTCTTTCTTTTCTAATATAGACTTTATTAATTTATAATAATTTCGTAAAATATAGATAGTCGTCTTATTAAGGTTTTTAAAATTCTTTTTAATAAATAATTAAAATTTCTTAGTAAAGATATTAAAGAGAGTTTTTTACTTATTTAATATATATTTCTCAATTCTTTAACGAACGAATTAATTAAGTCTTTCTTAAGTATCTAATAATTTAACTTTCTTATTTAGTATTTTCTCTAAATTACACTTAATCATAATATCTATAAACGTCTTTAAAGATTTAGCTTTCTATTTAAAATCTATTATTAATCTATATTAAAACGTTAATAATATTAAGTCGTTTTTTAGAGTATTTTCTAAGAATTACTCTAATTCGAAAAAGATAATTTTAAAGTAAAATTATAATTTTATTTAATTAATAGTACTCGAAAGCTAAATCGATTAAATAATTATAGAACTTTATAAAGCTATTATAATAACGTTAAAATAAACTTTCTTTAAGAGTATAGTCTATCTAATCTATATACTTATTTAATATATTAATTAATATTAATAAATATCTCGATATATAGTTACTACTATAAGATCTATTACTAGTTATAATATTTCTAATAATATCTAAGAAAGAAGAATTCTATATATAGAAAGGGCCTTTATATGCCAATGTACTAGGCCGAATGAGTACTAGTGGTAGCGAGTGTTGAGTCGTTCTAACAGTACCGGACATTCAAGCACCCTATTGCTTGGTGGGGTTCCAAATAAATAGTAGTGAACTGTGTGTCGTCGATCGTTTCCTGCATTCCTGTATCATACTTGCAGCATGCCCCTGTAGAAGCAGGATTACTAGAAGAATTGGCCCTCGGGCCTTGGTGAACTACGAATTACCCGATATCTAGCCTCGCCCAATTCCCGCAAAATCATGAGTAACTGTCTAAGTCTTCCCGCAGCCTCCACCATGGACTCGCTGATTTGCTCTCCTCAGCAACCAATTGGTAGTGGCAGGTGTCAAAGCGTCGATACCAAAGAAAAATATGAATACATGATGGTCCCTGGAACCCAAAACGTCTGAACCAAGCGTCACAGAAGGGGTGGAGTCACTATAGAAGAAGCGGCATACCGTGGCTTTAATAGAATCGTATTTGACACTGCTCATTTCTTGTAGTTGCTGGAAAGGGTTGTAAGGACTTGGATGCCTTCCTGTGGCATATCTGCAAGGGCAATGTCCTCCGCATGAATATCAGTTGCGGGTCCTGGGGTCACTAGACGGCTAATAGAGGCGTGTTCAGCGTTGTTCGTATTCTGGTAGTAACCTTCGAGGTCTTCGTACGAGCTTGAACTGAAACTCTTCCAGAGATTTTTCAAGTATGACCATCCTTTGGGGGTGGAACGGTGCTGCTTGCTCCATAAAGGAGCCAAGGTGGGCAGACAAGCGCCGATGATGGCAATAGGGTTCTCAGCAAAGCCCCAGAAGAGAGGCCCTGCCGTATACCCTACATTGGAGAAGGTCAGATGGTGGACGTAGTATGGAACGTCTAGCATGGTAGAGGAGATTTACATAGAGTGTCCTTAATGTACTCCTGTTGGTTCTGATCTGTGAACTGGACTAGCTGCCTGAACGAGACGATTCGAGGAATCCCAGATGCAAGTACTCTGTATATCTTGTTAAGTGTGGAATATCAGTGGTCGTGTCGTGAGGATTCACATACACCGAGCCTAAGAGGAGCATGTCTATAACCTTTATTTTAGTTTTCCACGGTAGTTGAAGCGAAGCTACCATTGGAACTGGAAGTGCCAACACCAAAATATCAAGTATTAGATCAGAAATTGCCAGTCCTTGATACAGTATCAGAACTTGAGTGCAATGTAACGGGAAGTCTACTTCGAAGGACTCCCAAAAGTACGTGGGGGGACTGCACTGGGCTGCCAGGGCGGACGTGAAGGCCAGCGACCAGCTAGCCACAAGGCCCATCATTATACCACTTGCAATTTTGAAAGCTCTCACTACGAAGAGTCTGCGATAGAATAATAGAATGGAGATTTTTGTGATGCCGAGGTTGACCGTAGTAATGATTTCGATGATATACCGGCACTGGCACCTTCGTCAGCATGTTTTGCTCAACGCTTGAAGCAGCAAGATACGCTTATGGTCAATCTTGCTCATCATGCCTTTTCGTAATTCGTAAGCTCTGGCGTATGAATGAGCTCGCCCTGAGGGCCTAGTTGCTGGTGCTGGCCCAAACCTCCTATCTCCGCAGCTGCAGCTTATCAGTAAGTATTCCCTTTGGTATTTATAGGCGTCACAATTCGTTTGACTCGCATCCCATATTCAGTGGTTGCCATACCGAGAATTTCCACAACACCGGTACCAGTGCAGAGAACCTATGATATCCGTTAGCTACCAACGCGCCAACCAAGCATCCATGCATGGAGATTCACAAGGGCGAAGAGTATAAACCAGTCATCCATGCCGACCGTAGCGCGAGTGAAATGGCGGGCATAGAACCGAAGGCCTACGACAACCATTGGGAGGATTGTGAATGTTACACCGACACCTACGAGCACTGGTTTTTGGTACTGAGAGGACACATGGTTCCATGATTCCATTCTTTTGGTCGGGCCGCGCGTTCAGGCTCTTATTGCTGGATCTCGTAAAACTGTAACGAGCAATTTTGTGAGCGAGCGTCTGGCGAAGGAGCTGCGTTTTAGTAGCCCTTGAGAAGTAGGGTAGTCCTTGGCTCAGCATATGTCAGTTATACACGTCGAATAGCAGGACGTGATTCCTACCTTGGGATCAGCTGCTCAGTCAATATAAGTTGGTTGGCGGAAGAAGCGACGAGTGTCGATTGTAGAAGGGGTTGAAGTAACTAGCAGTAATCGTAGCAGCATGACAAGACGCTATATCCTTTGAGTTGAAACAGCCCTAGCCTTGCCACCAGTTGCGAGAAGGTGAGGTGAATTTGCATGACACTAATGCACGGTAAGCAATTATAGACCAGAATGAAGTACTGGTACGGACTGGAGGAAAGAACAGTATGATTGGACAGGAACGTTTGGACCCTAGCGTGTGCCATTTGAATGCCGGAAAGCCGTAGTGAGGGGTGGTGGTGACAGGTGAGTGGTCAGGGTGGAGTACCAAGAAAGGTAAGGCACTACAGAAACTGTTTTACTCCAAACACGAGCTGAAAGAAGATCGATGTGCCTTCTCATCCAGTAAAACAGGCACGGTTCGATGCATCTTTGCTTAAACCATCCGTATGCTTCCGTAGAAGAAGGGCAGATAGAGCCTATCAGCCAGTAAATAGGGTACAAGATCTCAACCCGACCCGGGGCCGCCACGTAAACGCTTCAGCCTAAAGTAAGATATCTATTTATACTCAGAGGTGTTATGAAAAATGCTATGAGTCTTATCGAACATTTAGATCCGAGGTCGCTTAAATCAAAACTCGAGAACTCGAGGAGACTAGCGTATTTTATAGACTCTATAATTATATATAAAAATATATATATATATATATATATTTTTTAAAAATCGCTTATATAGTTAATATATACTATTTTTAAAATAAGTAAAAAAAAAATTAAATAGTAAATAAATAATATTATTATTAAAAAATTAGAATTTATTAATAGATTAAAGAATAAGTAAAGGCCTATAAATTAAATTTATAAAGTTAAATTATTCTAAGTAAAATCGAATTTTAGCTTTAGCTCTAAGTTAAATTAAACTCTAATCGCTTATTATATATTATTAATCTACTTTTATTATTATAAAATTAATAAAAAAGATAAAAGTCTTAACTTTAAATTAAATTAAACTTTATTTACTTTCTATATAATATATAATTTACTTTTATTACTATAAATTACTAATTAATTATATACTTATTTAAAAAAGAAATATCTACTTAATAATTTTATTCTTAATATATCTTACTAGTCGAATAAATTATCTTTTTAATAAATTATCTAAAACTATAATTAATAAATCGATTTTATTAATAATTTAATTTAAGACTATATATAATTAATTATAAGTAAAGATTTTAGAATATAGATTTAAATTAATTTTAAGATTTATTAATTATTATATTAAAGATTAATTAAATTAAAAATTAAATATATTAAAAGAGAATATATATATTATTTAAATTAAGCGAAGCTAGAGAAATATATAATATTTAAATTATTTAATATTATATTTATTTTTAAAAATACGATATTTAAATATTTTAAATCTAATATATTTAATTTATAAATATATTTTATTATATAAATTTATATACTTTTTAAATTTCTTAATAGTATTATTATATAATTCTATTTTAATTTTAAAATATTTATTATTTTAATAAATAGAAGAAAGTTATTATTTTTATTAATAACTTAATTTCTATTATTATAAATAATCTTAGTTTTAAAAAACTAATTAAAATTAAATAATTAAATTAAATAATATTTTTATTATAAGTATAAAAAATTGATTTAAATATATAAAAATTAGCTATTTAATATAGACTAAGATTATATATAAATAATATTAGTTAATAAAATAATAAAGTTATTTAATAGCTAGTTAATAGATTAATTAATACTTTTCTATTCTTTAAAACTTATTAGAATATTATTATATATATTTCATAATTTTTAAATAAGTTTCTTTATATTAATTTAATATTAATTAATTAAATTAAAATTTTAAAGTCTTATATTTTTTTAAAAATAGAATATTTCTAACGTAGTTTAAGCGATATAATTTAATTTAATACTTTTAATAATAAAAGAATTTAATAAAAGTTATTATAAAAATATATAATTATATTATTAAAAGAAGTAAAGTTCTTTTAATTATTTACGCTACGTAATAAAGCGAAGTAAGACGAGATTTAGAGTACTTAATATTATTTCGCTTTTAGACGATATTTCAACGAAGTAAGATCGAGTCGAGGTGGTATTTTTCTATCGAGATAATAGAGTATCTTATTATTCTCGCTAAGCGTTTAATTAGATTAACTTAAAATACTAATCTTAATAACGCCCTTATATCGTCTCTATAGTATTTTCATAGAGTCTTAATTTTATATATCTTATTATCTTTCTAAGTATCTATATCTTATACTCTTATTTAAATTACGATATTATATTTTATACTCTATTTTATTTTATTTTTAATATATTTTATTAAAATTTAAAGAGATTACTTAGAGATATCTAGAGTTTATTAAAATAATAAGATATATTTTAAAATCTCGCTTTTCAGTCGAGACGGGATCGAGATTTCGAGGAAACTCGAAACCTCGACTCGAAACCTTATCTCGAGCTCGACCTCGCTCGAAACTCTATCGAAGTCTCTTATCTCGTTACGTAGTATATAAATATTTTAAAATATATAATTAATAATTTTAATATTATAGCGATTTTATATAGAGAATTTATTCTAGATAATATATTAAATTATAATTAATAATTAAGTTAAATTAAACTCTATTAATATATTATAAATAAATTAAATATTATTATTATTTTTAAGAAGAATAAGAATAATATTAGATAAAGTTATAATAATAGCTATTTTAGAGTTAAATTATACTCTCTATAATATAGTATTTTAAAATATAATTTTATTTATATATTTATAATTATTTAGAAAAAAGAATTAAATATAAAGATAAGAGATTATATTTTAAATAGTATTAATTATAATAATTTAATTATTATAAGTAAAGGCCTATAAATTAAATTCATGAAGTTGGATTTTTCATTTTTCTAAGTTAAATGAAGTTGAATTTTTCTAAGTTAAATGAAATTTTAGCTCTAGCTCTAAGTTAAATCGAACTCTAATCGCTTACTATACGTTTTTAACCTACTTTTATTACTATAAAATTAATTTAATCTATATAATATATAGATATATATATACGAAGAGAGGCGCGCTAAGACTTAATTAGAAAGATATATCGAGTATAAAGAATTAATTCGTAATAATTATCTATAAAAAATAGAGAAAGACTATATCCTTATAATAAGAAGTATTAAAATATCGAAAGAAAATAAAGATAATATGTTAATTAGTAATATAAATTTCATATTATCTTCTATCGTAGTAAAATTATTCGAATAATAAAATAGCTATTAGAGTAAGATATCGAACGATTTTAATTCGTTTAAATATATATCGTCTAATATTTCTTCTATAGAGATCTAATTAACTATAAGCGTCGTGATAGATTCTTCTCTTATAATGTTATTATAGTAATATATTATATTAATATAATAAAGATAATAGATTAAGTTATAGTAATATTCTTTACTTACTAAGTAATAATTTAATATAAAATCGTAGAGAGTATATGACGTAGAATCTTAAAGAGCTATCTTAGTGGGAATATCTTATATATATATTATTTCATAATATAATATTATAGATATACTATACGATAAGATATTTCATTAAGATCTCGAATTCATATTAGAAAAATAATATAATATTCGACTCTATTTATATTATATTCGAGTACGATATAATATTACTTAATATTAAATATTCTATAAAATATTTTATATCTTCTCGACTAGTAATTAAGATTTTAAGATTTTATTATAAATTTCTAAATTAAATATCTATTCGCTATAGAAGCTATTAACTAGCGCTATAAGAACGTTAATATTAAATATATCGACTTACTATAAATTATTATTAATTAATATTATAAAAGCGATATTATTCTC